CCCTCCCTGACATGTCCTCCATGATGAGCGGCATGGGCGGATCTTCCGGATCCAGCACCGGCTCTTCTGGCATGGCTATGCCTTCCGGAAGCTCTGGTATGGGATCCACTGGCCTGCCCTCCGGAGGCTCTGGCTCCACTGGTCTTCCCTCCACCCGCTAAGTGGTCTTCTCCAAGGGCCATGGTATCATGGATCGACTCGACAAGTTACATATTGGCATAGTCGGATAATTGTAATTAATGCCAGCAAAATATACCCCAACTATGCAGTGTTTTCAACTACCCAGTGCCTGTAGAGAAACACACATAATTGGTCCCTGCGTTGACAAGCTTGGGACGAAGTAGCTGTCCAGGACTCAAAGGCTGTTGAGAGGCGTAATTTCCCAAGAGGTGCTTGAGCAGACGGAAACTCAGTCGTTAACAGGTTCAAATTTGCGCTTTAATCATACCAAGGTTTCTAGGCTCCAGTTTAGTTTTACAGTTAATCATGTGTTGCAAAATTTGGGGAGGCTCAGAAAGCCATGTCATTAAAGTTGATGACACTGATTGAATGAGCCCGACTGATACTCTGAAAGAGGTCTAGAAAGAAGTCTAGAAAGAAGGACAGATGTAGAGGATAACTCGAGACAAAATCTCTTCAATTGAAGCAAAGAAATAAATACCCAGTAGACGCCAGACATTGACTAGATACATGACAAAATAGATGACCATGCTTCTGCACGCGCAATAACCGATAATGCAGACAGACGACATAGCATTGAAAATACATGAAATAAGAATAAACATGAAGAGTGCTCACGACGAGCCTCCACCACGAGACTGTTGGGCACCGCCGCCACGCTGTCTCTTTCCGCCGGTGGCATCGGCCGCAGCATCCGAACCGTCTTCTCGAGATCGCTTATTGCCCTGAGGGATGAACTGACGCGCGGAGGCGTTCAGGTTCTGCTGTTGGTTTCCTCCGCGGGCGTGACCACCACGGCCGCGGCCACGTTGAGCTCCACCGCGCTGGGCATTCGCTTGTTGACCTTGCTGGTTTTGGTCAGTCTGCTGTCCTTGACCCTGGATGTGACCGCCGTGTTGGCCACCGCGACCGCCGCGGCCACCTCTTGCGATTGGTAGGCCGGACTGGAGAGCTCGCATCAGACCGGGGTTGCCAGTATGGTTTCCTCCGGGTGGCTTGTTGGGTAGCGAAGAGGCATCCTGGCCTTCAGCGGTTTGAGGCTGACCGAATGGATTCGGGGGCGCATTGGCTTGTTGCTCTCCTGCTTGAACAGGAGTCTCAGCGGGGGCTGCTTGGGCTGCGGGGGCCGGAGTTGGCTGTGCCGTGGGAGCCGGAGTAGGGGCTGCAGCAGGGGCAGGGGCAGGGACTGGAGCCTGGGCTTGGACCTGTGGCTGGGCTACCGGTGCTGTTTCAGTTGCAGGGGCGGCCGCGGGTGCTGGAGCTTGAGTCGGTGCCACTGGTTTGGCAGCAGCGACAGGGACGGGGACAGGACGAGCGGACTTCGCAACTTCCCATACCTCGACAACAGCCTTCTGGGGAGTCTCCGTCGCCGCCTTTTGCACAACATCAATCTTGGCGCTGGCGGTGCGGAATCGAGTGTCTAGCATACTCAGGCGAGCAGCTGTCTTCTTTTCGGCCAGTCCGAGAGCTGAAGCAATCTTTTCCTTCAGATCGTTCTCGTGGGCCAACAGCAGAGCTTGTTTCTCTTCAGCTGACTTTTGTTCAAGACCAGCCAAGGCTTCCTGGTTCGCTCCGCCGGTGGCTTGCGCCTCTTGCTGTGCCTTCTCGCGCTCACGCTTGATACCACCCATAATGTTGTTTCGAACAATGGTGCGAATGGTCTCATGCTTCGCGACCAGCTCCCTGGCTTGAGCGTCTGTCAGATTGGGAATCGTTAAGCCAGAAAGCTCAACTGGCTTTGATGGGGTTGCCGGGGGTCCATCGGCAGTTGCGGTAGCGCCAGGGGTGCCCGGAACCGACTGTTCACCGGCAGATCCGGCAGACAACTTCTCGACTTCTTGGCGGTGGGCAGCTCTGACCTCAGCGAGCTTGTTGTTGAACAGCTCCTTGAGACGATCAGATCTCTCTTTGACCTTGGCATCTTGCTCGCTAGCCTGTGCGGCCAGCAAACCGTCCTTCTCGGCGAGAGCAGCCTCAAGACGTTGGATCTTCTGCTCAAGGGCCTGGATCTGTTGTGCGTCACCAGCAGTTGGAACCGAAACTGTCGGGGTTGGGAATTGAGAAGCAGGAGTTGGGTTCACAGGAACCGCCTCGGTTTCCATGGGAGTAGGAGCAGGAGCAACGTCTTCTGCTGGCACAACTGGAACGGCGGCGGTGGGGACCTCGGCCGTCTTGGATTTCAAAGCCTCCAGCTCATTCTTCGTGGTTTGCAGCTCCATCTGAATGACCTCCTTCTCTTGCAATGCCACGTTCAACTCGTCTTGCTTGGCCTTGACGCGTGAGCTAAGGTCCTTGGAACGAGCCTTGAATTGTTCAGTGAGCCTAGAGCGCAATTCGCCCAAACGCTCATCAGCATGTTGTTGGAGTTGCTCTGGGAACCCTGTGATCTGTGTCTGGAGTGTCTCCATTTGAGCTTGAAGGTTGTCCCGCTCGGCAATCACCTCATCACGCTCGGTCTCAAGACTAGCGAGCTTGTCCTTCAATTCTTGCATCTCGGTGGGATCGACGCGGTCGTACTTTTGAAGAATGTTCTGAATGCGTTGCTGGTAGCGGTCACGGTCGGCCTGCAGAAGCTGCATCTCTCCATCCTTGGCCTCAAGCTGGCTCTCCAGCTCGCTGATCTTGGACTTGTAAGGCTCGATTTCCTGGACAAGCTGGTTCTCACGAGCGATCTTTTCGTCGCGAGCAGCTTCGGTTTGTTTGAGTTGGTTTCGAAGAGTGGCATTGCTCTCTCGGAAGACATTGAGTTCGTTGATGGTTTCCAAAAGCTTGTTGTGACTGAGGGCGTTGTGGTCACTGTCCGCGGCTGCACGACGTTGCTGCTCAAGTTTGAGACGACTCTCGTCAAGCTGTGACTGGGTGTAGTCGAGCTGCTGGGTGAGACGTTTGCTTTCTTGGGTAGACAGATGATATTGCACCTCGACGATTTCCTTCTCGCGGCGCAAGAACTTGATGACCTCCTGAAGGCCCTCAAGATTGGGGGCGGTCTGTTCTCCATCTTGTTCGTCATCCGGAATGCTTGCACGGTCCCGTTGCAGGGCTGAGATTTGGCTGGTGATGTTCTCGAGCTGGGTGTGCAAGACAGAGTTTTGTCGAATCACTTCCTCCCGACGCTTCTGCAGTTCGGAAATCTCACCCTCGTAGGTAGCTCGCTGCTCTGCCCAGCTGGTCTCCTTCTGGGCAAGGTCGTTTTTGTAAGTTTCAGATCGAGTCTTCAGCTCAGCAACCTCAAGCTTGAGTTGATTGCTCTCTCCACGAACAACTTGAATATTCCTAGCAGCTTCAGCATGCTTCACAAGCTCAGTTTCGTAGTTTTGTTGAGCATGCTGAGCAATCTCAGCTTGGGCCTTGAGATCTTCTTGGTGATATTGAGCGGCCGCAACATGTCGCTCGTTGTCATCCTTGAGACGTGTGATCTGAGACTCAAAGGTGGCTTTTTGCTCATCAATGCGATGCTGTGCTTCGGCTTGCTCCTCCCGGATCTTCGACATCTCAGCATTAGAAGCAGCGAGTTCAGCAGAGATTTCTTCGACGCGGGTTTCGAGATCTTGAATCTTGGTGTTCTTTTCCTCCACAAGACGATCGGTCTCCTCGCGGTATTGATCCTGTGTCTCAGTGGCAGACTCCAGACGTTCTTCACTGGCTTGGCTGATGGCCTGGTAATCCTCGGCCAATTGCTTGGCATGTTCGAGTTCACCCTTGGCCAATTCCAAATCGCGCTTAAGCTCCGAGACCTCGATACCAAGTTCCTGTTCTCGGGTGAGGCCAGAACCATCACCAGCATCTTGACCCTCGGCGGAGGCCTCATCGGAGGGACCAGAAACGCTAGGCCGAGACTGGAACACTTGCAGGCGTTCCTCGGCGCTCTTGAGCTCCACGGCGAGTTCATCGACGCGAGATTGGAGGTGATCACGGGTAGTCTTGGCGGCCACCAGCTCCTCGCGGACTGAGCCCAAGCTTGTCACCAGATCATCGATGCGCTTCTGGCTTTGTTCGTGCTCAAATTCACGACGCATGTTCGCCTTCTTTGATTCCTCGGCTTCGTCATTGAGCTTGCGCTTGGTAGATTGCAGCTCAGTCTCTAGAGACTCAACGTTGGCTTGGAGGCGACGTCGGCTTTCAGCGTCGGTGTGTTCACGCTCATTGAGAATAGTCTGCAGGTTGCCATTGAGCGAGTCCAAACGAGCTCGCTCATTACGCAGGTTCTCGGTGTCTTCGATAAGGCGCTTCTCAATGTTCTTCCACAGATCCTTCTCCGCCTTGAGATTAGCGCTTTCTCTCTGGAGGCTTTGAACAAGACCCTGCGCCTCGACGAGGTCTTCGGCGGCTTGCTGTGTGCGAAGGTCTTGTCGGTTCGCGTTTTCAAATAGTGCAGTGTACCGTTTCTGAAGCTCGGTGTTTTCGCTCTTCAGCATATTGAAGTTGCTCTGAAGGAGCTCTGCGCGTTGAGATGCAGCGGCATGCTGACTGCTCGAGCGGCTGACATCGGACAGCAACTCGCTGTTCTTGCGCGAGAGCTCATTGACTTGTTGGCGAAGAGCCTTGTGGTCAGTTGTAGTCTCCTCGCGGAAAGTGTCGAAGTGGGCCTGAACCTTGCGGAGTAGGTCGGCGTAGTCCGGTCCAGATTCAATGCTACCAGGGGTAGCACCGGGGGGGCATGGACTGGGAGAAGACTGAAGGATCGTCGTTCTTTCGGTGCATAAGCATGCTACGGAAAGTATCACGCTCCTTGACATAGCTTTGCATCTGTGCACTGAGGTTGGTGATCTCGTCGCGGTTGGTCTGCGCGCGCATCCGAAGCTCCTTGAGTTCGTCAATCTCGGCTTGGCGTGCAGCTTCCTTAGCCTGGGCCTCCTCGCCCTCCTGCTTATCCCCGAGTTCTCTCAACATACGGCGTAGTGTATGGTTTTGCTCCTGTAATTCATGAAGGTCTTTGAAAGTGGTGAGGTGTTGACTGATGAAGCGGCCGGTTTCGTTAAGTTCTTTCGCGGACTCTTCTACTTCGCCACGAGCGATCTTCTCGAGCTCCTCGCGGTCGTAATCTTCGCCGTGCTTGGCGACGGCAACTTCGAGGACAAGAACCTTGACCTCGGCACTGAGGTCGCGGAGTTGCTGGCGAAGAATGTCTCCTTCGCGGGCCAAGCCCTGGACCTGACCTTGCCATTTCCGGGCCTCCTTCTGTGCGAAATCACGCTCCTTCCCGGCCTCTTCAAGAAGGGTAGACATTTCCACAACTGCATGCTCGAGACGAGTGCGTTCAGTACGGCCCTCGTCAAGTTCAGGTCGAGACGATTCGACTTCCATGCACATTTCGTCGAGGGCGTGCTTGAGCTCTTGCGTTTGCTTCTGCTCGCTGGCGAGCGCGGTGCGCATACGATCATACTCGGAGTACATCTGAGTGACATTGAGACTCCTTCCGTTGAGTGAAGAACGAGGAGAGAATGAGCCGTTGGGGGTACCGGTGGTGCGTAAGAGGGCGGATCGCTTGGGGGTGCTGGGGGGACCACCGTTAAGAGAAAGTGCAGGGCTTGCGGATCTGCCTCTTTCCGGTTCAGACTCTAGCTGAGCAACAAGTGTCTCCAGCTCAGCAATGCGACGCTCGGCAGTAGACTTGTCGTTGGTTTCCGTTTCAAGTTCCACGCGGATACGGGAGATTTCTTGCGCGGCATCATCCTTCGTCTTCTCCAGCGCAAGCTGACACTCTTGGACGCGCTGCTTGGCGGTCTGCGCAGCAGATCCCTGCAGCTCAGCAAGTCGGTTCGAGCTATCAAGTTCGATGCGGAAGGACTCAGTTGCTTGGATGGCCTCCTCCTTCAGTTGATGGATGCTGGCCAAAGCGCCTTCGTACCGTTGCTCGGTCTCGTCAAGACGGCTCTTGAGTGAGATCTCACTGCGCCGAAGCGAATCGATGGTTGAATTGGCTTCTTCATTGTCGCGCTGAAGCTCCGAGATCCGACTGCTCTTTTCCTTGCGGAACTTGATGTGTTCAGCTGACTTCGTCTTCAGCTCTGTCTCAAACCACTCGTTGTTTTTCTTGGTCAGATCTAGTTCTTGCTGCAGACTCTGTTCGCGGAACCGTGCACTGGCAGATGCCGCGTTGGTGCTCTGAAGATTCTGCTCCGCAGTGGAGAGTTCACGTCGTAGCTCGATGGTCTTCTTGTGCTGGGCCGAAAGCTCCTCGGCCAGCTTATCATGGGCTGCGGATTTGGATTCGAGCAAAGCCAATGTGTCTCGGTTCGAGGCCTCCAGGGATGTGATTCGTGATTTGAGGGTCGTCGTCTCGGATTCAGTCGAAGTGGAAGAGGACTTGAGGGTGGCGATCTCGCTCTCGAGTTCAGAGCGTGTGTTTTCTAGAAAACGTCAGTAAATTCATCGTCGAAAAGGAGCACTAGATAGATACCAGCATCGTGAAGCTTCTTCCGCAAATCTGCCACCTCCGCGTGGCCCTTCTCCACGCTGGTCTTCAAAACCTTCACTTTAGATTCATTGCTGCGCACAGCGTTCTCAAGCTCCACCTCTAAGCGGAGCTTGTCCGACTTGAGCTCATCGGATTCATGGGCCTTTTTGTTGATGGATTCTAAGAGCTGATTGACAAGCTCCACAGTCGGAGCCTGAGTGAGGGTTGTGAGAGTGGTCTCAGGAATTGCATAGTGAGATGCGAGATAAGGTAGTTGAACGGCAGCTTCTGCCATGGTGTCGAATGACCAACAGCAAAAAGCTGTGGTTGAGGAACTTCAAGAGGTGGATGATAGAACGGCGCAAGCTGGAGCTGGCCTTCGAGTTTCAGCGCGCTGTGTACTGCTCGGAGAGTACACACGGCGCTCGCAAAGAAACTCAGATCATGACGATGCAAATAGAGTAAGGGAGAGTGGGCTTCCAGCAAACAAAGAAGGATTGAATGATTGGGTTTGTAAGAGAAAGAACTGAGGTGACTTCAAGGGCGAGTTCCAGTTCCGCGCTTTGGGGCGCGCCCGATGCGGTTAGCTTTCTAGATCACGTGATATTTCTTTGTCGTGAAATATCCTGCGGCTTCGATAGACTTTGAGGCTAACGTTTCAATGAAGTGACCCGAAGCAGTCGTGCATGTTTGAATGGCACTGCATGCGTATCAGGTCCCACTGTAAGTCTACAAGGCATGGGTGCTTGGATATGTCTATTGAGCCTTCTGCTTTTCCTGACACAATGATAACCAGTGAGGTCGATCTATGGCTATTTTGTATGTCAAATGTCAATTTAGACATTGATGTGTAAAAACCACATGAAAGTTCCAAGGTGAGCCGTTGGCTCTTCTGATTATTGGAGCACCTTTACTTCGTGGAGGAGAATGACCTCTATGTTGACCAAAACCAGAACCCTGTCACAAAACTTTCGTGACTGTTCTAAATATAACAGATTATGGACAGCGTATTGCAGCAGACTAGCAAAAAATGATTCATTGTTCCGAAAAACCTTTGGGAAATAGCATCTATGAACTCGCTCTTTGTACTACAAGTGGGCCCGTCACGTGGACGCGAGGGATTTTAGCCTGAATAACATACCTCCGGTCTCTGATCTCATCGAGACTCCTGCTCCCCGTCACTTCCCACGGTCCACGCCCTCTCGCCGCCACCATGTCATATCTCCAGAACCAGCTCAACAGCTTCAATGCAAGCGTGAAGGAGTCGGCAAACCGGATGCCCACCCAGCGACGTGTAGCCAACAACAACCAACCTACACCGGTCTCCGGCACCAGCTCCCAGGTTGCATCCTCCACGCCGACACCGTCATCCACCAGCGAGCTGCTGAAGAAGAAGCGCCATGATCCCGATATCGTGTACTCGCAGCCCGCCAACACGGGTACGGGTAAGGATATCATGACCCAGGTGCTCTTCGCCATCGAGCACATGAAGAGCAAGAACGTGGCGCTCAAGTTCTCCGATATCATCTCATACCTCTCTCTGCAAAGCCGTGCCCATGACCAAGGGTACGTTCAGGCTCTGCGGAGCATCTTGCAGATGCACGAGAAGGTGGAGTTCGATCCTAGTGGTGCCAACGGCGAAGGCACTTTCCGATTCCGTCCCACGCACAACATCCGCAACCCGGAGCAGCTCCTGAAGCATCTGCAGAACCAGAAGACTGCGTCTGGGATGAGTGTTCGGGATCTCAAGGAGGGCTGGCCAAACGCGGAGGAAGGGATAAATCAGATGGAGAAGGAAGGGAAGCTACTCGTGACGCGGAACAAAAAGGATGATCATCCCAAGATGGTGTGGGCCAATGATCCTTCTCTCATTGAGCGCTTCGACGATGAGTTCAAGCAGATTTGGGAGAAGATTAAGATTCCTGATCCGAATGTCGTCAAGGAGGAACTAGAGAAGTTTGGTATCACACCAACCAACAAGAACAAGGTCGTTGGACCCCGGGTTGTTGCGCCGTCTCGGAAGGCGAAGAAGCCGCGTCGCAGCGGAAAGACGACCAACACACATATGACTGGCATTCTCAGGGACTACTCGCATCTCAAGCGGTAGGCGAGGCGACATCTTGCTGGAGATGCAGTCCTCTTTGGGGAATTCTCTTTGATGCACCACGCACCAATTACTTTGAACGACAACACTTGCATTGCTTTGGCGTTTGGGACAAACGGCGTATGGCCTCGCTGTCGACGCAAAGCACATTACTCATGATTTCACATTCTCTTGGCCAAAATTGCCGCACCGCTGCTTCTGTACATTAATACACAATCAAAAACCATAGATACCCAATCAACCAGTTATGCGATTCCGCACTCGGCAAAAGTTCCAAGCAACCTATACCAGACTCAAGTCCAAACATCTCAAAATGCATAATAAATCATCTAACCAAGAGATCTCGTAGTGATATACAAAGTACCAAACACACGACCGCCCCAAAAAAGCAAAGCACTATTGCTTACCGTTGGCAGTTCCCTCAGTTTTATGCACATACTCCACCAGATCTTCAATAGTACATGTCTTAATCCCCCACTTCTTTCCAAACGCCAAACACGCATCCCGGCGCATCATACCATTACTCCCCCCAACCTCCGGCACACCGGGAACTTCAGTTCCCTCTTCAACAAGCTCAGCAATAACACCCGCAGGCGCCTTGCCAGCCAGACGACAGAACTCCACCGCAGCCTCGGTGTGACCCGTGCGCTCACGCACACCACCGGGCCGCGCCTGCAGCGGGATAATATGACCGGGTCGGCGGAAGGAATCTATTTGCGCATCCGGCGATGCGAGAGTCCGGCACGTCAGCGCGCGGTCTTCGGCGGAGATACCGGTTGTAATGGAGTCGTCGCTGGAGTCGATCGTAATTGTGTAGGCGGTACATTTGGGGTCGGCGTTTTCGAGAACCATCTGGGGGAGGGCGAGACGAGTCGCCAGTGTGGGAGTGATCGGGGCGCAGATTAGGCCGCTGGGTTTTGTTAGTTTTGGGGCGTTTGGTGGGGGAGGGCGCGGTGGCGCTCTTACCTCGTGTAGCGGACTAGGAAGGCCATTTGAGCGGCTGTGATGGATTCAGCGGCAATGATGAGATCGCCTTCATTTTCGCGGTCTTGTGAATCGAGCACAATGATGAATTCGCCGTTCTCTGCTTGCGGTTAGTGGGTTGGTCTAACTGGACCCCGCGCGACTGGCTTGGTGGGCGGCTGGGGTGCTTGTGAACCATTGCTGGGTGGAAGCACTTACTGAAGGCAGCAATTGTGTCTTCAATTGTGTCGAATTGTTGCGCGATGTCTGTGGGTGAAGGCATTTTGGCTTCTTTTTTGCCCCTCACTGCGGGAAAGATATTTGGAGCGGGGAAGGTGAAAGGCTAGCTTGGAGACTGGAAAAGTACAAGCACAACTGTATAGGAAATCCAATTGACAAATATTGAACCTAGGAGAGAGGAAAAAAGAGGAACCTTGAGAGAACTTAGGTTGACTCAGTGGCTGACAAGAGGATTAGCAATGCTCGTGATAGAAGCGGGCCGGGACGCCGGCCTATTGATAAGCCTCGGATCTAAAAGTGGCAAGACTTCTCTCCGAGGTCTACAATGGGTTGTGTCCGAATAGTCTCACTTTTGGTCATGCTAGCATGCTGGAATTTTACTCAATCGCTTCTTGGGTATTTTCTACCGTAGACAATTCATGGCATACAAGCTGTAGCAATGATAAAGGGGAAAGCTGACAACATATGCATGACCTCGGAGCTGCATCCGGCAAATCTAACAGGAAGCAATATTTCTTTTGGAAGTAAACACTGTGTGTATATACAATATGGGTATATGTCTATCCCAATCCCCGACTACTCATCCAACGAACCTCATCCGCCTGCCTCTCCAAAGCACGACGCATGTAATCACCATACTGCTCCCTCTCCCAATCATCCCGTTGCCGGTGTCGCATCTCTTCACGCGTAGCCTCATCCACCTCCGCATGCATAAAGACATCACTATTCTCTTCCTCCTTCTCATAATCTGCAGGAATTGAAAACTTAAGACGTCCAATGCGCTCTCCGGTCCAAACAAGCAGCTCATCCCCAGTTAGATTCCCACCGGTAGGCAAAATCTTTCTCGCAACCTCATGATTGCCCGGTGATTGGGAAGGCCATAAGCCCCGAGGCTCTTCATCTGCTTGCTTCTGGCAACCGCCGAATTCAATCTGCGGTTGGGAAGTATTGATATTCCAGCGCCGGACCTCTGAGCGCCCGTCTCGTTCTGTCCATTTTATATTTCCTTCCGTGTCTGAGAAAACGATGCGGTTTCCGTGAGAGCCAACAGAAAGCAATTTGGAGCTTGAAGCGCTTTGTCGATTTTTGTATTGGGAATGTAGATTCGAGGTCATGTCTGGTGGGACGTTATTTTCTGCTGAGTTTAGGTTGTAGAGTTCCAGCGACCCGCGTCCATTGTAATCGCCACATGCCACGACGGAATGTGAGTCTGGATATGTTGAGTCTGAGAAGACGGGGAAGCGAGGACCCGGCACAGAAGCAAGACCGCATAGACGGCCGCCGGAGTGAACGGTTGTTTGGAGTCGAGGGAAGAAACGGCGATCATAACAAAGGATACTTGGGAAGCGGCCCGCTAGAAGAATGGTATTCACATGCGGAGCTGGCGGGTGAAGAATTGAGAGAGGACCTGGTTGGAACAGCGGGGCGTAATTGGCTCCCTTTTCTGAAGGTTCTGGGCTGCGGATTCGAGTAGGCGGTTGTCCGTTGGGTTGGAGTTGGAAAAGAGGGGAGTCGTGATGAGCGAAGATGCCCAGTTCCGGTATAGATGGACTGACCTGCTCGCAGCGCGAGCTGATTGCCTCTTCTTCCTCTATTGCTGATAGTCTGGAATCGTAAATCTGTAGACTAAGTGTGGTGGCTAATGTCAGGGGCACGGAGTAGTCTGTCTCCTGGGAAAGGGCGAAGATTGACCATGGGTATCGTTGTTGAGATACAACACGTAGTGTCTCCAAGTCCACTTCATTGAGGACATTTCCAATTGCCAGATATGCTCTTTGGCGTAAAGAGTCTACGCTGACTCCTTCGCCTAGGTTGATGAACTCCAGCGCAGGTTTGGAAGGAGATGGCTCTTGACGGCCAGATAGGTTAGTTGTGAGAATCCCTGGCGCACTCCTCCCCAGAATCTTTCCTTTGTTCGCTTGCAAAGAACCACAGTGGGCATGATTTAAATCCCAAATGCAAACACTGCCATCCTCCAGAGGGGCAACGATCTTGTTTTGCCTCGCGGAACTCCAATCTTTCAACAGTCCCATGCCTTTGACTTCATAGGAATGGTCTTTTTTCCCATCCCCTTTGCCTGTTGAGGGTGGCTCAACCCATGATAGCGATATGGGCCCTTGGCGGGCTATATATTCTGAGTACCAATCGACATGCTCACCCGCCGAAGAGGAGTCCCATTCAGCCGCCGCCCTCGCCCTTTCGCTCCATGAGATCCCAGGATCATCCCGATCACCCGGGACCGAAGGCTCAATCAGATCCCGCAGGGTATCCTGACCCAGCGTCGACAGGGAAGCCGGTTCCGAAATTAAAGATTCAGCGCGCGCAGCTCGGCGGGAAGCCTGCCTAGCCGCCCAAGACTGCTCATAACAATGCAGTTTCCATTGATTGTTGTCACGGGCGATATTAAAGAACTTTTTGGACACAGATTGCAACTGGACCTTCTCTCGTGGGGCGAGGACTGACGATACTATCAGTTCTCGCTAACGATGACGGTGCGGGGAACTTGGAAGGTCCGCTTACGGTCGATGATGCTGGTGAGGATTTCTACCGGCAGCTTATCCATAGTCGCGACAGCAGCATCGGGAAAAGAGTACGGAGTAGCGTTGGCGGGGATGTCAGCCTCTTATCGAAATTCGCTCTTTTCCCCTTGTTCCCCGCGATCTGCGCCCGAGTCCGAGTCCAGACCGTCACGTGGAGTCACAGGGCGTTTGACAATTTATGGTCGGTTGAGATGCCAATTCGCTTGCTGGGGAGCGTTTGAGGAAGGTGATAGGTTGTTGACTGATGCACTGAGGTACCGTCTCGGGAAGCTTTTCCGAGATATCCACCAACTATACCAATCTTGGAAGTAGCCCTGGCCCCTGGAGAGATGTTTGGCCTCGTGTTCAGAAGTGGGCTGTGCGTTACGATGGACAAGGTTGGAGAATTTGATACTCGATTGAACTTATGTTCCAATCATAACATTGCGAGCATATGTCTATTTTTTGGGGTATTTGCATCGAGATATCCAACCCGTTTCCAACTCCCCATCCCTCCAAAATTGTGACCAACCAATCATGAATCGTACAGTAAACAAGCAAAAGCAAACATACAAGCCTTATCAAACATAGTAAAACATAGTAGAGCAGCACACGCTACTCATCCGGCCTGAAGACAGCATCCTTACAGAGGATAGCAACCTTCTTGAAGAACCGACGCCATTCCAAAGGATCACCTTTCATTTTGACGAACTCGACTTCAAAGACACCCTCCGAAACACACTCAATAAGAACTTTGCCCTGTAGTGGACACATCCTACCGTCCTTGGCAACCACTCGGATCAACGCACAGGTATCCCCAGCAGTCACAGCAGGCACACTTGGAACCGGGACACCCAATCGATGAAGCGCCTCACAGATAAGTGGGACGAGAAGCTTAAGCTCCCATGAAGAGTAGAAGCGCGTCATGGCGCGCGAGGGAATGATATCCCGGAACTTTTGCGCGTTCTGAGTTCGGCTCACTGGCACAGCGGGCTGTTGCGAGAACTGTGACATGGAAGGTTCGTCTTCGAGGTGTCCCGCCATGACAGCGCCTTGCGAAGCGAACTGTTTTCCCATAGGCTGCGTGGAGGAGAACACATCTGCCTCCTGGGGATTGTCCCAGTCCATCGTCATACCACCGCCCAACATCTCTGGTTGCGTGGAAGAAAATCCTGCGCCTGTATTGTCTTCCATGTCCATGTCCATAGGGTCGAAGCTGCGATTGGCGCCCTTCCGTGGTTGGGACAGTGGATCTTGACTGAAATCGATATGGAGAGACTCGAACATCGAAGTAGCGAGGTTGATCGGGTCTCTCAACTTGCCATCAATGGACAGGAATTTGTTCGAACGGGTGTACCAAGGATGTCGTCGTACATCCTCGAGCGAGAAACGACTCTTGGGATCCACAGTCAGCATCCCGCGCAGCAATGATAACGTCGCGGGAGGTAACTTTTGCCAAAGCTCATCGGATGTTCGCGCATTCGTAGCTACATATTCATGGTACTCGAAACTGTCGTCCGTCGGACTGTCCCACGGCGTGTTACCCGCCAGAAGGACGAACAGCACAATCCCACAGGACCAGATATCCACGAGATCAGGATGATACCCGTGCCCTTTGTTCGCGCCCTTGGTACTGTTGGAGATGACCTCCGGAGCAATGTACGGCGGACTGCCACAGAAGGTGGTCGACAGCTTCCGCGTTCCCTTGTACTCAAACAGTGTGGCGAGGCCGAAGTCCGCGATCTTCAAGTTTCCATCCCCGGTCAACAGCATATTCTCCGGCTTGATGTCTCGGTGTCCAACACCCTTGGAGTGCATGTAGCTCACTGCGCTGACCAGTTGTGAAAAGTAGACGTGGGCAACATCCTCGCCGACACCCTCGTCGGCCTCGATCTTATCGAAGAGATCCCCGCCCTCGGCCAGCTCCATTGCGATCCAGCGCCACACTTCGTCTTCGCCCGTTGAGAAGAATCGGATAATATTGTTGTGATCAGAGACATGCTTATGCACGGTGACCTCCATTGCTATTTGTCTCGCATTGATCTTTCCGTGGCGCGCGGCGTAATCTTTGTGGATGTACTTGACTGCGAAGACGAAGTTGTCATCCTCTAGGGGGCAGGCCTTCTTGATACTAGGCAAAACCTCATATTAGCCGATGCACTCTTTGCGTTGAATTCCTACTTACCAGGCGTAGGCGCCTTGGCCAATGGTTTTGGACACGATGCGAAAGGGCACATTGTTCGGGAGCGGGGCAAGTTGCGAATGTTGCATTTTGGGCGGGAGATCGCGATGAGCGATGAAAAGAGCAAGAAATTAAGATTAGAATAGCATAGTAGTTATTAGGACGTAGGACGATGGAGTGAACTCGAGTTGCGCGTGTTGAAGCAAGGGTAGCGAGACGCGGGATCAGACGCGGGCCACTATATCCTGATCGGGTAATCTGTTGATAGGCAGACACCTCGAGTCCGGAGACTGGGAGATTATTCCAGTCACATATGGCCGAGTACTTATGAAATATTCCGTGTTGATCAGCGAGTAGCCACAGAGTAAGTTCAGCTCGCACATCTTAGTTTATAGTTGTTGTAGTTGCTATACTCCCAGGCCTAATTAATATCCAAGCGTCAAACAAAGACCCGCAGTTGTCATGCGAGATCGACTTCGAGATCGTTTCAAAATTCAAATAGAATTCATGTTTTATTTTTATTCTGTTTTTCCTTGCTACTTTCTTCCCTCACGGACATACATACTATAATAACCTTGCTTGTCTCTAGTATTTACTCTCATAGTGAATCGAAGGCGTAGCGGGGTCTCGTTGCCCGGGGCGGGTGTAAACAAATCCAAACTTCCCATTTTCTCTTTGTTCCTCACCCACTCCCACATCCCTTTCTCTGCTTCAATTGAGCATTCCACTCCCTAGCATTCCAACTCCACTTCAATCACCTTAAAAACCCCCGGGACACTCCCAAGCAATGGACTACAACATGGAGGACACACAGCAACCCGTCGAGGCCCAGAAGGTCACCCAGAGAAATGACACTCAAAGCGTGACCAAGCGGTTCGTCCCTTTCACCCACTCCCAGCATGACAATTGATCTAATTCTCTCCTCAGCCTGCAAGCTGAGCTCATGCAGCTCATGCTCTCCCCCTCTCCCGGCATCTCCGCCTTCCCCAACGCAGACGGCAACCTCCTCGCCTGGACAGCTACCATCACCGGCCCAACCGAAACTCCCTACGAAGGCCTGACTCTCAAACTCTCCTTCAAGTTCCCTAACGATTACCCTTACTCTCCTCCAACCGTCCTCTTCAAAACACCCATCTACCACCCGAACGTCGACTTCTCCGGCCGCATCTGTCTCGACATCCTCAAGGACAAGTGGAGCGCCGTATACAACGTGTCTAGCGTACTGCTCAGTCTGCAGAGCTTGCTGGGTGAACCGAACAAGTAAGATTCCCCGTGTCCCCTACACCCCCGCATACCCATCGAAGTCCGAATCTAACGCGAGCAGCGCGAGCCCACTCAACGCCCAAGCCGCCGAGCTCTGGGACTCAAACCAGGAAGAGTTCAAGCGCCACGTTCTCGCCCGCCACCAGGATCTGGACGACGAGTAAATTGGACAATTGCATCATTGGCGTCGGCTAGCCTCCTGGCATTGGGATCGTGCTATACGTGCATAGCGGCTTTTTGGGCCTGGGAGTTTCTGTCTGGTTCGGGTTTGTTTTCATCTTTATCTACACACCCCGGTTGTCCGCAGATGAGAGTAGAGGTGGGGAGTGTTTCAAGAATACCTTTTGTTTCTGGGAATTGCTTTCTTCACCTTTGGTCTGGGTGGATTTTTCTCTTATTCATTATTGGTGTTGGTTGATCTTGGACCCTTATCTTTTTTTTTTCATGCATAGCGCACTTGCGTCTAGTTTGCTCCGCATATTTGGTATCGAAGAAATCAATCTGATTATACCAACTTTGAATGAATGGGCATTACTGATACATGCGTGGGGTGTGGATCGTATATGATATCGATATTGTGGCGCTGAGCCACAAAACTTGGAATCGTTGTGTAATTATATAAGATAGGACTAGGTGGAGAAGTATTGCTTCTCGTTGGTGATCAGCAATCCGGCAACCGTCGCGCTGGTAAAGGTACTGATGGCACCGGTGATCATGGCGCTGAACGCCACTTTTGAAACATCACCACCTCGGCCCGGCGAGATCTGCGAAAGCACACCGATCTGGTTACCCAAGGATCCGATATTGGCGAAACCGCAAAGGGCGTAGGTGACGATGAGACGGGAGCGATCTGAAAGATCAGCGTATTCCGCGTGGTTTTGGAGTGCGTTGTAAGCGACGAATTCGTTCTGCGGGGGTTAGACGAGGTAAACCTGAGATGTGGGATGAGATGGACATACAGTAACGAGCTTGAGGCCAATTAGTTGGGAGACCTTGAGAAGGTCTCCGTCACGGGAAACTCCGAGCAGGAAGGCAATTGGGTAACAGATGTACCCGACAATCAGCTCAAGAGTAAGAGGGGGGTCATTGATATTCAAGTATCGACCCCACCAGGTGAGGAGGCCGTTGATAAGTCCCACGAGAGAAATGATACACAGCAGGGTGGCGGCGATCATAGAAGCGATCTTGAGACCGAGCCATGCACCGCCCGAGAAGGCGTGCAGGGCGTTTGACGATCGGTGCTCCTCATTTTCAGGGACCACGACACGTCCGGCCGTCAGACACTCTTCTTCCTCGGGCCAGCGGAGCTTGGAAACTGCCAGCGAGGCGGGGATACTCATCACACAGGCGCTGACCATGGCCTGTGGATTGACGCCGATACTGATGTAAGCGATGAGGACACTTCCGGCGATGGTGGCGAAGCCGGAGCACATGACCTGATGCAACTCGGCCATGGTGAGATGTTCGATGAAAGGACGGATCAACATGGCTGATTCGCCTTGGCCGATGAAGGGGGAGGCAGCGGCGACGACGGCCTCGGCGCCAGAAACGCGCATGCTCCAGAAGAAGAAGACGGCGAATTTGCCGACGAACCACTGGAGGATATTGTAGTGGTACAGAAGCTGAACGAGGGAGACGAAGAAGATGATGGCCGGAATGACGCTGACGAGGAAGAAGTTGGCTGGTACAAAGGGAGATTTCAATGCGTAGAAATCATCGCTTGTCAAGAACTCCACGCCCTCAACGGCGAATCCGAGAAGATCGCTCGCAAGGCCAGAGATAAAGTTGAAGATATCATAACCTGCGCCTGAGCGGAGCACGAAGAGAGCGATGATGAACTGCGACAACATGCCGACGATAACCGTGTGCCAGACGATCTTCTTACGGTTGCGGGGGGTAGCCCACAGACCGAAAATGAAGACCACCATACCGAACAGACTGACAGCTCTGTTCTCCCGAGTATTATCTTCCGACTCGGGAGAAGCGAACGAGCCGATCAGAATGACGCCCACGCACAGCACGGCCGCACAGGGTGTTCTGAGCTTCTGGGGGATGAAGCTCACGAACGGGCGCGCGGTACGCTCCCAGACCCAGTGCATGGGTTTGGAGACGATGGAGATGGGCACGTAGAAGAAAATGATGCGCAGAGTGATAGCTAAGTAGAGGAGGAAGGGGATCAACCATCCTAGATCATATCGATGCAGAATCAGGCCAGCAATCCACCAGCTAGAAAAAGCATGAGTATCTGAATTTCATGAAACATTGCGATGCAATTCTCTTGAAACTCACCCGGTGAACAAGAGCCAGATGACGGCGTGGACGATGTGTCGCCATTGTTTCCCGACGCGACGGAGCCATGTGCGTTGTGCTGGGTAATTCTGCCCAGCCTCTTCGTCGGAACTCTTGCTGGATTGCTCTAGCGGCGTAGGCTCAGGGACACCCTTGTCGAATGTGGTTTCCTGGGCATAGACGACCTCTTCCTCGCGCCCTTGTTCGGCAAAAGTGGTGTGGTGATGGTGTGCATGCTGATGTTGGTGTGCAGGATCCAACATAGGATCTGCAGGGATTTCCGATTTCTGATCCATCTTTCAGGTCCCTATAATATAGTAGTCAGGGAAAATCGAAACCACAGGCCGACCTCTCGTGATTGTTGAAAATCTACGAGAGAGGGGGAAGAAGAAGAAGCACTCAAAGCATTGGCATTTGATATTTGAGGAGCCCGGAGGCAAAAACTTCGGCTTATCAAAAACTTCTGTGCGGGGATATTCTGGAAGCCGCGATAAAGGTATCTCTCTTTTTGCAGGGGTTAAGCCGCACTAATCCTCGGAGGTCTCCCCTTCTTTGGTCGTCGCTGGGCTGGTGGGCATGTCCCGGGAACCAATCACGGAGCGACCGACGGAGAACTGCGGAGCTCCCGTCTCACTTTAAGCCACGCTAAGAGTCTAACGGGAGTCTAAAGGCAGTCTAAAGCCACATGTAACCGCAGAATCTCCTCCGCTCTAGGGCAAATTGATAACGTCCATCCTGTGCTATTCTCAACTGGGTTTAGTCTCCCTGCTGGTATCTCTCTCTCTTGCCACAACGTATGCAGACCACCCCATCCCTTGCTGATCATTGGCTCTGCTGATCCCACTATGAACTCGTTTTTATACCCTCTCCGCACCGGGTAGTACGCACCGGGTGGTAGTGGAGTCTGGTCGTGTGAGGTCTGCCCTGAGCTTAATAGGTTCATCGTGGCGAAACTGAAAGAGACGCTAGCTCTACACGTGCTGTCGAGTACTATTTACGTCCAATGCACTTCCCGAACCTGGCAGCTTCAGGCCACCTTCTCTCACTATGTACGGAGTATTTTAGGTGAGTTTAGCGTTTGTGAAAACTGGAGCCGAAAAGAATAGAACCCGGATCGGTGGACACGATAAGCGGCAGAGGTCCGAGATACACAATCTTGGCCTCGAGCAGAATTCTCCTCAACACAACTTGGCATTCGGCCAAACCTGCTTCTCCTTTATCTCTTTCAGGCGCGCCGGGTCCTGAGGCCATGACCTCTTGGATCTTCCATCTTTCAAGATTGGCTTGCGCTTTGAGGCACCTGGGCAAGGTAACCTCATTACGTAACACATAATTATAGATCATGTCACGTGCATCCTTCTACCACTATAAAACTCGCACGGAAATACCTTCCGAAGTTCCGCCGAGCACTCTCCAACACATGGTCAAGTGCCAAGCTTCGAATAATTCTGGCATATACGGAGTACGGAGTATGAACTACACAGTCTCATAATGCTACAGAATTGATCAATATGTAACACCTCGATTGATATCGGAAGAGAGGGGCTGTCATCGACTTGGGGAGTATTTATAACAAGGTACGGATTATGTTTGGATGAGCGGTCCAGCAAACCACCCCCAGCCCAAACTCGGTATCAATTTGAAGACGATATATTTCTATCAACTCCCAATTCAAGCACATACGACCACAGGGTGTGGAGAACAGGGCTTCCCGTCCGCTCAGCCGTACTTAAGCCACACGCCGGTGAGTTAGTAGTTGGGTGGGTGACCACCAGCGAATCCTCACTGTTGTATGTTTTTGTTTTTTGGTCTATTGCGCCTTGTTGCCTTCTCGGGGTTGTTATGACGTGGCTGTCTGTTTTTCCTGGACTACATAATTATCTGGTGATGGTCATTGGTCGAGTAAAGAAAGTTTTGGCTAAGCCGTGAACAGAGAATTAGGGATTGGTGACTTGGCTGTCTTTTTTACTGCCTTTCTTGCTGTCTTTCCAACTATTTACTAAGAGGAGTCACTCCGCGCTAAATTGCTCAATGAAGTTTTCCAGGGTCATCTAACCCGGAACTCCTTCCAAGCACTTATCCTCCCATGCTTCACCATCCATAATCCCATGCACGTACGCCTCGCCCACCAATCGCCAATATCCAGTTCCTCCATCCTCTCTCGCCACGAGGGGCACTCTCCCTCCTCTCGCAAGTATCACTTTATCGCCCACCTCCGCTGCGGCCGGCACCAGACCTGGTGCCAGTTTCAATGGGAAACTGAACCTACATTGATACCCACAAAGGAATCAATTCAAGCGCAGTGCTTCTGGAGCTTCTGGACAGTAGTCCCGCGAACACATCCCCCACTGCAGCAGTCAGATGCAGAATTGCAAAGGCTGCCCCCTAATATCACATGGAGTATCAGCAATAATCTCAGATAAAATTGAAGCCCAACAGAGCCGTGAAAATAATGAAACCTACTCGCTCTGCAACGCTTCTCAAGGGGAGCACTGTCCACAGCAGCTTCGGGGTTGGCAACAGCAGCGGCATTGGCGAAGGCGGCCAGCGCAGCAACGAGGATGATGTTGAAAACCTTCATGGTGAAGAGGTGAATGATTTCTCAGATATTCGAGCAGGAGAAATTGATGAAGACCAAGATGGGAGCAGGTGAGATAGCCCTATTTATGCCTTTTTTTTTTGAGAGCAACTTTCTCGCCCCCAAACGTAAAGGCAGACTCATGGAGAATTTAATCAGATTGTAATACTGAATGGTACCAACTTGCCAATCTAGGTTATCTGATCTTACTCCTGCGGGCGCTAGCCCTGGAGGCGTCTGGCCCCCAATTTCACTGCCAATAGTAACAAGCAATGGGGATCCCGCCGATCCACATGTTCACGTCCTCCCCGGCCCATTGGACCTGGACCCAAGACATTCTAGCCAAAAATGCAGAATTGATGGTATGGTATGATCGTGGATGGGGGATCCTCCCGGAAATATTTAGATTGAATCGGCCCCCGGTTTGTGTTGGCCCCCCTCATTGTGTAGGGTCGTGTTCGTATTTGGTCAAATTGGCCGATGGACGTGGATTGATCGGATGATGAGTATCCACATGAGTCCGAAGTTTCCGTGATCTCTGGTTGTTACAAGGCTGACAGCGTCGGTTGGGTGTCAACCTTGGAAGACCATTATAGCCTCGGACTCTGCAATGGATCCCAGTCTTGCCTAGAAATTAGTCTTTGGTATTGCTTCTAAAGTATTGAAAGCAGTGGTGTATCAAGTGGGCGAGAATTGGAATTTGATGCTTTCAGGGTTCTGTTCTAAGGAGAGTGCTGACCTCCGGGTTGCATGATGAGAGTGAGAAGTTTGGAGAACAATATAATTTTGTGGCATCAATTATAAAATACTTATGCACAAACAAGAGCAGAGATCAATATATGCAGAAAAGCGTCGACAAAGCGTCAAAAAATAGACAGTGGGATATAATGATGGGCAAGCCGTATCTTCTTTAAGCCATCACTTTGTATGATGCAAATCCCTTAGAACACCACACCCTTAACCTGGGCGACCTTCTTGACGTTGATGTCCTTGATCATGATAGTCCATGCGAACGCCAGAGCCATGATACCCAGACCGACAGCCAGCAATCTAATCTGAGTGTAACTGTATGCGTTCTGAATGGCGATTCTGGTGGGGGTACCAACGGCGTAGCTCAGCTGGGTGTCCAGATCTTCGTAAATATCATCCAGATTGGAAAGATCCGGCAGGTATCTGATGAGAGCCTTTTTGTAAGTGTTGCTCCAGATCGCTGTGCAGATGGTGAGACCCGCAGAATCACCAATTGTTCCAACGACATTGAGCAAAGCGAGTGCCGTGGCAACGTGCTGGTGGTCGACGGCGGAAAGAATCGCAAGTTGTTCCACGATAATGAAGATCGATCCACCGACAGACAAGAAGATCTGACACATGACCTGGTAACCAACCTTCTGGTCGGGGCGACGGAAGTAGAGCATCAAACCCTGGCCCAGAAGGTACAGAGGGACGGAAATGTATAGAAGCCACTTGAAGCGACCAGTCTTGCGGATGGCAGCTCCCACCATGAATAGCAGTACACCGGACACTACATCGAAGGTGTTCACGATGTATCCAGAGTCAGCGATGCTCAGGTCATTGACAACCTGGAGGAAGTTCTGGAAGTAGTTGTTCCAGCAGTAGTTGGACAACTGATAAGTTGCGTCCAAGAGGCAGGCACCAACCACGGTACGGTTGGTAAGGAACTGGTAGGGAAGCAGAGGGCTCGGGGCTACATAACGCTCGAAGAGGGCGAAGAAGAAAAGCATGGAGAACCCAACAACGATCATAGCGATGATATAGTCAGTACCCCAGCCATTTGGTGCCTCGCTAGCAATGTCGAATGGGATCTCGAAGAGCAGAAGACCAGCAGTGAAGATGAACACACCGATCACTATTTAGAAAGTCAGAGATGAGTCAAATAGGGATGATGAGAAGTTCTTACAGTCAAACTCGATTGTCCAGAACCAAATACTCTGTAAGAAATTCCGGCCACTGTTCTCTTTAATGACCACAGCATTACCCTTCTTAGCCTTGGCCAGGTTGAACTTCAAGACAAAGAACAAAGGCGCAGCGACGATAGGGAAGATGATGGCAAAGGTACCGTAAGCCCAACGCCAACCGGTGTGAGCCTGGAATTGATCAGCCACCTTTGGACCAGCAAAGGCAGTGATAATGTATGGAGAAGAGGTGAAAGCGTATGCAAGGGCTCGGTTCTTCAATTGGGAGACATCGGCAGTGATGACATCCACGGCAAACTCCATGCCACTGAAGCCAAAGTAGTAGAACACCTGTTGTGGTCAGTATTGAGTCAAGAGTCTGTCATTTCAGATCTTACATTAGCAGCACAGTAGATACCGAAGCTGTCACAGCTGGCCATAAGAACGAGACCGATAGTAGCACAGATAGACATCAGGAGGAAACCTTCGGCACGGCCCCAGGTGTCCATCATCTTCGCAACGGGAAGGAACACCGCAGCTGAAAAGGCATCGGCGACAGCCGTCGGCACACCGGAAAGAGAGTGTTGTTGGAAGGAACTGGCGACATAGGTGCTCAAACTACCGTTCACTGCTGACACCCAGGCGTATACGAAGTAAAGGAACCAAATGCTATAGTGGCATTTGCGTTAATAAGAGTATCAAGGAGAAGGTATTCATATTGGTTCCATGGTTGACATACTTGATGAAGACGAAGATAAGCGACGCTTTAGACCAGCTAGCAGCGACGGCCTCGGCCTCCTGGACACCATGTTGCAGTTCATTGTAAGGAACACCGGGCAACTCGGCTCCGTTGTTTGGCAGTGCCTCTTCCGGATGAGAGATTCTCTCCCCGTCAGTCTTAGTGTTATGGACGGCACTCCTGTCGACGTCAACCCCGGTGTCGACCGAAGAAGCCGACGCTTCTTCTCTCCTGTCGGCCGAGGATCGACGGAAGACGGCCACGGCCCTTCGAATCAAGGGACGGAACGACATATCCAAGATACCAAGACCAAAAGATCCAAAAGGAAAGGTTCTGGAAGGAGTTATTATTTTTAAAAAGAAGGGGTGGGCACACCCGAAATATATGCAGCAGAAGCAGGTAAAACAGGCGCCCGAAGTCGGCAGATTGGTTTCGAAAAGTTCACGGAGGATCAGGACTGTTTTGAAAAGTCATTTGTGGGTCGACGACAATCCCTTCCCAGAGCATCCGGGGGTGCAATAACCACCGTGGTGGAGGAAGATGATGTAGGCCAAACATAATAACGCAGGCGTGGGCCCTCACTCCACTGGGGGCCAGCGACGACCGGCGTGGGCGGGTGACAAGATCTAATCAGATCGCCGTGTGGCTTTGGGCTCGTTACCGCATGAGGTTACCGTCCTCGGAGGCCATTGGATTCGTCCGCTCAAGCTTCGGTACAAGCTTCGCTTGGCTCCTTGGAGATTTTTTATGGACCCTTGGCACTTTCGGGGTGCCACTGTGGTTTTCTTTCTTTTTTGTTATTTTTGAAGGGAACCGCGCGAAGAAAAAGCAAGTTATCAGATTTGCCAAGCTTTCGGCTCGGGTTACCTTGGTGAACCTTGGGTTTCGTGATTGAAATAACGCCTATGCATATTACGGAGTATAGAATAAAAACCGGTGACCGCGTCAACTTCGGAATTTGACTTGCTTTTTTCCCGAAATCATTCGATGTCTCAGGTCAATGATAGTGGCACCTCAACTAGCACAGAGATTGAACTTAACATCTATAACTTATTAACCGCCCAATGCGACATAGACTTGACCTACGAACTGATCTGTTATCCAATAAGGACATGGGCTTCAAAATTGTGGTCAGATACTCCGTATGTCCTGCGTCGGTTGTCTGCTGGGGCTACTCCCCGGCCCCCACCGGCGGGAATGGATCTAGCAAACTTTATAGGGAAATAGTCGGGTTTGTGAATTCCCGCGCAAAGAGTGCCTCCCCTAAGCGCATTTAGCGAGACAATCCTCTCAATTATGAGGCTTCGATGTTAAATTTAGCTTGATCCAGTTCCGTGCACGGATGACTTTTTTCTCCGATTGATTTGGGGCTGGCTTCCTCCGGGCATCTTCGTGCGAGCCCGAGTACTCCGTGCCCAATCGAATGATCGAGACTTTTGATTATCACTGCGGTCGTGTGGTGAAAAGGAATGCATGGCTGCATACCCCTTCTCAGCTCCCCGACTCACGACAAATCCATGACTCTCACTTTGATCTCGGTGGAGAACGACTCCCGGAGATACCGAGAAACCCACAGCCAGTCAGCACAATGTATGCAAACCAGGATAGGTAGCTGTTGGTTTCGGCCGACGTGTTCAACTTGGTTGACTGGCAAGGCAGAGCGCCGATTTTCGGTTAGTTGCAGCACGTACCTGTTTAGAAGCCGTAGGTAGACCAGGGCCAATCCCGTTCGACCTCGAACAGAAACGCAGGTGATCGGCTCGAGAGATGCATGGAACCCTACGATTGTACAATATCTCCGAAGGCTTGCCACGCGGTCTCGGGGAGCCTTATGTCTCACGAATTTGGCCGCTGTTGAGCTTGGGGACAAACGGAGGCTACGGATAGAAATTTTGGAAAGACCTTGGGCGAAGCAGCGCATGATTCAGGATCAATATCCTCATCTGCGCAGTTGGACTAGTACAGTGTACTCCGTACTCCGTACCTGCGCTCAATCAGTACAGTATCAGGTACGGCGATGCACCTGTATTTGTGAAACTTGGGCTCCTGTCTGGTGGGCCCGGGCAGAGTGCATGTCCAAAGTACAAAACTACGGAGTACCCAGGCAGGGGTCAGAAATGTACCATCATTGTTTCTCGGCTCTGATCTTTGGTGCACATTCTTTGGTTGCTTCCAAGGGTTTTCGTCACCGTGAGTCCAGCATGCTTATTCGGTTTGCGCCACTATAGTACAAGGACGGCCTATGAACTAGATCCAAGGTGGAAGCTGGGTTATCTTTGAGGCCTCTGAAAGATTTATGCATGAGATCAGCGTCTGTCATGTTTCGTGTCAAGGCAGACTAACGGGGTTTTTACATATCGCGTTAGTCGGTATGGATGTTGCATGTCATGCGCCCGACCGAGAGGTCGGGATCAATCTAGGTGTACTCCGTACGGAGTACTTCGATCAATTATACTCCGAACCATTGCCATTGTCTTTCCAAGCTTCAGTCTACCAAAATTGAATGCCTCCCAAGCCCTGGAGATTCGAGATTAGATCTCACGGTGGCCCGGGGTAACCCTAGAAACGGGAGAGGCCTATGTGTGCAGCCGTACTCGACATAGAGTTAGGCTTCAACATTGGCAGCATCATGGTGAATTCTAATGAGTATTCCAGACATTGGAAGAGTATAAGGCAGAGGTGTAGAGCCTCGCAGAGCATATTGAAGGCGAGATGTTGTGGGAGTTGAGCAAGGGATCAGCCGCCACGAGTGTCGAAACTTGATAGTGAGCATGTCGAAACCATCACACTCATTTTAGGCCAATATTAACGACCCTGACCAAAACCAGCGACCCTGATCATAAATTGTACGAAACCCGAACGATTGGTGACTGCGAGGTGAAATGGCGACGAAAACGGCTAGAAGGCGGGGAGAAGGCTGCCTATCTGCCCCGCAACGATCTCGACTCTGCAACTATTTGAGCAAACATGGGAGACGATCACGAGGACCTTGAATGGGAACTGGAAGAAGGAATTCCTCAATTCGAGGACCCTTTCATTCAGCAGTATTTGAAGGGACGCGATGCTCTGGTCCAGGAAGAGCAAAAGCGACGTCATGGTATTTTTAAACCCCAAAGTCAAACTTCATATCTAATCGAATTTTAGATGCGAACCTGCGCAAATCTTTGTCTCCGATCGCCGCCCGGGCAGCAAAGATTGTATCGCAAATCCGCACCCAAGAGCAGCATGAAGTATGGACTGCTGGATTGGACGAAGCGACTGCCCACCAGTCAGATGAGATTCTCTACCCAGGTGTGATGTTTAACCTCGCAAAAGGTCGTATGGAGAAGACCAAACTCTGGAAAATTGTTGAAAAGATGCCAAAAGGATCTCTGCTCCACGCCCACATGGACGCTATGTTTGATATCGACTTTCTGGTTGACCTGGCATTCTCCACACCGGGGATGCACATCTTGGCACCGAAGCCCTTGATCACCGAAACTGATTACGAGTGGGCACCTGTATCTTTCCGGTATTCCTCGCAGCCGTTGGAAGCGTCGGAGAACAAGCCCAGCATTTGGTCGGAGACATACGAGCCGTCTTCTTTGATCTCAGTCCAAAAAGCAGCCTCGTCTTTCCCCAAGGGAGGCGAGAAAGGGTTCCGCGAATGGTTGAGCGGGCGATGCATACTTCTACCGGAACATTCGTATCACCACCATCATGGTGTTGACGCGATCTGGACTCACTTTGCGAAGACTTTCCCGGTGATCGACTCGCTTTTGATGTATGAGCCTATTTTCAGAGCTGGTCTTCTCCGCATGCTGGGACAGCTTGCCGCAGATGGAGTTCGATACGTGGAATTCCGCTTCGGTTTCAGTAATGATTACAGGAGGGAAGGACACGATGAAGCGGATGAAGATATGCTTGGGTGGTTCAGCATGGTGGAAGAGGTGGTGGAGCAATTCAAGAAGACAGAAGAAGGAAAGGACTTCTACGGTGTTCGCATTATCTGGGTTACGCTTCGCCGCTTTTCCAACAAGGCTATTGTTCAGACCATGAAGCAGTGCATTGCAACAAAGCAAGAGTTCCCCGAAATGATCTGTGGATTTGATCTTGTCGGACAAGAAGATTTGGGCAGACCTCTTGCCGACCTTGTTCCATTGCTATTCTGGTTCCGAAAACAGTGCGCCGAAGAAGAAGTTGACATTCCCTTCTTTTTCCACGCCGGTGAGTGTCTAGGCGACGGCGACGAAACAGACCAGAATCTTTTCGATGCTATCCTTCTCGGCACGCGGCGAATCGGCCATGGATTCTCTCTATTCAAGCACCCCTTGTTGATTGATTTGGTCAAAGAAAAGAAGATTCTCATTGAATGTTGCCCCATCTCAAACGAAATTCTCCGGCTCACAAGCTCCATCAAAGCCCACCCCCTGCCCGCGCTATTGGCCAGAGGTGTGCCCGTCTCTTTGTGCAACGATGACCCCGCTATTCTTGGACATGGGAAACACGGATTGACCCATGACTTCTGGCAGGTCTTGCAGGGGTTAGAAAATGTGGATCTGGTTGGCCTATCGATGATGGCTCAGAACTCTATCCGATGGAGCTGTTATGAAGATGAGTCGACCGCGGAGTGGAAGGCTGGCATTCAGAACGGGGTTATGGGTAAAGGATTGAAATCAGCACGCCTACGTGATTTTGGTTCAGAATTTGAGAAATTTTGCGAATGGATTGTGCTGGAGTTTGCAGAGTTTGACGTTGATGAAGATTGAGGCTCTTGCGGTCGGGAGACAGTGTGGAATACAGTTAGCTAGCCAAGTCATCTAGATCAACATTAATATTTTAGGAGCTTCAAAGAGATGTCAGATTTTATAGATCGCGCACACAAGCCGCAAACAGCCCGTAAGAGCAGAATGAGGGAATGACTGGTCAATCTGGTGTGATTAGAAGTCAATAGACGGTGAGTTGTCAACGGCGCCTGACTCGGGTCACTTATCGCCTTTATCAGGTGCCCGGAACGTCATCGTCGAACGTTCCCCCCTTCACGACTCATCCACTCCGCTTTGTCGGGGCTGGCTGCTTTCTTATCGTTCTGTTCACCTCTTTTCAATGATACATGCATAGGAGCTTCCCAGCTCCCAGCCGCGGATAATGGCGTCTTATTTCATGCCCTCGTTTGTCCAGAAGCGGCTCCTCAAATATGTCCTATCTCGCGTGGGCCTCGTGGAAACAGATGCCTTAGACCTGGACAATCTAGGCATTAGCTGGGGTCAGCGGTCGGTGGTCGAGCTGAAGGATATCGGCCTGAAATTAGAGGTGAGTGGTGATCGTCCGCGTGCGGGGCGTTTCGAGATCATCAACGATGGTTGAGCGGAGCGGGCTGACTGATTCGCATCGTGGAATAGAAATTATCGACCCTCCTTAGCCTTCCTGCTTCATGCGAGCTGCTCAGTGCCCGTGTACGCCTTCTTCGAATCACGCTTCCGGCCGACGTTCACAGTAGCGGGATACTTTGCGAAGCCGACGGTATCGACGTACATACTCGGTTATTGCCAGAAGAGCCGAAGAGATCGAAACATGAGAAAGGGAAAGGTGCGGGTCTTGAAACCTCAACGGTACCCACGCCGTCAGGGTTGGCGGAATCCTTCCTCGAATCTGAGCCAAAAGAGGAAAGGGAAGAGCTGCAAGCTGCGATATCGTCACAATCCGGGGTCCTGCCAGCTGATCCATTAGCTTGGAATGCGGATGACGAGAATGAGCTTGGTCTTGGGAACGATTCGTTTTCTCTGCCCACTTTTGTGGCGGGGTTCCTGAAAGGCGTTATCGATCGGTTCCAACTCCAGATTAAGAATGTGGTTGTGCGCGTGGACATGGAACTCAAGCAGGATGCACCATCAAAGCGACAACCGGAACACAAACCCGACTTGGTTGCCGCCCTGTTGAGTATTGGGGCAGTCGAAGTACAAGGGGTCTCTGGAACAACTACTGGTTCTGGGGAGGGGCCACCCCTCCGAGAAGGAAAACGACTCATCTCAATCACCGATGTGAACATTGGTTTGGTGTCAGATTCTACCGTGTTCTCAAACTATTCTCGATTTGCCGCCCCTGCCTCGCCTACCACGACGATGCGGTCGAGAGGGAGTCAACCATCCAGCAGGGCACAATCTCCCTCCCCATTGAACCGCTCTGTTCTCTCCGGGCCTTATAACAACTCTGGTCGCTCTGATTACTCTGATCAATATGAGCAAGACCCTCTGGCTATGACCCAATCCACAATTTTAGAACCACTGCAAGGATCTGCCCACTCCAATCTCACTTCACGTAGCTTGGAAAAATCCGCGTTCTCCCACGACGGTCGATTCTCAGATGCTGACTCCGAGTCTGGTAGCCATCGTGGGTACATGGAAGACTCCCAGGTTTTCGGTGATGATCCTTTCCAAGACAACCCAGGGTATCTGGACTCAGTTATTGACACTCAGTTCGATGACTTTGATGAGCATTCACCGGTTATGCGACCCCGAGATGCTCGTATGACTGACAGTGGATGGAGAAGCCATGATCCGTCCGAGCCACGGAGCTTGGCTCAAAGTCATACTGAAGATTTCGAGGATTCCACCCTTCCACCAAGCCTCCATGGCTCTCATAACTACGAGGCACCTCAACATCAAACTGATGTTGAAACAGACGCAGCCACACCGCGCGAACAAGGCTCTTACCGATACGATGAAAGCGAAAGCAACAAAAAGTCGCAGGAGAGCGTCTCGTCGCATCAGTCTTCTGCATTGGTAGAGCCTGACAGCCCAGATTCAAGAAAACTCGCTCAATCCGACCTCATTGAATCCAAATACTTCTCTCATGATGAAGCCCAAAGTCTTTACATGAGTGCTATCAGCCAGGAACCGACTGGCAGCTTTATGCCAAACATGCCTGGAGCATGGGATACATTCGACGGTGCTTCGCATTCCAGATCCTCCGACAACCGCACTACAAGCGCAGTCCCTGCTGGTCAGGAACAGCTCTCCCATTCCCAAGCTGAAACGCCGTATACTAAATCCCCATCGAGCGATCCCGTCGATGAGCGGCATGATTCGGACGACCAATCTCAATCCCAATTTTCGCCCAAGGGTCGACCCTCAACCTCGCTTGGCTCTGATCTACACGGGGTTGATGAAATCAGGAAGCCTGTTTTCTCCATTGCCAAAGTTCTGGTCTGGGTCTCACCTCCGTCTTCTGCGAATGAAAATCTACCACACCAATCAGCACCAGAGAAAGGAAAGACCGAGGATGAACTCAAAGCATCCACGGCCGACTTGGGTGAGTCTGTGTACGAGGAAAGTTTGATGGCCTCCAGAGCATACGCATCTACCAAATTCGGCAGAGCTATAGTCGAGCCACGATCTGAGACGAGCACCGGCCCGCAATTACCCGAAATAGCCCTCGAGGTCTTTGCAGCCTCGATTCACTTTGACATTGCCACTGGCTGGCTGTTGACCAAGATTGGACAAAAGGTTCTGCATGCTCTTGGTGCGGTTGAAAAAGACCTGCCAGAGCAGCAATCGCAAGATGGGCAATCCAAGCCTCAACCACCTGTTCATCTTGTTGTCCATGACTTCTCAGTGAAGTTTATGGAACATGTCGTGGGGCATGCTCATTCCTCGAAGCACGCAGAACCGCCTATTCCTCCTCCATACAGCATGGAAGATGTGGTCCTCCGTCTCACGATGTCTGGATTGGATGCTCGTCTTTCGACGCAGTCCTCGGCCACTAAGCTGAATCTGGACATTTCCAAATTTACCTTCGGCTTCGCATCAGAGGACCTCATTTCGTTTAATGAGACATTCAAAATGCGCGAGTCCACGCGTGATGTTGGAAACACTTCAAAGGGCGACATCTCTATTGCTCTTGTCAAGTCGGCAGACTTGGCCAAAGTCGAGATTTCTACCTTACCTCTCCATGTCAATTTAAACATTCAGCGTCTGGAAGAGGTTCTAGGCTGGATGGGTGGTCTGAGCACTATTCTCGAGCTTGGAAGCTCAATGTCTTCAGTTTCAACGGTCAAAGGGAGTCCACCACTTCCAAAGCAACGCCCCCGAGGTGTCCATTTCGAGACGCCTGGCCCAATCTCCGAGAAGAAGAGCAAGTCAATGCTTTGGAAAGTCAATGCGCGGATTGGAACGATTCTTCTGGATGTCATAGGAGAGACTCATTGTCTTCAACTCACCACAACTGCTGTCAAAGTTGTGAGCCGATTTGAAGGCGTTGGAATCCAGGTGGACAAGGCGAAGCTGGTAGGGCCATTCTTACTTGACGAGGATTCGGTTGATGCGCCGGCCAAAATTACTTTGGATAATATTCGCCTTGAGTTCCTTTTTGCTCCCAAGGAGGTCGACCTTGATCGTCTTTTGACGTTGATCACCCCCTCTCAAGACAAATACGAAGAGGAAGATGATATTATGGTTGATACGTTGCTCCGACAGCGGAGACAAGGCTCTGTTCTTCGCGTAACAGTGACCGGCATGAAGGCGGTCATCTCGGATATCGAGGGCCTAGAGCCTTTGTCGTCTCTTGGCGTCGAGCTGGGACGGCTATCAAACGTCACCAAGTATCTACCGGAAGACGATCGCCCCGGGATACTGACGCTGCTGCTGATTCGCAGCCTTGATGGACATGTTCATGTCGGTGGCCAGATTGGAGATATCGATACTCATCTCACCGACGCCGAAGTCGCACATATCACCATGCCTTCGCTCACGGCAGCTCAAATCAGGAAGCTGTCCGTTCATCGAAATCATGACGAAAAGCTAGTTGGGCAGGCTCTATCCCCTTCGGACAAATATCAAGACCCAGATGACCCAAGCCCGCCTGTTTTCATGGCTAGATACATCCCTGATGAGATGGATCCGACCTACAAGATCAAGTTGCATAGCCTTCTCGTCGAGTATACAGTCCCAGCTATTGCAGCTTTCATAGGGCTCGGCGATAATACAACAAGCGCGGACGTGGCTTCAAATATGGCTAGTTCTATTGCGAACTTTGCAGACCATTCGACAGCTTCGGATCTGTCGATAGGGTCGCCAAGGAAGTCAAATTCATCCCACCCGAAACCCATCAACCTGGCAATAGTGTTCAGAGACTGTGTTGTTGGCCTCAACCCGCGAAACTCTTCTGCAAAAGGACTCGCAGTCCTGACCAATGCCAAATTCGCGGGTAGTTTGCATGACGACGAGTCCGCGGAAGCATTGCTCGATATGAAGAAAGCTTCCCTCATGGTCATTGACGATGTGCAGCATGAGGGTTCCGACAATCTGCATCAGCGAGCTTCGGCTGTTGACCAAAGTAGCCAGGTTCAAGTCTACATTGACCACGGCTATGTTCCTGTGTCATCTATCTCATCAGCAACGGCCAGTGTCAAGTTGGCCAACGTTGCCGAGGACGCAACAAAGTCACTTGATGTGGAGCTTAGGGACGATCTATTGATTCTCGAGACCTGTGCAGATTCGACACAGACACTCATCAGCATCATGAACGGTCTTCAACCGCCGACTCCGCCATGCGTAAATGTCAAGTATAGGACGGAGGTCATGCCGCTCCAAGACATGTTTGCCTCTTTTACTGGAGATGCTTTCGCGGCTGATCCTGCTCTTTCGGCTGATGATGACTTATCCACAATTGCTGAAGAGCCATCCATAGAGGATCAACTGACCGATGAGCTTGAATATGTCAGCGACTTCTCCCCAAGACAAGATGGCTCTGGGATTGGTGCCGAAGGCCCCAGCGATCTTCTGGACAGCTTCCATTCTCAATACCAGGTTTCCTCCAGTTTGACAGAATTGGATTTCCAGGAAGACCACTTTGCGAAGAAGTCCGCAGTGGGTGGAACCGCTCATCGGTGGGATTCCACTCAAAACACCTATGGCCTTACCAACGACCCGAAACTCCAGCGGAGTCCTCTGAGGGTGCGAGTACGAGACGTACATTTCATCTGGAATCTATTTGATGGATATGACTGGCAGCGCACACGCGACACGATCTCGAAGGCTGTCAAGGATGTAGAGACTAAGGCCACCGAGCGTCGTGCCAGGGGCTCCCGGTTATCTCCATCGGCTGAGGATGAAGAAGAGTCTGTTATTGGTGATTTCCTCTTCAATTCGATTTACATTGGTATTCCAGCCAACAAAGATCCGCGGGAACTCCACCGTGAGATCAATCACGACATTGATGATTTGACCAGTGAGACTGGAAGCTATGCAACGTCTACCACAGTCACCGGAGCGAGCAGTCGCCCAGGACGATCATCTTCTACGAGAGAAAAGAAGTTACGTCTACATCGCAGCAAGCATCACAAGATGACTTTTGAATTGAAGGGTGTCTGTGCTGATTTGGTTCTCTTCCCGCCTGGCTCCGAAGAGACTCAGAGCTCCTTGGACGTTCGAGTTAGGGACCTGGAGATCTACGACCACGTCCCGACATCGACCTGGAAGAAGTTCGCGACATACATGCATGAGGCTGGTGAAAAGGAGAGTGGAACGAGCATGATTCACCTTGAAATTCTGACCGTGAAGCCTGTGCCTGAACTGGCCGCATCTGAAATCGTTCTGAAGGTTTGTTTACCGATTTACCGAGCATGGAAGTCAAATTCATCTAACGGAATATAGGCCACTGTCCTTCCCATTCGCTTACATGTCGACCAAGATGCTCTAGACTTCATGAGCCGATTCTTTGAGTTCCGAGACGAGTCCGCCGAACAATCCACCACCCCAGGTGACATCCCATTCCTGCAACGAGTGGAGGTCAACGCCGTCCAGGTAAAGCTAGATTTCAAGCCCAAACGAGTCGACTACGCAGGTCTCCGCTCCGGCCGAACCACCGAATTTATGAACTTCTTCGTTCTCGACGGCGCGGACATGGTCCTCCGCCATGTGATCATCTACGGTGTATCTGGGTTCGATCGACTTGGCCAGACCCTCAACGACATATGGATGCCAGACGTAAAGAAGAATCAGCTACCCGGCGTTCTAGCCGGTCTCGCGCCGATCCGCTCTCTCGTGAACGTTGGCGGAGGCGTGCGCGACCTCGTTGTGGTCCCCATGCGGGAATACCAGAAGGATGGGCGTCTTGTACGCAGTATCCAAAAAGGCGCTGTCGCATTTGCCAAAACGACTTCGAATGAGCTTGTCAAGCTCGGTGCGAAACTCGCCATTGGAACACAGACTGTCCTCCAAGGCGCCGAGGACCTACTCACCACGCCATCCCACGATGAGGACGAGGAAGAAGCGAAGAAGATTTCCCTCTACGCTGACCAGCCAGTCGGCGTGGTCCAAGGTCTCCGTGGTGCGTACAGCGGTCTCGAACGTGATCTACTCTTGGCGCGTGATGCCATCGTCGCGGTGCCGGGCGAAGTGGTCGAAAGCGGGAGTGCCAAGGCAGCCGCGAAGGCTGTCTGGAAGAGGGCGCCGACCGTTATTCTCCGGCCGGCAATTGGGGTTTCCAAGGCTGTGGGACAGACATTGCTGGGGGCGGGCAATACCCTTGATCCGAGCAATCGGCGCAAGATGGACGATGTAAGTGGACGATTTCTAACCCACCCACTTCCCAGGGATATGGCTGACTTTTTTCGTGTAGAAATACAAACGGTATTAGCACGAGGTTGGGGTCACCCCCAGGACCTGGTCGCCCTTGCGTGAACAGTACATATGGCTTGTTTGCTTTGTTTCGCTTTGATTTTAATCCTTGTTTTTGCTTCAGTTCGATACCACATGATGCATGCCTGCATATTCTTAAATTGCCTTGTTTCGTTTTGATACTCCGCGCGTTCGCGGTCTACGTTCTTTGCATGGAGTTCATGGATTGTCAATAAAGAGTCACAATTGGTGTCTATTTTATTTTGTTTTATGTATTGTAAACATTTCTCGGCTCCGCTGGATGTACGGAGGGAGTACTTCGGGTCTCCTCGGGTGGAGAAACTCGGGTCAGAGGAGTGAAGAGTGAACCCTGGGAGACAACATCAACGCCCGGACAGCAAGACTTAGTATTTGGGCATCTGATGATAGACCTGAGATCAGCATAAGGCGCCCAAACCGTTGAAATTGGGCCATCATGCATGTGCAACGCGTGCAACGCACAGATGCTCTACGAAGTACGGAGTAAGAAGTACGGAGTACAGGATGACACAGATGACTCCCCCAGCCTTTTGAGTAAGGCCCGATCCACCCAAAACGTTGCCCACGCGAGATAAGGTGAAGACCGAGCAGGGCCGAAAAGTCAAACCAGGCCACGGAGACCCCGGACAGCCCGAAGAATCATGAATCATGAGTTCAGGAACCGGAATCAAAGTTCACGATGACCCCCGGAACGCACGATCGATAACCCACGAGAATACCCCAAAGAGTAAGAGGGCAGGACCAGCCCGACGTTCCTTGCATTGGGCCGGAAACACAGTCATCAAGTCCTGAATTCCTGAAATTCTCGATGAGGTGTCCGGGGACAGACTTTGACTGAGTTGCGCGTACCGAAAAATCTTCACTTGCCACAGCAGGCACCATCGGGAGGCCAATCAGGGTGGATAGTCCGCCACTCGAAGTGAGTTGGTCCAGCTCAGCGATCCTTCTGGATGCCGACTGGTCTGGCCGACTCGGAGGCGTTCGTGCCAAATTGGAATGTGTGGGGGCTGATTGGTGGGTGGGAAGAGAACTAAACTGTTAGCGCAGCAAATATTAAGCTAAAGAGACTAAAGAGACTAAAGAGCCCTTTGAAGATCACCCTGCAAGTGATACACACAGGTCACACAATGAGATTATGTCTTATGTTGTTTAACTGTTTAATATCCCCCCTATATGCTCATTTGATGCTCTACACTATTTTAAAAATAATCGAAAAAACAGAAACTCACCGACTTTTCGAAATTTCTGCCATGACGTCGTCGAGTGCCTTACGAACCATGGGTCTTCCCCAGGTTGCGTAGTCGTCTAGACTCTGCTTCTCTACTCTACTGTCTCTCGGTATTCCCGGCCTTTGGTCCCTGTTCTTGTTCTCTGTGGCCTTGTTGGCCTCTGGTTCGGCTCTAGACTCTCTCAGTGTGGTGGATATCGTGTGGGTTTCGAGTGGATATCGCCAGGTACTGCCGTCCATCCAGTTTTCTGTCCCTTCGCTCTTAAATTAAAAAACCTCCCCCCTCCTCTGTGCCTTGCAGGTCTGTTGTGATCTATGTTATCTCAAACGCTACGAACCTACACACTCTCCCTTGCATCGGTTTCGGAAATCTGACGAATCAGATCTAGTGTGGAGAAGTGGATTCGATCTACGCCTGCATCGGATATGTCGACAATCTAAAAAGTGGACACCTCAAGAAAGAAAAGAACAGAAAAAATCACACGAAGCAGGGGCTTCCTCTTTCTGACCGACAAAAGCGATATCTGGCATATTCGCAGTGGTGCTGGTAGCCGCAGAGATGAATAGCCTCATGTATTCCGCCACCGATGAGGTGTGGCAGGGTGAGCTGCTGGACAGCCCCCTCTGCCAGAAGTGTTTGGAGCTCCATGATCATGCATGTTCTCCTCTCTCTAAACCCCTTCCGGCCGACGCTATGTCCCTCCCCCCTCGATCCATCAAATCCGGTATCACGGGGGCCCTCTCCCTCCATGACTACCGCAAATTCCTCTCCAAATCTGCAGACCGCATAGATGATCCCGTCGATCATGCAGGAAGGAAATTGAAGCGAAAGACGGCGGCGTTACATTTGAATCGCCCACCCGCACTCAATATCTCTTATCCTAACTCCGTCTCTTCGGCCTCGAGTCCTCCGCCGCTGTCCCCCTCGTATTCGCACAGCATCATCTCCCAGCGGAGTGAAGAGCCTGAGATTGGAGAAGCTCATCCTGGTAAGCCTTGGAAATTTCAATTGACTTTCGATCCGGAACCTTGATTAACCTTTTCAATAGTTCACTATCAGTCTCCCAGCCCACGAGTAACTCTTGTTTCAGACAACGGCACTCGTACAAGACCCAACAGGAAGCGTTTGGTAAGTCCCAGTGAGACATTTCCCGAAACATCTCAACTGACAATGTCTAGAACACTTTCCGGGAGAAGTTCCAGCAGAACAAGGCACAAGCTCAAGCCGAGGCCGAAGTCGAAGCTCGCAAGGCCGAGCCAGACTCCATGCTAGCCAGCACACAGGCCGTTGCCACCGTCTCACACGGTGGCGCTTGCTTTGAGATTTTGAATCCGCGCAAGTCGCTGGATCTCGCACGCATCGTCTCATACATAGAAGACGTCGACAGCTGCTCCATACTCTCCGACCAAGAATCCACTTTCCCCCTCGACCAGGGACTGGACCGGGTGTCCATTTCCCAATACACAGATGCATCGCTGCCATCCTTCTACTCAGCAAACTCTCTTTACACCTCCCTAGACCAGTCAACACCCAAGGGCCAAGAGTTCCCCTCACCATCACCTGGGAACCACGGCCGCGTCCACTCTCTATCAGAATACTCCCTCAACGAAGGCTTCAACTACTGGAGCCGCCCTGTACAAAACAATAGCGAAAACGACCGCCACGATGACCCCCAAACAGCAATGACCTCCATACGGGAAGAGTCCGTTCCCCCAGCCCTCTCAGATTCCCACACCCACTCCCGCCGCCCCTCTACACCATCCACCCAAGACTTCTACTCCGAAAGCGAAATCGGCGAGCCGGGCTCCCCAGTCTACGCAAACGGCGAATGGGCCCAAGTCGACGAGCGCGATCGAGGCATCTTCTACGAACTCGAAGAGTTTGACCAACCCGAATACCATCACGACAGAGACTCCGAACCCTCACCTCATGAGTCTCTCGATACCGATACTCCCCTCCACTCACCCATCACCCCCCTCTCGCCTTTCGATTTGAAATACGATCCCTATGACCCTATCTACTTCGATCCTCATGTGCAGTCTGTTCTTGCGGCTGCGAATGCTGAGAATATGGGTCTGAGGGGCACTCGTCAGCTTGACGGGAGAGACTTCCAGAGACGGAAGAGTGATGAGCGGAAAGCTGGGGGAGGAAGGGGTTGAAGAAGTTCTTCAGTTGGAGGTCTGGGTCGAATTGATTGTGACTTGGATTTTGTCTTGGCTTCTACGGATTCTGGGAATCCGACCTGGTTCTGGGAACCAGATGTGATATGATTGTCGCGGTTTTTGAGCATGGCGAACATGGCGAATATGGCGATTTGTTGGAAGCACAGGCTTGCTGGATTGGGCTGGACTTTTCTTTTTCTTCTTCTTCTTTTTCTTCTTTTTATTCTTTCCCTTCTTTCCCTTCTTCTTCCTCCCTTTTCTCTTCTTTTTTCTCTTCCTCCATTTTCTCCCTTTCCCTTCGTGTCCTCTTCTATTCTTCTTCCTTGTTTTTACTATCATTTTAAACCATTTTTGAGTCTGTGACTCTACTTCATTTAGTTTCAATCTTACAATTGGCAAATTTCAAATGCCATTACTTTGGGTCTCACTGGGTTCTTGTTTCTTTCCAAGTTTCATTAGTAGAATGACATTGTAAATTACCATTATCCCAAAGTCAATTGATAGATTGACCACTCTCACGCATTTGCTCATATCATGATCTCCGTTCTTCCTTTTTAAGTTCCTAGGAAATCTGTTTGGGCCTTGGGTCAACTCACCATTGACATCTGACATCAACAGTAGCATACAAGCAAAACCCCACTTATCCTTGTTATCTTGCTTACCATCGAGCCAAACACCACCGAGTCCCTGGTGTTCCATGCTTTTCAGCCCTGGAGCCCTGGAGGTGCAACTCAATTTGTAAGCCTTGCATATGTCCCCGAGAAGGTCCATGGGCCCACGGATTCACGGATAGATGAATCATCATATCTACTCCCAGAATTCTAGCCATACTTATATACCCCTCTTAATTCCTTCAGCGCATTCAGATTCCAAAGCATTATAATGTCGTTCCCTACCTCCACCAAAGCTGCTCTCCTCCAAGAGCCCTTCGCCAAACACACCATCTCTCACAGATCACTCTCCGCATTAAAGCCCGGCGAGATCGGAATCAAAATCGCCGCCACAGCCGTCAACCCCGTCGACTGGAAGATCCGAGACCACAACACCTTCCTCCCCTCATACCCCGCAGTCCTCGGGTCCGACGCCGCAGGCACCATCACCGCAGTAGGACCCAATGTATCCGGGTTCAAAGAAGGCGACCGAGTGTTTTTCCAAGGAATCATCGGAACCTATGACTCCTCCACCTTCCAACAATATTGCAAAATGCCAGCTGAGCTGGTCTCCAAAACACCAGATAATATCACCGACCAGCAGGCAGCAGGTATAGGGCTAGCGACAATGGCCGTCGTTACTGCATTTTACCATTCAACAGGCCACGGCTTGATTCCACCATGGGAAAGAGAAGGCGAAAAGGCCGGTCAGGGAAAAGCAATTGTGATTCTCGGCGGTGCTTCGTCTGTCGGTCAATATGCAACTCAACTAGCCAGACTGTCTGGGTTCGAGCGTATAATCACGAATGCAAGCCTCACAAACCATGAGTTTTTGCATAGTCTCGGTGCACATGTTGTGCTTGATCGGAGTCAGTCTGATGCTGCGTCGTTCGCGTCTGCTCTTGGTGATGTGCCTTTGATGTTTGTCTTTGATGCTATTTCGGCGAAGTCGACGCAAGTGCTCGGTGTGCAGATCATTCAGGAATCGAAAAGTGAGGGGAGTGAGCTCGTTACTGTATATGTTGTTCGGCCGGAGGCTATTGATGCGGATGCGATTGCGCTTGGTCAGAGCAAGGAGCCAAAGGTCGATATCAAGCAGATTCTGGGGATTGGGAGTGCTCCTGACCTGCGTTATCTAAGTGAACCTATGGCGAAGGCTTTGACTGAGTGGATTGCTAGTGGACTGTTTGTTCCTAACAGGCCTCTTGTGGTACCTGGGGGATTGGGTGCAGTAGAGGAGGCATTGGCTTTGAACAAACAAGGCGTGTCGGGTCAGAAAGTTGTGTTTTGTCCTTGGGAGTGATTTTTCGATGCTTTCCTATTCTCAATCTTTGGAAGCTTTCTAGTTTGGTTCTAAATGCAACTATGTGTACCTGGGTACGGGGTAGTTTCCCCAGCTCTGGATTAACCCGCCTCTTTATCTGTCTTACTCTGTACTCAGTACTGTTTTTCTGGAAGTAAGTGGCTCAGGAACACGACATGTGTCTCCCCACGAAGATATCCTGGGTGACTCCCAGGGCAGCACAAGGCAGTTACCTCTCTTCTTTTTTTTTTTTTTCTTTGCACGATTTTCAGGTTTTTACGTCTTTTGTATATATCTCATGCCTTTGAGGGGCGTTAGCTTTGTGTGGGAATCAGACAAAAAGCAACCTTGGAACGTCGTATGAAGCAGAACTCCTGCAAAGTCTCCCAAATATTCTACATACAGACACATTATGTACCTTGCGGAGTAAAGTGTTTTGATTATTGAAATTGAAATGCTCTATCCATGCAGATGTCGACTTGGAAGTCTTATGATGGATATCTTGGTAATTGCAATGTGATCTAAAAGCAGCCAGCTACAGTCATGGTGATCCACCAAGCGCTCATTGGGACCTATGCTGAAGGATGAACCTTTCATGACTGATATCTTTAGGTCCCAGCATGTCCGGCTTCATAGTGGATTCATCTGGAATCAAGGTCCCTCGGCGTCTCCTTGATTCTCATATACCCGTCATGAGCGTGATGATTGAACGGCTGATTAATCATTTTGGCACCTCTTGGGGATTCATCTTTGGTCACGATTTTCCCGCCCTTGTGCCAAATTTAGGCATCTTACTAGCAGGGAGTGGCCTTGTTGAGACGGTTTGAAGACCGGATATGGCCGAAGTCGCCTGTCTTTGCGTTCATTGAACTTTGTTCGTTCTCTGGTAGTAGCATGCTGACCAGTCGCCTGGGCACATACTGGCCATGAGTAATTCAGCGAGCCTGGCTCTGAGTGCGCCCCCAAAGACGGCGGTGGCTGAGGTTGAGGTTGGGAAGCCCCACCCAGCAGAGGTTGTCATGTAAAGTCCCGTATGTACAATCGACATTCACATGGACATCCCCGAATCTATTCTCTTTCAACCATTGAAGCCAAAGCCGCACTCACAAGGCTTTTCCTCCTCAGCCCCTCATTTCTCTTTCCAGGTCCATGGCCATGACCATGACCATGACGATCCTTCTCAACCCGACTCGACAAGACCCCAGCCGAACTCTTCCTCCGCCTCTCCTCCGGCCCAAACCGACTCCTGGAAAGCGTCACCGCTCGCCTGCGCGGCGAGTGCCTAGGCGGTAACGAACTCGGATGACAATCCTCTTCCTCTTCGGGCTCCTCGATCAGACTCCGCATAGCCTCGATTTCGGACTCGTTGCACTGCAACCGCGAGATATGCTGCCTTCGCGAGCGGATGTCGTCATTGGATTCCGAGTGTGGAGGGAATGTCGGGCTGGAGGGAGATAGGGATTCATCGTCGTGGTCTGTGTCAGGGGGTGTGAGGACGTAGGCTGGGTAGTTGGGTGAGAAGCCTGGGGACATGCGGTCGCGGTCGCCTGGAGCCAAAGTATGTTCGTGTAGTTTTTGAGTGAGTGTTGATATGGAGAGGCGTTTGTTGTCTTTGTGGTCTTCGTAGGGGAATGGGACTGAAGTTGGCGGTTGAGAGCGGTAATTGCGGCGGTTCCGGAGACGGGATTGTGGTGATGGACAGCGTGAGGAGAGTGGTGAAATTAGGCTGTCTGTATCGACCATCAAGCGGTCATCCTCTAGGGCTAGACGTGCCGGGCGCGACGATGGCGATGTAAAGGAGAAGTCTTCAAACATAGTGTTCGAGAGTGGTGGTGATGCGCAAATGCGTGATGGGATTGAAAGATCGGGGTACGGCCGTGTCAGCGACACCGACTAGACGTTTGACGAGGGCGTGTAGCGAATGTCTTTCTCGAAATGATTTATATATGCAAGTTGATTATTTGCCCCCCGGAGAAAAAATTGACGTTGGACCACTGGTTGAGGTTGAGGCGAATTCACGTGATCGAGGCCCAAACACTATGTTTTCAGGGGCATCTTTTTCTTTTTGTTCCTGTTGACTTAGAAGAATGGATTTGAAACAGTTGTATCGAAGGTGAATGAACTCCTACCCTTGACTATCCCAATCCCTACAAGATCCTGGTTGTCGAGTTCAATGCCGATCGTGTGGGTACCCGTGCCCTAACTGATCGACAGCGACACCACAAGTATATCAGTGTTCAAGTACTGTATTCTCTAGGATTGTAAGGCTTCCAAGATTGAATACAGTGCAGCCTTGGAGAGTAATATGACGCCGTGGCTTCCTATACGATTGAACGACTAGGCATACTGTGAACCCCGAGGGGTTTCATTGGCTTTTCTATAGATACATTCTGCTTACCCGCCACAGGTGAGCAACCTCAGTCGGACAACCTTGGAAACCCTGATGGTTTAGGGCTATTCTATCTTACCTTGAAATTCCAAGGTTGTGCTCAGGATGTTTGTGTACAACCTTGGAAATCTTTGTAGTTTGAGGTCCTCCTGGGATTGATTTTAAATCCTCGGATGGAAGTGCCATCGATATTTATATAGTGTTGTTGAGATCGGCCTCCAACGATCGTCTTTAGCAATACAGACAACACCATCATCACAGGGCTGGCCATAGTCTGACATAGGCTGTATGCATATCTCAAATGTACTTTTAACCATACGGTGATGCGGTTCGTCCAGGTGGTCGACTATCTAACGGTCCACGGGTGTCTTTGGCCAGGCGGGGTGATCGACGGAGTAGTGCGGCGGCATTTGCTTCACGTTATCGCTGTAGTTCACACTAACAAGCTCGGGAACTAATAAATTGATAGTCGAATGGAAAAATTCCGAATTCGATAATGTAGGTATGTAATGGGTAATAATGGGAAGTCCAAGTCGACACGAGGTCGGTGAAGGTTGGCTGTTCCGACCATTACTTTGGTTCTCCTGGGGTAACCAACCCCAGTGTTCAATCGTCTTTCTACCATTCAACCCTAGGAAACTTGGTTCAAACAACGAGCAGAATTATGTCGTTGCTTCGTCTTTGAAGCTAGCATAAGATATGTACATTTGGGTAATATACATCCGAAATGGTGTTTTGAACCTTTTGTATCCAGATGCCAACAAAGTCACAAATGTGACCATCACCCCAAGCGTTTCGCTAGGCGCTCACTAACAGCTGCAGGTTGCCAGAGGGCGAGAGGGGAACTCTGTGATGAGGACTGCTGTGCAGATCCGCCATCCCATCACAGCTTAGCGTGTGACGACTTTGAGCCAACCCATGAACCCTGTGGTCTCATTGGTGTGATGACTTCGGCTTGTTACTTGCACTGGCGCTTGCCGCCCCCAAGCATTGGCCAGATGCACCTCCAAAACACACTTCGAGGTCCTCTGCACACTCTCACTCCATGCTGATTCGTGCCCCTCTGCATGGCCATGAATCGTGCCTGCGACCGCTTGGTTGGCCTCGAGCTCATATCTAACGCTCGTCCTCCAAATCGCCCAGACTTGCATTTTGATTTTTTCCCCTCTACTTCTTACTCCACGCTGAAGTACTGGCTCTCTGAGCATTTGCATGTGTAAGCCAGCCGGTCTGGTTTAGTGTGTGGTACACAGCTTTTACACCCGAGCGTTTCATTTTGGATAGACGCCTTTCCTGGGGAAATCCGCGTGTTCTGTTGCGAGCTCTTTATCATCTTTGTCAAAATGCAGTTCTTCTTCCCGAAGAAGCACAGGAACCACAAGCTCGTCTTGTGGTTGATGGCTGGCGAATTCCCGATCACTATCGTGATGCTGACATTGACCGGTATCGCTTCACACAACCTGTACCGGACGTTATTATGGCAGGACGGCGCAGACAACGGCTTCAACAGTGCTCCAAATGAGGCGTTATACGCAGCTGCGAATTATAGACCGTTCACAGCCCCGATGGTCTGGTCTGGATTGTACGTTATTGCTATCCATCCCCATGAGCTTACCGCTGACCCGAACAGTATCACCAACTATAACCTCGTGCTCGGCGTTCTAAGTACCTTCTTCCTGATCGTTAAATTACCTGTGCATTGGATGCACCTCTTCTACCCTCCCGTTGCGGTCAGCATCCACGCATCCTTGATCATTCTCTACCTGGTGTCGGCGATTTACCAGGGTGGCTCCGATACATCAGACCCCAAACACTCTCAGTCGGGACCACCATGGTACATCACAAAAAGCTGCAGTGTGGCTTATCGCAAGTCCAATATTCCCTACTGCATGCAAGCCAAAGCGCTTTTTGCTGTCACAATCCTGATGATGTACGCTACCTTCTCGCTTGCCCCAATTCATGCCGCTATGGCCCATGTATACACGTCAGCTAACATGTACCAGTCTCTACTATGCAGTGATCCTCGGCTTCAACATCCACTCCTGTTTCATCACACCCGAAGAGCGTGAAGAGATTGTGGAGCAGAGAGAAGAACGCCGCATTGAGAAGGAATTCGAGGAAGAGATCATCAAGTCCCCCGGCATGATCCCCATGACTCCGGGGTCAATGCCTCATGGCCCAGGAATCCCGCCTATGGCCGTCGGAGGAAGCGTGCCACCTTTTGCTTCTCGCACACTTGCCTTCAACAGACTCGACAATAGCAGCACCGCCTCCGATCTACCTCTGCGCTCCCATCAAGCTCATTACTCATCACCGCAATCGCACGAAGTGAGCCCAGAGAGTGCGAACGGTTCGCCAATGTATTTCCCGCCGCCACCGAAGAAAGCTGCAAGAACTTGAGCCAGTGCTTTTTTGCTTTTTTGCTGTTTTGCTTTTTTTTTGCGTGATACCATAAATTCCTGCTCATATACCACACTTTCATTATTTAATAGGGCAAGAATGGTGTTTGGGCTTGCAGTTTCGTGCCCAGGGCCCCCATGTCAAATACTATCATGTTGCACGAATGCCTATCGTTCCAAGTATTTACCGGCATATTCGGCGTTGGAAGTTTTGTTTTACGCCGACGATCATGTTCTTGTGTTTGGGAATACGTTAGTTCCCAAAATGATAGTTTCGATGCATCAAAAAGGATTAAAAGATCCCGCGCTTAATTACACGATGTCTGCACGGGCCAGAGCGCTTCGTGAACGGCCCAAATGTGTACACTGGATTCAAGAAAAGATCACAATCAGGACATGATATCATCACCCATGCTCAAGAACACATGGGGGGCAGGGTTGCCCAAAGGCCAAACACCGGAAATGGGGACGTTGAAGCCCCAGTACAACAAAACAGACATGGGAGCAAGGTCAGCGAATTGAAGACCCCAGGGGTATCGTGGCAGGAAATCGCAGGGCGCCGAAACAGAAGAAAAACAAGTAAAGAAAACTCGTTAAGTGGAAAAAGATCCCGTGGAGCAACGGGAACACATTCAAGCCGACTCCTGTCGTTTCTTTTCCTTCTTAGACCAACGCACTAGAGAAGCCAAAGTTAGTGCCAAGAGTTGACAGGTATGAAGACCCGCAAGGATTGGAGCGGGGATAACGGAAGACTCACAGCCACATGCATTGCACAGAGTCTTAGGCCCATTCGGGCCCTTTCTCCATTCCGGAGAATCTGCCGTTCCACAGTCGCCACAGACATGTTGGCCCTTGAGGCGCTTGCGTCGGTCGCCCTCTTGCGCATTGCGCTCCTGGTCTGCTGCCGTCGTGATGTCAATGTCACAATGCACCAATCGTCCGCGGTTTCCGCCTGTACTGAGTCCTTGCGATCTCTCGCCATCTCCGTAGTAGAGACCTGTCATCACTTCAATGCCGTCGATGTGCGTGTATGTCTCGGCGGGCGGCTCTGGGTAGAATTCCGCAGATTGATTCGTGTCTGATTCATCGGAGTTCGGCCCAAGTGTGTCAGGGGAATGTGACTCTTGGTCACTGGATCCTGCCCCTGATGGGGCGGATTGCGAAGACCCAGACCCGAGCTGAGGACCGGAGGGCTCGTCGTATCTTTGATAGGGTGCTCGAGCTGCGGTTGCTCCCTCGTCTTCTTCTTGCTTTAATTTAGCAATCTGCTGTATCAGACGTGCGTTTTCAATCTTGTGCTCTAGGAAAGAGTCGAGAAGCTGGGAGATCTTGTTGGGATACGGTCGGCATATCAGGAAAAAGCCAGTACAGAGATCTTTGCCCATGCTTCGCCCGCTCTGACGTTCGTTCTGGTTCGCGAGGTGGGGATGTCCATAGGCCTCCATAAGGCAGTATGTACCGTTCGTTTTTTGAAATCGCAAGTGAGTCCGGAAGGATTGGTTCGTGGCGACCGACTCATCCAAGTCCTTTTGAAGGATCGCCTGGTCGTCCTCGTGAACATGTTGCGCCAGAAGGGTTCCCTCTAATTGCTTTGCGCCGCGGCCCGTGAGGTTCTTGCACGATGGTGTGGCGTAGGTAATCCGACCCTGGGGGTGAGCAGGACGAGCATGTCCTTCATTTCATCGAGAACACGCTCCGTCCAGCCAGAGTCGGTGGGCAAGCTTTGGTATTCACCATGTTGGGTACCTTGCATACCATAGTTCCCACCGAAGGATCCAGCAAGGTGCTGCTGGTCCATTGCGTATATCGGATGCCCCTCGTTGGGACCCGATCTCATCTGCGAGACGGGGAGGGACATGCCCTCATACGCCTGCGGGCGGCTTAGAGCCATATGGAGAGCGATAGAAGAAGCGCGACCAGGACAATTATAATATCGTTCGGCAAGTCCTATCGTAGGCTTTCGAATTCGGGGGGTTCCCATATAATATAACCAAAAATATCCCCTAAAGGTGCCCGCACCAGATACGGAGTAGTGCGTCGGGTGATAGCGAACGATGGTGATTCGGCGGTGCAATGCGGTTTCCGGGGGTTCGAAAGGTGTGTGGGAGGAAGTGTCGAGCAGGAAGTACGTACAGGCCAGTCTTCCTTTGAAAAGAGCGAACTTTGGAAATAAGAGCCGGCTATTGCTGATTGCCAGCGCCGCCGATCCCATGTGGGCCCTGAGTCTCCAACACGTGACTTCGTGTTACCATCAAACGCGGGTCATTAATGTGATTGCTCACAACTTGCCTAAAGCACATGTCCCTTTTCAGGTCATTTGACTCCGGGGTGATGAGAACGGCGTGGATGCCAGAGATTTGAATCTACCAGGGCTAAAACGCTCATCCGTGCTAATTCGGACTTTTGCGCAAAGATGTAAGTTAGACATTCCCCAATATCCGCGTCGCGGTACTAATTGAATAGGTGTAAGTTCTGAAAACCTCTCGGTAGAAAAGCAAAGAGATCCGGCGCTCTAACGTCCCGCAGCTAAGATCGACAAGCTCTCCATTCTGGGGTATGTGCAGACACCGTTGACCTGGTGTAACCTCCGCGGGGTATAATCTCTTGCTAACCAAATCGACCTGTAGAGTCCGCTCTTTCGATAATACGCGAAGCGAAACGATACAGTTCCATACGCCTCTCACGCTGATCGTTGGATACAATGGCTCCGGTAAAACGGTAGGTGTCGACGGACTGACCGACTCGGAGTTCGGAATTGCGAATAGCTTGCGCAGAACTGACGACGTTCTAGACCATCATCGAATGCCTCAAGTATGCCACGACGGGTGATCTTCCCCCGAACAGCAAAGGCGGTGCTTTCATTCACGACCCGAAGCTATGTGGCGAGAAGGAAGTACTCGCTCAGGTGAAGCTTTCATTCAAAGCTACTTCGGGTGCGAGAATGGTTGCCACACGAAGTCTCCAGCTTACGGTCAAGAAAACTACACGACAGCAAAAGACCCTGGAAGGGCAATTGCTTATGGTCAAGAATGGCGAGCGGACGGCCATCTCTTCTCGGGTGGCAGAGCTAGACCAGATCATGCCTCAATACCTGGGTGTCTCCAAAGCTGTGCTGGATTCAGTCATTTTCTGCCACCAAGACGAAAGTTTGTGGCCAATGAGTGAACCTGCGGTGTTGAAAAAGAGGTTCGACGAGATCTTCGAGGCCATGAAGTACACCAAAGCCATTGATAACATTAAAGCTCTTCGAAAGAAGCAGAATGAGGAACTTGGCAAGTACAAAATCATGGAGCAGCATGCGAAGGAGGACAAGGATAAGGCAGACCGTGCAGAGAAACGCTCCATAAAGCTCCAGGAGGAGATTGAGGCGCTGCGCGAGGAAACCCAGCAGATGTCGAAAGAGATGCGGCGAGTTGCTGACCTTGCCGATAAAGCCTGGACGCAATCGGAAAGTTATGCCCAGGTCCTCGGTGCTCTAGAAGGAAAGCGTATCGAGGTCAAGAGTATTCAAACTACAATTGACAACCTCAAGAGGCATTTGGTTGAGCTTGATGACTCCGATGAATGGCTCGAATCTACCCTGGAACAATTTGAAACAAAGCAAGTTCAATACCAGCAACAAGAAGAGACCCAGAAGGAGAATTACATGGAGTTAAAGGAAAAGATCGAACAGGCCCGTCATCGCCTAGGTCTGAAGCAAGCAGAAAATGGAAAATTTGAGAATGACAAGGCAAATTTCGAGCGTCAGTCGGAGAGGCGCCAGAAGATGATCAACGAGATCGGTCATGCGAACAACATCCGTGGCCTTGATGACAAAATGGACCAGCCCGCTGTAGACTCGTTCATGCAGAAGATCCGACGTCTTTTGAAAGAACAGAACCAGTCTCTAGATCGCGTGAAGCGTGAAGCCCAAAAAGAGCTCCGTGAAGTCCAAGAGACATTGAACGAAATCGGTCAAACCAAGTCTGCGCTCCAGGAGACCAAAAATGCAGCAAAGCGACAGATTGCAGCAAACGACAAGGAGGCCTCGTCTTACCAGGGCAAACTCAATGGAATCGACGTTGATGAAGGTGTGCAGGCAGCGCTCGAATCAAAAGTTGAAGACATTACGTCCAGCTTGGATTCCGCGAAGGAGCGAGCCAAGAACGCTTCCTGGGATCAAGAAATTCAAGACACCAACGCGGAGATTCGCCGTCTTGAGGATGAGAGCTCACGGCTGAATAACGAGTTGATTGACTCCACCAAGAAGGCCGGTGAGCTGGCTCGCCTAGATCACCTCAAGAAAGAATCCAAGGATCGTGAGCGCAGTCTGCAAACAATGCAAGGAGCCCACGGGGATCGTCTCGAGAAAGTCGTCGGTGCAGACTGGCAACCCGACACACTTGAGCGAAGTTTCCAACAGGCCCTCGACAGTGAATCAAAACAAGTCACCGATGCTGAACGAGAACGCGACGGCGTGAGCCGAGAGTTGGAGCAAGTGGAGTTCAAACTCAAGACCGCCACCAAGAATCACAAACAGCGCCAAAAGGAACTCGACGACTGTGCCAAGGAGATCCAAGAGGCAGTTAACTCAGAACCGGAAAAGTACCAAGAAAGACTGAAGGACCGCCAGGAAAGATACGAGGCCGCCCGAAAGGACGCCGATCAATACGCTGGAATGGGAGAATATTTCACCATGTGTGTGAACGCCGCCGAACAAACCAAGAAGTGCCGAACCTGCGCAAGAGCTTTCAAGAACGAGGTAGAGGTCCAAACGTTCACCAAGAAGCTGAACGCCCTTATCAACAAAGCCAGTCTTGATTCCGAGGCTGAGGCCGACTTGAAAAGATTCGAAGAAGAATTCCAAGCTGCTCGTGAAGCTGGTACTTTCTATGATTCCTGGGTCCGTTTGTCAAAGACCGATATTCCAGAACTAGAACATGAGGAGCAAGAGTGTGAATCGCTGCGTGATCAGCTGCTGGAAAAACTAGAAACCCGCGACGGGAAGGTCACCGAGAAGATTGAGAACAAGCGTGACGTCGAGGCACTCTCTAAGACAGTCAGCACCATCGTACGCTATGATGCTGAGATCAAATCAATCAAATCGCAAATCAACGAGCTTTCCGCAAAGCAGCAAGATGCGACTGTCGCCCGCACTCTTGAAGACATCCAAGAGGAGATATCGGCCATCAATGACAAGTCCAGAGATCTCAAGAAGACACTTACTAAGTTCACAAACGAAAAAGACAAGACCCGGGCTGAGATCAACGAACTTGAGCTCAAGTCTAGAGATGTGAAGAGCAATCTGGACAATGCCAAATTCCAATTGGAAAAGAAGGCGGATCTACTTATTCGTGTGGAAGAATTCAAAAAGCTCAATGCCCAGCAGCGAGAGGCAATCGAGAAAGCAGATCGTGATATCGAGGCTCTCACCCCAGATTTACTTCAAGCACAAGCTCGCTATGATGATATCAGCCAGCGTGCCGATGAGCGCGAGCGGGATATGCAACATGAAATCAGTCGTCTGTCCGAGAGCATCCACCAACTTGACCTTGCCAATGACGATATCAATTCGTTCATTGAGCGAGGGGGCCCAGATCAGCTCGAACGAAGCAAATATGAGCTTCAGAATATCGAAGAAGAAATCGAAAAGCTGGAATCCGAACAGGGCGAGATCACAAAGGACATCAATAGGATTTCAGCGCAACTGAAAGACAGCGAGAACACCAAACGACAATATTCTGATAATCTGACCTACCGTCAAGCCACTCGATCCCTCAATACGGCAGAGGAAGAAGTCGAGCAACTTGAAGCGCAAAATGCGGAAGTTGATCGTGGTCGATTCAAGCAAGAATCAGAACGCTGGACCCGTGAACACAATGCCCTTGCTGCCAAACAGGCTAGCAAAATGGGTGAAATGAAATCCAAGGATGACCAGCTGATGCAACTGCTGGCGGATTGGAACACAGACTACAAGGATGCTGCCTCTAAATACAAGGAGTCTCACATCAAGGTCGAAACCACCAAAGCCGCTGTTGATGATCTCGCCCGTTACGGCGGCGCTCTCGACAAGGCAATCATGCAATACCACGGTCTGAAAATGGAAGAGATCAATGCTATAGTTGGGGAACTGTGGCAGAAGACATACCGTGGGACAGATGTCGATACCATCCTCATCCGTTCTGACAATGAGAATGCCAAGGGCAACCGCTCGTACAATTACCGCGTGTGCATGGTTAAGTCTGGCGCGGAGATGGACATGCGTGGTCGGTGCAGTGCAGGTCAAAAGGTTTTGGCTAGTATCATCATCCGACTTGCTCTGGCGGAGTGTTTCGGTGTCAACTGTGGTCTCATCGCTCTCGATGAACCCACTACCAACCTGGACCGAGACAACATTCGCTCTCTGGCTCTGTCATTGCATGATATCATTCGCACTCGCCAGCAACAAGCAAACTTCCAGTTGATTGTTATTACCCACGACGAAGAGTTCTTGCGCCACATGCAATGCGGTGACTTCAGCGATTATTATTACCGCGTTTCGCGTAATGAGAGGCAGAAGTCGATTATCGAGCGGCAGTCCATTGCTGAGGTATGTTCTAAAGCTGATGTGGTCATCACGGTCATTGCTAACAAATCACAGGTCATGTAACATCTTCTCAAAAATGTCGCATTCATTCGATCAAGTTTGCCCAATTCTGACAACATAGTTTTGCCCGGAGTGATGTGAATCTCCGGCCAATCGCCCTTGAAATGTGTTTTCTTGCGAGCATATCTCGGAGTTGCTTTTAGCTAGCAAATTTTGTATCTCTAATGTCAATTGATATCTGTATCATATCCATGAATTTTTCGAAGGTTCTCCCAGAGCCCCCAGGACTCAAGTACGCGTTCGACTTCGGGAAACTTGAATGGTAAAGAATGGAATGCGCGCATTAAATATTTTCTCCAAAAATACATAGTCGTAAGACAAAGGAAGATGCTATGCTACAGACAGCCAGTCCTCGGTTAGAGAGACCAGATGGATCGATCAATCGACTCCCAGACACCACCAGAACCAAACAGCACTATCTTAAACCTTGTCCACCTCACCCCGAGCCATGGCAAGCATGCGCTCCTGGTCCTTCTTCGCTTGGCGGATAGCCTGGATGCGCTGGCGATCAGGCCCGGACTTCTTCTCAATAGCGTCCAACTTCTGCTGCATGGCCACATCCTCACCAGTGGGGTTGACCACCTTCGCGTTCGTCATAACCTGCACACGATCCCAGATTTGCTTGTATGTGTAGTTTCGGATATCGAGAACGACAGACTTCTCACCAGCCTCGGCGGCAGGTGCCAGAGAGTCTGTGATCTTGCGCTCATTTGCCAGGGCGATGGCGGCGCTGCCGGCCTTCTCACCCGCAAAGTAGAGTGTCAATGCTGCAGGTCCGCTCTGGTCTTGGGTCTGCTTTACTGACATGCTCACGCCGGGGTTGTGGTATTTCAGTCGGGGGAGACATTTGCGCCAGAAATGCCGTGCGCCGCCGTGACCATTGTCGATCTTTTGAGCATATGTGAGGTGGAGTCTGGTGACGGCTGGGAATTCTGTTGATGCGGATGCGAGGGTAGGGAAAATCGCGGCACCGGTGCCGACCTTGGTTTGGAGAATCTGGATGGAGTTGTCAGTACGGTTGTTTTTTTCGCGGCTTGGTCTTTCCCGGTCTTTCTGGTTGACGGGTTGCGTTTGGATGTAAAAGTTCAAGGCCGGAGATATCAGGGTGCGGAGATTCGGCTTACTCTCTGTTGGTGTAAAATATCCAATTAGTTTACCAGTATCGAATTGAGCTAGGAAAGTATCCTAGGACAGTCATTCAAGGATTCACTTACAGTTTGCAGCTTGCGGAGCCGCTTGAACAAGTTGACCATGATGAAAGGCTGTTCCGCACGGGATCTGGCCCTTATGCGACAGCAGGAAGTATATCGGAGGGAAGCGAAAAGTTGAGGTTCAAGCAAAATGCTAATTGCTCATGGACCTATGGTTGGAGGTCTGGATTGCAGGTCTGTTGATCGGGGAAATTTGTCGCAGATGCGCTTGTCGGCGAAGAAGTTGCTCCGTGATAGGGGTCACGTGCATATCTACAAAGTGATGGTTAGTGACTTTATACTTCTCACCATTCACCTATGAGGCTCAATATGACATGATTTGATCTCGCAGAGATCTGTTGAAATCGGCAATTTCTTTGAGATGTCATTAATTGCTGAGTTGGCTCTCTGAAATGATTCAATACATAAATTACATACATTTGTCAACCACAGAGCCGCTGGGGGAGCGTAGTAAAATACAATACAGCGGTATTACATTGACTCACAAACTGAACAAACTCATTTTATATCTCGCCCCGCGATTCTTTTGTTCCCCTCTCTCCAAGGGAATTACAGGCCAGTTCTGACAATCAGGAAATATGGCCGCTGCCGCTGCATCCGCAGAACTTGACCCGAGCAATGGCTCAAAGAACACCCTCAAACTCGAAAATGTGGATATGCCCCTCCCCCGCCATCATTTTCACTTGTTGACTGACATTTTGCCCGCCAGACCGAAAAGCGAGACACCCTGATCGCAATCGAGAAGAAGTACCAGGCACAATGGAAGGCCAACAAGGTCTTCGAGGTCGATGCGCCCTCTTTCGAGGAAGCCCCCCAGGGCGCCATGACCCCCAGCGAGCTCCGTGAGAAGTACCCCAAGTTCTTCGGTACCATGGCCTACCCTTACATGAACGGTACCCTCCACGCCGGACACACTTTCACTGCCAGTAAGGTTGAATTCATGACTGGATTCGCTCGTATGGAGGGCAAGCGCGCCCTCTTCCCTATGGGTTTCCACTGCACCGGTATGCCCATCAAGGCCTGCGCCGATAAGCTCGCCAACGAAGTGAAGATGTTCGGTCAGAACTTTGAAGGATATAAGGAGGAAGAGGAGGCTGCCGCGGAGCCCGTTCCTGCCCCCACCCAGCAGGTCAACGCCCAGGCCGAGAAGTTCTCCGGCAAGAAGAGCAAGGCCGCCGCCAAGACCGTCAAGACCAAGTACCAATTCCAGATCATGCTGGCAATTGGTGTGCCTCTGGATGAGATTCACAAGTTCGCCGATGCTGCCCATTGGCTAGAACACTTCCCCCCTCTTGCTATCCGTGACCTCGACAGCCTGGGTGCCCGTATCGATTGGCGCCGTCAGTTCGTCACCACCGAAGCCAACCCTTACTACGATGCCTTTGTGCGCTGGCAGATGAACCGTCTGTACGAGCTCGGCAAGATCCAGTACGGTAGCCGTTACACTATCTACTCCCCCAAGGACGGCCAACCTTGCATGGACCACGACCGTACTGACGGTGAGGGTATTGGTCCCCAGGAATACTCCGCCATCAAGCTTCAGGTTAAGGAGTGGTCTCCCCAACTGACTGAGCTTGTGAAGGGCAAGATTGAGGATGACGCCAAGGTGTACTTCGTTCCTGCTACTCTCCGTCCTGAGACTATGTACGGCCAGACCAGCTGTTTCGTTGGCCCTAAGATCAACTACGGTCTCTTCAAGCTGAGCGACAAGGAGTACATTGTTGTTACCAAGCGTGCTGCCTGGAACATGGCTTTCCAGGGCCACTTCTTCGGTGACAAGTTCGCCAAGAGCCAGGACGAACTCCCACAGGTCCTCGAAGCACCTGGTTCTGCCTTTGTCGGAACTCTGGTGAACGCCCCCCTGTCTTTCCACACTGAGGGTATTCGCATTCTTCCCATGGAGACCGTCTCAGCCGCCAAGGGTACTGGTGTTGTTACTTCAGTCCCCTCTGACAGCCCTGACGATTACGCCACTTTGATGGATTTGGCCAAGAAGGCCGATTACTACGGCATCAAGAAGGAGTGGGCTGAGCTGGAAATCTTCCCCCTCATTGATACCCCCACCTACGGCAACCTGACCGCTCCTGCTCTGGTCAAGGAGCTGAAGATTAACTCTCCCAAGGACGCCGTTCCCCTGGCCAAGGCCAAGGAGCTGGCCTACTCTGAAGGATTCTACAAGGGAACTATGCTGGTTGGCGAATTCAAGGGCGAGGCCGTCAGCGACGCCAAGGACAAGGTTCGCCAGGCTCTTTACGCCAGTGGCGATGCTTTCCCCTTCGCGGACCCCATGGGCAAGGTTGTCAGCCGTAGTGGCGACGAGTGTGTCGTTGCCTACTTGGGCCAGTGGTTCCTGAACTACGGTGAGAACGATGCCGAGTGGCAGTCAGAGACTCTCGGCCACGTTGTCAACAACCTCAACACCTACTCTGCCGAGTGCAAGAACGGATTCGAGAAGAATCTGTCATGGCTGAACCGCTGGGCCTGCGCTCGCACTTACGGTCTTGGCTCCAAGCTGCCATGGGACAAGCAGTTCCTGGTTGAGAGTTTGAGTGACAGTACCGTCTACATGGCCTACTACACCATTGCCCATCTCCTTCACGGTGACCGGTACGGTAAGACCACTGGTTCCCTCAACGTGACCGCCGAGCAGATGACCGATGAAGTGTGGGACTACATCTTCACCCGCCGGGAGATCAGTGACGAGCTCATCTCCAAGAGCGGTATCAGCAAGGAATCACTGCAGAAAATGCGCCGTGAGTTCGAGTACTGGTACCCTCTCGATGTCCGTGTTTCCGGCAAGGATCTCATCCAAAACCACTTGACCTTCTTCCTTTACATCCACGTTGCTCTGTTCCCTAAGGAGTACTGGCCCCGTGGTGTCCGTGCCAACGGTCACTTGCTCCTCAACGGTGAGAAGATGAGTAAGAGTACCGGTAACTTCCTGACTCTCAGGGAATCCGTGCAAAAGTCAGTTCTTCAAATACCCTGCCTCCCCGCTGTTCATCACTTTTACTAATTCTCAATTAGGCTGTCGTCCGATGCGACCCGTATCGGCCTGGCTGACTCAGGAGATACAATCCAAGACGCGAACTTCGACGAGGCCGTTGCCAACAGTAGCATTCTCCGTCTTTACACCCTGAAGGAGTGGATTGAAGAGGTCGCCAAGGACGAGACTCTCCGCACCGGCCCTGCTGACGCCTTCGCCGACAAGCTCTTCAGCAACGAGCTTAACAACCTCGTTCGCGAGACCCAGAAGCACTACCAAGACACTGACTTCAAGCTCGCCCTGAAGTCTGGTCTCTACGACTTCATTAGCGCCCGTGACAGCTACCGTGAGGCTGTCACTGCCGCCGGTGTTGGCATGCACCGTGATGTCGTCCTGCGCTACATTGAGCTTCAGGCCCTCATCATGTCGCCCATCATTCCCCACTGGGCTGAATACATTTGGCTCGAGGTCCTCAAGAAGCCCGAGACCATTCACTTCGCTCGCTTCCCCGTTGTTCCCGAGCCTTCGGCCGAGCTGACCGCTGCCCAAAACTACGTCCGTGGCACTGCCAGCAACATCATGAGTTCCGAGGCCAACTTCGCCAAGAAGCTCTCCAAGGGCAAGGCCGCTGGCTTTGACCCCCGCAAGCCCAAGAAGCTTACTATCTTCGTTGCCAAAAAGTTCCCCGCTTGGCAGGAGAAGTACATTGACTTGGTGCGCGACGCCTTCGACTCCCTGAGTGTCTCCTTCAATGACAAGGATCTGAACGCCAAGGTCGGCAAGCTCGGTGAAATGAAGAAGGCCATGCCCTTCGTTCAGACCCTGAAGCGCCGCCTTGTAAATGGTGGCGAGGCCCCTGAGAACGTCTTCGAGCGTAAGCTTCCCTTCGACGAGTTCGCCGTTCTGGGCGACATGGTCATTGGTCTCAAGCGCACTGCTGGCTTCAAGGAGATCGATGTCATTGCTGTCGATGAGGGTGGCAAGACTGGTGAGGTCGTCGGCTCTGGTGAGAAGCGTGAGGGTCTGTCCGCTGAGAATGCGGTCCCTGGACAGCCCACCTTCCAGTTCACCAATGTCGAGTAGATAACCATGGCTTGATGTCATGTTGAAAAAATAAAGGTCATGTCTACTAGGGTTAAGATGCATGCTTGATGAATTGATGCGAAAATAAAAAAAATTATAAGCATAACTCCCACACTTCTATCGTCTAGTCTGTTTTAATACTGCACTGTCAGCAAAATGGCAAGACATATGATAATCTCCTGTAAACAAATATCCCTTGCAGTCACATTAATATCTTGCTCAATTCTGCTCGCCCTGGAGGTCCCCGCAAGTGGGGCATAGACTTCCTGCTGCATAGTCTATTTCAACTTCTTTTTGATCTTCGATGTCTTCTGTACCTTTTCGAATTCATGTTCAACCCATCACATCTCCGTTTCCAATTGACTCGGTCCCTAGCTTCGCACAATGTTGTCTTCCCGAGGACTAAAAAACGTCCAAGAACTAGAGGTTCCATGGCGCTTTGCGCCTACTCAGACATACGACCCAGACACCCACCCAACGGGGCTGATCTCTTTCGGCATGGCAGAGAATGTAAGCGCATGCATCTAGTCACTGGGCCTTGTTCAATTCTATCATTGCTAACTTTCACAAGAAACCAATGAAAGCGGAGATGGCCAAATATATAAACGAAAAGGTTAATATATCCCGCGGACATACATTTATTTTCCACCTGATCTCAGCTATTTCCCTAACAATTGGCTATGCAGGTCACTTTCACAGAGGATTCTATCAGCTACCGGTCAAGTGCACCATCAGCAGCAAGATTGCCAGCCGCTGTGGCAGTTCACCTGAACGATATCCTTGCACCGCATGTACCCATCGACCCAGAGCAGATAGTAGTCGCAGACTCTCCTACTTCTATGGGAAATATGCTCGGATATAGTCTGGCAGAACGCGGTGATGGCATTCTCGTCAATAGGCCTGTCTACGGGCGGTTCGAGCTCGACTATGGCGTTGAGGCCGGCGTGGAAATGGTCTATGCAGACACTGACGCAGAGGAATCTTTCCTTCCATCCTCAGTGGAAAAGTACGAGCTTGCTTTGACAGCCGCTAAGGAGCGTGGAATGAATGTTCGGGCAGTTCTGCTTGTTAACCCACATAACCCAGTCGGTGAGTTTAACTTTCATCTATGAGTACTTTCTTGAACAGACTGAGATTAATGTCTGTCTCACAGGCCGCTGTTATCCCGTGGAGACGCTCAAGGCTATCGCAAGGTTTTGTGAAAAGCATGCACTTCACTTGATCAGTGACGAAGTGTATGCCTCCTGCGTTTTTGACACTGGTGATCCTGAAGCTGTACCATTCACTTCAATCCTCTCTCTTGATTTGCCAAACTTGATAGATCCCAGCCTGGTACACGTGTTGTATGGATTCAGCAAGGTATGCGTCAGAGTTCTTCCACTTGAACCTAGGCTAACAAGCTATCTTCAGGACTTTGCTTCGGGTGGTCTCCATCTTGGCTTCCTGGTGACCCAGAACCAACAGCTTCGGCAGGCTTGTAAAGCAGTTCTGTAAGTATTTCCCCTATACTGGGAGATCGTGAGAGGCTGAAAACCCTCTTAACAAAACTAACCCCAAACAGAAGACTTCATGGCGCATCTCAAGCGGCTGTTACGATTGGGACTACGGTGTTAGAAGACCGGTCTTTCGTATCAAGCTTCATAGCCAAAGCACGGCATAGTCTTGCTTCCGGGTATAAGTTGACCACATCCATTCTAGAAAAAGAGGGCATCAACTTTATCAAGGGCGGGTGAGTAACCAATACACAACGTTGAGATAGTCGGCTAATTTGGTTAGAAACGCTGGCTTCTTTGTCTACATTGACTTGTCGCCTTATCTTCCTTCTAAGGATCTTCCTCCCAGAGAACGGGAGTTTAGTCTTGCGCAGAGGCTTTTTGATGCCGGGGTCTTCTTGCACCCAGGCGAAGAGCACTCGAAGGATGTTGGATGGTTCCGATTGGTCTTCTCGCAAAAGGAAGACACATTGAAGGAAGGGCTGAGGAGGTGAGTGATCAATAGTTGCCTGTTTGAGCCTTGGCTGATGATTTTGTTTGTTACTGTCAGGTTGATCGATGCTCTGAAGTCAACATGACCATCATGTTGAGTTCCCAAGGAGTACAGCGCCCACAAGTGCCGTTCGTGTTCCTTCGTCCACAGAATTTTGATCGCCTGTATAGCCCTGGAGACTTGCATACTACATGTTGTTACACGTGCGTTCAGCATTGCTACCTCAGTTCTTACCTAGAGGCCTCTTCGGCTTATTTGTAAGTAATTTGAGTAGTCTCATGGGTTATGGACCCTGGGTCCAAATACACTCATTCTTCCATATATTAATGATCTAATTTTATCCTCCCGGTCTTTCTAATTGTATTATTTTCAAGAGATGAGAAACGCCGAGCTATGCTGAGCCTAATGTACATGTTAACAAGCAATATAAACAACGTCAATGCCTCGTACGAGGCCGCTTGCGCTTGTCGAGCTTTTGCTTATGTGCGATAAATTCCCAACATTCGATTGGACGTCGCGAGCCAACGTGTTTGCCATGGGGGCTGAAGACCTCGACCTGCGGATATTCGGGCTCGTCTTCCCCACGCTTGCTGCGGACCTGAATGCTGAGTTCAACCCATCCAGAGCCTTCGATGAGAACGTCGGCAGACATTACACGGTACGGCAAATCGGGTACGGGGATTCCTTTATCTTTAATGGCCTTGGCCAGAGATGTGGGGAGGTTTGATCTGGTAGTGTCCCACCCCAGATCGAGTATGCCCGCCGAGGAAATCTCCTTTCCAACACCTTCTTTCATGATCACAGTGCCCCGGTAAGGTTGCTCCTCGGCTTGTATGTTGATGGCTTTCTGCGTGTTGGTGATATGAGATTCGAGGGGCAGGAAGCTGGCGGACATGAGCGTATGTTGAGGGTTCACGGGTGTGATACGGATGAGACCGCCACCAAGAAGTAGCGACTGTCCTGGCTTGACGGTGCTACGCTCTGGCTTGACTCGTTTCGTCATGATCAAATCCCGCTTGTGTTCGTCCTTAACAAAGTCTTCTAGAAGACCACGCTCTAGGCCTGGCAAATCGATGACCTCGCCCTTGCCGCGACCGAATGGAATTCGGATAGGCGAGACGGTGGTGCCTGGCAGGGAGGATACCACTGGGAGCACAGGGTAGAGTTCCTCGGGAGGAGCCGGGGGCAAAAGACTGTCTGGGTCAGGAGTGATTCTCTTCTGGGGGACATCATCCTTTTGACGGCGCTCCATCCATTCTTCGATTTTCTCGACGTTCCTAGAATCCTTCGGGAAACATGCTTCGATGAAGCTGCTCTTTCCAACGTTGGCCTTGCCAACAACCCAGATACCACCACCGTGCTCACGTATCTCTTCCTTGACTTCTTTTGTCCACCAGCCACGGTGTGCGCTGATCATGTGCACGTTACCCAGACGGGCATCTCTTCCTGACCTTCCCAGTGCAGCTCGGAGCTCTGTGCGAATATATTCCATCTTTGAGTCAACCTGATACTTTGTTGCGCCCAGAAGATCGGATCGGGTAATGATAAAGGAGATACTTGGAAGTTTCCTTCCTTTCTTGTATGCCTCGCCTGTGGACCGGCGATTTCGTGAACGTTGCTCCTGAAGATCCAATGCCCAATGAATTCGTCGAACGAGAGACATTGGGAAGTCTGCCGCATCGATGATATGATAAACGCGGTTTTCCCGAAATGGTGATTCCTCTAGATAGTTGCGAATAGATAGGATTGTCGGTTTGGGAGAAGCTACAGCTTTGTTGTGGTGTATCAAGTCATGACATCTGTCACAAACATGACTCATTTTGTCTGGCTTTTGCGAGACATTGTTCACAGGCTCGGCAGCTTCGTCTGGGAAAGCGACCTCTGCAATGGGCTTGGGAGGATCTGGTTTCGGGAGGGAAAACCCTGGCAGCAATGAAAAAGCATCCAGTGATGGTGCAATTTCCTCCGCAGTCTCGTCATGTGTTGATTCTTTGGGCTGGTTTGCTGCTTTGTTCACAGCAAGCAGCTTGCGGGTTTGCTTGCGTGATGGGTCGTAGTAGCCCGGTTCGTTGGCTTCGACAATTTGTGAGAATGCACCACATCCTGGGCAGCAGACGGGTAGAACGTCAGCTGCTGAGTCTGACAAAGCCTCTTCACGCCTTGTATGGGTCACTGAGAAGTTGCGACATTGGTTGCGGCGTTCTGTGACAACAATGCTTGGTGGTCCGATGCGCAAGCGGTGAAGAACGGTTTGTGTTGGAAATCGCGTCAGGTTAATCGAGCCCAATCGCATAGGATTCAGCTTCGGGTTCCTGAATAGTACCCCTCGTGTACAAAGCGACATGATGGCGCGCGGCGAAACAGATTTGCGGAGACTCGGAGCTTTTTCTGCTGGAGATAACTATGCTTATCGATAGCGTCCTTGGCAGGATCAGACTACCGTACCGAATCCTTGGCACTTCCGAGGCTGCTCTCGAGGCCTGGCGTATTCTACATTTACTGCTAGATGGAAGACTTGGCAAGAATAAATTGTGAATTCTCATGAGGGCCTCTCAGACGAGATGACCTTCAGTCCCGATGACTGATTGACTGATTGCTAGTTAGTTAACTATTGACCGAGAACCCATTAAATAAAAAGCACGAAACATTAGTTAAAAACGCCCAGCAACACCATCAAAGAAACGCTTTCGTAAACCGTCGTCCAATAAAGACTTTTGGAAGAGCTCAAGCCCGAGCCTTTCCTTTACCCTTGGTGGATTGGTCCATTTCCTCGTCCTCGGAATCACTCATGAACTCATCGTCCTCGTCAAAACCAATGAACTTCCGGGAAGCAGCCTTTTGAGGCGCGGCAGCGGCAGCGGCACTTGATTCACCATTTCCTTCGCTCTCTTCATCCTCGCTAGACATGTCTTCATCGTCACTGCCATCGTCACTGGCGCTGGTGCTGGAACCACCCAAGATTGCATCCCGGAGGTTGTCGGTCCAAGCGCCGTCCTTCATGGCCTGCAAGACCGCCTCGCGAGCCTTCTCATTCATCTCCTCTTTATCTTCCATCCATTGTCCGTCGACCTTTCCCTTTCCGTTGCCGTTCTTGATTTCGTCTTGGCGCTTTTCGGCGACTTCGACCACGGCTTGCCAGCGGCGTTGGCGTTCTTCTTTTTCCTTCTTGTCCATTTCGGGTTTGACAGCTAAATATTCTGCGAGCGCTTTCGCTTCGTTGACGGTCCGTAAACGGCGGCCATCGAGGTTGCGGCTTGAGCTGTTGTTGTCGCCCTGGTTGCGCTTGCGCTTGCTGGACATGCGACCACCTGCGGCACGCAGCTGTGATCCGAAGCCGCCTTTACCACCGCATGTTCGGGCGGTCAGCCGCAGCGGAAGAAGGGAAGAGGTAGAGCCGGAATCGGAGGAAATGAAAGATCCGATACATTGCGCGGATGAGGTGACTTGTTTGTTGCTTGTGGTGGTTAAAAGTAGAGATTTGAGCGAAAGTGAGGATGGGAGGAAAGACGCGACTTTCTCCGTGAGATCTGAGACGCTCGCTGTGGAGGGCAAGGCGAAAGAAAGGGTTGGTGGAAGCGCAAGTCCTGGGAAGGACGCGAGCAAAATATTGACATTTTGGGTAGCCATAATGTATTTCTGTTGTATTTTGGTTGGTCGATGGCTGAAAAAATAGCGAAATTGCGCCGTGGGACGGAGGTTTGTTAGGGGAAGAGCTACAACGGAGACGATAAAGTTGGCGGGTCCCGACGCTCAAGTGGCCGTTAAGGTCACGTGGATACATAATAAAAATCACGTGGTACATCTGGCTTATCAGCCAGTCATGTGATGGATGTCATGTGATAATTTAGATCACCTGGTAAAACGTCACATGACCTGTACCATACTTTCAGATTAGGGCCACAACCCTAGTACCAAATTACGAGAGGCAATCGCACTTTTCTCGCAGCGAAGCTCCACTTTCAATCCATCATTTAAATCTACCATTATTTCGGGCGTTGTCAAAGCGATTCCCCGAATTGCAACAGGAACTCGCGACAATGTACGTTGTCCCCCTATATCCATGATTCACACGCTCAGATTATCTAACAATGGCACAGGCTTATCCCCAAGGACGACCGCAAGAAGATCCACGAGTACCTCTTCCGTGGTATGTACTGAGAACCCTCGCTGCCGCTTCGCAACTTTCGCCGGCGCGCTCGCTCTACACATGAGAGATAACTAACGGCTATTCAGAGGGTGTTCTCGTGGCCAAGAAGGACTTCAACCTTCCCAAGCACGGTGACATTGACACCAAGAACCTCTATGTCATCAAGGCCCTCCAGTCCCTGGACTCCCGCGGCTTTGTCAAGACTCAGTTCTCGTGGCAGTACTACTACTACACCCTCACCCCCGAGGTACGATTCACTACACGCGCGCAACACTTCGATTACAATGCTAACGCACAATTAGGGTCTGGACTACCTCCGTGAGTGGCTCCACCTCCCCGCTGAGGTTGTCCCCGCCACCCACATCAAGCAGCAGCGTTCCCACGCTCCCCCCCGCGGCATGATGGGCGGTGAGGAGCAGCGCGGTGAGCGTCGCGGTCCCCGCGCTCCCCGTGAGGGCGGTTACCGTCGCCGCGAGGAGGGTGGCAAGGAGGGCGGTGCCCCCGGCGAGTTCGCTCCTTCTTTCCGTGGTGGCTTCGGCCGTGGCCGCGGTGCCGCTCCCCAGCAGTAAATGCTGAGAGGCATTGGTGTCCTGTCAACCACTTCTCGGTCATCCTAGGCTCTTGATGTCCTAGGCTTCGGTTCGGATTAGGTTTCGAAACGGATTGATACTTGGGGTATCTAGATCCCGCCCAGTTTACTGGGGCTTGGGGATACAGGAAACACAAAAAAATAAAGAAATATTTGTTTCCATTCAATGATGCCGCTTTCTAGACTGAAAGTTGGTTTCGTAGCCCTTATTCTCCAGTGTATGTGTAGAGTATCCACTTCCTTCCGTTAACTATGGAGCCCAACTACTTCAAGCAAATCTCTTGCGGTCATAACGAACCACGGCTTGCAGAATGACCGAAACGCCAGTGGCGCAATCGTCAGCAGTTGAGAACTCCTCAGGGTGGTGACTGAGACCATCCTTGCATGGTATGAAGATCATGCTTGTCGGGACGCGCTTGGAGGTGAACACACTGTCGTGCCCAGCACCACTCATGATCGGCCTTACAAGCGATTTGGTATCTACAGCAGGCGCGTCTGAGACCACTGCATACGCCGACTCCTCAACACAACTAATGCAGTCTTGATGGAACTTGACAGCAGGCGAGTCGAAATCAAGAGTCCACTCAACCCGGCAAGGCTTTCCAATACCTGCACCCTCGGCGGCAGCGATAGCATCAAAGTCGGTGCGCAACTCCTTCTCGACTTCGGCAACCAACTCTGTTTCGGGGCCTCGAATATCTAGGCTGAAGCTCACAAGCCCGGGGACCGTGTTGACACTGCCAGGCTTTGCCTCGACAATACCCACACTCGCCAGACACCCTTTTGCAGCTGCGACCTCGCGTGCTCGCACCATCATCCGGGCAAAAGCATAGAGGGCGTCTGCTCTGTGTTCGAAAGCAGTTGTTCCAGTGTGCGTGTCTCTTCCAATGATGTTGAGCCTGAACCATCTATAGGCCTGCACAGCTGTCACCACTCCGACACGCTGACCTGCCGATATCAAGTGTGGGCCTTGCTCGATGTGGAGTTCGAAGTGAGCTGCCATTGGTGACGATTTGTATGAGCACGGAGTCTCTCCCAAGTAGTTGATTTTCTGCAGAGCACTCTTCATGGTCTCAGGAGCTGACGCTGCTGTTGGCAGCGAAGCGACAGTCGGCACCTCTTTGAGACCATGCGCATGTGCTAGTGGTATGCATTCAGCCCATACGCCACTTGCTATCATGCTCACTGGGAATCTAGCGCCCTCCTCACTGCCTGGGATTAGCATCATCTGTCTGCAGGCTTAGAATCTAGACTTACTTCGTCCAATTGACAACGCCGACTCCGCCTTCTGTCTCCAGGTCCATGTCTTTCATGGTCTTCAGAACTTCAATACCAGCCAACACACCCAGGATACCGTCATATCGCCCACCAGTGGGCTGTGTGTCAAGGTGGCTTCCGATAAAGGTGGCTGGCACATCTGCTCGCCGACCAGGACGCACGGCAAAGATGTTGCCCATCTGGTCTACTGTTACCTTGCAATCCAGATCTTTCGTCGTTTGGATGAACCAATCCCGGACGCTCTTATCTTCTTCTGATAACGCTAGACGCTGCATGCCCGTATCGGTTGGATTACTATTCATTGTCGAGTCTATGATCAGTTGGATCCCACGGATGTCGTGGGTATGACTTACTCTCCCCATCTGATGCCATCCCCCCATTGGCACGAGTGATGAAGGTCCTTCGCTAGACGCTCTTTGTTCGCCCTGAGAGACGAGACCTCAACTTCGGAAAGCTCCGATGTCAACATAGCTGTTTTAGGCGATGTGGAGAACGTTCGGATAGACTTGAACGGCAGATGTAGCTTTGAATAAGCTCTTGAGAGAGGAGGCCTCAGCATCATGCGAATATACTGTTGCTTTATAGCTACAACGTTGGAGAGGATTGGAGTATTGGGGTACTGATAAGAAGAGTCGGACAAAACTCCGCATTACCCGAGTATACTTCCAACCCCGCATAGACGTCGGCAAACGCTGGTGACTCCAAGAAATCTGACGAGGAATGATTCGTCGTCTTGGATATGTACGTTCTGCCATTGGCTTCGCTGTCTTCAACAGTGGCCACGGTCAGTCAGTGTTCGACCGCGTATCAGTAACTCGAGGCGAATTCCGCGTGGGTGGGACCAGGGTGTTTTTAGGATTCATCTGGAGATTGAAGGTGTGCATGGCCTTATATATCTTTCCAGAATTCATGTCTGTTCGAGACCTACAGTAAAGTGGACATGCTTCTTGATTTGATTCACCTGGTAAGGCACTTGGAAGAACAGAGCAACCTTGGAAAGTTTGGAGAAAGCAGTTGAAGGGTGATTAGAAAAGAGACACTTCAATCCTTCCGTTTTGCTGGCAGGGAGTATTGAACATGCATTGGTGGACAGGTGGACAAGGTGCAAAATAGCACTTTCGCTTGTAACATGAATGCTTTCTCGTCTCTTGGGTTGATGACACCTCGATTCAAAGTCCAAATTTACTGGATATAATTCCAAGAGAATAGCTTTGATATTGAACAAAAGCTTCTTTCCACAGTAAATGTTTGAGTGGCTGTAGTCACATGATATGTGTTGCGGCTACATTGGAACTGAAGCTATTCCCACATTCCATACCCGTCACGCCCACCTACGACGTAACCGGAGCCACAAATTCATGAACATCCTCTTATGTCCAATCCCTGAAGTCTCTGGAGTAATCCCCTGGAATAATTTGGCATCGTATACGACCCCATCTTATTCTCAAAGAGTTCAGATGAGCCCGTGTTCAGGTCGAGCGCCCGGAAACCAACCTAGCTTAATGAACACCGGGTGAGATCGCTTTTCGCTTGGGTAGCCTCGAGTCAAAAACAAAGACATCGCTTCGAAAAGGCAGGCTGCTCTCAAAGCTTTCTGTTCATATGGCTGGTATCAACAGGCTGTCCAGAGCACTGTGGCAATCCCCCAGTACAAGACCTTGTATCTCTTGGGTTAACGGCCAAACGGTACAATCCCCCGCATTTAATCTCCATCCACAGATTCCGAGTTCAACGGCCTTTCGTGCACTCTCAAGAGCAGCTAAAATGAGCTCCCAGAGAGAGGATTCGATTCCGCATGAACTTCGCACAGCTGCCGAGCCCCGCCAGAACAGACGCCATCCAGTGCGGCTATCGCATGTCGAGCAGATCAATCCCTCGGTTCGACTGTTGCACTTCGCAATATCTCAAGATAATGTATGTTTTGGTCCCCTCGGTGCAATTCCACGTAGAACTTCCACTGTCCGCAATCACTATTGCGAGCTGTTGCGAGATGGATACATCATACATACTCCATGACAGCACCGACCCTGAAAGACTTATTTCTTTCAATAAAATGGACCATTCACTAAATCATATTCTAGAACAACCAGCAACCGTTCAGCTTTCTTCCGGGTCAATGGCTTGATGTCCATATCCCATCTATAGCTCAAGCTGGTGGCTTCACTATCACCTCCACACCAGCAGATGCCGAACCCCTACCAATCCCAAACAGCCCAGCAGCCGAAGAACCAGTACCACCAGAGTCCCAAGGAAGAGCACCCTACGTGGAACTAGCCGTCCAAAACTCACCGAAGAACCCATCAGCCGCATGGCTCTGGAAACCGAAAGAGGAAATCATAGGCCAAGAGCTAAGTATCCGCGTGGGAGGAAGTTTTACCTGGCCAGGAGTGAGCGACGTCAAGAAAATCAAGAATGCAGTCTTTATTGCCGGAGGTGTCGGTATCAAGTAAGTGAATCCAATCCCAAACCCTCTTTGGAGATCTGTAGACTAACGTTGAAAAAGCCCTTTGATATCAATGCTTTCACACATCAACAACAATGAACCCGGGACCCAAACACCAGATACAATTCACATTTTGTATACTAGTCGCTTACCGCGGGGTGAAACGATGCAAGAGAGATTGGATCAGGTCCTGTTTCTCCCGCGCCTGCGCCAGATAGTTCGATCGCAGGAGACTTCGCATCGGCTTCGAATGTCATTGGACCTTTTTCTTACGGATGTGGATCCATCTGTTGATTTGGTCTCTGCGGCGTCCGATATGGTGATTCATTCGGCTCGAATTGGAGATCAGGATCTACGCTCTGCCGTTTCCAATAAGGATGGCGGTACGAGTTCAAAAGATACAGTGTGCTATGTGTGTGGACCGCCGCAGATGACAGATTCTATTGTTGAGAGATTGAAAGGCATGCTGGAAGAGGGCGGCGACAAGCGGATTTTCTTTGAAAAGTGGTGGTAGACGCGGAGGGCTGAGAAGACATTTTACCAGGTGCAGAATAAAGAGTAGGAGAAATGCTTCAATATTTCAATAAGAGATAGACTCCCACAGACGCCAACCTATTGGCAAGGGGTAGAAGGATATATGTACAGTTAAAAGGAGCCGCTAATAACGGGAATGACAGTATGTGAGAGCAGGAGCAGGACAGAGCCAGGTGCTCGATACCAAAAGGGGTTGAAGGGAGATTGATTTCGTCATGAGGCTTCCTCGGGGCTATTGACCGTACCTCCGTCTACGATCATCATCTCATCGATCTTGGCTTCGGTCTGACCCCATTCAAGACGCTTGTATGTCGTAACACGACCGGGGCCCATGTCGAAGTCGTAGAAGCGGACTCGTCGGACATAGTTGTCGTAGCCGCCGTAACCACCTAGCCCAACACCGCCGCCATAGCACATCCAGAGAGAAGGCTTGTTGGTGGCGTCCTGCTCAAGCATGCAATAGTCGTTCACGTGGTCGCTATAGAATAGTTAGCATGGAAATGCCATGAATATTCATAAGAAAATTGTAACTTACTGTCCACAACTGACGAATAAGACACCCTCTTCTTCGAGGGCATCTTTGAATCCAGAGTTGAACCCTGGGGCTGTGGGGGCTTCCATCCATTTGCCTTTGAAGTACTTCCCTTGAGTACGATACTCAGGAAGCGGGATGTGAATGAACGCCACGTTCATGTGAATATGTGAATATTCTTTGTGTTTTGTTCGCAGACTTTGCGCGGTGTTTTTGAACCACCTTGTCTGACTTGGCTTGATCCAATCATAGCCGCGGAATTGACGTTCATCGGGAGAGTAGGAGTGTGTGTCAAGGAGGTAGAAAGTGAGGGCAGAGTGAGCACTCTTGCCCCGGTCGAGGATTTCGACAATGTAGTTTCCAACTCCATCGATGTCTTCGGGACCGGCGACGGAAAGGGAGTAAGGTAGGTCCTTGTAAATGTTCATGAGTTGCTCTCGGTTAAGGTCGCCTTCGTCATCGTGGTTTCCGAATATAGCGGCATACGGAATCTTCCGGTCGACCAAGAGCTTCACGGACTTATAAAGCGCACTCTGTGCATCTGGGGCGGTCTCTCCGTTGATCTGATCTCCGGAGAAAACAACCATATCTGGTTTCTCCTCATCAAGAAGCCTTTCGACGAATTCCAAGGTTCGAGGATCGGCCTCGCATTTTTGACCAGCCACGGCTTCGATGGGAACAGGATCACGGCAAGCACCGAGACCCGTGCTCATGTGAAGATCTGCCAGTTGCATCACTTTGAACTTTCCGTTCTCATTGATTCTTGGCACGGGCTTGGGTTTTGCTTGAGGGTGTCCTCTCCGAATGCTCAGGCGAGTCTCCAGCTGCTCCGTCGAGCTGTCCAGAAGAATCGGGGTGTCTTTGACCTCCCAGTTGGGTCGAGGGTCGACAGCGTCCGCTCCATAAAGAACATCGATGTAGGTCACGGCAGTATGGGAGTCGCTTGCATGGCGGGAAGAAGAGCGCTTGAGCCAAATGCCACCTGGCCGTGGCTCCCACGCTTCGATTTCTGCTTGACCAGCAACGTATTCAGACGGTGGAGTAAGACGGCTAATCTTCAAGTCGATGACTACTTTGTCGTCGGCGCCCAGTTCTTCCTCCTTTTTCCGCTTGAACTGAACGTAGGCACTCGAGGTCCAGCCCGAGCGAAGGTACAGATCTTTATCAACGCGGTACCAGGTTTCAGGGTCAAGCTTGCAGCTCGAGAATGGGTTGAGGGAGGAGCATTTAGTGACGGTTATATCTGTGATCACGTAGCCGGAATAATGCGACGGAAGGTGGCCGTGGATGGATGAGGGAAGGACACTGAATCGACTGTCGAGGAAGACGATAACGAGGAGAATGAATGTTGCAACTAGACCGAGCTGTACGCTCGCTCGAACCTGGAGAAGACAGATGTCAGTTAAATGCCTTGAAGGGAGAAGGTGAATGGTCGTACTAGCCGGCGAGCCATGATGAATTGGTAATCACCCTGGCAAGGACTTGGAGAAGATGGTGGCGCACAGTCGCATGGTGCCCACGAAGCGTAGGGGATAGAGAGGGAGAAGACCAGATCTGGTCAACTCATAGATATAAGGACAAGTATAAATTGTTTTGGGCGAAGTTGCGACGCTTGGACCCTGAAGGCGGTGACATTCGACTCCTGACGGGCTAGTCTGGCTAGTCGCCTCTAGACCCTTTTCTCTGCTGTGACCCATGGGTTTTGCTTCTATTTCTTTTTTATTTTCTCTGTTTCTTTGTTTCCTCGCTGGGGAGTAGTCTGCTAGAATTCATCTCATTTTCTATCATTAATCTTGTCTACATTTGAACCCTGTCCGTCATAGGCACGCATATCTAAGTGCACTCTATACATTTCATTCTACTGGGCGTTGGCAGCCACATCACCAGCAGTCACCTTACCGCTCAAAATCTCTTTCGTAGATTCGAGGATAGTAGACCAGTTCTCGAAGGTGGTGTAAGGCATACCTCTGCGCTGGCAATAGGTCACCAAATCTGCGACAGGATTAGCAATGTCTTCCAATGATGCAGCCACAAGATCCGAATGAATACCTTTGCCCTTCTTCGCAAAGAGAAGATCAGTCTCAGCAGCAGCAGACAGGTCAGAAACACCGTCTCCAGCGTAAAGGAGAATCGGGCGCTCTCCGTCTGGCAACGCGGCGTAAGGCTTGATTTCCAGGGACTTGTCGTGACCGAAGTGGCTGGTACAGGATGGTAAGCAAATGTTCAACGACAATTTCCGAGTAGATAATGTCTTACCTGTCATCGTGGTACTTGATCTGCCAGCCACCCTCGCTGTTGATATCCTTGCCATCGCGGCTCTCGGGCTCGTTGGCAATGATAGTAAGGTGGTTGGCCGGCTTGTGACCAAGGAATTTCTCCAACAGAGCACTGATGATGGGGTGCATTCCCGATGACAAGATGACAATGGGGACATTGTTATCCTTGGCCCAGTAGTAGAATTCCTCAAAATAAGGGTCCAGCTTCATGTTCTTCAACAGTATTTGGATACACTCGTCGTATGGGGTCTTGATACTCCCCAGCATCTGGCGGAAGGCCTCACTGTGTGGTAGAAGCATATATTAGCGCTCATCCCGAATCAAAACTTGGATGCGACGCTTACCGGAAACTCAGGGTCTCGTCGAGGACCTGGTCGTTCAACACCAGGCGCTTTTCCTTACCGAAGCCAAGGTTGTCGATCTAGGTGGTGTCAGCGAGAAGCAAGGTGTGACGCATAGATCCCATATACCATGAAGTCATTGCCTGTAGTTCCGGTCAACTTAGAAGAGACACTTGTGTGGGGAAGTCACCTACTGTCATCAACGGTAATTGTCCCGTCAAAGTCGGTGAAGAAGATCAGCTTAGGCTTGGTCTCAATGTATGGAAGAGCGTGGGATCCCATTTTGGCTATATTGAGCAATCAATCAAATCAACCAGTTGAAGAGTTGTGGGAAAGGAACGACAGAGTCCAAGAACTGCCAGAACTGCCCCTCGATCGGTGAACTGGGGGTGGGTCAACCGCCGTAGCGGGTTAGTCTCGATCCAGAAAGATTTTCCCCTGGACATTTTTAGCTCCGAGCTGGTCTGAATCGACCATCTCAACAATGTCTCGTTTGCGCCAGCTCTTCCAGCGAGCCTTGGGCTCAAGCCCGTCGGCCCCGCCAGTTGCTCCGGCAGCTACAACGGCAGCTCAGTCCGCGGCGCCCTCGACTGCGTCGAGCGCTTTGCGCTCTCGGTCAATTGACACCAACTTCTCCACAGTCAAAGGTAATTGTGAGCACATTTTCAAGGTTGGCAAGAAACCAGACTAATAGATCGCAGAGGGAGACCGGGTCATTCTGCATGGCAAACACCCCTATCTAAGCAAGGTCTTGAAGAAAGGTGAAAAGCTTCAGGTCGCCTCAGGATCCGTGGAACATGACAGCATCATTGGAAAACGGTCTCGGGATGTGGTTCAAATGCGCAAAGGTCAGTAGACGTCCCACATACTCTAAGGCCTTCGAACTAACATTCAATTGACTCCAGGCCCGCCGCTCCGAATCAGTTTCCCCACACTCGAAGAATACGTCTCCTTGGTCCCTCGCCTGGTCACTCCGGTACGAGATACTCCCCAAAACAAACACGCAGAACGAAACATTGACCCCTGATCCCTGATAGATCTACCCACAAGACGCCAACTTAATAGCATCCCTTTTCGACCTTCATGTCAATACGCCCGCCGCGGGCGAGACACAAGCTCCTCTCGAGATCCTTGAAGCCGGAACTGGCCATGGATCTCTCACACTACACCTTGCGCGCGCCATTCACGCCGCTAATACCACTCCGCCGCCTATGCCCAAACAATCGCAAATAAAGCATGTCGAGGAACGAGTTAAAGAACCGAATAACAAAGGCGAGTCACAAAACACCGCCGAGCCTACCTCCGACCCAGTACAGGAGGAGTGGGATGCATGGCGCGCACAGCGCAATGCTATCATTCATACCGTGGATACCGGCGCGAAGTTCTCCGCACTGGCCGAGAAAAACGTCAAGGGTTTCCGTCGTGGAATTTACGCTGGAAATGTTGATTTCTACGTCGGACTCGTCGAGAGCTGGATCGCAAAGCAGAAACAGCTGCGCCAGAAGACCGGACAGGTTTCGGCTGATGGAAACACCGTTGAACCGTTCGTGTCACATGTCATTTTGGACATGCCCTCATCCAACTTGAGGATTCCGCATGTTACTCCGATCATGAAGCACGATGGTCTCTTGGTGGTCTTCATGCCCAGCATCACCCAAATTGGAGAGTGCTTGCAAATGATCAAGGAGCAAAACTTGCCCCTTGTCCAGGAGAAAGTGCTTGAGCTTGGCAACGGTATCAGCGGTGGGCGCCTTTGGGATGTGCGTTTTGCGACCAAGAAGTCCGGTGCTGATCCATCGTCTTGGACTGTTCCTTCAATTGATGAAGGAGCGGCTCCTGAGGCCCAAGAACCAGGAGTCGAGGAGCAGACTAGCGGGTCTGAATCCGAGTCCTCTAGTCCTGAACCGGCCGTCAAGAGCGATTCTGTGCTGGTCTGTCGGCCCAAGGTCGGAGTGCGCATCCAAGGCGGTGGCTTTGTTGGAGTCTGGCGCCGCATTGAGGACCGCTGAGCTGCTACCGCTGGTCGGCCATCTAAACCACGTCCTGTGTACTAAAATTATGTATCATATTGCACGCCCAGCAATGGGATCATCTGTACCATAGAAAGAATTATAGAATAATGTCAACATGCCCGAAAGGTAGCCAAAACAAAAGAGACACATCACAGCTTCGCCTTGTCGTCGGTTTCCGCCCCAGAGGCAATAGGAGCAGAGCTGGACTCAACCGCTGCATCATTCTGACCCGCTGGTACCTTACCAAGTACCCAATCCCTCACATCTTCCAAAAACTTCTTTGAGGTCTCCGGCAGATCAGCACTCAGCTTATGATAACCTCCATCATAAGTTTCAAATGTCACATTGGCCCCATTCTTCTGCAAGCCTTTGACAAGGTTACTTGTGGCATCGTAACTGGTGATGCGATCCGCATTGCCGTGCCCAAACCAGAATGGCAAGTTAGATTTCACCCAGTCACCCGCAAACATGCCCTCCAGCCAAATTCCACGATCCAACATGCCAGCCAAGCCCTCGAAGGTGCCTGTATCATGACACAGCTCATCGTTGACAAAGTACTCCACAACAGCTGGATCACGAGAAATCAGTTTCTGGTCCAGCGCGGAGTATCGCTGCTTATGTGGGATGAGCTTTGCAACCACTCTTCCGGCGGAGACCGTTAGTTTAGACGGACGGGAAGATGGATGGATGGCAACTAGGGGAGAGAACAAAAGCACGCCTGCAAACTTAGGTGGGCTAGAATGGTAGGGTGAGTCTGGGTGGAAGATGTAGTTGAGAACCTGTCCACCGCCCATGCTGTGGCCCATCAGGAAGAGTGGAATGTCGGATTGGGGTAGAGACTGCAGGAAAATATGAATCTCCGCGAGAACCTGGGAGGTTGGGCCTGTATTGCCGCGGTCGCGGGGGTGTTTGACACTTCGGCCCCAGCCTCTGTTGTATGTTAAGAACTGCTTTTTCTTTGCAATGCAAGGGGGAGTCCATGGCCATCGGGGATGAGATGGCTGATAGAATTGGTGTACATACCGTTGGTCAAAAGACTTGATCTCGATTCCCGCCGATGTTAGGTTTGGGAACAGGTCGTGATAGGCATTACCTAGCTTTGTTCAGCTTTGCCTTGCATCGTAGCTTGAAACAGACTCACAGTGGTCACTGAACCCGTGGATGAAAGCTATGGTAGCCCGTGTGGTTCCGCTCGGCTGGTACAGTGTTAGCCATGGAAACGAAGGTGGAGGCTGATAATAAATCGTACCGTCCATGTCTTAGTATACAGCTCAAGGCCGTCTGGGAGAGTGAGTGATCCTTCTGTCATATTGTGGGTGATGAGGTTGTGTTGTGAGGTGGAAGAGCTGAGGGAGCTCTACTTAAGTGGATTTGGCATGTGATATCCGCACAACACATCTGCGCCTTTTCAGCCAACGTCTTCTTCTCTTTCAAACATCCAAATCAACTCTGACTTCACAAACTGGAAAGCAGAATAAAAACTTTGTCTTCGTGTTTGAGCAAAATCAGCATTTGAAAATCCCCTTTCACATATCCAAAGTGGAGTTGATAAACAACGATGCCAGCGGATGTCTCTCCTGATCAGTGCTCCTTTGTCTTCAACCTCACCTCGATAATATCATGAGCTACACCAACCTTCCCTACCTCCCCTTGGAAGTCTGGTTATCCATTGGGTCACACCTACAAAACTCTGACATAAAGTCTCTTCGCCTGACATGTAGCCAATTCAAAAATGCAGCAATTCTCCGCTTCGATCGGGTCTTCCTGTCTGCCAATCCACTGAATATAGAAGTTTTTCGTGCCGTTGCATCCCACAACGAATTCCGCCACAGAGTGACTGAGATCGTCTGGGATGATGCACTCTTGCACAGAGGCCAACAGCGGACAGAGTGGATGGGTTGTGGTGATGAATTGCTTTCGGACGAGGATGAGCCCGGCGATACGAAAGAGTGGGCCGACAAATATGGTGACGACTTTGATCGCGAATTGAATATTAAGAACAATGAACGATTGAAGGAGGGAGGCCCACCAAGATGGTTTGTGGCGGCCTGTGACAAAAATCGCAGTATTCTGCGGCGACGGAGGGGCAGCGACGCGGAGAGGCCCGATCATGTTGCTCGGGATGAACAGCTCCTTGCCGAGCCTCCGCTGGAAGAGCTCTGGGAGTATTATCAGCACTTACTGCGTCAGCAGAAAGGTGTCCTTGCTGATGAAAGTGACCTCCACGCATTCTCGTTTGGCGTTAGGCAGTTTCCTGCTTTGAGAAGAGTCACTATCACACCTTCGGCTCACGGTCATCTTCATTCTCCGCTATACCCGACCCCTATGTTCCGCGCTTTCCCTAAGGGATTCAATTATCCCGTGCCGCGAGGGTGGCTCTATCCTGCGTCTTCTTATGGCGTACCTGCTCTTTCATATCCGTGGAATGAGTTTCCTGACCTCAAGGAAAGATATCGCGGGTTCCGTACCGTCATGCGTGTGCTCGCCAACGAGCCGAACCATGTTTCTGAGTTGATAATGACTTCTAACCAAATCCCTACTGGTATTAATTGTACAATCTTCAAAGAGCCCTGCGAAGAGTACGATAATTTTGCTACAGTTTTGAAGAGCCCGGGCTTCCGCCGACTGGACATTGCCCTACTTGTCGGGGGGGGATGATCCGCTAGAACTGGAACCATGCTGGGAATCTTTCCTAAATGGACGATTACGCCGCGCACTTAGCGAAGCTAAAGGAATGGAGGATTTCAGGCTGCATACCACAATGAAGGCAGATCCTTGGGGTGACACGACAGCCGCTAACGGCTTGGGAAACGGCCCAATCGATCGACTAATTCCCTTACGCAGGGTCATACCTGTGGAGAATTGGCCCCGTCTACGCCACCTTGAAATATCTCGCTTCCTAGTTACGCAGTCTGATACGATCTCTTTCCTCACTGCCTTGCCGAAATCCGTTCGCTCGATCAAGCTCAGCATGCTCATGTTTCTTGATGACAGTGGCGACTTGTCTGATCTGATGAAGGAGATGCGCAAAATGATATGTGAGAACACGCTTTGGGGTGACCGAGGTCTGGCTGCAAAGCCAAAGGTTACAGTTGGATTGCCGATGGCAGGGAATCGCGAATTTGGACGGGCTCATTGGATAGAAAAGGAGGTTCAGGATTTCATTTATGGCAATGGGAAGATTCCTTTTCTCAAAGATTTGCGTAGTGAAACTCCGCTTGGGTGTGGATTTTTCAGGGATTCGTTTGAACCTGAGTGGGATCGTCCGTATGACCGCATTATAGAATGGAGAGATTAGGTTGAATATCAATGACTAGTGCTCAATCAGCAATCACCCTGTCAGCATGTGCCACCTATGTATTAGAGATTTCTGAGTCCTGTTTTAAAACTTCCAAGGTTTCGAAGGAGCTCGGGATCCGCGGGCCCCGATCCAGGGCCGTTGTGATTCACATCTAAAACCCAATATTCAACGAACTACCAACCTCAACTTCCACCCTCGCCTACAGGCAAATAGGTACTGGCGAGAATGTCCATTAACACCACTGATGTCACCCTAGTAAGTCGCCAATCACTCAAACCTCGGCATCATCTAACCAACTGGGAACAGGCCGCGATCATCTCCGCTCTAGCCAGCGAGGTTGCCATCCATCCAATGGATACAATAGTGACCCGCATGCAATCTTCAAACTATAAGCAGATTTACAGACAGATCAATGGCACCACAAGTCGCACTCTATTCCAAGGCCTCTATCAAGGATTCGGTCCGGCTCTGGTAGCAGGAACCATCGGCTCCGCAGCCTTCTTCACGACCTACGAAGTAACAAAATCGATGTTCGAAAATGCACAGAGCACGGGCTATTTGCTTGGTTTACCGCGACCTATTACGCATATTGCGAGTAGTGCAGCTGCCGAGCTGATCACTTGTGCTATCATGAACCCGGCAGAGGTCTTGAAGCAGAATGCCCAGGTTTATCAAAAGAGACCCGGGAGTCTGACACCAACAGCGGAGACGTTGAAAATGTTGAAACAACAGCCTTCGGCGCTTTGGGCTGGGTACAGTACTCTGGTGGCGAGTCAGTTGCCAGGGATATGTCTAACATTTGCCCTTTATGAGATGTTCAAAGAGAGTTTGCTGGAAAGACAACCGGGATATGATAAGGGCCAACAACTTCGAGCCATAGTGCTAAGTGCTGGTGTCGCTGGAGGATGTGCATCTCTGCCTTTTATCCCCATCGACGTGGTCAAGACCCGGATGAGGCTCGCTGTTGGCGAGCAGACGTCTAGCACTCAAAGTCTCGGAAGCAAATCGGGGCCACCGACTCGTGTGAGTGCGTTTGATGTCGCTGGAAATATTCTGCGGAAAGAAGGATTACCTGGCTTGTTCCGAGGGTCCGTTTTGACGTTCGTTGGGGGTGTGGTGGGAAGTGCGCTTTACATCGGGTGTTATGAGGGGAGCAAGCTGTACTTGTTCGATGCTCCGACCTCATAATTCCTCAAAGTCTGGAACTTTGATATGTAATATGTATAATAATGTAATAAAACTCTACTCTGTTGATAGCAATGGTGCACGAAACTTCGAACCCTGGAAGGTTGAATCGTAATCCCCGTACCCCTTGGACATCGTGTTGCGAGGTCCGTCCCCTGTCTTGCATGTTTTTGGTAGGCTTTCCTTGTGACGACCAATGAACTTGAATGTCCTCAGACAACTGGCAACCTTGGAAATAGGTTACTGAATCGTTACACCAAAACCCTCAGAAGGCTGCAGCCTTGGAACTTTCAAGGTTTGGGTGATCTCTTTGGTGCTACCATCATACATGCAAGATAGCGGCAACAGTACAGGGGCCCAGGTGCCACAGACAGCCTTGGGAGCATCAAAGTTTACCTAGTTTACTAGGTACGACAGAGCATGGATCAATGGCTCGGCGGATATCTACAATGATGGATAGCCCGCCAGGGCTGGAGGTATACCGCCTACGATGAATCTTGGAAATATATCTTGAAGAGTAGCAAAGCCACAAATCTATTCTGAGGACCTTGCATAGGACAATGACAGAATAAACAAGTACATAGAACAGACAGAACTCCCGTCGCCGGAAAACAGAAAAGCAACCTCATCACGGGAAAACAGAGACCCTTCACCTGTTCCAGAACACCAATCCCCGCCTAAGCGTCGTGAAGCGTCTCAAATGACGTTAAGAGATTAGGTGAGATGAAAACGAGATAAATCGGAAACCCAGGGGACACGGAGAGAGAGAGATGTAGAGGGGTGGAATATCGCGAGAACAGACCACGCTGATAGACTACATCCAAGAAGCGTGGACATTGTCCAAGGAGGAACGAAAACTCCACTTCACACGGGTAGGAGGAGAGTAGCATGGAAAGAGACGTTCATAAGCAGGAGGAAAACACAACAAAGAGATACGTAAGAAAGAGAGAGAAAAAAAGGAGAAAGAGGAAAAGAGGCAGGAAAGAAAACACCAGTCGGTAGACTAAGCCACCCAAAATATTCCGAAATAAGCAGAGAAGAAAGTTGCACAAACACCCCATAGGATTTCAAATGCTCCAATTCGTTAGTGCCGTTGCGGCCCAAAGTCTGCTTCCACAACCTTGCCCTTCTTGCCCTTGACTGTGAACTCCGCCAGCAATGCGACGTGATCACTAGGGAAGTGGAAGTTGGGGAATCCAGGCACACGGCGGAGGTACTCCTTGTCCACTTCGCCGAGCAAAGCTGACACATGAAGTGTATTCGAAGAGTACCAGACATAATCAAGGATGGCGGTGAAGTCGGAAGTATAGTTGGTGAAGCTGAGTTCGCCCATGGAAGAGTATGCGGATTTCAGCTTGAAGGGGTGTTTCATACCGACCTTGCTGAGGTTTCCGTAGAGACGCTTCTCAAGATCGGGATGCGCCTCGGGCAAGGTTCCGGTGGAGATGAGGTTGTATGCGGCAGATCCGGGAGAGGAGTTGAAATCACCACACATGAGGACGGGGATTTGGTCACCGCTGGAGTATTCCATTGAAGGCGCTGGTTCCACAACAGGTGCGTTCTCAGTACCACTTTCGGCCTCTGAGAAGCGGAATGCTGTCTTGTCGGTGCAAGCGGGCCATTTGGCGTAATTGTCGGAGAGCTTGGTGATCTCCTCCATCAGAATGGCTGTCTGGATGAGCTTGACATCCTTGAAAGCTGGGTCCCAGTACAAGTGAGCGTTAACACTGATAAAGCGCGCACCAGTTTGTCGGTTCTCGAGGAAGATGACGACAGCGATGTGATCCTTCTGCCAGAGTCGGTTGTAAATATCATCTTGGCCCTTGGCGTCGGGTCGACGGACAGCTGTTTGGCCGAAGTTGATCAACTGCTTGTCCAACAAGATGTACTTGCTACCCTTGAAGAAAGTAGCACAGCCGTCGACTGTCCGGGCGTCCTCCTCCTGCATGCCCATTGCACGACCACGGGGCCAATATATACCCTTGTAATCGTTGTACGCAAGCTGCTCTCGGAAGAAATTGTTGTAACTTCCCTGATCAACCTCCTGCAAACAGACGATATCTGAGTTGTGGGATCGTAATTCATTGAGAATGAGCTCGCGTCGGTATTCCCAGGATAATACACGTGTGGGCACATAGCCGTAGTGCGATTCGGTGGCAGATGAGTCACACAAGGTGTTGTACGACAGAACGGTGATCTTTTCCGCAGTACTGTTGGAGGTGGCGGAAGTATCATCAAGGATGACCCAGTCACGATCGGGGGGAGGGAGGTGAACTATGATGATAACGTTAGTGGAAAGGCTCTTCCAAGGATCTCGTGTAGCAGAGGCAATCGTTACGCACCTGGCATCTCTTCCTTGAGGTACTTGATAAGAGCTTTAGTGCCATCTTTCATGATTTGAGACTTGAGAACCTCGTTCAGGGGGTTTCCCTCAATGCCCAAGGTTTCCAGTCGGTAGAGATAACCCATCTCGTAAGGAAGTGTGCGAATGTTGTTATCAAAGAGGAGGAGCTTCTTCAGGTTTGAAAGCATACCGAGCTCTTCTGGTAGCTCAGTCAAATCATTCCCCGAAAGATCCAGATGAGTTAACTTTCGCAGCTTGCCAATAGCCGGAGGGAGCACTTTGAGCTTGTTGGAGTTGAGGTACAGCTTCTCAACGAAGTCGTAGTTGAACAAAGACGTTGTCAACGCGCGCAAACCCTGTCCACCAAAATCGAGCGCATTCCAACCTTGTGGTTTCCCGTTGGTGCCATTGCGCCCATCTGATTCCGCATCCTGACTAGAAATGAGCTGGATTCCTTTCGTTTGTTGCGCAATGATGCGGGCGTGGTAGTGAGGCGAAGTGGCTTGTCTGGACTCCGCTGCAAGCTGGAGCTGCTGCTGCCAATGTTCGTTCATTGATTCGTCTAGGTCGTCATCCACTGCGGTCGGCACTCCGTTCTGCAGGTGGGTAGAGGTGAAATGCGAGGCTGTGGAGGTTGCGAGTCCACCGGCAGCAAAGTTGTGTTGGTGGGTGAGGTTGTGTGTGGCTTGTGTGTGATGAGCATGATGATGTGGCTGCTGGGTGTGATGAGAGTGGTGGGATTGCGATTGGAATTTCGGGATCTGCATGCCAAAGCGCTGGTGGGCCTGACCGCCATTCATCATGACATGCTGGCCTTGGTGCGTTTGACCGTACATATTGCTGAAAGGTGTGATAGCAGCAGCCTGGTTGAGGGCAGGGGATCGGGAGGGGGAGGGGGTGTCGGTGTTGAATTTCAGTCGACCCGTCGGGGAATTGGTCCCGTTCCGAACGATGTGTCGCTGATGAGGGTTCTGTTGTGCTTGAGTTTGGAAGTAGAATTGCCCGGCCCCAGGCTGCTGGAACCTGTAGGTACCATCTGCCATTTAACGTGGCAGACGAGACCGTGTGTTGTTTCCCTGATGGAAAACCTGTTGGTGGGTAGGCGCTGAGTTGAGTAGGGTAGGGGTGAGAGGAGTAGAGGATCGCAGACGGTCTCTTCTCTTCTTCCACATAGAGATCTAACGCGACACCACTCTTATCAAACCACGTTGGGAGGCCGGTAGTGGCAAGAGAGATTCGATTGATGCGGTACCTAAGGGCGGAGAGGTGGGCGGAAGCGTCAAAAGGAGGGCGGGGTGGGAAAAAGTAAATAACGATCGGGTGACAAAGAGTCGAAACGAGGTCGTGGGGTAAGATTGAGGTAGCAAAGATGAGCAAATCACACGATTGTCTCCAGGTCGATGTGGACAGCGCTGAAGTGACAACCGGCGGTTTGCATCAAGGCGGGAGTCACGGGATCACGTGAATCGCCGCAGGGGCCATCTCTTCCCAGCTTTGAGAGCTTGACCTTGCCAAGACCACCACTTTTCTCCTTGTTCAGCCCAGTGCGTCTATCATTTACACCCCTTCTAGGAATATGGTCTTGTGGGACAATCTCTCAGTTCGCTCTTGGCTTTCACTTACTTCGAGATCACATCTGCTTGTAAGGAACTCAGCCATGGGGCACTGAAGACATCCTTAACACTCAAAATCCGCATTCGTCTTGGGCATGTTACCTACAAAGGAGTCTGTGTCTGGCTGTTTCTAGTATGGGGGTTAGGATAGCTGATCACGCAATACTCCGTAAGCTGATAATACTTTTACCCAGAGCCCTACAATAGAGGTTCTCAACATGATACAGAGAACGAAGGGAACTACTCCGTATATAATGAAACATTGACAGAATTATAGTCAATGACTGGTCTGACTGGTCTGGCCTCAAACGCTAGTATTAACCTCATGACAATCTATTTTCTGCTTGATATTTTTCGTATGTGTCAATTCCCTTGGGAGAAATATCCTCGTTTCTACTCCATAGCTAGCGCATATCTGTGTTTTTAAGCAGAACTAGGTCCCCAGGCGTGCATCAACTCAATAACTCTACGGAGTACTCTGTACTACCAACCCTACCGGATCGACTTTATAAACCTGCTAACATGGCTTATCCAAGACTTTAATATTTGACTATATATCATTCAGTACTGCCATTGCCTGAATTTGTCAGACCAAGGCTTGTCGATTTTGAAGCAAAGGACTTCCATCTATCCATGGATCTTTTTCGCGTTTCGGTTCGTCCCAGGATTGTCTGCGACGAGGCTGGTACTTCAGTGAATGTCATAAATATTGAACCTCCAGTACTCCGTACTTTGGAATCCACTTTTTAGCCTGACCGAACTGTATACAATAGCCTTGGGATCATGGAAAGTTTGCTATCTTCTCTATTGTCTTCTCTACGATCTTTTTTTTTTTTGTTTTCTTAAATAACATACCACCCAAAGAAGCTGGTATCACTATATGTCTAGATAGAGGGTGAAATACCGTTGATTCTACCGGATTGGTTTCCGGGGGTTCAGGATGTTTTGAAAAGTAGGTCTGAGGTCGAAGTACGGAGTACTTGGGGTCAAATACTTTCGAAACTCGACTGTAGACGTCTCAATACGTTGATACCCCCATTTGCTACCAGTTCCCTTTGTTTTGCACGTTTCGCTCTGACAACCCCACCTACTACCTCTATTGATGACATTTGATCGACCGGTGTGTCTAGAATACCAGTTAGGTTAGTCAATGATTGGTGTAGTTAGGGTCGAGATCTCCTATACTATTCAGCGTAATTAATTAGGTAAAGTGGCCCCCGGGCTCGCAAATGAAGAGACCAACAGATATATCAACCTGAACACTGAATGACCTTTGCAAGAAGGATTCCGAAGTCGATACCGCAAGATTTTCGTGCCCGGCAGGGTGTCTTTTTCCAAGGGTCTTTTCGTGTTTGTTTTTCTTTCAACCTTGGAAAGTCTTTCTGCTTATCTACTAATTTATCGACATGAGACAACATCTTACGGTTAGTGTTAAATGTCTTAAATTGGCTTCGGAGGTCCTTCACTTTTTTAATCAACGGAGTACGGAGTATGCATCGACCAGAAATAACCTGAACAAGATCATTTACCACATGCAGAAGATGGGTAGGTGATGTCCACGGTTCACGGATTACTGTAGGTTTCATATGTGCCTAGCAAGATCATTGCAGTGTTTCATCCACGTGGCCCTGATCTACTAGATGTCTGAGATCTAGGGAGCACGGAGTAGGATCAACCGAGTACACCCATGGATATGGAGTACTCCATGGTTTGTACTCCGTAACCCTGTGAATACTCCGTACCCATACCCCCACCTGGACATATACGGAGAAAGTGATATGTGTCCTAACTATTTTCTGCATCTGCAAGGTAGCACAGACCCATGCCTATATAGTGCCACAAACCCCAATGCAAGGCAACTTGACGCACCTCAATGCAGCAATTGCCTGAATTTACTCCGTAGCCGAGCATGCATATGAAATCAACCCACACATATCAGATACGATTCCGCGCGCATCCGTGAGAAACAGACATGTTCCACCCAAAAGTACGTGGCAAGGGATCACACTTGTACTTCGTACAAGTAACTACTGGCTGCAGGTACGAACTACCGAGCGAGTGGGAAGGGCACGGATCACAGTCTGTGCAGAAGATCGCTAATAGCCGATACCGCGGACAGGGTGTCTGGGATTTCACGGGGCAATCCGGTATCAGATAGAGAGACAAGGACAGAGCGGAGGCTAAGTCTCATATTTTTTTTGGGTTAAAAAGGGGCTAGGCCCGGTTACACTATGGAAATCGCGGGTAGGGATCTCCGTACATTGTGTATTCAGTTTTACGGCCGTTGAGGTAATGGTAATACGTAGCCCTAGACGAAGTACGGAGTACAGAGTAAGTATAGCACAGTGGAAGACAAAGTACAGTGTGATGCATGAGATGCGTACTTCATACTTCATACCCCGTACTTCATGGAGTAGACATGTCATTAATTGAAAACCAGGTGACCTTATACTCCCACGTGTACACGCACTGGCCAAACCCTGAACTAGTCAGAGTTACGGAGTACTTCATATTGTAGTGTGTTTCCCCTCTTGAAACCAGTAGCAAAAAGCAATAGTCGCAGAATAGTCTTTTTGAGTTTGATGTCCCAGAAATTGAGTCTGGATTGCCTCTTCCGGTTATTGTACTCATTGGGCTACGAGGTCCATGGTACTTTAGACGCCTTTGAGACTCATGATGTCAACGGTTATCTGACACCTGGACTTGACCTCCAGCTCTGCTCGTATACTCCCGTACGGAGTACTTCGACACCTTTGATACCGAGGTAGTCCATAGTCAGAAATGATAGATAGACTATTTAGGAATAATTAGATACCATTGGCCGAGGTTCGACCCCAATGCCTCCAATACTACGATTCAATAAACTGTACTGTTACGTGAAGAGACTAAACTAGACTCGAGTGGATTCTCAATGCCACTTCCAGGGGGTCAGGCTTGCTTTTTTCTTCTCCCTCGCCCCAATCCCCTCAGTCTACCGTCTCTTTATTTTTTTGCTCTTTCTCTATACTTCATCTCTTGGCTAAAGACATCACCTGCTCTTTTTTTGTGCTATATATCATTACTATTACCATTTTTTGTTGGACGTTGAACAAAAAAACCTTACATTCTTCAAGGCCGCGCCCGACTACACTAGGGATATTTTCCGAGCCCGCTTCCGCTTTGATCCCGTCATTCCTGGCCTTATTTGAATTTCTTTTCTTTTTTTTTTTCTCTCGGAATTATCTTCCTCGCCCAAAAGACAATTTCAAGACATGCCTCGCTCATGAAGCTACAGCCTCGCGCCGAGAATGCGACCGACCTACGAATCATCTTCAGAGGGGACAACCGAGACTTGAGATGGATACAATGGCAGGATTCATGGCACCGACAGCCTCCGGGTCCGATCTGCACTCGAACCTAAGTTCGACAATGGCAGCAACTTCCTCCTCGTCCCTCAGCTCTCTCACAGACTATTCCACATACCCACTGATGCGGCATGGCGACCGCACCTACTTTCGCGACCCGGAGAACGTCTATCCCCTGCCCTGCGACTTGTCCGAAATCCACCGCCAAAGCCTGCGCACGATGATGCTGCTGCGCGTCCTCGGCGGACCATTCTGCAACCCCCACCTAGCCAACAACCCGCCAAAACGCATCCTGGAGATCGCATGCGGGTCCGGGCTGTGGTCCGGGCTGTGCCACGAACACTTTGCTCGCAGGGGCCAGCCAAACGTGGCCTTTGCGGGAATCGACGTCGTCTCCATTGCGCCGGATTTGCGCAAACAGGGAATGAACTGGCAGTTCAAACGACATGACCTGCGTCGTCCTCGCCTCCCTTTCCCAGACGACTATTTCGATTTCGTTTTTATAAAAGATGCCGGCATGTGCCCTTCCAGTCCCGCGCAGTCGGCATCCGGCTTGAGTGAGCCGTTACGCGTGCTGAAATCTGGGGGCATTTTGGAGGTGTGGGATTCAGATTGGAGTTTCCGCTCTCTGTTGCCCAATCCGGCACCAGCGCGCAAAACAACTTCCAAAGAGCAGGAGATTGCCGACACGACGGCAACCTATACTTTTTCACCTGCCACGCCTTTCACGAGGGCACAGAATAAATTCCTCGTCGATTATAACTCCTGGGTGGAGAAATCGTTCGACAGACGCAAGTTGACAGCGCTACCGTGCGCTACTATCGGGCTTTCATTCAACTCCGAAGTCGACCTGTTGGAAAACGTGGACAGTCGGCGTGTCGCAATCCCACTCGGGGAATTGCGATGGGAGCGAGATGGCCAGGGCAACGATTCCAAGGGCCGCCCACGCAAGGCCCTCACGCCAGAGCAAATATCCATCCGGCGCACAGCCCTCCTCACAACGATCCAAATGATCGAAGGACTGGAGCCACTGCTGATGGAATCCAGCGGAAAGAGCCGCGACGAATGGGATCGCTGGTGGGCGGCGATGACAGCCGACCTCTTGCAGAAAGGCGGACTTGCCAGCGGCGAGTGTCTGGAAGTAAGTGCCTGGTGGGGTCGAAAAAAGTGAAAGCCTCTCAATTTGGAGTTCCGGGCGAAAGTCAAGTACCATTCTGCTTGTATTGGTGATACCCCCAATTTTTATTTCTGTCTTTCTGGGTTTCTAACATGCATATCCAAACATTTTCGGGGAGATTTCGAGAGCCATGAGAGCCTCAGACTGCCCCATACCGCTTTTTCAGCGTTCGGTACCGCTTCAAATAGTACCTGGTCCTGTTAGTGCCTTTGTTCTGTGGGCCAATATTTGTGTTTGCGTGATGCTATGCCATGATGTATAATGAGGAGTGAGAAAGTATGCACAATGTATGTAACCAGACACTGTCCTGTGGGCACAATGTATAGAAAAATGACATGTACGAGCACAATTCACTCCCATCGTAGACGCAAGAAAGAAAAGAGTTGTTCTTACAGTGCTTCTACTTCTATAGTGAAGTTAGTAATAATCCATAGCAGCATCAAAGCTGATGATTTGGGTGGGGTTGGACTGACCTTTCTTCACAAACTCGGCTCTTGCTATCCCCTTGCGGATCTGATCCTCATCGGTTATCTGTGTCTGACTGGAGAAGGCACGGTGCAGTCGATCTCGGAAATACTGATATCCCAGCGGATATTCTCGGCCTAAGAACAATAGCTCTTTGCGCCAGACAGTCAGCAAGGAACCAACACGAGGGCTGTTATGCGCGAAAAGCAAGAGACCCAGGCGCACAAACAAGCAGCATACCTTTATAAACATTGACAACCTGTCGGCGTAGCTCAAGATTCACCATTATTGCTCCATGCAAGAGGTGTGGAGATGTGTGGAGGTTCGAGAGAGGGAAGAGAAGAAGGCAAGCGGCCAAGAAGCGTCGGGTGTTATCGGTGACGTCGCTAGCGGAGGTGGTACTACTGAGGCAGTAAGGTCACCACTCTTGGGTGATTTTCAGCTTGCACAAAGAATGTCTATACCTTCAAGCTCTCTGCCAACCAGGTCCTTTCCTCTGTTCCGACCTAAGCTGTAGCAATCAAGCAGCAATGCCGACTTGCGTGATCGGTGTTTTAGCCGATGGTCCAAGCGTTGGGGTTTATCGGTTATCGGCGCAGCTCCATCCATCTCTCCGCAACTACGCGTGATGTTTCGATTCACTTTGCGAGCACAGCTCGCTCCAATTAGCTCCAATGGCCTTCGTTCGTTCTCAGCATCCGCTACTTTATTCTCCGCTACGAAGTCTCGGGGGCTCGATCCTAGATGGCTCTCACTGATCAAAAGGAGGATTGGGAAATGCATGATGTTTGGATTGAAGCCAGACCAAGTTGACGAGGGAGCCCAAATCTTGAGCCAATTGGCAAAGGAATGGCGGGAACTAATCGCTGGAAGCGAGGGATTCCTCACAGAGGCGAAGCGGCGTAGTCTTTTCCGCCATGGAGTGGTTTGGGGTGAGCAGGTATGACTACGGCATCTAGATGTTGCGCTTCTGGGCTAGATGGCAGAATTTACTAATGCTTTCCCTTTTGGTGGCTACTAGGATGTGATGGTAAGTCGCTCTTCTTATATGCGCTGTATAGAAATGGCATTTACAATGCCGAGGAACAGAACTAACAGCACTCCCAGGGTATCTTCCTCTGATATGGCACCTCTCTCATCAGCCCAAGACTAATCTCCTTGCTTAGGCCATGTCAACAATGTCACCTACGTGCGATATGCCGAGACTGCTCGAGTGAACTGGACCCGCAACATTGGTACCCATTTCGACCCCGAAAACAAGAAAGAATGGCACAACATGGTTGGCTCAACTGGCATCGGTCTCATCCTGAAGAGCATCAAAGTTGACTACAAATTTGTACCATCCCCCCACCCCAAGGAACGAGGCCAGGTTTTAACTTTCACCTAGCCCATGACATCCCCTGACAAAATCACTGTGTATCAAAGATTGATCCCCGACCCAGTTGGGCACCTCTCGTCGCAATCAGCATTTCAACTTGAAGTGATGATTCTATCTGAAGCACGTCAGCGTCCGTCTGCTCGTTGCTTTGAGGATATTGTGCTATACGATTATAAGAAAAACCGCAAGACAGTTGACCTGCCACCATTTGTGCTGGACCAGTTCAATGTGATATGGAAGGACCAGCAACAAGAGAAGCAGAAGTGGCGGCAAAGAATTACCGATATCGAAAACAGGGTCCGAACACTTGAGGTAGAAAGTTGGGACCGAAGTGATGCTGTGGAAGACAATGGCTCTGCATGATGAGGCGTGGCAATAAACTGGTTTGGAGATTAAACTTGCGTTTTGCGGCATAATCTCGAATCCAACGGCTGATGGCCTTGGATACACCTGCCTGGCAAGAAGAGTTGGGAAGGCCGGCTCGACCCCAAGAAATATTAGAGCTTGGTATTACTCGAACTTGCATCACATTTGGGCTCCTCGTTGCAAATTTGTGGGTAGTCTATCAAACATAATGTTGCATTCAAGATCCCAACGCTCGAATTATCCAGTCGAACATCCCACATGTGCAAGGTTCGAAGATTAAATTCTCAACTTTTTAGCGATCTCGATTCCTGCCGCAATTGATCCAACTCTCGCATCAATCGCGTATCCCTCGCTTTCCAACTTCTGCAACTCGGCATGGAGATGGGCCACTGGGACTGTAAAACATGTTATGAACTCATTATCCTCCAGATCAGGCTTCGGGTTTTGATTTTCCGGAAGGGACATATCAACTTGCAAATAGACCATGTTGAAATTAGTGTTGCAGAAGCCCGGATCTGGTGAGTTAGTAAAGTACTCATCCACAGAAGACGGAATTCACGAACCGTTATACATGATACCGCTGGTTTGATCGGTAACACCGATATAACCGGTCTCCTCTTTTAGCTCTCGCACCGCAGTTTGCTCTATTGTTTCCCCAGGGTCAATCAAGCCTGCTGGGAGCTCGATGACAACCTGGTCGATTGGAGGTCTGTATTGCTTTTCAAGGAGCAGTTCAGTGCCACTTTCTTTGTTCAAGAATGCGACGATTCCGACACCGTCAACTTGGGAATCAGAGGGTCGTGTCTATGAGATGTGAATTTTCTGTATATTTACATGGATGGCACAAGTTTTACCTGGCGCTCAGCAGATTCCCAATCTCTCTTTACCCCATTAGGGTCGATGTAGTTGGTTTTGACTAAGCGTTTCCATTTGGCTTCTTGGGGCTCCTGTGGCGGGGTAAGAATTGAGGACAGACGATAGGCTTAAATTAGTACTTACCAAGGGCTCCCGTGAAATGAGAGTTGATTTAAGGATTGTCATTGGGATGGTTGAGATGTTGAAAATAGAGACACGCGAGGCACCTGTGGATAAGTCCCCGCGGGCTGGGCAGTGATAGGGCCACCCAACCCTACACCCGGACCGCAGGCAATCCACGTGCTCCCAGACATCTAGCCATTTTGGCCCCAATCCTACTACTTTACCAGCACCTGATCACAGCATTGAAACAAAATGGGTATATTGCCACATTATCACTCTCCTCGCATGGCGTATTAATGTGGTTGGTGCAAAAGAAGAGAATGCTAAAGGCCATTACCAGTATGCAGGCTTGAAGACAGAACCAGTCTCTGGGGGTTAATAGGTAAATTCTTGACTGAGAATGAGTTACTCATTGAGTCATGCACACTACCGATGCAATAACTGTTCGTTGGCAATGACGCTACTAGGTGTATAGAGGAGCAAGGCCTCGTTCAATTTGCCCCATCGTTTAAAAGGACTCCTTGATAAAGGTTTGAGAGGGTAATTTCTATTTCGAATACATTCATTGCGGTGCAAAGAACTTTTAAAATGCACCTCTGTAAGCATGTATGTAATGCCTTCGCATCCAATTATTCTATCTCAACAGTGTTCATGAGTGTTCTCAAAAAGATTTCTGAGAATTTTTTGATCTTCTCTTCTCTTTAAATCGGAAGAAGAATATCGCCAGAGTTATTCTTCCCAACAGTGTAACTCTTCCACCCCGCTTTTGGCAGGTCAATCTCGGGATCCTCGACCAAGAATTTCATGAAAACACCGTGTGTCACAATCACAACCTGTCTCTCTTCCTTATCCTTCAAATTGTCCACTACTTCAGCAACACGAGATCTCACGCGTTTTGCCCGCTCTTTCACAGCAGCGTCATCTGGGGAGTACAGCCCCTCCTTTGTATGCCAGTTCTCCGCCAAATCATTGAAATCTATACGGAAGACATCCTCTAGAACTTCGCGAGAGGAACCGGTATCACACGGCAAGGCACTCCGTTCTTGCAAGTCTGGGTCTATAACAAGCAATGAGCCATTCTCAATGCCTTGCCCCGACTGAGGACTGAAGTAGCGTTTATCCAGCACGTGTGGAAATGCAGCGAGGGTGGTTTGAATAGCGCGTTGTAGCGGGGAGGTGATGATTACCGCGACGTGGGAGGAGGAGGGGAATTCATGGATAAGCTGGGCAGCTTGTTGAAGGCCGAGCGGTGTTAGGCTTGGATCACGTTGGGTGAAGTCTTTAGAGACGTTATGGACAGATTCCGCGTGGCGGACAATGTGGATTTGTACAGCCATCAGAAATTTGGAGGAAATAAAATATATGTGCTGATATCACGACTGCGAAATATTTTACAAGCCAGCGCCCTTTATACACCTGTCTGTCTGCCGATGGCAGCCTGCTGGTGGGACAGCAACGCCCACTGGCCCAAACTCTCTTCTGGTATGCGTTTAGATGTTGCTTCGCTCCCGAGTATGTTGTAATAAAGATACTAAATGATGCGATAACACTATAGTTAACCGATATGTTGAGATCTAGATTATTGAAAGCCCTACTTGAGGTATATCTTTCTCCACCGCTAACCTTGTTCATATCTTGTAACTCCTTCTGTTTAGGACCTCGGGACTCGGGAGTATGCTGCTCAGCTTCAATAATCGGAATAATCACACTTCCAAAGGAGTGGTATTTTCGAAATTATCATCTTCGTCTTTCCAATCCCGAATCTCGTAGTGCCAACCATCGACCTCTGAATACTAAGCCCCAACGGGAACCCGACATCATCTTGGCCAATCATAGCCGCTCAGTGACATTCACTGTCCAATTAGGCTTTCCTAGTCCCCTCAGAACTACGGCACGCGCCTTATTGCCGTATCTTGATTAGTTGTTATAACTTTGGTTTGATATTAGAGCTTACTAAATATCTTGGCTTGGTAGAGAAAATAGGTTTATTTCAGCATCACTCGCTGCTCACGTTCAAGAAGATATTATCCTCCATCTCCATCTTGCTGTCTTAATTGACCGGGTGATATGCGCAGTTTTTACAAGAATAATTCGAACGACCGAAAACATTATGCCACTCCTCTCTCCCCTTTCGCAATGCTTCTCTTCCCTCGTCCGGCTGAACCAAAAATGGGGGAGCCACAGGGGTTTGAGGCAAAATGAGGGCAATGAGAGACCTCTGTCAAGGCGTTTGTTGGACGTCTTCTTGCGGACATGGGATCTAGGCTTTACAGCCTTCGGAGGGCCACCAGTGCACTTCCAGGTTATACATGGCAGGTTCGTGGAGGGACAGGGCGGCAAGGAAAAATGGGTAGATGAGCAGACTGTAAGATTCTCCTAACATATTCTCAAGCTGGCCGGTCTCGATTTCATAGGAGCTCCTAACATGTCTCATAGTATCAGGAGCTCTTTGCTATTTGTCAGGGCCTTCCAGGTCCCGCGAGTACGAAGATGATTTTCTGTCTAACCTTATTACATGCAGGATTTATTCCTGCCATGCTTGTGTTTTTCATTTGGAGGTGATCTAACCTTGGAAACCTTTCTGCTATGAAGCCCACTATTTGTTAATTTCAACTAACGGTATCAGTCTTCCTGGCGCAATTGGCATGTATGCCCTCTCACTTGGTGTGCAAAACATGGGCGAAACCCTTCCTAAACCCGTCTACGCCCTACTCTCCGGCCTCAATGCCTCCACAGTAGGTATTATTGCACTTGCGGCCGTACAGTTGGCCGAAAAAGCTATTCGCGATAAGCTGTCCCGGATTCTTGTGATCTTTGGCGCATGTGCTGGTCTCTGCTACAGTGCACTCTGGTATTTTCCCGTGCTGATGATTATCGGTGGTTTCCTCACGAGCATCTGGGATGGATGGTTATATCAAAAATTCTCGAGAGCTAGGATAGCTTGGAAGAACAGACATAACCGTTCACAGGACCTGGATGTGACAAATGGGGACCCTACAGGCATGGACTGTATAAACCTGGAAGAGAATACAGTGCAAAGAAATGAGACGACACGATCGAGAAGGACGGATCCCAGACTCGAAGGGCTACCACAGAGTACCGTCAATACTACACGGCCAACGCAGTCCACTGAAGATCCTTCACAACATCACATCATTCGTATTCGGGTCGGAGTTTTGGTCATGGGTCTCTTTTTTGGTGTGCATCCAATTCACCTGACAAATCTTCTTAGAGTCAACACTAACATGATTAGTTTCCTTCATTGGGGTTCTTGTTGCAAGAAGCCAGCTCACCACACCTCCACTGGTCCTCGACCTCTTTGCCAACATGTACCTTGCTGGTACTGTCATCTTTGGTGGAGGTCCCGTCGTCATTCCCCTTTTACGTGCCTACGTTGTTGATCCCGGGTGGGTCTCTAGTAGAGACTTCTTGATCGGCCTTGCCATTATCCAAGCTTTTCCCGGTCCTAACTTCAACTTCGCTGTCTTCTTGGGGGCGCTAGCACTGCAGCGCTCACGCTTCCCGACCATCTTTGGTGCATTTCTTGGCGGTTTGGGAATCTTCTTTCCGGGAATCACGCTGGCCGTTGCAATCCAAAGCTTCTGGCGTGTGTTACGGAAGAAGAAGTATGTGATCGACTTCCTTAGAGGAGTGAATGCTACTGCAGTTGGGCTAGTATTTACAGCTGTATACCGGTTGTGGGAGATTGGATATCTGACTCCTGAAAGAAGTGACGGACAGAGTCTGGCTAAGGAACCATGGTGGGTGGTTGTTGCGGCCGTGACATATGCAGGGAGTGCATGGTTCAATGTGCCCCCACCCATGGCGATTGTAATGGGTGCTATTTTAGGCTTGTGTTGGTTTGGAGCTGTGGGGCGATAGTATATTCTGGCAGCCATCGTTGTTCTGTCTATCTGTGATATGATATAGAGCGACGGGTTAATTTGTATTAAAAAAAAAAAAAAAACGTATTTGGCACTTCTTCCTCGATTAGCGTCTGATTTCCCTTTTCGTCCTCCCATAATATGGTCAATTAGCTTTGTGGTGTAAATACGGCTGCACCTGTGGTGACAGTACGGAGTAGTACGTAAAGCTTAGGCAGATCAATTCTTCACAGATTTAAGTTGATCGATGCGGGGGATGGAATGTGAACCCCCGGTTTTGGTGCACTCAAAGTATGTCATCCATGGTGATCATGGTGGAGACAGACGCTTATCTATCTATCCCTTGCTTATTCCTGGGGTAATTCATCTCCAGTTGGACTTGACACTTTCGACTCTTACGTGGAGTGGAAACTTCGCGAACTACTCTGTATGGTGTCCACGGGTATTGAATACATATTCGATTTTTTGTTTCAATAAGTGTGCCACCTTCAAAGGTCGTAAGGAATTCGAGAGTGCAGAGAGAATTGTTTTGAAGCAGTGAGCGCTGTTTGTTGACAAAGAAAGAACTAAGTCTTTAGGACTAACAAATTCCATGCTTCGGCACAGTTTGTACGCAGCTTTGAGACTGGGATTGATGTGATTACTCAAAGCTACCCAAAGGTGCCTAGGTGGTAGTTCTACCTAAACAAATGGCTTTGAAAATGCTGTAAGACAAATGTATTGAGATGGTATGAGCAATTTGGTCTAAATTAATTTAGTCAAGGGTATGGCAGAACGAAAAGACAAGTATTGTTTTCATGTGAGCCCTATACCAAAAATACCTGACGATCAAAGAATCTGTTTTTAGGAACAGACCCATCCTCCATTAAGGTGGGGCAGAGTGGCAAGACAGCACTGCGTCTAGCTAGCGGTATGACTACGCAGTATACGGAGTATACGGAGAAGGACCAGCATACTACAAGTACGCATCTACACCCTTGCGGAAAGGCTTTGATAATTGTTATAGACTACTATCATATTGCCCGTGTCACGTTCGAATAGAATATCGTCCTATCCAAGCCCTACTGAAATTTAAATATGCCCTGGAATACACCTGTCGGGCTGTAGTATCAACTCAATAGATCGAAGAGCACGAAGTAGCATAAGAACTGAAAACTCTACCTAGGTATAGTCAGAGATGTTGCACTCGGAGACCATGCCGAAGCAGGACGTGGGCGCCGAAACCAGGAGGGTTTCAAAACCGGAATGATCGACCGCAAGTTTAAAAAGCCCCGAAGTTTATCGGGCCCAAGCAAATTCCGATACAGAACTACGATTCAACGGCAAATCCTATATCAGATTATTCCAGTACGACATACATGGCACAGCATAGAGCATCGAGCATACAGCATATACTCCGTACTCGTACTGCGATTACGAACTGGTAGGGCCGCATCAAGAAAGATAACGGGCGGATCATTGCCGAATTCGTGGCTGATCTACGAAACCCTGCCAAGACCGCATCTCCAGGAGGGGTGAATCTGAGAGTAGTCTTTTTCCTCTAATTCAGGCTTGCGTATAATAGTATCTAATGTATTCGTATTGTTCGGTTTCTTTGTTTGTGTTAATTGTTTATAGTTGAGCTCGTAAAGTGTGACTTGTTCATACATCTGACTGTGCGGCGTCTTCAATAAGATAGCCGAGCATGTGATAGGTTGTATACGGAGTATCGATACAAGCTTCAGTTCCCCATATTTCTTTGTACAAGGTCTTACATCCTTAGATGCAAAGCTCGGAGTCACAATCACATCGTGACCTGGTTTGTTCAAGACCAGGTCTGCTGCAAGGGTGACCCCGCATCGGATGGGTCAAGCAACGGTTGATCGTCAACCAGTCGGTCTGTTAGCCAACTCATGGTGAGAGTCCGTGATCTGACTAGGCGTCCCAAATTGTAGCCTAGCTTCACACATTGATTGACTTGGGCATGATGCACATAGTGGGTGAGAGAGGCGAGCCGGGGTTGAGCGGCAATTCCCACTAAAGCAGCTAGAGCAGCTAGAGCAGCTAAAGCAGAGCTAAAGAAAGTCAAGAAAAGCGGATAGGTTAGGATTGGCCGTGTCGGTATCCGGGTTGCATGACTTGGCAAACAGTGTTGGAGATGAGCGTGACCTGTCAATGGAGGCAATGGGCAAATGCAAGTATGCGGGCGTATGGAGTACTTCGTACTTCGTGAGCAAAACGGACATCGCAACTCAAAGAAGTTTGGGGGAAAGCTTGGCGGCTGACGGGATTTCCCATGCAGAAATGGAAATTTGCAAATTGCAAAAGCCCAAATGCGCATAGAGAAAGTATACAGTACCGAAAGCGAATATGGGGGATTGGTATCACGGCCAGGTACCGCCTACCCGAATATCACCCATGATCGACAGATGTGACAATACCAATACATTCTGTTTCTTTCCTACAATTCTTCCACCTGGGCAATCCATTTCCCCTTCACGTTTCTCCGTAGAGCCTCGTCTCTTTCCTTTCCCTCCTTTTCATTAGACCTTTCCTTTCTCATTTTCATCTTCTTTGCATCACCATTTCCTTTTCACATTCCCACCTCTCAGTCCGTTTTTGTTTCGCCTATTTCCTGGTCCCAGTCCTTGGCTTTATCCCGCCAAGCTGACTCGGACCTGGGTTTCGGGCTCACTCGTCCATGCCACGCTCATCAGCTGCGGCTAGGAAGAACCAGAGCAACCGGCAGGAGAATGGTGTCGTCGGTCCCGGCAAGAAAGTGACCAAGCAGAAATCCAACAGCCATCTGAACGGCAACTCGGGCAACGGCTCAGCTACCGGGCCGGGCGCGTCCGTTCCCTTCGACCTATCCTCCGCACGTTCGACAAGCGACACGGCCGTCCTGTCACCCACGGTCGCCGGCAAGGGAGATAGTGCGAAGGATGGCAATGTGCGTGGGATGTTGAACGGGCACAGCAAGGGTGGAGAAATGGCATCCGCGCAGGACAGTGATGTGCCCCAGAACGGCGGTATATCAGGCCATGGCGCTCGCAATGGAACCTCCAAACGATCCGGATCCAATGCTTCGATCAATCCGCTACAGCTCGCCTCCACCATCCTCAAGTCGTGCCCCATGTACGACACTATCGCCATTTTGATTTTTCTGCTCCAGCTTCCACCTATGGTTCTGACTCTGGTTCAATTCCTCTTCGCATCGCTCACATTCATGCCCCCGAGTGGCGCCGCCGCCGGCTCTCTGTCGTCAAATTTCGACATTTTCCAGGGCCCGGCGGGCACGCCTTCTCTGGGGACGATGATTGCGATGGACGGCTTCTGCATACTTCTCTGGGGACTCTTCATGTGGACCTGGGCTCAAAATTTCGCCATTGACCTTGCTCACGTACAGGTCGCTATCACTCTAGGCGGCGGGGGCTCCGGGAAGAATGGCGGGGTCAATGCTCTCTGTGTTGGAATTGTCTTGCTTCTTCATCTCGTTCGCAGCAAAGGCATCCAAGACTTTGTTCTGGGTCATCTTGTCTCCGCTAAACTGCTCAGTCCCGATATCCTCTCCCAATTCTCGCATCTGTTACCCGCCGAGTTCCGACGCTCCGAAGCCCAATCCTCCCCGAGCTGGCTCCGTAGCCTCCTTGCGGTTCACATACTGGCCCAGGCTGGAACAGCCATGGCACGACGCTCCATGGCGAAAAATCGGTCCCCAACACCGTCACGAACTGGGAAGAGGGGAGATACGGAGGCTTCGGCGGGCTCGCAGGGACAACCTGATTCGGCTTTGGAATCTGCTGCCAGCGTTTCATCTTCCTTGGTTGGCCCGGATGGCCAATTGAAAGATGGCAAAGATCGGTTTACCTCCGCCAAAAAGCGCAGACGACAAGCAAATCAGGTTCGAAGCCGGCAGCCGTTCTGGGCTGCTCTCGCCAGTACAAAGGTCACGGTTATGCGAGAATATGAACATTCACGGGCTGTTTCCAAAACAGCACGCAATCTGACAATGACGGAGGAGGATCTTCAGGGTGTCTCTCTCGACGACGGGTTAGTATGGATTACGGATGTGGACAGTTCTGCAATCAAATTTGCCGCAGGTGAATTTACCGATGATCCAGCGCTATCGGGCTCGTATGAAGACGGACGCTGTGAAGGAGATGCGGAGCCGTTCTATGTCTGTGTCAATGGTGCGCTTTGGGCTACCGCCACGATATGCAGGGTTTCAGATGCCAAGGGACCGAGTGTGGTTCAGTGGCGCGGCGAAATTGCTGGACTCGCTCCCAATTGCGCTTATACCTGTGCGTTCGTGCGCGTTGACACCGACGAGGAGATCTGTGTTATGAGTGTCAAGACGCCTGCGACGGCTGACACAGAGCAAGGTAAGTTAGCTGTCCCGCGGCGCTGTGCTGTCTTTCCATGTGAGGTCATGGCTCATTTTGCAAAAGTCATATCCGCTATATCGACACCTCCCCAACCGCCATATCGTCCATCATCCCCTACCACAACTCTCAAAAATTCCATAGTCAATGCAGAGTCCAAACTCAACGAAAAACGCAACCGCTTGAAGAAGACGAAGAACGATCACAAAACTGCCATCTCGAAAATTCGCAAGGAGCTTGACAATTTCAATACCCGGCTTCACAGTGGAACCGATGAAAACCGACAAAAGCAGCGCTCGCTGCAATTGGAGCGAAACATCAAACAAACTGAGGAGGCCACCGCAGCACTTGAAACCCAACTCGACACTATGGAAACTGTTCCGGAGGAAGAGATGGAAGAATGGAGGGCACACAAAGCAGAGTTTGAACGCGAGGTCGAACGCTTCAATGCCACCAAGGAAGAGGTTGCCGCTGCTCGCACTGCTGCGGCACAGGAGGTGGCGGCACTGGAGGCGGACTTGACCCAAGTGATTCAGAAGCGAGAACGTCTTCAAGGTCGTCGCACTCGAGTAAACGAGCAATACGAGCGCATCATTTCGGCCAATGCCCAGGGATTGAACGAACGCGAACGCCGGGCTGCGGAACAGTTTGCCAGAGAGCAGGACCAGTCAAAGATGGAGAGCAATTTCCACGAGCAGTTTGCAAGCATCAGCCAATCTGTCCAGGATTTCCAACTCCGCACCAGTCAACTCTGGCAGCAGGCGTCAGCGATCGAGCAGGCCATACAGGTTCAGCAACAACAGATGCTCCTTGACTCTGGTCCTCTTACGCCCGAAGGCAACTTGCCAGGCACCAATCCGCTCCCGGAAACCAGCGGGTCATCCTTGAACGCTTCAACTACCACTGCACCTAGCGTGCGATCTCTACTCGGTCTCAGCTTTCCTCCCGCCAGATCTAGCCCACTGCAGATCTCCTCGTCGCCAATCCGGGAAGATTCGTCCAACCCGACCAGTCCGTCTCAAGACATTCCTTTCCTACCACAGTTCCCGGCCTCTCCCGTCGGAAACCAGGGCTCGTACTTTGTGCCAGACATCAACCACCGGGACCGTTCGTTCTCCAATCGCTCCACCCACAGCAGCCAGTACGGCTCTGACTTCTTGGATGCGAACCGGATGCCGCCCATGCAATTTGATTTGGCTGAGTTGCTCGGCGAAACCAAGTCGCGACCCAGTCCTGATGCATTCCTTCACGGAGGCGGTCGCTCGGCCCTGAGTCCTTTCCAAAGAGCAGCGAGTCGAGGTAGTGGAACCGGTAGTGGTAGTGGTGGCAGTGGAAGCGGCAGCGGCAGTCCACACTCCTCTCGAGACTAACATCTTGCCGAGTGTGTCGTGTGCTGTGTCGTGTCTTGCGTTGTCTATAGGAGCTTGATCTCAGTCACCTTTCTTCGAGAGGCTGCGTCCAATTTGTGTGCGTCTGTACTCGGACCTTATACCAACCAATCTCTCATCGGCTTCTGATATAGTCTCTTTTTTGAGTCACTGTATTCGTGGCATGCCTCTTGCGGTGAGCGGTTGGTTGGATACACTGTGAGATACATGCCATTGGCAGGCTTGTCCCTAACACGGATACCAAAAAATGTTGTATATCGGTTCTTGCATACTCTCCAAAACGTAGACGGTACAATTCACGGAGACATTCCTCTCTCTCTCTCTCTCTCTCTCTCCAGCGTTCCCCTCTGGGGTTGGCATGCGTAGATGTAAGAATTCTTTGGCTAGATGTAGAAGAGGGTTTCCGAGGTTGTTTATATCGTGTCTAAGGTGCTCGGTTCCATCATTGTGTGACTGAACTTATTTATGTCTTCTGTTTAATGACCAGTTTATATACCACCAACGCCAAACCCGGAATATATGTACAATGCTTTGCTACTTCCGAGACTCTGTATAGCAATGCAGCCTCATCAAGTGGCTTCACTAAAGGCACTCAAATCTCACCACCCATTTTCCAGAACTTGGTATTGGCATACGCCAAACAAAGCCGATCGGGCGAATGCTCATCCACCCGACCCTCCGGCCCCGAGGCCTCGGGCTCAGGCCCCTCAATCGTTCTCACAACAGTCCCAAGAACGATGGAATGATCATGGACGTCGATCTTCTCGGGATGTAGCGTACACTCTAACACGAAAGGAAAGTCCGTATTGGAATCGCCAGATCCCTTTCGCCTCAAAATAGGAAGCGGTCTCTCGTTTCCAGCGTCCAAGGCGGCAAATTCAAACTCTCCATGTCCGCTCAACATAGCAGTCAAAGTGGCATTGCCCTTCGAGAAGTCCCTTGCTAACGTAGCAGTTGCAGGACCAGGCGCTAGCAGATGGACCAGGAAGCGGCGTGACGCAAGCAGTGCGTTCAGTGTCTCTGACGGTCGGCGCACATTGAATGAGATCACAGGATGGGGTGTTAGAGTTACGGTGCTGAAAGATGAGACTGTCATGCCGCGGAAGGATGTTTCTTCAGGCCCCGAGGGGTCGGTTGCTGTGATAATTGCAACGGGATAGGGGACCCGGCGCATGAGGAGGCGGACTTGATCGGATATGGAAGTCGTGGATTGCTTTGGAGAAGCCGTAGCGCTCGTTTCCAGCTGAGCATCTCGAGGGGAAGCAGCCGTACTGCTGTTATGCCTTTGAGCGCATTGTGATGGGTGTCGGGTGAAGGATTGCGGGGAGGTTCGGATTAGAGATGCCAATGGCCGAGCAGTATAATTCCTGTTACATAGTGCTTCTAAAAACACCCGTTAGTGGGAGAAAAACGAAAGATTCGTGTAGAACCTACCTCCGAGGCCTCTCCGAACCCCATGCGCGATTGGACCCGCGGATTTCATCCCGGGTAGACTTGGAGCTTTCGAGTTGTGCTCAAGGGGGCAGAACAGGACAAAAAACTACAAAAAGTAGATTCCAGCCACTTCATGTCTAGCCGTGAGAAAGACTCCCACGAGAGACAAGCTTATGAAGTCATTGCAGTCGATACTGAAAATCCCGAAAAATAACAACCTGCTGACTAACCCGGAATAATTTCTCTGCTTGTATAGCATCAACTTCATCACTCCTCCTTTTACAGCGGCCCCATCCACTCCCGCCCTGCTCGACCTGTCCTCTCTGTCAATTGGCATTACCCTCCAAGATGTCAATGCACACCTCCCTCCGCCGCACCGCGGCCACCATAACCACCTCAACAACCTCCATCCTCCCTTCACGACTTCCGCAATCGAGCACAACCTTCGTCTGCTCGCAATGCCGCCACGCAACACTGCTCCGCCGCCCCAAGCGCCCTTACACCTTCACACAACTCATCACCCTCTCTGACGGCAGCACCTTCACGCACCGCACGACCTCACCGGCGCCCGTCTACCGCTCCACGCGCGACACGCGCAACTCCGTCCTCTGGAACCCCTCCAGCAGCAAGCTGATGAACGTCGAAGATGACGAGGCCGGTCGTCTCGCTGCTTTCCGTGCTAAGTTCGGTCGCAGCTACGATGCTGCTTCGGCGCCTGCGGATGAGACTTCGCCTGATGAGAAGAAGGACGCGGAGGCGGAGGCTAAGGCCGCCCAGGCTGAGGAGGATAATCTGCTTGATTTGATCAGTTCGTTCGGAAAGAGGCAGCCTCCTCCCCCGCCTGAGAAGAAGACTCCCTATAAGAAATAGGTTGTCTGATGCTGGGAGTTGGGTCTGAGTTTATCTTTTTGATCTTGTACAATATACATATGTCTGGTATGAGCCTGCTGTATTATACCAAGAATGCATTTTTCACATTTTTTTTCTTTTACGGTACATAGTGGTTTGATTGTTTGATTGTTTAGAGATGAACGTGGTGCATCTTGTCCTAACCTGGAATCAAGCTTGGCGTCGACATACCATCGGCTTGCACCGCCAACGATTGTCCCAGGGCCCTATCTATGTCTGGCAATTCAATGACAGTCTGGCTCAATCTGGTCAATCTAAGTCGGCATGACTTTGGCCTTTGAGCATCTACAGCAACGGGCTTCGGTGATGGCTCCAAACCCCAAACATCAGAAGCACAGTCCCCAAGTGGGAAGACAAATGCAAAGACACACCCAAGATTGATTTGGTCAGATGTCATCGACTGTCAGGCTATCTAGCCCGGCGATTCGCATACAGAGACACCGGAGAGCCTAGAGGACAGGGAATAGGAAGCTGATACCAGCCCGTACATATTGAAGCGTGTCCCGAAAGCCAGATCCATCAATAGGACTTCACCTTGTAGATAGACGTCTCTCCGTCATTTGTGAGCTAGGTAGTGCTCGAACTCTGTTTCACCCTCTCCTGATTGGAGCATAACTACCAAACGGTGAGTCGTACAACAAAGCAGCTGCAGAGGCCAAGGAGGGGTACCGCTAAGTATACAATGCAACTTGTTAACTGCCATTCAATACACTACATACAGACAACCTTGGAATATCATTCTCACCTGGGAAATGGCAGAAGTTCCATGTTCGGCGTGTACCTGGACACCCAAAAGACAATCCCTCTGCTCATACGAAAGCCATGTCAGCATCTTCTACAGTGCCAGCAACAGAGCAGCCTGGTCCCTAGGCTCGAAATACATCCTGAAAGAGCGAGGGACCGACGGTCCCAATTACGAAAGCGCCAATCTAAAGTTCCTCTCATCGAAAACCACAATTCCAATCCCCGAGCAACTGGAAGAATGGAAAGAAGATAACGGGAGATACTTTCAAATCATGAAGCGTATGAGAGGCAAGCCGCTCGAGCAAGCCTGGCCTACAATGTCCCAGGAAGAAAGAGAGCGAGTCGCAAGCCAGACCGCCGAGTACCTGAAGCAGCTTCGAGGACTGCATTCTGATCGAATGGAAGCTCTTGGTGGTCAGCCTATTTATAGCGCCTTTCTGTTTGGAGGGGATCATCGCAAGGGACATGGTCCTTTGTCGTCTGATGATGAACTGTGGGCGGAGATGTCGGAGCGTCTTGCTCATGTCCCTGAGGAGGTGCGAGCGAAGCTGCGAGAGCGTCTTCCTGCTGCGGCGCCTTATACCTTTACTCATGGTGACCTGACGGATGTGAACATTATGGTCGAGGATGGTAATTTGGTTGGTATTATTGATTGGGAGGGAGCGGGATATTACCCTGTTTGGTGGGAGTTCGCTGCTCTGTCACTTGGGCTGGGGGAAGTTGATTGTCAATGGAAACGAATGCTCAGGGAGTATATGCCTACCCAAGACCGTGAATTCTATTTGATTCTCTGGGCATTGCGAGATTATCCTCAGCTGAATGAGACAGCTCAGAAGTTCTTTGATGAAGCCGGGCTCGAATTGCCGGCCGTTGAAGCTGTTGGTACGGAGTAGGTAGGAGATGAATTCATTCTACAGTACGCAAACAGTGGTATTCGGAGTGAAGCAAATCGAGATAGAAAATGCACATAACATATCAGCCTGCTGGGATCGTGGGGTGGGGCATGTAAACAATAGAAAGAAGCCATCTCCAAGGAATATAAGATGTGAGAAAGTGCGGGCACTTGTTGAGGTTTTATTCACAAGAAGCCAGTATCTTATGGGGGGAGAATTAAGCATCCTCTGCAACAAGAGGCGTTGATTCAGAGACTGCCTCGGTGGGTTCAGTAGGCGCATCAGTCACTTCAGATGGAGGCACATAGTATGGCAGGCCCTCTTCGCCAGCATCCAGGCGCAGGAGGAATGTCTCCCAAAGTTCGATCAACTACGATTGACAGGTTAGCCGGAGGATATCCATTGAGAGACACGGGAGATCTTACCTCTTTCTGAGCCTCAACTGCACTTTCGAGGAATGTCTCAACACCCGACTTGAAGTCTTCGACCTTCTCCTTCTCAAAGCGTTGGAGCTCGTTTCGCATAAGTCTGCCCATGTCTTCGAACAGCAGTCGTGTCTGGTGAACCTTGCGCTCTGCGTCTGCGACATCGGCATTGACCTGATTCAGGCGGTCTTGCTGGGTCTTGCCTTGGCGAAGCAACTTATCTTGCGTGTTCTTGCGCTTCTGAAGGTCGGATTCAGCCGCATGCCAAGTGTGGAAGGCCTTTTGTCGTTGGGTGAATGCCATCTTGACACTTCCAATTAAGCGGATATATTCATCAATCGTGATTCCAAGGGTTAGGACATCCTGCTGTGCCTGTCGATCATAGAGTTCACGGATGCGAAGTTGAAGCTCGGAAAGTCCTTCCAGAGGAGACGAAAGAGCAGGAGATAGTTCGACAGCAGACAAGGCGTGTAGCGAGCTTGAAAAGTCGCCTGCCGCGTCGGCGAGTCCCTTACGCTGTAGTACCACAGTGTCCATGGATTTCATTAAGGCCTTGAGCTGATTTTCGAGAGCATCAAGGTAGACCTTACGGTCATGGAACCACTGTTATCTCGTTAATGGGCGTTGTCACTGTGGCGATCTAAGGGCCACTCACATCGTCATGCTCCACGAACTTGCTACCTCCACCAACAGAGATACCAAAGGAGCTCAGCATTCCCTTGCTTGGACCAATATCGGGCTCGCGGTTCTCCTTATTCTTGACATCCACGTTGAACGCCTCGCTTTCAAGGAAAATCTTCACATCTCCATCATGTTGAAGGATGGGATGACCGGCAATTTTGTTAAGCATTCGCTCCAAAGCAGCCCTCCTTGATTCCACAAAGTTAGTATCAAAGCGGCCCATGGCTTGCTTCTCGGGCGGAGGCGCAACAACCACACCAGGGTTGCTGGCATGTAGAGAGTTGTAGAGCCAGAGGAAGTCGCGGTATCTACGGGTGACTGTGAATTCTGGGTTGCGGTAGGCTTTAGATGAGGTCTGTTCGCAGTGATGGTCAGCTGGTTCCGTTCCAATGCGAGCGCGTCATCCCGGTATCTCAATTACCTTGGTCGAAACTTGATAGACGATGTGACTGCTGGTCAGATCGCCCACTTTGTGCGGATCTCCAACGTAGATTTGGAACGTGGGCTTCGCAGCCTGTTCAACACTCATGCTAGGCTGCGTCTGTCGTTTCGGTCCATCCGTTTCCACTGGTGGCTGGACAGGCGGAGGGCCGCGGAAGCCTGCAGTGTCCTCATCCACATTGGCCGAGTCTCCTGTCCCACTCGGGGTCTGCGGGGATGAAAGCGATTGCGCGCGTCCGGCGAAGGGTTCCTTTTGGGGTGGTGCTGGTGCCTCGTCTGCGGGTGTCGGAGCAGCCTCGGCGGGCACTTCACCCAATGGGCCGAGAGGGTCGACGGAATCATCGACAGACTCGAGTTTTGTGGCTTGCGCACTGATCTTGCGAGTACCTCGAGGGCCTCGTCTTCCGGGTGTGCGGACAGTGGGCGCTGTCTCTGACGCGGGGGGGTGCGGCTTCTGTATGGGAGTGCGTTTAGTGGGCTGTGGAGCAAATCGGTCGGAAGGAAACCTACCACCCTCTGTTGTAGCGCTTGGCTTGGGGGCATCCTGACTGGGCTTGAACTGGGAGGGCTCATCTGTATCCATACATTAGAACGCAATCCGAGGAGCTGTGCTATCATCACTGCCTACCACCCCACGGGGAGTCCCCAGAGTCGAGATCCATTGCCAACTGTCGTGTGGAATTGGGTATGACCGAGGAAGTCGAGATTGAAGCTATAGAAGAGATAAAGGACGTGAATGCTTCAATCGGAGCTTAGACGGGGCGAGAATTGGAGAGGAAGCTGGTGGAGCGGAGGCCGATCCGCAATGGATCACGGGATCCCCAGTCCACAAGGTGTCCCTTCGACTGATACATTCCACTTCGCCATCGTCATTAACTGAACTATCTAGGATCGATTTATCCCTCATCTGAAGCCTACTGGTATCTTTAGAAAGAGAAAATGTCTCTTTCGCGAACTAATGCTTTGGTCGCATCTGCCGCCATACGTCACATCATATCTTGGAGCCTATAACTATGGAGTATGGAGTACTCTGTAAAAGGCGTGATATTACAAGACACCGGCTTTCATGAACGACATAATATCTGATCAGAAACTACACATGATCTATTTGATCCATGGAAGACCCAATTTGTGCATCTCGACAGCCAATTGGAACAAGTAGTCCAGACTCTCGCACTGAGTCTTCGCCTTAGCAGTGTTGTCACCCCAGACATAGCTACAGAGCCCGAGGCGTTAGTATGTGGACAGATACTGTGTGCAGCGGGTTGGCATGACTTACATTCCATGTCGGCGGACGAGCACAGCATATGTGTCAGGGTACTTGTTCATGGCAGCCTCCAGGCCACTGGTGAGATCCTCCTCAAAGGCAGTGTTTTCGATGATGGGAATCTTCAAGGTATCAAAGAACCCAAGCATACCCTTACCCTTGCCACGAGGAATGCCCTTGATCTGCTCAATGTTGTTGATCTCGAAGCAAGCGTCGGGGCCCTTCTCCCGCTCCACAAGCAGAGTCACAAGAACAGCCCATTGTGAGTGGGTGTGGATACAGCAGCCAGCACCATGCTCAAAGGCAGTCAGGAACAGCGGAGTGCAGGCGGAAGGGTTGAGCTTGAGGGGCTTGCGGATATAGTTGCGCGCCTCGGCGGGGTACTTCGGGGTGGGCCATTGAACAACGAAGATGTTCTGCGACTGCATCAATTCCTTCTGGACTCCAGAGGGAGCAATATAAATGTGGTCGCCATGGCGGATCGAAGTCTACAATTTCCATCAGCGGGGTACCGTTCGATTTTTTCTCTCTCCTGTCAGCTTACACCACCACCGGTGCCAGTGACCCAACCCCAGTTATAGAATTTCCTGCAAAGCTCGGGGATTAGGTTGGCAGGGTGCTCGGGGTCCTCAGACTGGACCAGATGGTCATTGTTGCCGGCCGTTGCGACAGCTTTTTCGGTGGGGCACATATCTGCAAAAACCAATACGCGTTAGTGCATGGGCATGAAAGGAAGCAAGGGGGTGTTTAGAGTAGCCGAACGAACTCACTTCAAGTTTGCGACAAGCTTGTCTTGAAAGGTACAGTGATGTGCCAAAAACCAACGTCAGAAATGCCGGATAAGATGGATTAGGCGGGGAAGAAGTCAATCGGGGATCTGCGGTCTGATGCAGCACGCCATAAATTTCTATATTGTTGTTTACATAGTCATCGACATTTGTGAGTAGACAAAAGACGTAATTAGGATTTATAACAGAGACAAATAATTAGCTTAATGCTATTTAAAATGAAAATGAAACAGAAGTATATCACATCCGACGCGCAAAAGAAAAGAGTATAGAATAACATCGAAGCCCGTGTGTAGCCTAGTCCCGATTGGGTAGCTTAGTTGAAGAGGCCACCTGGACCTTCCCTCCACTTTAAAACCTCCCTTCTCCTCACTTTGGCGCTCCACTCTCATTCTCGGGTTTTTGTCCTTTTCATAGTGTTTGACCATGCGTTTCAACACTGCGCTCACTTCGGCTCTGGTCTCCTCCGCCAGTCTCATGGGCTATGCCCATGCAGAGGAGGAGGTTGCCGATGCCACCGTCATTGAGAAGCCTGCCTTCACTGTTAGTCGCAATTGAGTCCACTAACCTTGCTCTGTGCTAATATTCTTGCAGCCTACCACCCTCAAGGCTCCTTTCCTTGAGCAATTCACCGACGACTGGCAGGCGCGGTGGAAGCCTTCGACCGCGAAGAAGGACGACACCAAGTCCGATGACGAATGGGCCTACGTTGGTGAATGGGCCGTTGAAGAGCCCACTGTCCTCAAGGGTATCGATGGCGACAAGGGTCTGGTCGTGAAGAACGCTGCCGCTCACCACGCCATCTCCGCCAAATTTCCCAAGAAGATTGACAACAAGGGCAAGACCTTGGTGGTTCAGTACGAAGTGAAGCCGCAAAGTAAGCAATTGCAACCCAAACTGACTCCTGATTACATGCGCTAACCGCGTTTCTTTGATTAGACTCCCTCGTTTGCGGTGGTGCCTACCTGAAGCTCCTCCAGGAGAACAAGAAGCTCCACCAGGAGGAGTTCTCCAACGGCACTCCCTATGTCATCATGTTCGGTCCCGATAAGTGTGGAGCCACCAACAAGGTTCACTTTATCTTCCGCCACAAGAACCCCAAGACCGGCGAGTACGAGGAGAAGCACCTCAAGACTCCCCCGTGGCCCGTACCAACAAGGTCACCTCCCTCTACACCCTGATCGTCAAGCCCGATCAGACCTTCGAGATCCTCATCAACGGCGAGTCCGCCAAGGCCGGCAGCCTCCTCGAGGACTTCAACCCTCCCGTCAACCCCGAGAAGGAGATTGACGACCCCAAGGACTCCAAGCCCGCCGACTGGGTTGACGAGATCCAGATCGCTGACCCCGAGGCCACCAAGCCTGCCGACTGGGACGAGGATGCCCCCTTCGAGATTGTCGACGAGACCGCCACTCAGCCCGCCGATTGGTTGGAGGATGAGGCCACCAGCATTCCTGACCCCGAGGCCGAGAAGCCCGAGGACTGGGATGACGAGGAGGATGGAGACTGGCTCGCCCCTACCGTTCCTAACCCCAAGTGTGCTGATGTCTCCGGCTGTGGTCCCTGGACCCGCCCTCTGACCAAGAACCCCGAGTACAAGGGCAAGTGGGAAGCTCCCCTCATTGACAACCCTGCCTACAAGGGCATCTGGGCCCCCCGTAAGATCAAGAACCCCGCCTTCTTCGAAGACAAGACCCCCTCCAACCTTGAGCCCATGGGAGCCATTGGCTTCGAGATCTGGACCATGCAGAGTGATATTCTGTTCGACAACGTCTACATTGGTCACTCCGTTGAGGATGCTGAGAAGCTCCGCCAGGAGACCTTTGATGTCAAGTTCCCCATCGAAGAGGCCGAGGAGGAGGCCACTAAGCCCAAGCCCGAGGTCAAGGAGGACGGCACCACCACCACCTTCCAGGAAGACCCCGTTACCTTCGTCCGCCAGAAGGTCAACCACTTCGTTGAGCTGGCCAAGGAGGACCCCGTCCACGCTGTCAAGGCTCTTCCCGAAGTTGCTGGTGGTCTCGGTGCCCTTCTGCTGACCATGATCCTCATCGTGGTTGGTGCCATCGGTGCCAGCAGCCCCGCCCCCACTGAGAAGAAGGGCAAGGCCCCTGCCAATGCGCCCAAGGAGAAGAAGGATGAGGCTGTCAGCTCCTCTACCGAGACCAGCAAGGGCGGCGCCACTAAGCGCAACACCCGATCCTCCGCGGAGTAAATGCAATTGGCAGCCAATTGCATGGAGGACAGAAATTTACCCAATAAACCCAATCAGCGAAGAGCTTTACATCCAATTACCGCAGTGATCCCCCTCTTGTTATCTTGGCCGATGTAGTTTGAATGGAGGCCTGATTTGTATACTTTCCCAGTTTGTCATTTCCCGATTATTTCTAGCCGCTTTTCCGGAGACAATTGCAATTTATTTTTGAAGACCACTTTAAGAGCCCCATAACCGTACCCCATAACTGTAACCGATGAATCTCAATCCTATTGTATGAATAAAGTAGCCAAGCGTGGAGGTCCAAACAGGAAATACCTTCCAAATCGGATTAGCCTTCCTAGGGAGGACGGACATCGGAAACAATGCCGTAGACTGCTCCAGCGATTAAAGCTGTCGGCGATTCGTGTCGATTGTCGATGTCTGATTGGTTGAACACGCCGAGCAGCAGCTTATCTGGGGGAAGTCCAATGTATGGGGAATCGCTAACTTACTAAGGCGGTTGACCTCGGGCCTGGGGTAACCCAGTTTATGAACTCATTCCTAAACCCTTCGACCGTGTCCACTTCTCTCTTCTTCTCCTACTTAATCCTTGTATTTCCCATTGAGAAACATCCTTTCACTTTCATTCTCTCCAATCAATTCACCATGGCTGCTTGTCGGTCAGTTGCCCGCTCCCTCCCCGCTCTCCGCGCACTTCCCCGCACGCCGACGGTGACCGCCAGGGCTGCACGCTCAGTCCGATCTATGACTACTGCGTCTTCCCTCCTCTCCTCCTCTTCCCGTAAAGTAACCATGGCTCCTTCATCACTTTCCGCAACCCGTGGTCTGAAGACCACTGCCCACAAGTTTGCTCCTTCAACGACCTCGGCTGTCTCAACCGCTACCGAATACCCGACTAGCCACAAGAAGATCACCAACCCAATCGACACCGCCAATTTCATTGACAACCAGTTTGTCTCGTCTAAGGCCGCTACATGGATTGACCTCCATGACCCTGCTACCAACAACCTGGTCACTCGTGTCCCTCAGAGCACAGATGAGGAGCTAAAGGCCGCCGTGGAGTCGGCCGAGAAGGCCTTCCCCGCCTGGCGGTCAACCAGCATTATGGCTCGCCAGCAGATCCTCTTCAAGTTCACGAGTCTGATTCGTGAACACTGGGACCGTCTGGCTGCCTCTATTACCCTCGAGCAGGGTAAGACCTTCGCCGATGCCCGCGGTGATGTTCTTCGTGGCTTGCAGGTCGCCGAGACCGCCTGTGGAATCACTACCCAGATGACCGGTGAGGTCCTCGAGGTAGCTAAGGATATGGAGACCCGAAGCTACCGCGAGCCTCTCGGTGTCGTGGCTGCTATCTGCCCCTTCAGTAAGTTGGATTGCCACGGTCACCACTACGATATATGCTAATTCCTGCTCAGACTTCCCTGCCATGATTCCTCTTTGGTGTATCCCCGTTGCAGTTGCAACTGGTAACTGTTTGGTCATGAAGCCTTCCGAGCGTGACCCCGGCGCTGCGATGATTCTGGCTGAGCTCGCCGCCGAGGCTGGCTTCCCCCTGGTGTTCTCAACATCATTCACGGCTCTGCCCGCACCGTTGACTTCATCCTTGATGAGCCCGCCATCAAGGCTATTAGCTTCGTCGGCAGCAACCGTGCTGGCGAGTACATTTACTCTCGCGGTTCTGCCAACGGCAAGCGTGTGCAGGCTAACCTCGGCGCTAAGAACCACGCCGCTGTCCTGCCCGACGCCAACAAGAACCAGGCTCTGAACGCTATTGTTGGTGCTGCCTTCGGTGCTGCCGGTCAGCGCTGCATGGCATTGAGCACCTGCGTTATGGTTGCGGAGACTAAGGAGTGGCTGCCTGAGATTGCTGAGCGTGCTAAGGCTCTGAACGTCAACGGTGGCTTTGAGGAGGGTGCCGACCTCGGCCCTGTCATCAGCCCCGAGAGCAAGAAGCGCATCGAGGACCTCATTGCCAGTGCCGAGGAGGAGGGTGCCACCATCCTTCTCGATGGCCGTGGATACAAGCCCGATGGATACCCCGATGGCAACTTCGTAAGTTTATATACATACTTCCATCCACCAAAATATCAGCTAACATCTTTTAGGTTGGCCCTACTATTATCACCAACGTCACCACCGACATGAAGTGCTACAAGGAGGAGATCTTCGGACCCGTCCTTGTATGCTTGAACGCCGAGACCCTCGACGACGCCATCAACACAATCAATGCCAACGAATACGGCAACGGTGCCGCCATCTTCACCCGGTCTGGCTCCACCGCCTCCAAGTTCCAGAAGGAGATCGAGGCCGGCCAGCTCGGTATCAACGTGCCCATCCCTGTCCCTCTCCCCATGTTCTCCTTCACCGGTAACAAGAAGAGTATCGCCGGCGGCGGTGCCAACACTTTCTACGGCAAGCCCGGCTTGCAATTCTATACCCAGCAGAAGACTGTCACCAGCTTGTGGAAGAGCGAGGATGCTGTGAGCACCAAGGCTAGCGTTGTTATGCCTACTCACTCTTGAGCAATTTGTTCTTGTCTTCTGCTCTTAGCTAATCATTGGCATCTTGTCTGTTCTTTTTCAAAATTTGCGCTTTATGGATATCATGAACCCCGGATCAGGTTTTAGGTTTATATCAGTTTGTGAATATACATCGACTTTACAAATTGAGTTATTGGATCCCCTAAGTATAATTCTCTGTTCACGGCTTAGCTCCCTCGACCAATCATGTTTCAGAGTGATTACAAAAATTATAGGCGGCAACTCGATCAAAGCAACGAAGCTTGTTTCAGAAGCCCGCGTCAATGATTTATCTCTAAAGGTCACAAAATTGCTCAAGGACTGCACGATTGATGAACTCGATCACAGTGGGGATGTCGAATCGGTGACTGAGCAGGTAGCGACATCGAACATTGAATTGCAATCTCCCTCTCCACAAGGCTACACGCCTACATGGATCCAGATGGTCTCTGTGACCACTGTTGCTGGGTTACCCGAAGGAAACTATGTTAATGTTGTCATTGACTTCAGAGGACGCTTGGATCTGGTTCGATTCAGAAAGGTATGTCAATCTCTGGTGCAGAAGAATGAAAATTTGCGCACTCAATTTAGTCTTCAAAATGGTACCATCGAAGCCATTGTCCGGGACGATTTGGAAGTGCCATTCTTGCATCTCACTTCTCAATCAGAAGCACTTGAGCACTGGGAATCCGTTCCATCGAGCTGTTTCGATCGGCAGCTTGCGAGCTTTTCTTACATCGTCATGGATGACGATTCGACACACTTTGCACTGGGTATTCAGGACAGCCAGTGTAATGCATGGACAGTCACACTCCTGCTTCGTCAACTGCAAAGCATTTACCATGGCCATGAGGTCTGTCCTGGTCCATCTTTCTCGGCGTTCGCAGCAAAAGTGCTTCTAGCGACAAATCCTGAAGCTGAAAACTTTTGGAGAAAGCACTTGGCAGACTTGCCCATGACTATACTGAGTGACAATTCCGCTGAAGGCGATGAGCCAGACATAATTTTCAAAAAGTCCCTCAGATTGTCGCCGTCAGGGTTTACATTCGCCACTCTGATAAGTTCCGCATGGGCACTCGTCTTGTCAAAGCATGCCAAAAAGGAAAGAGTCGTCTTTGGCGGAGCGGTCAGTGGAAGAAATATTGACATGGAGGGTATTTTGGATGTTGTTGGGCCATGTATCAACATGCTCCCGCTCCCCATCGACGTCACCAAGTGCGAAACATATCTCGAGGTCTTGCAGAGTGTGCAAGATACGATGATAGCTGCTGTCCCGTACGAGTCCATGCCGATGCCAGACATCATCACGCGCTGCACAGACTGGAGCCCCACGGCTGTTCTCGGATCTATTGTTCAGCACCTCGATATTACCTTCGACCTCCCTGTTGTTTCACAGTCCCCATCTGAGGGAGACTCCGGCATGCTAGAGTGGAAATATCTGCAGATGAAGAAACGCTATGGGCGTTGTCGGGCTACTGACATTTATATATTCTCAACCACCTCGCGGGAAGGTTTCGCAGATATACAGGTCAAGTTCAATCCGTCACGCATTACGCAGGGCTTAGGTGAAGTCTTGTTTGCTGATCTTTGTGGAAACATTGAGGCTGCGTTGCAGAGTCCAGAGATGAAGATACCGAGAGACCTTTGAGGCAGCTTTCACAGACGGATTTAGATAAATTTGCAGCCTAGTCAGATTTGGGGTTCCATGTCTTTTTGCTTAATTACAAGTATCACGCTGCGATGTTTATCTTGAGTTCTAATGCTGAACATGAAGAGACTCTACCTAAGACTTTGGTATAGGCCCGGGGTGATATCAGCCTGGAGCCTGCGTTGTTGCTTACATATCAACTCTGGTCAGCTTGACGAATCTTCCAACGCCCTAGACAGGCGGCCTGTAGGTCTATGGCTTTTTTCTAGATTCGTTTCAAGGCTTGCTGTTACATTCATGATGATATTTGCCCATATCACAAGATCTGTCTTGTCATGTGCATATGGATGCTTGCCTGTTTGCCTGTTTCCTTCTTGCTTGTTTGCTTGCTTGGAGCTATATCTACCTCACACTCATGTCCATCATAGATTTCCCCTTCATCATACCTAGCCACGAGAAAATCCAAGCATGTCTCTGGAATCCACTTCAGCGCAGGAATTCCTTGAACGATTTGAGTCCCCTCCTTCTACCTCGGAAAGCACAGATGCACTGAACAACGAGCTATTGGTACTTCGCGATTCAGAGTTGGGCCCACGCCTTGATCGTGCAATGCGTGAAGGCGAAGACATCCGTTACCTGTACCAAGCTATGCAGGATGCCGTTTGGATGAAACGAGAGACCCTCGTCAAGGAGCTCCTCAGGTGCAAAATGCCTATCTCGTCCACCTACGTACAGACGGCTGCCGAGGCAAAGGCGAAAAATATCTTGACAATCTTCTTTGACAACGGCTGGGATATCAATACGCCCTTGGATGAACTGACTCCACCTGTCCTTGCGTGAGAATCTATTCCCTATTCTATCCCTTCCCAGCTAAACTAAGTCGATTCTATTCTAGTTCTGCCCTTGAAGACAGAGAGATGACAGAATGGCTCCTTGATCGTGGCGCTGATCCGAATATGCGATGTGAACTCGACTACACCCCCTTACCCATGCTGTTCAAATGTTTGATGTGCCGACTGTCGATCATCTACTTGATCGTGGTGGGGATGTTAACAAAGGCGAGTTGGTATACTGGGCCATTGGTCGATACCGTGAAGAAAACCTCGAAATGGTCAAATTTCTGATTGACCGAGGTGCTCCCTTCAATGCTCTTTTGCATGAGAATCATGAGCATTCTCGTCGGTTGTTCCCTCACTATACACGGACTCCTCTCCACCTCGCGGTGTCCTCGAAGAAACATAACGTGATTCGTTATTTGATCCAGAAGGGTGCAAGTGTCGATATCAAAGATTACAAGGATAAAACAGCTGTGGAGTGTGCAGATGAGGACACACGAAAGATCATCATGGCGGAGATTCAGAAAAGAAGTCAGTAACTTGCGATTTGGTGACATGATCCAGTATCAACAAGGCTATTTCGCAAGTATCTAGTCACATTGCTTGTTTCCAAGGTTCCTTCGTCTTTTTCCCTAGGATCACTCGCTACCAACCTAACAATCTCATAAGACATTTGAGCCTTCAGGGCTACCACTACCGAGAATTTAAGTAGTCAATTTTATCTTTCAATTCCAAGGTTCCACCATTTGAGCCTCTACCTAGCCCCAGGAGACCATGAAATTCATAAGCAACCTTGGAAGTTCTAACCTCGGAACCCTATGGCTAGGTTGAGACCAACCTCATTATTATTTGTGGGTGTGTCAAACCCAGCTCAGAAACACCTGGACATCTTCGAAGGGCTTTGCACACCCATTAAACATCCATGGATAGTTTTAATCTGCACATTGAGTCCAGCTTTTGAATGTGCCCCAAAGCAAAACACAATACTCTCGATAAAGGTCTAAAATAAACGCTATGTTGATTTCAAAGATAAGACTAGCTTCTCAATTTCCCAGGTGCATGCCAGCAGTACCCACGAAAATAATCTATTCTTCAACCCGACGAGCCTGGAAAGTGTAAACAAGTCTGGCCAGCTCGACCTGGCCATTCTTCGTCACCACAACACGGCGAGTGTGGAGTCTCTGACCATCAATGATCTCAAAGCCCCAGACTTGCTCAGCAGTCCAGCCAGCTTCGGCATTCTGCACAAAGCTCTGCATGAAAGCCTCCTCTTCGAGGAAACCATCGCTCTTCGATCCGTCGACCAACGTCTCACCCTTCAGGAACTTGGCGACTCGCGCATCATCCTCGGGTTTGCCGACGGAGGATTGGATGTCAAGATCCTCGATCTTGGCGAAGTGGCGCGATTGGCCGACCAACTTGCCAAAGATGTGGTCGGTGTGCTCTCGCTGTTGCCAGTCAAGAGTACGAGATTCCTTAGTGCCCTGGATTCCACCAGTGAGAACAGACTGGCCGTCGACATGGAAGATCTCAGGTTTTTCGCTGTCTGGGTACTGGTGGATGTAGATGGTCACTTTGGCGAGGGAGAGAGCCTTGCGCGTGATCCAACCCATTCCTTGCTAAGGATTGTCAGTGGGGTATACTGTGGGTTTCGATTTATGTATTTGGACAAGGGGGTAGTTAGGTGTTTCGGGGTTGTGACGCTTTGGGTTTCACTCAATTTTGAGTTAGGGCTTCGGGGATTCATACCAGAGCGAGAACAGGGTCTGTCGGGCTGGACAAAGCGGACTCCTGTTATGAATGAGCTTGAGGACCATGGAGTGTGTGAGTCGTTCATTGTACCATTGCCCATTCACCGCTAAGGTTCTTGATAGTGACGTCTGCTGGAACGGCCATTTTGGAAGTAGCTATAGCTCGGGATGCGGGGTAGAGAAGCTTGGAATGTGTAGGATGAGCTGGAGATCAATTGAAGATGTTTAAGGAGACAAAATTCAGAAGAGGAACTGAATAGTTATATACTCCGGTACTTGAGGAAGAACTACGGAGCACCTGCGAGCTTGTCTGTCGTCAATTGCATGTGGTCGTGGGGGGTCCGAGGCTTGACACGTGCTTTTGCTGACTAACCACCTCGTCACCCCGGGGCCTCCTATGTTTACCCTCTCCGATGCGGAGCTGCAGTCCAAAATGGCCTTCAACAAGAAATATGCCGGATTGCCGGACTTGGTAAGCTAGCCTCATTTAATCCCCTCAATTTGGACGCTGCTGACGTCCCAGGATCCATCCCCGGATATTTACGAAACCCCCGACCTGACCGATGAAGCATCCACCCTCCCCGTAAGTGCAACTGAACAAGACGTCATTGGCGATAACTGATCATGGCCAGACGGGGACCATCCGCACTGAATCCGACCATGACGACTCCAGCTCCGACATTGACCGTGAGGGCGTCAACGCAGACCAAGCGCGTTTGCATTTCATGGGCGCGGCCGTGGATGCCCGTGATGCCAATTTCTCCGACAGCATCTCAATGAAGCGTCAGGCATATCGGAGCAAGGATACGAACCGTCGCCGGAAACGCACAGATGGCACAGAGGAGGTTGGGGACCTAAGTGACAGCGAAGACGAATCGGTGGAGCGCAGACTGGCACGGTTGCGGAGAGAAGTCGAAGATCTCAAAGTGGAGATGGCCAACCAGAAGACCGAGGGCGATGCGTCACAGAACACCACTGAAAAGACAGAAGATTTGGGCGATGGTGTTGCGGAGCTGAGCCGCGCCTTGGACAATCTTCACGCTTCGCGAGGCGCCACGCCATCGCACTCGGCTGCTGCATTGTTGTCACAGAAACTTGGATCCGGAGCGGCGCCAGATGCAAAGTCCCAAGCTTCAGGCACACCTGCCGTTGCCTCGGTTGCAGCGCCCCAGCCTGCCTCTGCGGGCATTCTCTCCCATGCAGCGGCATTTGACAGCCGACTAGCCCTTCTCGAGAGCTCGATAGGCATCTCCAATTCTTCAAATCCGTTTGTTGCCGATGGAATTAACGACACAACGCCACACCCCGTCATCCCAGCCCTGGATCAACTCACCTCCCGACTGTCAGCCCTCACCGGCCTTCTGGTCGGTACGAACCCAACCTCAGGCGCACCCAGCGGCCCGGGAATGACAACCCCACACCTCGAAGCTCTCTCGACTCGCGTGCGAAAGTTAACAACAGACGCCGAAGCCCTGACTGCAGCGCGCAGAAAGGCATTCGACGCCGCGAAAGCAGCACATAATGCTCGTCTGGCGAGCTCAGACGCTGATACACCCGCAATGGACGCATCGGCAGATGACGAACACACAGCCAAGATCCAGGCTCTCTACGCTACCCTCCCAACCATCCAATCCTTACACCCCTTGCTCCCCAGTGTTCTTGAGCGTTTGCGCTCCCTCCGTGCTTGTCATGCTGGCGCGGCCCATGCTGCTGAATCTCTTGATGAATTAGAGAAGCGCCAGGCGGAGATGGCATCGGAGATCGAACAGTGGCGAGAGGGACTGACCAATGTGGAAGAGAAAATGCGACAAGGCGAAGCTGCTCTACGCTCCAATGTTGAGACCGTTGAGCCCTGGGTGAGGGATTTAGAATCTCGCCTCGGGCGTCTTGAAGCGCCGGGGCAGTGATTTGCTTCATCTACTTTTGATCCGGTTTGAATAATACCCAGTTAGCATATGCCTCGAATATGGGGGCTTATGTGTTTTAAGTTTGTCAATATTCCCATCCATATCAGTGAACAAAACCAAAATATTCTTTTCATTCAAGTATAAATAAGCTCTCAATCAAGCTCTTACACGTTTTAGAATCTGAACCCTAGGCTCCATCCTCGGCTCAATCCACCACCCACGCAGCAAAGCTCTCGCATGCTTGCGAATAACCTCAAAGAGCTCGATCGCACGCGTACCGCCAATAGAGCCAAGAATGTGTCGCTCAGCAATACCAGTAGCCGGAACACCAGGTCTCAAGACCGAGATCCCAGTAAATCCATTCACAACATATACACTCTCCCACGCAGAGGTCGGCAGTGCAAGACGGAGTCTGCCCTCGTCTGTATCCAGCGACTTTTCATCCAGCGAAGCCTCCAGGACAACATAGTCGAACCGATCCCAAAATTCACCTGTTGACTTCATGCCCTCGTCTTCTGTTTTATCATATACCCAACCCGACGAAGAATCTTGCTGTAAGAAACGTGTCACGCCAGTCTGGCAAGCCAGGTTACCCAAGTAGACATTGATATCCGACTGCGCGGAGATATCTTTGGACAAAGCGTGTTGACGGTGCAGAGCATCAATCGCTTGTCCACCAGGGTAATTAGCGGCGGATGCAGGTAAGAGAACGAGACTCGATAGCAAAAACACGCCGAAGGAAGAGACCACGAGAGCCCGCGTCGCCCAGCGCGCAAAGAAGGAACGCGAGCGGTGGGTCCAGAGGAATCCGGCGCCCAAAGCCGCAACGGACGTCAAAGACGGGATTACATAGATAATGAACCGCCACTCCTTGTGAGGCTGGAAGCTATAAAGTGCAACAAAAGCCACCGCCGGAATGAGGAGTGCGGCTGCGCTCTTCCGTGTAGCAGGTTGTCTTAAAGCCACTGGGATAGCGAGGAGATAGGAAAGGGGATTGAAGAGGAGGCGGGGGAGCGCGTTGAAAAAGTAGAAAGACCAAGGCTCTGTTCCCCACTCTGACGATTGGCCGGCCAGCACATTGAAGCGGAAAGCTTCGAATTCAGGCCACAGTGGGAAGCTCTGCCAGAAGGCTCCGTCTATGCAGACTGTCAAGGCGAGGCCGCTGACCAGACCGACCAGACCTGCGAATATGGCTCTGGGGATAGTGACTTGGCGTGTTGCGAGGAGGAATAGAGTCTGGGTCCCGACTAGAAGGGCGAGTTCGGAGCGGAAGACTATACCTGCGATCGTGAGGAGGACCAGAGCGAGACTTCGCTGGTTTGGAGATAAATTCGGTCCGGGCAGAAGAAGCGTGAATGCTATGTTCGTCATGCCGAAGGCGAACATGTTTGATAGTAGTCGGGACGCATAGTATATGATGTGGAACTGGCTTGCTTGGAGGATGATGTACCAGATAGCTACGGGCTGGCCGAAGCTGCGGCGCAATCCATTTGCATAGATTGCCAGAGATGAGGCATTGAAAAGTCCCAAAATCCCTCGAACTGTAGGTGCTGTCAGTTGGAATGTAGTATTGAGTTGGGGTCCACGGGTGTCATGGTACCTAATAGCTGTTGGTTGATGCCCGCATTGAACCAGATCACAGGCTTGGAGAGCAAAGCAAGTCCCACAGCACCTAGGGCACTCCGGGGAACTGCCCCTGGAAAGGCGAAATGGTCATAATTCGTCCGATTGAGAGTCAAATCATTCCAACCCTTAGGCAGACCGTGAGCTATCAGGTCATGCGCAGCCTGAACATGGAAGGACTCTTCGACTTTGGTATAAGGAGCGACGAATAGATGCAAGAGAATCAAAGCCGGAAATAGAAGAGCGAGGAACGCAGCTGCTAGAATCAATTAGTCAAGACGTGCGCGCATGTATAGAGTCAACGAACCAAATCCCATGGTGACTTCCGAGGAGAGAGTTGCGGAGATCTGGCGGCTTCCCGCACCTCACCTTAACATCATCCGCAACTCGACGCAATGTTTTTCTTCGGCCTGGGGAAGCTGTTTTATGGTATGTGTACGTTCCTATCATGATGAAGCTCTGCTAATCTTCATAAAGTCATTATCCTCATCATCAATGCCATCGCTATCCTCTCCGAAGACCGCTTCCTAGCTCGCGGTATGTCCCACCTACCCACCTCGCGAAACAGCTCTAACGGATAACTAGTCGGATGGGGTCGCACGCAAGCAGAGCCTGGATTTGGCGCGTCATACGATAGTACAAGTGTCAAGGCCAAGACCATCAATCTTATCGCGAGTGTGCGCACCGTGATGCGAAGTACGTTTTCCCCTCTGAACCCCTGCCTCGTTGATTCTTGGGACTTGGAATACTTGGAGATGGCCTCGATGTACTGACCAGTCTACTACCAACAGTACCTCTTATCATCATCAACACCGTCATCATTGTGTACGAGCTGATCCTCGGTTAAATACGCCGCGCCGTCTACCTCTCCACCGCGAGCCGAATGCTACTGAAACTGATCACCCACACTTGAACTCTCCAATCTCGTATTCCAGCGACTCGCGCAACCTCTATACCCCTCCCAGTCGAATGGAAGTCAGAAACATCCAAGGCAACACCAATCGCGACACGATCCACGTGACCGATCTCATTGGACTGTGATGATATCCTATAGGGATAACACAATTGTACCACCTTACTTGGCCCACGGAAGGCATTGGCTACATCTGCCTGGGAACCTGCTTTGGACACAGTTCTGTATATAGATGCTAGAACTGACGCAATGAACGAGATACGGCAATGTGAAGGACGAGGATTCTAGTTGGATTACGTTGTATATGTATTCCGTACATGTATGCCAACCCTCTTTCTTTTCAGCAGCACAAGACAAGCAAGGCATCTATACGTATGGGACGAGATGCAAGTAAGAAGAGTCGAAACGATTCGCTTTGCAATGAGATAGAAGAAGAAACAACACCTGAGACCAACCCACGCTAGGAAAAGAAAACAAAACCAGAAAGATGAACGCCTCTTGTTGAACTCAGGTATCACGCGTTCATGATACAGCAGGAAATGATACAGCAGGAAGGAAAGAGAAAAAAAAAGATGGAAAGAAGAAGCGCGATATCCGACAAGATCCAAAAGAATCTAGAAAGACATTGTGGAAGAACCACGGGAGAATGGCAAGATCATGACTGATAATACATCCTTGGGGAAGCTATGTGCAAAGCAGAAGCACTCGTATATGCAGGTGCAGGGGTATCTCCGGAGTCAGAAGTAGGACGGAACGGGGACTGGGTGTTCAAGAGACTTTCTTGAAACTGAATGATCGCCACCGGTGAGTGGGCTTATCGGGCGTGTGATGATCTTTGTTAAGGGGATCGTTGCCCCGAATTGGCTTATGGTTGGAGATTGGAGGGAATTCCCGTGGCGAGACGGGGGATTGAATGGGTGGAGAGACAGGGCTTGGTTTGATAGGCTTGGGTGCTGTTGGTTGTGCTTCTGTCGGCGCTTCCGGGACGGATTCGGGGAGAAGGGGTGAGGTGGAGAGATCTGATGTCGAGACTCGAGGCTCTTTGTCCTTGTTGAGCCGTTGGCTGAGACTGCGACTTCCTCGCTTGAGGAACCCGAAGCTTGTTGACTTTCTGGGGGATCCATTCTCAGTGCCGACATCATTTGCATCGGCTTTGCTGGCCTCGATGGCTTTCCTCAACTCCTCGGCCTCTCGCCGCTGTCTCTCTCTGTTCTGTTGCTCTTGTTCTTTCTGCCGAGTCTTTTCATTCTTATCCTTCTCTTTTTCCAAAGCACGCCGTTCTTTTCGCAGTTGGTGGTCACTCTTCTTCGGGCTCAACGGAGGGGTCGGTTCATCGGGGATCGGCGGTAGAGGTGGCTGAGTGGGTTGCACAGGCTGAGGGGAAGTTGGCAAAGGTGGCATGGGCTCCGAGGCTTCTTCTGGGTATGTGGATAGTGGAGGTGCCGTGGGGATGCGTTTGAGGGGAGTATGGCGAGAGGAGTCATCAGAAGGAAGCTGCGTGGCGCTTTGTGCATGAGATAGCGGAGTCGAGAGCGGGTAACCATTCTGTTTACCGGCTTCGCCCGCTTCAGGAACTGTGCCGGTGGATGCCTGGTCTTCTTGGGCTTGCTCCCGCATCACGGCCTCGAGGGTGGTCTCTTGATAGAACAGGACATAGGCACACGCCAATCCAGGGCGGTCTCCGAAGAAATTGCGTACATAGTTTTTGTCAACCGGTTCCACAAGCTCGTCATCGAACAGCAGCCAGCCGCGGTCCTCGGTCTTGATAATGGCAACGTAGTGTCCGTGGTATGGTCCACCACCGATGTGAACCACCACCGCGTACAATTCATAGAGACGATCTGGGTCTTCGGCATCATCTGTGGTGTTGAACAGACGAAGGTGGTAAGGATACACGACACGATGGAAGAGTTTCTGCAGGCGTTGCAGATCTTCTGTATACTTGAAACGCTTCAGATGCAAAGCCAACACACGGGGCAATCTTTTGATCTTCATACGCTTCTCCGCTTCCTGAAGACCTCCGCAGTTGTCGCAGTGGAATTTGTTGCGCTCGCAGAGCATTTCCTCCGCCGAGAACTTGCGGAGACACGAAGTCACTGATGAGTGTTGTTCTAGATCGACCGATAGATCGAGAAACACCTCGTCTCGTTGTGAGACCTTCTCACAAGTGAGACACTTTGTCTCGGATGTCAAAGTGCCCTCGAACAGCTCATGAACCCATCTCGTAGTATTTGGCGATTTCGAACCCGCCGGTGCCAGCATCCCAAGAGAGTCCGCGCTCTCGGTGGGTGGCAAGGCCTTCTCCGCGAACGCTTGTTTTGTGGCTTCCGTTTCGACGTTGGCGACGACTTCATTGAGCAGTAGATTCAAGAACTCATGTGCATCCTGATGCATCGCAGAGCGGAACATTTCATGTTCTCGCCGGAGGACGTCTAAAAACTGTTGTGGGCGCACCACGCCGATGCGCGATTGACTCCCCGCCACCGACTCAAAGATGTCCTTGAGCGAGGTGAAGAGCGATTCCGACATTCCGTAACTAGCCGCATTGTTCTTTGTTTCCAATATCGGGAGAGTCTGCAATGCTACCTTCTTCTTGTATTCTGCCGAGTCCTTATCTTCTGGCTTCTGCGGTTGGTTCGGGGGTGCGCCCGCCTGGCGCGCCGAGGGTGGCGAGGCGGCCTTCTGCTTCGCTGCCAGTGCCTCGGCCTCGAGATATGCGGTGGGATTCTGGTATCGTAGGTTCGTTGCGAGGGCAGCCTCGAGGCTTTCGAGTGGCGTTCGTTGCGGGTAGTTGATGACGGCTTCGCGGAAGGGCACTGAATAGTAGAGACATTGGAGGATGGAATTACAGTAGCAGGTATTGCCGTACTGAGCGCGAACGCAGCATGGTCAGCGTGTCACTCGTGAATTGGGGCAGGCGCACACTCACATTCTCCATGCCAAAGAACTTGTCGCTGCCATCGTCACGGATCGCCCCCAGATCCTGTAACCTCTTTTCCAGCGGGGAGATCTGCGGGGCGATGTCTTTTTTCACGGGCGGCGCTGTAGCCGTGGGGTTGGAGGCCTACGCGGAGTCACGGTTAGTCTCAATTCCAATGGCTCTCGCGGAGTGCTTGAGGCGTCTGCTGTGCTACAAGGTGCCGGCTTACCCCATTCTTCGAGCCTTTAGAGAAGAGCCCCTTCATGATGGCTTAGTGAGTGGTGGCAGTCGGCATTGGTGAAAGAGAGTAATCTGGAAGAGCCGGGGAAATGGACTAGTTCGGATACGTTGAACGTGTTCCCATAAAGTTTGGGGCGGTCCACGGGTGGGAATGGGAAGTGATCGGAGGAGAGAGAGAGAGAGTCCGTCAAGCGCAGGGTGAAGCGGAAGAGAAGGGTTAGAGAGGAGTATGGAGTAGTAAGGTAGTGAGTATAAAGAGCCGAGAGGGGAATAGGAACCAAGCGATATCACATATTGTCTTAATACGGGAGAACTCTCAGGTAACCAAATTACTGCGGAAACGTCCAGAAGGCCACTCCGCATCCTTTCTTGACCTACCCTTTTCATCCTAGCCCGTTGAAGCCACGTGGAGACAGGTACAGGAGTACTCCAATCGCCGATTTTCTTATTTTCCTTTTGTTTTGTTTTGACGTACTATCTACTTGGCTTGTACAATGTGAACTTCGACTTATCTTGGGGCTAACAGTCTGTCGGAATGCGAAACTCGAGGCTTCCGGCGGTACCGCAGCCCCCAATGCCCATCCTCCACTCATTGGCCGACGCCCTTCCCCAGTGGTCTCCCCACGTCCATGGGACAGAATCCCCTCTCCGGCCATTGGAGCCATGAACTCAGTCCGCTCCGCTCACTTGATTGGCCCCTGCCCGCCCTCGCTCACGGGCCATGTGTCCGCCCCTCGCATGGCGTGCCGCAACGGCCAATGGTTATTCACGCCGTGGAGCAAAAAAAAAAGTGGCGGTGGCCCCGGTCCTTGAAACGGACGAGATGTGTTCCTTGCGGATGAATCAAGGCTCTCTCTCACATCGTAAGTCATCGTAAGATGTTCTCAGATTGCTTGATACTTTTCATCCGCAAGGGGTGAAAAAGACCACCTGGATTCCACGCTGCTCGGCCGCCGTCCGCGCGATCTATTCGCGGCACGTCGTGCATATCAATTTCATTCTCGGTTCCAATAGGCCCGTCCAGCCACTCCTTTGTTCCCCGTACTCCGGACACTGTGCACGTTCCCGTGTAATGAGGGACTGTGGTCGGCATTGACGTTGGAATATGAATATACCGTACATGCGTACTCCGTACAATGAAAGGAGATCATCCTCCTGGAGGGGGGGCATCTACATAAACACCCTATGAGATCGGGCCAATTTAAACGAGGTATCTAGGCGGCAATGCAGGAGACCATTCAAGGCGCTCCGTCCGTTGCCGGATCCGTACAAAGTGGGGGTGGCGAGGCATAAGCTTGACTTTCCAAGGGGCTCGTACTTGTAGGAAAAAAGGCGCACGTTGAAGACCGGCAATTCAAGATAGGAAAAAGCAACCAAATACTAGCGCTCCAAGTAGTATCCCGACATGACATGGAAATGCCCGTTCTATGTACGCTAGTTCCGATCAATGACGTTGCCCGGGGCTGTGGAGTAGATCGGATTGTCCCGAATGGGTGATTTCCTGCGTACTGCATGTATAAAACGGGCAAGTATGGTCCCTCTACTCCGTATTACACTCTGGACCTTGCTGTATGACATCGGAATGCAGTGCCTTGAAACACAAAGGCAAATGGCGCCTTTTTCATTTTCGCGCATAAGCCGCATGAGTCATTTTCTTGAGGTTGCAATCAGGTTGCAATCAAGGGAACTGTGTAAATCCGGGGAATTTAGCCACTGTATATCATCAAGAGGTCAGTGCCCCATGTGTATGGATCCATGGCTCTTGGGGCGACCTGCGCGCGAGACCTGTAGGCTCTCTGGTTTTTCAACGCCAAAGTATGGATGTGTTGGTTGGCTTCGCCGGGAAGACACACCTAACTGACGACGTTGTAAGGTAGCATTTTGTATGTTCAAGCCACTGGGTAGGACGTGGGATTAAACAGCGCTTGGCTTACGCGCAGCTGGCCGTTACAACAAGGAAGCTCCTTGGAGACCTTGCCGTTGGGCAGTTCTGGAAGTGATCGGAAGAGCCCCATAAACAAACAGAGCAAACACCGCTGATTCATGAAACGGTGTTTGCAACCGGATAAACTCTCGGGGAAATTACCCCAAAACAGCAACAACCACCCAATCAACAGCAGCCTCAGGAGACCACAAGATCCGTGTATGAACCCTGATAATTAGAATTGCGCCGAGTGTCTCTTCTTTTATGACGTCCTGCCGTGTGTCTCTTCGCTCCGTTCGAGCAATTGCCAGTCCAGTTGGCGCGTCACCCCTTCGCCTGAGTCACTGTACCCTGCACCGTCGAGTCACCTTGAATAAAAATAATATCCGAGCCCCCACCATCCCCCACCAAACTTCTCCCCGCCGCAATCGCCAGTTTTCCTCCTCCTCACATCGCACTCAATCCGACGACATGGGAAAAGATAAGGGTCCCACTTTCAACCTCAAGACCCCCAAGGGTACTAGGGATTGGTTCGGTTCCGACACCCTCCTCCGAGACCGCATCTTCAGCACCATCTCGAACGTCCTGAAGAGACACGGCGCAACCGCGCTCGATACCCCCGTTTTCGAACTGCGTGAAATCTTGGCTGGAAAATATGGTGAGGACTCGAAGCTCATCTACGACCTGAAGGACCAGGGCGGCGAGATCTGCTCTCTGCGTTACGACCTCACTGTGCCTTTCGCGCGCTGGCTGGCTATGAACCCCGAAGTCCGCAACATCAAGCGTTACCACGTTGCAAAGGTCTACCGTCGCGACCAGCCTGCCATCCTCAAGGTAAGATAAGACTCGAACCCCCTCAATATGCGTTGACATGGCTTACATTCTCTTCAGGGCCGTCTCAGAGAGTTCGTACAGTTTGACCTGGATATTGCTGGAGTTTACGACCCCATGATCCCCGACTCTGAGATCATCCGAATCATTTGTGAAGTTTTCGAGGCGCTGGGATGGAACGGCCGATACACTATTAAGCTCAACCACCGCAAGATCCTTGACGGTGTCTTTGCCGTGTGTGGTGTGCCAGAGGATAAGATCCGACCTATCTCCAGTGCCGTTGACAAGCTCGACAAGATGCCTTGGGCGGATGTGCGCAAGGAGATGGTCAATGATAAGGGTCTCGACGGCGAGGTTGCGGATCGCATTGAGAAGTATGTGATGAACAAGGGCTCCCGCGAGCTGCTCAACACTCTCTTGCAGGATGAGGCGCTCAACGCCAACCCCATTGCCAAGGCTGGTCTGGACGACATGGCCTTGATGATGGACTACTTGGAGGCATTTGGTGTGTTGGACAAGATCTCCTTCGACATGTCTCTCGCCCGTGGATTGGACTACTACACCGGTGTCATCTACGAGGTTATCACCGAGGGCTCTGCTGGTGTGCAGGCTTCCTCCACTGAGGGCGAGAAGCCCGCTAAGAAGGGCAAGGGTAAGCCTTCTGAGGATGATGACCGTTCCAACGACCCCTCCGTCGGTGTTGGCAGTGTCGCCGCTGGTGGTCGCTACGATAACTTGGTCGGCATGTTCGCGCCCAAGGCCCAGATCCCTTGTGTCGGTATCTCATTCGGTGTTGAGCGTATCTTCTCTATCACCAAGGCACTTCTTGAACAAAAGCAGAACGGCGCCGCTCTGCGCAGCAGCGAGGTCGACGCCTACGTTATGGCCTTTGGTGGCAAGGGCTTCACTGGCATGTTGAAGGAGCGCATGGACATCTGCCAGAAGCTGTGGAATGCTGGTGTCAAGGTAAGCACATCTATTCGTTTGCCTAGGAAAGAAACTGTACTAACACATGTCCAGGCTGAGTTCTCTTACAAGCTGAAGCCTAAGCTTCCTCAGCAATTCAAGGCCGCGGAACAAGGAAACATCCCCTTCGCTATCATTCTCGGCGAGGAAGAGCTTGCCGCTGGCAAGTGCCGCATCAAGGAGATGGGTCTCCCCGAGGGACACCCGGAGAAGGAGGGTGTTGAGGTCACTCTCGACAACCTGGTTTCCGAGCTGCAGACCCGTCTCGCCAGCAAGCAGGATGGACTTGTCGGCTCTCTGGCCGAGCAGCTGAGCAGCACAACTGTCTAAGTCGCCAGGCAGTGCAATATCCCACACCATTTCTCGATCGTCACTTACGTTTGTTTTGTTCTTCTTGTTTCTTTTCCCTTGAGCGTGTTTGTTAGAAGGGTTTCTTCTTCTCAAAATTACATAGATATCTTGCATTGTCAAACCCGGAGCTTGATGGCCTAAAAAAGATCCATGGATATGGGTGTTTTCAAAAATATACCTACATTTGTCAGATCTGGGCATGGAAGTGCCAATACCCAACTCATTACATTCCTATTCCGTTCTCTCTTCGCCAGGCCTGATTAGACTACATGCAGCTCCGAAGGTCACCAATGACCAGCGCAAAAAGCCGGCAGACATGAACCTTGAAACACTTGAAATGCTTGCATAGATCGACAATAGAAGTACAGAGACATACATATACAACAACCCCACACTAATAACTCTCAGCATTCTTCATCAAGAATGACTTGACAAAAGGCAACCGATCTACAACACCCAACCCAACACTCCGAGCCCAAGCAACAGGCCCTTCCCCAGGCACATTGTACATCTTATGGAGCAAGTCACAAGCACCACCGATCTTAGCATTGGGCAAGTACCGCTCCGAAGAATAACGCTCAAGTGTAAGCAAGTCACCAACATCCATACCGTGCGAAACGGCATACTGGATCGTCTTAGACAGAGAAGCCACATCTGCCAGTCCGAGGTTCAAACCTTGGCCCGCGAGCGGGTGAATGACATGTGCAGCATCTCCGACCAACGCGACGCGCGGGGAAACGTACTGCGCAGCATGTCTAAAACGCAAGGGGAAAGAAGCGACTGTTCCATCCTGCACGCCGGTTGCGGGTGGAGGGATTTGGGATGGCAGAGGGGTGTGCTGTGTCCGCCAGGCGAGCTCGTCTTGGTGGGAGATGTCTGAGGTAGAGGGCATGCCCATCATGTAGCTGAGATCCGTCATATCGAGACGGAAGGCTGCGTTGACCATTGCGAGGAAGGAAGGTGTTGAGAGAGACTTGAGGTAAGCTGCGTTCTCGGGTGTAGTGGACCAGACTAGGGTTGCGTGGTTATTTGGGAGGGGGAGGAGGGCAATTGGGCCACCGAGAGCAGGGAGGAAGCGCTGGTAGGCAGTGCGCTTTGAGGCTGGGAAAGGAGGGACGGCAAGATCGCCTAGCGCGAGGGTTGCGACGATGCCATGGCGGCCGTAGTCCCAGCCGTGGGTTGAGATGTCGGCGAATGAGCGGACGGGGCTGTTGATTCCGTCTGCGCCAACGAGGAGGCGGGCTGCGATGCGCTTTGGGGTCGATTCTCCTGGGCCGGTTGGTTTGATGGAGAGGACTGGCCAGGCGGAGAGGTCGGGGCCATCTGGTTTGAGATCTGAGCCGGTTTCGATGGAGGCGACGGTTGAGTTAGAGAAGAGGGAGAGATTCTCGTCGCCGGACTCTGCGATTCGGCGGAGGAGTGCGCGGACCAGGTTCGCGTTCTCCGTCATTGTGGCTACTGTGCGCGGGTCTTCGAATGGGGATGTCTCCATTGACCAGTCGAATGATATTCGGGACCCGGTTTGGCCGTCCCAGACCTGCATATCCTGGTAATCCTGCACGCGGTCGACATCGAGGTGTTCGTATGCGCCAATTTGGCGCAGGAATGACACCGACGAGGGGGTCAAGCTGCTGACTCTGTTGGAGAATTGGGTTGGTTCGAGATTCCAAGATTTGGCCTTGGCCAGGTCCTGGGTCTCGATGAGAGCCACTCGGAGCTTGGAGGTAATCGGAGATGCCCCTGGAGCATTGATATCAGTAGCTGGCCATGTTGCCTGCAGGACGTATACATACGGAGTGCAGCCAATAACCCTAGGCCCGCGGGTCCGCCTCCGACGCAAACCACGTCGTAGAGGTCAGGAGAATCGGCTTGGGATGCAAATCGCCGCCGGCCAGCGCCAAGTCCATGGCGGCAGGTTTGGCAGACGTACGGCCGGAGGACGGCTCTGGAAATTGGACGCATTTTGTCTGGTGCTCGGAGGTTGAATCGGATGATCGAAGATAGACGTGGGATGGACAAACAGTGCAAACAGACCTGGTTACCTGATTGGGAAGTATAATAACCTCATCGTTTCAAAGTAGTCATCCATGGGTAAGCAACGAGCGAGCATTTTATCTTGGAGGGCTGTAAACGCTCCAGCATATGATTATCAATCTACTTGTTGAGCACTTGAGGGGCCCATCACCTGTAGGGATAGCAATTGATAAGTTATGATGGTATTGCGGGTATGAAACGGTGATAAAGCTAGTAAATGAGACCGACACGAATTGCTATCCCTAAAACACTCTGTCCAAATAATGTGCCGAGTCAAGATGGGTATCCTAAACAGCCCCGAGGGCAGCTGCGTCAGAGTCACGGCCTTCTCCCTCCCCTTCCATCTCAGCAACGAATCTCTCCCACGTAGAAAGAACGCCTTGATAGAATTCAATGTGTGAATCGGCAAAAGAACCAAGCCCATCTCGGAATTCGACCGCCTTGATACGTTCAAAGTCTGCGACTTCACGCACAACTTCCTCGTCAAACATCTCGGAGGTAGTCTTTGCAGACTCCACTTCCCGGGTCAGCTCATCGATCCGAAGTTCTAGCTTCCGAACGCGCTCGCGACGGGACTGCTCATGATCGACGCCGCGCATATCTTCCATTTTCGAACGAATAAAGGAGGCGGGCGAGGAGGTGAGCGGGTTGGAGGCGTAATAAGCGGCCGGGTTGGCAGCGAGGGAATCGCGCTCTGTCACAGCCTTGTTGCGGTAATCGACCAAGGCCTCGAAATCGAGCTGCTTCTGCTCGCGAGTCTTCAAAAGGGTCTTCAAAGACATGATGTAAGACTCTGTATCACGTAGCGAGCCAAGGTAATTCTGATCAGTGTGCTCCTTCAACCCGCGCATTCCGCGCGCAGTCTCCTCCACCGAAGCCGCGAATACCTGTAGCGGGACTTCAACAGCAGGCTCTAGCTGAACAAGCTTACGGAATTGCGTCGCCAGCTCGGCATAATCAGTTTCCAAATCGGATTCACGGCGCGCAACGCGAGCGACGGTCTTCTCCACATGCGATAGATCCTCATCAAGCTTATCGGCCTTCTCGCGCACCTCGATAAACCGCCGATCAGGCTTGTGCACCTTGGAAAAGGCGTTGACGAAAGTGTCGGTAAAATTATCAAAGATACCGGTAGCAGCACCATCCGAATTGGTATTGGTAGATGTTCGAGTTGAGTGCAGGCGCATGTGAGCATTCCAGTCCGGCGATTCCAGGAAGATAGTGAGCAGCGGGGCTCGTCGAAGCACGGGGTGCAGAGTCAAGCGCTTCAAGAACCGATGTAGTGACCATGCTCGTCGCGTCGTGAACTCCGTGCCAAACCGGTCTCCGCGCACGTACTCCATCTTGTGCTTATCCGGGAGCGGCGGCACCGCGCATGCTGGATATTCGCGGTAAAGCGTTTTGTATAGGAAGTAAAAGTCGGTGAATCGTCGCCGAACAGTGAATTCGGGCTTTTGGAAGGACTTGAAGTCAGTCTGCTTCTGTCAGCGATTGTTCGTTCGAGCATCTATACTCGCCTGGCACCTAGGCAGCAGTAGAAGAGAGAGGTATGAGGCATAGGAGGCACATACATGTGTTGTGACCAGGTACGAGATATATGCGTCTTTTGTGCCGTCATTCTCTTTAAGAGGGGAGTCAACTTGACACTCAAGGACCCCATCACCGATGCCCGCCAGGTCAACGGCGTCGGCTCGCGGGCCGGCCTGAGGCTCTTCATGGGCGGAGCTCATTCTCCGCTTGCCATTGGCGTCGTGGCCGATTTCGCTCGATTCTGCGGCATCAGTGCCAGCGGTTGTAGGGCGCGACGCATCACTGTCTGGGTCGTGCTTCCAGGAAACACTGTCGAAGTCGTCGTGTTGATCCATCGCGGGGGTGTCGGTCGGCCGTGATCACCCGGCTGTGTGTTTTGAGAACTCCAGTCGTACCAGCAATAGCTATTTTCAAGGAATATGGAAACGACAATTCAAAGGGACTGCAAGGGCGAGAAAGGTGGGACGAGGGGGTAGTTTTGGAGGTTGGAGGTGAGTTCGATGATCGCCCTTCCCCAAGGCGGAGTTCCCGAAACAGCGTCATCGCTCTTTGACGTCTGATAATTTACGCGCTACGGAGTACATGCTTTACCGTCATGATCTTGGTGGGATTTACTTTGCTCATGAAATTAGTGACTTCTTCGGGCATTATGCAGAGCATATGTTCTTATCAATAGATAGATATACAAAAAGGCCTCGGTCGTTTTCCGTCTTGTCCGAAGTGGGCCCTCGATTCAATGAAGCGTATCAACAACGCCAAACAAAATGCAAAAAGGGGAACAAACCCCATCTATGGCTTTTCTTGACGGCCATGGGAGGGATCATCTCTACTGGAATTCTCTGGCTGATTGGCCAACCCATCCCGATATGGCTCGTCATCGTCACTGAACATCTCCTCGTCACTTTCACCAGCAAAGGCATTATAGAGCTCTCCGCCCCGACGCTGTGTCCGGCCAGAGGCGCCCGCCATGGGTTGCATCTCATCTTCGTCTTCGATCATTTCAAACTCGTAGTCGTCGTGAGCAGTGGTGCGACGACGCTTGACTCGTTGCAGCTGGAAGTAGACACCCAGCCCGATGAAGAAGACAACGATCATCGCGAAAGAGGCGTAGATCCAGACCTGAGTACGCTTTGATGTACCAAAGGTGGGGAGGTACGATGATATATAGTCTGAGGAAGAGGATGATGAAGGCGAGGCGGTCTCGTCACCAGAAGTGTTGGTGGGCTCCTTCTCGTCTTCGATGGGCGTCGAGTCTGGCTTGGTTTCCGGCTCTGGTGTTGGTTCCGGAGACGATGGGTTGGAAGACTCTTGTGGTTTGGCATTCACAGGTCGGTCGTGGTGGTCGTCCGGGTTCTCAGGCACCCCGGTCTTGACTGGAGCGGCAGCGACACTAGTCGTGGCGACATGGGCATCCTCATAGGGATGGTCATCATCGTTCTCCTCGGGGAGAGGATGAAGCTCTTGCTTAGAACCATCAATGGCCTCACCCCAGAGGTTTAGTCGCCAATCGGTGAAACTGCCGGTGTTCTCATTCTTGTCGGTATCCTTCACAATGATTGTCCATTCACCCTCGGCAGATTCGCCCCTAGTCAAAATTGTTAGCAGCGCACGGAGCTTGGAATAGGGGAATGTGCATACCAATGAGCAACGGACATGAATGTCCAATCGTCATAGCCAGTTGCCACGTTATCATTTCTGCGAGCAACACTCAGGTAGCTCACAATTCCACCAGGGCTGTGCAGCTCAACGCTGATGTCACCGCGGCGGGTGTGGTTGACGTTCATAGTCACAGTGACATGCTCCAATTTGGCAAAGTTAGCCTCTTTCAAGCGATCAGCACTGACGGTGTAGCGGCTGAGCAGTCCGTGGTTGCCCTCGGGAATTGCCTGATGAACTCGCAGCCAAGGCGAGTTAAACCAGGCCTGCGGCTTCACGAGCTCCCAAGTCTTCGCACGCTGGACCATGGTATAGGTATCGACCTTTCCGAAGCCCCAGTCATGACTGAACTTGCGACCAGAGGGCAGCACCTGCCAGCTGCCATCGTCCTCGCTCACAGGAACCGCGGTCTCAACCATGATGTATTGCAGATCACGCCATGTCAGCTCTGGTCGTGCACTGAGGGCAAGAGCCACGCTTCCTGCGGCCAAGGGACCGGCAGCAGATGTACCACCGTGCCCGGAGAAGCACTTGTCGGCACCAACATCAGTGGTGTGAATCGCATCTCCAGATCCACTGCTGTATGCGACGACTAACTGGGCCGAGCAGGACTCTGAGTAGGTCGGGTGCTTGCCTTGCCGATCAATGGCACCGACTGTGATGCTGTAGATGCTGTTGGTGTAACCATCGAAATTGCAGTTGTCTCCATACAGAGCGCCATTGCCGGCGGCAAACACAAAAACGGACCCTTTGCCGCCTCGGCCCTTGTTAATGCCGTTGGCCATGGCTCGTCTGATCAGAATTCCCGGTGCATCCATCGTAGCGCCATCATCAATGGGGCCCCAAGAGCATGAATATATATCGTTCTTTTGGTATGCGTAGTTGATCGCAGCCGCCTCGTCGATGTCGTCGATAGGCTTGGAGAGAATTCGAATACCGGCAATCTTGCTGTCGTAGGCAACACCGACACCACAAACATCGTTCTTGGACGCTGAGATCTCACCGCAGCATCGAGTGCCATGCTTGTCGTCCAGCAAAAGAGGGCGGGGGTCGGGACTTCCCTCGTTGAAATCCCACGAGCCCTCCGCGAAGTAATTCGGTTTCAGGTCATTGCTGTCCATATCGAGTCCATCATCCACCACCGCAGTAGCGATTCCTTCACCCGTAATGCCCTCCAGCCAAAGACCCGTCACATTGAGATCGTGGCCCGGTTGCAGGGTGTTCAGAAGATGCCATTGTTCCTTGAAAATGGGATCACTGATCCCGAGGGTGGACATGACGTTTTTCTGAGCTGCAGCGGCCTGCGCATCCACCTTTCGCTTGTCCAGCGATTCATAAGGCACTGAAACTGGAGGAAGTCTTTTGTGAAGCTTCTGTCTTGCAGGAGCAAGCTTATGCGACCATAAGACACCATCTAGTGGATCGTCACTCTGCGCATCAATCTCCCCGGACCGCTTCCGGAGCTTCCTTTTCGCGCGTAAGTCATCTAACAGGGTATCCGTCTGAGTCTCATGTTCCCGAGGCCGAGAAAACGTATGATGTCCATCGAGTTCACCGATCTTGCCCTCGTGGCGGGCGCCTAGGACCTGTGCGATGTCGGAAGGGGAGGTGGTGTCATCGAGGTGGAGAGCGAAGAAGTCGCGGGATTCTTGAGAGCGAGGGTGTAGGTTTCCAGCGACCGCACTGGCCAGACCCAATGTGGTGACAATACCCAGACGCATTATGTATCGGAAGAAAGGAGGACAGGGTGGGTTCGCGATGGAGGTTGGGAGGTTTGAAGGTATAGCTAGCAAGCGGCTGCCATCGGTTCCGGACCGTTGGCGACTTGAAACAAGCTTGAGAAAGTCAAGCGAACAAAGGTGTGAGTAATTGAATGTCAAGCAAATGACGGTTCAATGCCGTTGGTGAGGAGTAGAGTGAAAGGCAAAAGTGTCAGGTCAGATAGGAGGATCGTCAGAGGCCACGCACGGGATCCTATTGGGGTCTCTTATTGACTGCTCAAAGGCCACGGTTACTCCTTCGACTTATTTCTACGGGGGCCATTTGACATTTGGTTAGCCAAGCAGTTAGGTAAATCATGAACTAGTACTCCGTATGAGAATCACTATGTCTAAACCCCATTGGGAAGTCCATCTGAGCGAGGACCAGCGGAGGCACGGAGTAAGTGGTCTTAACTATGGACGACTTCCAAGGTTGAGCATGAGTACTCTCTAGTAGCACCACCCTTGCATATATTGCATATATTGCAACTCACAGACTATCACAGGGAGTTCCCAGCGACCTTGAATCGTCTACGGAGTAAACATGTCTCAGTATGGTGTGGAGTAGTGTGGGCGGTATTTCCAAGGTTGTTCTGGCGGGAGCAACGGCTATGGAGTGATGCTTATAATGGCTAGACAAAGCTGGACACTTTCTGATATGCTTAGACCATTATAACAATGCCCCAAAATGCCATTCTGGCCACAGGTACCTGAACTATCGAATTCACCCGGGGGTCTACTATTGGCTCTTATGGCAGCCCCCGCGCGAAGGCTGGGATACCAGCCACCAGGATATTGTATAGACCTCGACAAAGGCCGTGTCAGAAATCTCTTCTTCTTCAATTTCCTATTCTTATACCCGGTCGCACAACTTGACGTACTTCAACTTCCCAGTGCGAATCAGATCGGGCCATGGTGTGGTGACCTGCGTTACCTGCATTACCTGCGTTAGGCATCAGATTAAGTCACATCCTAGATTCCAATTCCCTCTGAATCTACCCAACCTGTACACGGTGCCGTTGACGCTTCTCGCCCCAGTTGCATTGTCAATCACTCGCTTGGCACCAACGCATTTTCCGATCGCCATATTGAGCGGTATTGAATTTGGGCAACAGCATGGCGGCCGTGACAATGCCTGGATCACCCGACATGGCAAATGCCTCTGTTCCTCAGGCCAATGGGGCACAAAGACCAGGGCGCAATCGCAGAGCCCCGCCATCCAACGAGAGCTATGAACACCAAGACTCGGATCTATCTCACAACCCAAGCGGTGCCCACTCGACGGGCCAGGTAGATAGAAGCTTCTCAGCCCGAGCTCGAAATCAGCCCGAGGGAAATCTTAAAAATACCACCCGCAAGCCAGTTCCCGAATCTACATCAGAGTTATCAGAGGAGTCCGCCATACCGCGAGGTCTTCCGACAGATGCACACGCTCCGGACTCAGCAGCCATGCCACAAATTCAAGTCTCGTCACCGCCACCCGCTGCTGCTGGGGCATCTGCTGTGCCGGGTCGCTCTAATACCACACGCTCGGGCTCGGCCAGCGACTCTCGGCGAGACTGGGCCTCGGACCGATCCCCGCTCCAGAAGTTGGAGGTCACGTTGACGGGGATCAGCAAGGAGGAGAAGCGCGCACGCGTGCAAGAGGCCGAGAGCAAAGCCCGCGAACGCATGGCGCGCAAAAAGGCGCAACAGGAGAAAGCCGCATTGGCAGCTGCAGCGCGTCAAGCATCTGCTCAGCCTGTGGAAAACATCAAATCACCCCGCGACACGACCAAAAAGAGTAGGCGAGACGATGCCCCCATTGACCGCGAAGTGCGAAATGGACAATCGAACGCCTCCCAGCAACGACAACCTGGAAACGCCGCGGTGCGTCACAACAGGAATGGCTCGGCAAATCCCCAATACCCAGCCATCCGTCGCCCCGAGGACCCCCAATTCGCGCATGCACAGGGTGCTATTCCATCATCGGCAAAGATGGGCAACGTTCCTAAGAGATCAGTCACCGTCAGTGGACCTGCAAAACCGGGGCCTGCTCACAACATCAACCACAGTCGATCTGTGTCTCAAGCGGCGTCTCGCGCTGGACAAGTACCTTCCGCCCTCAGAGCAGAGAGACCACACGACCAATCCCTCTCCCCATCACCAATTGGCCCCGGGGACAGTGCCGAGTCACAGAGCAAGCCCAAGAACGTCTCCTTCAATGTACCACCGCCGACACCACCACCAATCTTCGAATGGAGAGGCGCAAAGCCTGCTCAACTCCGGGCCTCTGATTTCGATTTCCAGACCCTGGATATTAACCGAAGCAAAGCATGGTGGGAGGGTGGTGACAACACGGATCGTCGAAAGAGTAGAGCTCTACCCAAGACCTACAAATCACCTGCTCAGAAGCTGTCAGGTAAGAGCTCCCTCCTGTGCTTGCTAAAATATTATTGCGTGCCGAGACCATTTTAGAAAATTTGCTAACAATACCCAGGTGTAACTGAGCACAAAACCTTCCAGCCTCGCCTCTTCTTGCGATGTGGTCCCTTGCTACGATACACAGGAATTAAGCGAGTCAACGTCGGCACACCCAGCGAGCCTGTGGAGAAGAACATCTGGCGAGGTTCTATCCTGATTGCAACTGGAGACGTTCGCTCTTCATACGAAATCCCGCCCACATTGAGACTATTCTCTCAACCAATGGATCTTCTTCCCCCTCCACCCATCGAAGTCAGCCGTGAAGACGGGATGCAACTTGCACCTGAATACGTCGATCCAACAGCCGGTCTCATGAAGGTAGGCCGAGATGGCCGACCCCTCTACGTCAAACCAGTTGAACATGTCGAGGAGCAAGTCGATCTGTCATTCGAACAGACCGAGGATGGCATATACGAGCTCTCGCCAAGCATAGTTGACTACACCAGCGAAGGCCTCAAGCAACCCATGCCCTCAAACAGAATCCATGCCGTCGATGGCGAAACAGCAGATCTCTTCCGTGATATCCCCGGAGTCCGACTGTACGCAGACGCCGCAAGAGACGTCACATTCTGGAAGTTCAATCTGGAGGTCGAGCTTCGCTCAACAGAGCAGCGGATCGCATACCGAATCAACCAAGGGCCTGCCCTCGGATTCTGGGTTCCTCCCGCTGGAGAATCCATGAACATCATGTTCCACACCGGTAACGGGTTCAGTCCGTCTGTTGACTCGGATCGTGTCTGCGGGCCCGATCCGCTGTGGCGCGATATACTAAACGAACACCAGACCCGTCCTTTCCATGTTATGGTTGGGGGTGGTGATCAGATCTTCAATGACTCCGTCATTACTCGATCCAAGCACTTCCAGGAATGGATCAAGATCAAGAACGCTGGCGAGAGATACGGAGCGCCGTTCACACCTGCTTTCCGTGCTGAAATTGAACAGTTCTACCTTGAAAATTATGCGGCGTGGTTCTCGCAAGGTCTCTTTTCTTTGGCCAATTCGCAAATTCCTATGGTCAATGTTTGGAACGACCATGAGATCTTTGAGGGCTTTGGGTCCTACCATGAGGATTTCATGCATACCTCTGTTATCTCGGGGATTGGAAAGATTGCTTTCAAGTACTATTTACTTTTCCAACACCACAGTGTTCCCGATGAAACAGAGGTGGAGGAGCCTAGTTGGCTTCTTGGTGCTCAGCCAGGTCCCTATATTGATCAGAGAAGTCGAAATTTGTTCATGTCTTTCGGCAAAGGAGTTTCTTTCCTTGGCCTGGATTGTCGCACTGAGAGACGCGTAAGTTGAATTTTTGCCTAAGACGAGGAACTATACTGACGCATTTGCAGAGTAACGAGGTTCTTAGTGAGGAGACCTGCGATATGTTGTGGGATCGCTGCCACAAAGAGATTATTAAAGGAGAGACGAAGCACTTGATTGTCCTCTCCAGTGTTCCTGTTGCCTATCCCAGAGTGGTATGTGGTCTACAACTTCTTATGGGTCAATCTGTTTACTGACTTTATCATAGGCAATGCTCAGGAACTTTATGAACAGCCGCAAGTCGCTTGGCAAGGCTGGTGTCCTTGGTGGCCTTGTCAACAAGTCTGGAGGAAATGTGGAGGTGTTCGATGATCACTGGGCCGGCAAACACCTCAAGTCCGAAAGAACATGGCTGGTTGAGGATCTCCAGGACCTGGCTGCAGAGAAGTCAGTCCGTGTGACAATTCTCAGGTATGTTTTATGTTTCCAAAGGAGCCTAGAAGTCAGACTAACTTGTACTTTGCAGTGGTGATGTGCACCTTGCTGCAGTCGGACAATTCTACTCAAACCCCAAGATGGGTGTCGCCAAAGACCACGATTATCGCTACATGCCCAACGTCATCTCCTCCGCTATTGCGGACATTCCTGAGACAGACTTGATCTCGGACATGCTTAACAAGCGGAACACAGTCCACCACATGGATTCAAACACAGACGAGGATGTCATTCCCATTTTCACCCAAGATGTCAATGGCAAGCCACGCAACAACAAGCGATTATTACCTCGTCGAAACTGGTGCTCGATCCGAGAGTATAAGCCCGGCTCGACTCCTCCCGGTACTCCCGAGTCTGAAAGGGCACCAACTCCAGAAGCCCGACCCAGCAAGTTGCAACGCACCCTATCACTGGGTCGTGCAGACAAATCACCCTATGGAACAGGCAAGCCTGGGATCCTCAGACGTCTCTCCAACCGCGGTCCCCCTCCCACAAGAACCATGAGCTTCAGTCGAGGCGACGAGACCAGCTTCCATCGACGCGCTAGCGTCGATGTCCCATCCCAGCCCCATGAAGGCGGAGACGGATACTTTGCAGGGGCCGCGGCGCCACAGCGACCAGGCACCTTCCACCGCCGACCAACGAACCTCAGCCTGAGATCTAAGAAGGCCGCGAAGGGCGATGATGGTGCAGGCACCTACATCAACCTCGAAGGCGGACTCGCTATCACATTGAACCTTGAGATCAGCTCCTCAGACCCAGCGGGCATCACAGCCCCTTACAAGCTGCTTGTGCCTGCGCTGCATTACAATGGAACCGAGTACGACCCACCCCCAACACAGATCGTCAAGGGCTGGAGAAAGTTCCTTCCTCGTCGAAAGAAGAACGAAGGAGAGCCCAATGCTGGACCATACCCCGAAGACGACCTTAGTGATGACGACCAAGATGATTACGAAGACCCCGACTTGATTAACAATACCCGCGCGAATGCCGCCATGGCTCAACATCCCCAGCATGATGGTCAATATGATGGACAGTACGATGGTCCGGATGATGGACAGTATGAGGGATATCCCGGGAGCGAGGAGGATGATTACTCAGAAAGTGAAGTCCCTCAACGGCTCCCACCGCATATGATGGCCGAGTCTTATCCTGAGACCGAGGGAAATCCCCGTCCACGAAAGAAGTGGTTTGGCGTGATCTAATGTACTATAAGCTAGATGGATTTGGGTATTTTGTCTTTTTTAATTTTGCGTTATGAATAATGACCCATGATGACTTGCCAAACAATCATTCTCTTCGTTCTTTAAGTAAGAAATAAGGAAAACAATCAAGGTGCTGTCAAGGATCTAGTCGTGTTGTATCATGGACGGTGACGAAGTACAAAGCCCTGAGCCGAAGCCCTGACCGGGCCGAGATGAGCTGATTGGAAAATTACATCAGCCCGCGGTCTCGACCAGGCACGTGACGGATGCTTAGAAAGCCGAAGACGCCAGCGATTTGGCCAATGCGAAGGGTCGAATCGATTCCATTTTCAAGATTGTATAAGCTCCAGTCTTTCGGCAAAAGAGAAAGTAATTCGACGGGTCCAGTCTCTGATTTTCTTGCTGGTTATCAATCACTACATCACCTAATCCGAAAATCCCCACTGCCCCTCCAAAAAAAGATATAACAGTCCCCCCTCCTCCCCTTCTCTCCGACACCTTCAAGCTGTTTTCCTCAACTTTCCGACGCTTTCCCTCCGCCCTCCGCTCTATCGGTTTTACTGCCGCCGCGGCAACTACCGTCTATCACCAATCCCCACCTTCGACCTCGGTCTTCTCGAAAATCTCGACGCCGCTGCGCGTCAATTGCACATCCGCCAGAATGGTGCACTCTAAAGTAGTTAGTAAGTGACTATACCTTGATCACTTCTTTCGGGGATCGCCGTTCTAACCTTCCGCCAGTCATCGGCTCCGGCCCTGGTGCGCACACTGCCGCCATCTACCTCTCTCGCGCCGAGCTCCAGCCCGTCCTCTACGAGGGTATGCTCGCCAACGGCACCGCTGCCGGCGGTCAATTGACCACTACAACGGACGTTGAGAACTTCCCCGGATTCCCCAACGGCATTGGCGGTTCCGAGCTCATGGACAACATGCGCGCCCAATCCGAGCGTTTCGGTACCGAGATTATCACCGAGACCATCTCCAAGCTGGATCTCTCCTCCCGCCCATTCAAGATGTGGACCGAGTGGAATGATGCCGAGGGCAGTGAGCCCGTCCGCACCGCCGACGCTGTCATCATCGCTACCGGCGCCAACGCTCGCCGCCTCAACCTGCCCGGTGAGGAAACCTTCTGGCAGAACGGTATCAGTGCCTGCGCTGTCTGCGACGGTGCTGTCCCTATCTTCCGTAACAAGCCCCTGTACGTCATTGGCGGTGGTGACTCTGCCGCTGAGGAGGCTATGTTCCTCGCCAAGTACGGTAGCCACGTGACTGTCCTCGTCCGCAAGGACAAGCTGCGTGCTTCCAAGGTCATGGCTGACCGTCTGCTCGCCCACCCCAAGTGCACTGTTCGTTTCAACACTGTTGCCACCGAGGTCATTGGCGAGAACAAGCCCAATGGCTTGATGACTCACCTCCGTGTCAAGAACGTTTCCACAGAGAAGGAGGAGATCGTTGATGCTAACGGTCTCTTCTACGCTGTTGGCCACGACCCCGCCAACGCTCTGGTTAAGGGCCAGGTCGAGCTCGACGACGAGGGTTACATTGTCACCAAGCCCGGTACCAGCTTCACCAATGTTGAGGGTGTCTTCGCTTGCGGTGATGTTCAGGACAAGCGTTACCGCCAGGCTATTACCAGTGCGGGCTCTGGCTGTGTTGCTGCTCTTGAGGCTGAGAAGTTCATCTCTGAGAATGAGTCTGTGGAGCCTGCTGTTGAAAAGGACGCTCCTGCCGATGGCCCGGCTGAGTACAAGTCCAACCCCCTGCTTTAAATGCATTTCCTTTCTGTTTGCATTATCACGATACATGAAACATAATCTCTGGTCTGTGTGTTGGGGTTCTTTTTTTTTTACCCTGTTAGACTTTTGTTAGACGATATATCAAATACACATTTCTCATCTACACTGGATACAAGTACTTTCTCTCGTTCTCTTTAGGTTTATCTCCTTGAGCTTGTTCGGCATTGCGTCTGACTGGCTAGCCGTCTATGTCCTATTTTTACATTTCAAAAGCCCTGGAGTCGAATTAAACATTGAAACTTTTTTTTGATTTTCATTAACTTGAAATAAGGGTAATCATATTCGTAACATTGTTCTCTCCACCAGAGACGAACCACCTTTTATCTTTGAGAAATGCTGATTAAGATATAAGCATTTCGTCGGTTCTCTTACTGCCCACCGAAAGCCGTGCCAAGCACAGGAACAGACTCAGCAGTTCCCTCAGCAAGATAGTCCGGCATGACCCAGCTCTCGAACGGGTTTTCGGCGCAAAAGCGATCCTTAACAACGAACGTAGCACGTTCCCACTCCGCAACATCAACCTTCCATTTATCCCAGGCCTCCGCATTGGCACGACGGTTTGCTTCTGTCCGATCGAGGTAGGGCTGTTTCTCGGCTGGGGTGGCAGAGCGCCACATCTGGCCCAACGCGGCGCGGATATCGTCACGGGGAGCCTTAGCATTGGGATTGTTGGATGTTGTGCGGCGTAGTTGGTCGCAATTATCGCGGCATTGCTGCCAAAAGTCTTTTTGATAGAACAGGAAGGGGTTGAGACCTGTCTTTGTGGGTCGGGCGGGGGCAGAGCCTAATTCAGCGTAGATGGTTGTCCAGAGGGCTTGATCGTAGGCATCGCGGCGGGTTTGATCGGAGGAAGTTGGTTTGCGGGAGGAGGAGGTTGGGGCTTTGGGTTGAGATGATGCCTCGGGGGAAGTGGATAAGGAGCCTCGAGGTTTCTTGACGGAGGCAGAGGGTGTGGATGATTTGCTCCGGACTTTGGATTTGTCTGGGACAAGAGGGTGAGGCATTACGATTGGACCTGCTATCGGCGAGATGATCTCAGACGCGGCTCGTAAGCCCGATAGATAGGCACCATGAACAGTTGCTGGATGAGTGCCACATGTGGCTTCGCCGGCGAAGTGGAGATTGCCGATGGGCTGAGCCATCAGATCGTAGTCACCTGGGAAGGCTGACTGGGCAACATAGGAATAGCTGCCGTACGTAAAGGGGTCCTGGCCCCAGCGAGTCACGATAGTCTCGAGGGGATCTGGAACTGGCATATCTTTGAACACATTACGAAGCTGACCAGTCACTTCCTTCACAATCTCTTCGTCTGGTGTGCATTCTGCCTGGTGGGCTGCATCACCTGCCATGAGAGCGATCAAGCATGGAAGACCAGTTGTTTTCATGACGTTCCAGAACAAGTAGAAACGACCACGATTTGCGGCATAATCCTCTTGCACCATGGTCACAGCGTTCGCTGGTTCGCGCAGAAGTCCGAACATGTCCCGCTTGGTGTCCCAAAAGGGTTCTTTGAAGACCAAGACGACCTTGTTCATGATACCGAAGCCCAGTCTCTCAATTGCGCCACGCTTCCAATCAGGAAGAGGGGGCTCAAAGTTGATCTTCTGTTGTTTTAAAACACCAAGAGAGCCAGTAAATACCACATGGTCTGCTGTGAATGTTTCCCCGTTCTCACACTTCACTACCGCCTTCTTGTGTACGTTTGTTCCGGTAGTATCGTAAGATATATCAGTGACAATCTTGCGAGTGCGGACGTCAAGCTTTTCTGGCAAGTTGTACAGCCCATATGGTAGTTGCTGGTAACCCCCAATAACTTGAGAGTGCTCGCCCTCGAATTCATTTCCGATGTCTTGGTCCCACCCTGACAGACTCAGTCGGTTGACGTTCGTAGCGTTGGCGTATTCGAGATTAGCAAAATGCCAATTCATCAAACGCATATCCTTAGGCGTCAATGGAAGCATGCGCTGGTATTGCTTGACACCCTCATCCATCACCACACCAAGGGTTTGTGCCAGAGATACCTTGGCAATCTGATCCAGCTCAATCGTGTCGCTCACTGTGTAACCAGGGTTGAGTTTCCATCCAGTAGTCTGACAGGTCAAAGCTGCTGGGTCATCATCCGAATTTCCCGCCAGGTCACTCGCAACGTCGACGGATAACTCGTTTTCCGCGGTCTTGTGTTTGATTCCTCGTCGAACGCGTTTGGTCGGCACCAGCAGATCAATTGTTCCTGCGGCCCTCGCTTCTTCATATTGTCGCACAGTGAGTCCATCATCCACGACCGATTCGCGACCAGTATCAATCATCTCGCGGTTTCCCTCGGCGGTTGGTGAAATCTTTGCTTTATGACGATAGAACCCTGTTCGATCAAGAATGTCATTGTAGAGTTTTTCAGCCATTGCATCTTGGTTCTCATTCACAGGAGATCCATCAATGTCGTAGATCGTCGAGACGTCTCGAATCTTGTGGTATGTAAGCGCCAGCTGCCCGCGAACAATCTGATCCAACGGATTACCGTGATCGAAACCAACGATAATCTGAGCACCCATTTCTGCCTTTGGCACAAGCCCTTTGGGTAAGGATTTTGACTTCAGGCTAGTCAACGGGTGGGAATAGATGCGACCCCCCAGCCTTCGCCGTCCTTCGAGAACAATCACACGAGGTAGCACATTTGACTCACGGTATTGGCGGAAAAGACTCTCCAATTGACGTGCACATCCCAAGCCTGCCATTCCAGCGCCGATTACAACAATTGTAGGTCCTTCCTTCCGTCTTCCGCGCTTGGGTTTCACCGGGGCCAATGGAGCCTCCACACAGCCATGATTGATGTAACCATTGCGTGCAAGCCAATCGTAAGCAAACGAGGCTAAGTTCATCCATCGGTAATCTTTTGCACAACCAAGCGCTTCTTCTCTGGTGACAGCGACCATTGGATTCCTGCCCCAGAGGAGTAAAATCCCGTTCCGAATGTTGAGATATATTGTCACATGTACATGGCAGAGGTGGTCTTGTAGGAATTCTTGCTCCTGGCGATGAAGAGCATATGGATTCAACCGAGATGAATATGCCGCTCTAACACATTGTTCACCATAGACGGACGGGTGGAGTTTGGATGGGATGGACGCGCGGGGTCGACATTTGGACAGATCTACCTTGCCGCTTTCAAGTATATTTGGCCCAAACACAATTGACTGCATGGGAATTGACTGCAAGGGGACCGGTGGAGGAGATGTGGAGTTTTTTGGATCAATGGCTGATGTCAAGTCGGTTGAGGGGGTAGACTCATTGGGGGTGCTGCTACTACCAACACCACCCATGTACAGCCTCTCCCTGGGATACACAGGATGAAATCCTTCGGAAAGGGATATTTGAGACTCAGAAGCAGCTTGACCTATATCGCCCAGACTGACTGGTGTCGAACTTGTATCAAGGGCCTCATGTATGATCCGCATCCGTTTCGCAGGTGGTTCAGCAAGTTCGGCAGATTCGGGTAGAACGTTCTCCGGGCCATGTATATCAGTTGCTGATTCTTTTCCATATTGACTCATGTATGGATCTTGGGCCGGAGGGATTCCGCCACCCGGCTGAAATCTTATGGAGGCACCCTGCATGTTGATACACGGGTATTTGCAGTTCGACCAGCCTGAGAATGATCAATCGACAGCCTTTTCAATTCGGGCAGAACGAAGGCCAAAGGACCGTGAAGAGTACAGTGGGCAATTTGTTGACTGATGTCACTGACAGCCCTTCCTAGCCCGAAGAATGTGTGGATATCAGATGTTGAAGCCTGCACCCATGATATGGTTTCGCATAGAGAGACCCGATCTGCAGTAACCGAAGGAACACAGGATTGAATAAATAAATCAACTAGATTTGTGTCAGAGCCTGGATGATTCAATGTAGATGAGGGTCAGGGGAGTAGTATGAGAGAATAGATGGAAGCCGGAGGAAGCACGGATCAGGACATACATCAAGTTCACCCCTTCCCACAAATCCTACCCTGAGAATTGGCGGAAAGGAAGCCCATCAATATATTGGGAATACTTCAATTCAATGTTCGATTGACCACGGACTGTTGACTTTGAAGGGTACGATGTGAAGAGTAGAAAAACCCTGGCTTTGGTTCGGAAGCGGGGCGTATTTCTCAGTCCGGCAGTTGCGGCACGCGGTTTAACGTCAAGATATTCACAATCGTTACATTCTCTCTACTTGCGGTTTCTAGCTTATTTGGGAACATGATTGTGCAGCCCAAAGGCATCCTCCTCTGCGATTCCATCCGAGTCATTATCCGTGAACTCGTCATGGTATGATCGGCGGTTCGAGTTCTTCCAGGGACCAGGCTGGTCACTGTCACTGTCACCCAGCGCGAGATCAACGTTATCGTCGTCCAAATCGGTGAATCCAATACGCTCCTCTTCGTCTCTGGCAAGCGCACTATCCACTTTGTTGGCATTAGGATCAGTTGAGAACCCATGAGGGCGACGCGATGCATGATCAGCATCGAAGGAGCCTCGAGGATCTGCTCGCTCTTGAGCTTCGAGCTCGGCTGCACGGGCCAAAGTTCTATCAAGGGAGAGAAAGTGTTAGTGAGGGTTCAGGGGACGTTGGCAAACGATGAATCGGGTGTTCGAACCTTTGGTAAATATACCACCCGGTAAAGATTCCAATACCAACTGTAAAGATGATACTGCAGACATTGACGGCCTTGGATCCCGCGCTCATCTCCTCGCCCTTTTCAGAGAGAAGGCGAATCCGACTACCAACAAATGCAGGAACCAGCAACTTGGGGGATATAATGGCCGTGGCAAGTCCATACATCAACGGCTGCACTGTGGGGAACGTAGACACGGCGCCGTTACAGATTGAATAAGGCAAAGGACACAAGCGGATCATGCACAGGAGTTTGAGCCCATCATACTTCAATGTCAGGGCCAGTGCCGCGAATCTCTTATCACGCTCCATCAAACGATGTACGAACCCAGACAGAATCGTCCGAGAAACATAGAACGAGGCAGTCGATCCAAGAATTGTCGCGGAGGCGTAGATAAGCCATCTAATGAATGTATCCAGTCAGCGTTTTGATCCCATGCACATATTGAATCCGAATGGTCTTTCTTACCCTTTCCACACGCCAAAGATGAAGCCCGCTACCGTGCCAAATGTAGACCATCCCAGCAATGGAGGAAATGAGACAAAAAAGACACATAGCCACAGCACGAAAGCAACCAGCCACGAACTTTCCCACTTCTCAGCGACCGGTCCAAGCCAAATGAACACCTTCCCTGTTAAGACGAGGAATCCAATGCCAGATGCGCCCAAGAGTACAGAAACACAAATGTAGGCGATTTTCTGCCACAGAGTCATCTCCTGCCACATTTTATCCGCCCGTTGGTACAACTCTGTCCCGCGTTGTATGATCTGTTCGCGATAGCTCTGCCCGCCAGACCAGCGAGCGGAGTTCCGCCTCGCGCGATTCCAAGGTTCAGCATCGTCAGGGGAAGAAGGTATAGGATCGGGCGATGAGGGAGAAAGAGACAATGCCCTGGCGGTGGACTGGTAGTCCGCGGGCATTGTGGCAGAGTTTAGATGGGGATGATCAGGGTCTCAGGGTCTCGGGGTAAGGTGTGACGGAACGAGTGTGAGCTAATGATCGGCGATTTCCCAGAGGGGTTTCCAGAAGGGCGGTTATAAGCCCAACTTAGATCGGAAGAAGCATGAGAGATGGAGGTTTCGTTTTCACGGAGTAAGCCAAGCGCTTTAGGCTGAAAGTTCAGTTCAAGACACCTTGCGGATCCGCCGGAGTCGGGGTGTTTACCGATCTACGGTTTCTGTTCGCGTCGATCGACTTGATTTATTGCTGTACTTTGACACTTTGACCTTTCTGTGCATGGAAGTTTATATGGTACCTACAGGTGCAGGGTATTATAGTTATGGCCTGTTTGGGTGTTCCTAGAGTTAACTGTGTACAAGTAGAGCTTACTGGAACAGAGTACTTATTGCCCAACATGCTAAGTGCAGAAAATACTAGTTATGTTTTTTATGTTATATTAATTTATTCTAATAAGAGTGAATAATTAAATATTATTTTGTAGTCGATATAGAGGCTAAATGTAGGAAATCCATCTCTACAAGCAGCGAGCTTGAATGACCAGAAAGAGCTCCGGAGAGATAAGCGTGATCCCCAGTGTTGATCGTCTCCGCCTCCCCCTCCTTTGTTTGGATCTCACCTTTCACCACTGTGCATTTCTCTGGCGCTGCGATGTAACTCTCGGTTCAATCATATCCCTTCCGCGACTTCGTGCCTTGCGCCATATAACTCTCTGTTCACCCCCCTACTCGACCTCCACACCTCTTCACCCCAGAACATGGGTCGTTAACTTGGATCCAGCCCCGATCCAACCTTGACCCAGCTCTTATAACTTTGCATCTTATACATCAACTGTCATTTGATTTCTTGCGTTTGAGCGCTAACTTGAACTCACTTTTACCCCGCCTGGGTCTTTGCTCCCTCGATCTCTTCACCGACGCGCGGCAATAGACATCATGGTGTCCGACGACCTCCTCGAGAAATGTCTCCAAATCCTGCAGGATCAGGCACTGGATGAGGAAGAGCAGGTTGAGAAAGTGGAGGATTTCTTGCGCGCGGAAACCAGTCTATCAGGCACGCCCTTGGAGAACGCAGTGCTGGACATCCTCTGGCGCCATCGAAATCGCAACATACCAGATGCATCACCTCCTGCTCGACACACCGTAATTCGTCGCTCTTCACCTGCTCCTTGGCAGATGGCCCGGTCCGCCACACCGCTATCTCCCCACCCAACTCTAGGGACTAGCCCCGGGAGCGCCTCGTGGATGCAAAGCCCCCCGTGGGGCATTTGCACGACCACCGCTCTCATCCACCGTATCGCCATTTACCTCCCCACGGCCGTCCCCTCGACTTGCTCTCGCACAGCCGATTCCTCATTCTCCAAATCTAAATGCATACGAATTCTCAGACCAGAGTCAGATCTCTGACTACTATGGAGACCTTGGAGGCGACAACAATATTGATTGGCTGGTCGCAGATGACGCCAATAGTACAACCTCGTCCGCAGGCGGAGTCAGCACCCCAGGAGCCCTCAGCGCTACTGCGGTCGAGTTCGTTCCAGACATGAGCCCCCATGATATCTTGCGCACAGTCTTGGGCGACAAGCGATCAAACGATGAAATAGAAGCAGCACTCGAAGCAAACAGCTATGATCTTGGTGCAACAATTGCCTCTCTTTCGCAAGACATAGAAGCCGAGGCAATCTCAAAACAGCAAGATGACGGCCGTGTCCTGGTTGGAAAATCCATGGCCATGGAGCACGTTCGCCCCGTCACGCCATTGGGTAGCAGTCGCAGCCCAGTAGTTTGCAAATACTGGTTGTCTACTGGACAATGTCTTCGAGCAGACTGCCGATTCAGTCATGACCTTACCACCCATGTGTGCAAGTGAGTACCTTGGTATCAGACGTGCGATGTTTTCATGGGCTAACAAAATTCGATATAGATATTGGGTCATGGGCAACTGCCTAGCCGGTGATGGCTGCCCATTCTCGCACGATCCTTCAGCACTCATTGGAAACCTTAGTGTCACCGGTGGCAGTCGACCAGCTTCACCAGCAAACGGCTCTCCATTCCAAGTAGACAGCGGCTCCGAGGCGTTCCCACCTCTGCAAGCCGCAGAAAACGGGGATCAATGGGGAAATCAGTATGTCGGTCGGTATCCTTCTCACCTTTCCGCCTACCAGACCTCCAAGTACGCCCCTCCAGGTTTACTTCCTGGGATGAGCAAAAGAAACGGAAGTGCCACCCACCTTGGACGTCCGAACTCTCGGCCAACGAGTCGCCACCAAAATCGGGAACTAAATCCCACGGCACTGTCAGTAGACGATCAAGATGCTTTTCCAACTCTCGCCGCGGTGCAAGCAAAAAATGCCGGAAAGAAGCACCATGGCAAACGAGGCGGGCACAATACCCGTGATACAAGCTTGAACAAAGAGAATCTTCCTTCATCTCTTGCTGATGTGGTTCGAATGACCCCGTCCCCTGTCCCGGGAAAATCCAAGTCGGGCGTCAAAAACAAAGATACCAAGAGTCGCGAAAACAGTGCAGCAGCTCAGTCCATCCAGGCCCCGCAAAATATTCCTTGGCTTGAGACGGGAACACGTGCCAACCAGCAATACATCAAGTATCGAACTGAGGCTATTCGTCATGGAACTGTGAGAAATAAGTTCCTTCAAAGGTGAGTTTCCAATTCTACTTCTCTTTCGTTCTTCTTCTAACGCAAAGTTCTTAGCGCCGCTCAAGCATGGAACCGGAATGACGCCCGAGCTGCGAAGGCACTATCTTTGCGCGGCCAGGCAGAAAACGATGCGATGCGCAGATGTCACCGCGAAGCTGCTCGTCAGCTCTATGAAGAACGCAACCAGCATCTTTCCCACAAAGGCTTGGATGAAAATGCAGAGGAACTCTACATCGATCTGCACGGGCTTCACCCCGAAGAAGCCATTGAATATTTGGAGAAGATCCTTCTCAAGCATGCCAGAGAAGGCTTGCGGGTGGTCTATGCCATCACAGGCACCGGCCACCACTCGAAGAACGGCAAAGACAAAATCGGCAAGGCCGTCAAGGCATGGCTCAACGAATGGCGCTATCTCTTCCGAGAATTCAGCGTACCTGGTGAACGAGGCGGCTATGTCGGAGGCATCCTCGGCATCGACCCCACCAGTTATGACAAGTCACTAGCCAAGGAGCTGGCTAGTGATTCGACGGAGGCTAACGCTGGCGAACCTCCTACCCTAACAATGGGCAAAGTTCAACTCCTCAAGCGCGAGGACATAGAGACTTAAACCAACGGCCTGGCATGCCATTCGACTCGATCATTGCGTCAAAGCGGCATGATACCCATCAGTACTTTTAGTTTTTTGAACCTTTGGGATACATTCTTCCTTGTGGCTATTTGTGAGTCAAGCACAACATAGACTCCGGGGTTTCATTTGGAACTACACCTGGGGTCTATCCTTGATTGCTCAGTTCTGCGGCTTCGATACCGCTGGATTTGCTAGGACTTGACTTTTAGAGTTAGCAAAGCGAGAAAATGCAATATACATCAGTACATTTCTCCCCTCAATTTGGCGTCAATGTCTCCTTTTCTCGAAACATAGGTCAGCCCGTACACGAAACATTCACATAGAACTCTCGACATCAGCGAACAGTCAACATCTACTGTAGGTATCTACTTGGCTCTCAGGTTGTTGATTCACGATGTACCAAATGGAGAGAAGCTACAAAAAAATACGCCAAAAAAAAACAGCCTGGGAAGACCTCGGCACTTCAGTTGGCTTACACAACTTGTGATCTTAAAGGCTTGTTTAACATCCATGGATATTCCCGTAAACCTTGGAACTCATTCCAAGGTTCTTCATTTTATATGGTATGTTGCAATAAGAAGTAGCGCTATGCGATTCCTATTCTGGCTCCTGATGTTCCCATTCCCCCCTCAGAGCGTCAATATCAACCCCACAAGCCTGCGCCTTCTTGACAATAGCCCTAGCCTTATGCGCAACGGGAACATCAATCATCTTTCCATCAAGAGTCCAAGCACCTCGTCCTGCCTTAGCAGCCTTCTCATCCGCAATGACAACCCGCATAGCCCACTCCGTCTCCCCAGCATCCGGCCCGAAGATTTCATCCGCAACCTTCGCCTGAGTTGGATGGATACACTGCTTACCATTGAAACCTAACCGTCTGCCATCACGACATTCCTCCTGCAAAACAGCAGGCGGCCCATCGCCCTTCTCAGACTTGTAGGCGGTACAAACGAGGTCAATAGTCGAAGGCAGGTTGGCGGCTCGCGCCGCAGTCGCGATCGCAGATCGCGCAAACAAAAACTCCGTCAACGAGGGTGTTCGCGTGATACTCAAATCCAAAGCGAAGTCCTCGGCCGCGAAAATCAAACCCTGTAGCAGGGGCGAGGCGGCACAGATCTGAGAAAGGTTCGTGAGAGACTTGGCTGACTCTACCAGCGCCAAAAGCGAGATAGGAGTTCTATCTTGCTGCGCAAGTGTATGGTTCACGACATCCGTAACGAATGTCAAATCAGAGGCCGAGTTGACCTTGGGAATGACGATTGTAGTCAAGTTCGGCGATTTAAGCTGATGGCTTTAGCGGGTGCTCTTGGATAATACACAGGAGCAACTTACCACTTCGGTCAGATCGCCTAGTGCGAGCCCGCTGTCTACGGAGTTAATCCGCACGGCTCGTTCGCGGATCCCTGATGGCGAAGGTTGGTCAATTGCTCTTCGCACGAGGTTGCGGGCCTCTGCTTTCATGTGCGGGGTCACGCTGTCCTCTAGATCGTAGGTGAGACAGTCGGCTCTTAATGAGCGGGACTTGTCTAGGAAGCGTTGGGAGGATCCCGGGACTGTTTGGTGGTCAGCTCTGGTAGGAAGCTTGGAGCTTGCAAGGGGGGTAAAATTGGAGCTGAGGTATTACCATATAGGAGAGAGCGACGCAGAGTATTACGAGCTGCCATAATGTCGTTTGTATGTATGTTGTGGTGTCTGGTAGTAGTTTGGGGAATTGGGGTGTTTTAAGGTGACTTCATTCCGGGGAAGAAGCCGACTCGGCTATCAATAGAGCCGCTCAGCTGTGCTCCACCAAAGGTCGGGGCAAGACCTTCGTATGCACTCGATGTGCCTTTTCTCGGGGATTTGGCTATAAATTCGAGATTTTTTGTCTCAAGGCTACCTAATGATTTCCAAGGTTCATGGCTACAATTGTTTGCGGCTCTCAACCTTGGAATGCTACCACCTCCACGGGTAAACGAAGATATATCGAACCTTCAACATGGTGATGTGCAGGCGATTACCTAGGTACGTTTTGAGATAACTGTCGCTAGGTCCACATATGAACGGGCTTAACTATGAAATGGGTTCAAAATTCAAAAGAGACCTCGGGAGGTGATTAATGGCCTCGCGGTGTGCTATGATGAGGTGAGTTCGTCCACGGGATATGGCCCTACCTCCTGGCCTTGAAAGTAGCCTTTAACTCGACACTGGCAAAACCCTGCCCAAATCATGCGGGAACATACGCGAGGGTGAATGCCCCCGAGATCTGCAGGGCACTGCCAGAAATCATTGTCCAGCGTGATAACAGAACCCCTAGTCCTCTGGGAGCTTCTTCAAAAGACCCAGTCAACATCTGGGCCAAGTCAAGTTAAATTCCGAAGACGGTGGCTTTGTACAGTAGTTCCAAGGTTCTTATCCACTTCAGATGCACGAGAGAGATGCCTTCGTACTTCAATTGAAAACGAGCATGTGTAGTCTCAGGTTTGGCTTGACGAGATGGTAGACATGTAACATAGGCGCATGCTCTCAGTGGGCTTGCAGTCTTAAAGTAGCAGTAGCTTGCGCTACATTATGTACTAGAAGAAGGCAAGACCCTGGAGATATGAGACTGGCGGAGTTCTAACATAGGAAAATGCGGGAATGTCATGCTTCGGAACGTGCGCAGGTGGAGCGTCATCTCCAATTATTCTGCCAGATTCTACCGCTCCATCCCGTGTCGCGACCACTATGGAACCAACACAACCGCTCCTTCCTCAAATCAAAGCTGCTTAGATCTTCTGATCCAGAGGAGTTCCCAGACAAGGGCTTATTCCGTTACTCTACCGGCTCAGTCACAAACAGCATGGACCAGAACCCAGTCCAAGGCGACCTTAACTGGCGCCTAAGTGCGCATCCGATCACGCTACTTGTCTTCTTGGGCATTCGTATCGGTTTGTATCCCCTCTCCTCAGCCATAAGGACGGCATTGACTGATGAATTCCCCAGGTGCCCTTTTGATGTACCTCTTTGGTGTTCTCTTTATCAAAGACTTGTATGCGCCTGCCAGATTGCCCGCACCTTCGTGAAACTAACATGATCTAGTGTCCTCGTGTTTATCCTTACTCTTCTCCTCCTCTCTGCGGACTTCTACTACCTCAAAAACATTGCCGGGCGTCGCTTGGTAGGCCTGCGTTGGTGGAACGAGGTCGACACCTCTACCGGGGACTCGCAGTGGGTCTTCGAATCCTCCGACCCCAATGTGCGCACCGTGACAGCCACCGATAAGCGGTTCTTCTGGTTGAGTTTGTATATTACACCGGCCTTGTGGGTAGGTTTGGCTATTCTGGCCATTATCAAGCTATCAAGTGTGATCTGGCTGAGTCTGATTGGTAAGTCTCCGCTCGATGGATACATCTGGTGCTTTAATACTGATATTGGATTCTAGTTATCGCTCTCATTCTGACCATCACAAACACCATGGCTTTCTCCCGCTGTGATAAGTTTGGACAGGCCTCTACATACGCCAGTTCAGCTTTGGGTGGTGGTATCGTCAACAACCTTGCCGGTGGTCTGCTGGGCAGACTTTTCCGGTAATCACGATATTGATTGAATGGTGTGTGCAATTCTTGGATCAATTTCATGATCTGTACTTTGAACTGTAACTCTAGCGGAGTGTTTGGATACCTTACTCAAATGCATGCACAATTCCTGCAATCTACTATCTCCGGTGCGAACTCTGATCTACAGTCTACAAGAGACAATATAAGAGGGTTGGTCACAAAGAGACCCAGCCAAAAAGAAAGGTGTGCCTTGACGCTCAGGTTGTGAAGAAGAGCGGGTGCCTTCCCCGTAGAGATTGTCTCTCGCCCACGCGCCTTTCCTTTCACTTCTTCCCTTCCTTCTTCCTCTTCCCTTTCTTTCCCTTTCCCTTTTCCTTTTCACCACACGTTCGTTCACTACAGCTTCATCACTATTTCGATCAGTAAGTCGCCATATCATCCAATTCCATCTTCCTCAGAGGTCTGGGACTACCCGAGCTTATGATATCTCATGTAAATATTGAACTGCCTCTGTTTCCCCTGCCTCTGTTTCCCCATCCACCATTATCTCCCCAGACGTTCTCCCCAGACTTCTCGTCTCTCTCATTGGGATCGCTCCTACCAAGACATCTTCTGTTGATGAACTTCGCGAACACTTTGGACCTCGTCTATCTTTTCCTTTGTGGCACTTCGACTGACTCGACATTGCTTTAGCTGTCTATTCTCCATCATGGATGAATGGGTGGATCCTCCTCGTAAGTCCTATCGTTGATATGATCAATGACAACCTTGAATGGTCCATTGGTTCTGCCTTCCATGAACTGGTTTAACCATTGACAGGTGGCCGTGAAAACACACGCGCCTTTGATGCAGCTGACGATGGCTTTGCCTGCGGAAAGTGAGTAGCCCTTCTATCTCCATGGCCTTCCTCGGGATTCGAGAGAGAAACTTCGGCATAGGCATACCCGGGTCACTAATTGTTACAGCTGTGGTGAATCCGGCCACATGACTCGTCAGTGCCCCAACGACTCTGTGCCTCTTCGTTCCAAGGGCAATGAGTAAGTCTTGCCAGAGCCAATTATATCTCTTCGAGTTAACATGATTCCTTTGCAACACAGCTCCTACGGTGCCTCCTATGGAGATGAGTCTGGCGCAGGCTATGGCGGCGGCGGCGATGACCGCGCTTGTTTCAACTGCGGCGAGATTGGGTATGTTCTCTTCTCTTGTCGTATCGTTATTCTGCTGACAATTTTGTACCCCACAGTCACAGCAAGGCCGATTGCACTGAGCCCCGTAAGATGGGCGCTTGCTTCAACTGCGGCGAGGAAGGGTGAGTTCAACTAGACAATGCTCTTCAAACTTGCTAACACAGTTTCCAACACAGCCATTCCAAGGCCGATTGTACTCAGCCGCGAATTTTCAAGGGCACCTGCCGTATCTGCGAGAAGGAGGGTCATCCTGCTGCTGAATGCCCTGAGCGTCCCCCCGACATCTGCAAGAACTGTCTTGGCGAAGGTCACAAGACTATCGAATGTACCGAGAACCGGAAGTTCGATCTTAATCATGTTGCAGACATGCTTCCTGTGGAGGCTTGGGCTGCAATGAAGCAGGCTAGTGATGAACGGGATCTCGATGATTTCCGTGAGGTAATGTGCCCTGGTAAATTCGGATTTGGCCTTTGCTCACTTTGACACAGGCACTGAAGATCTACTCCAAGGCATCCCCCGAGGAGACCTTCGCCGATATTGAGAAGAAGATGCGCGAGGAGGCTTTCAAGATCCACATTATCGCCCTGGTAAGCCTTCCATCCATGTTTTCTCTCTACCCCAAAGTTCAAGGCTGATCGATGAGTTTGAATGATAGGAGAAGGAAGTGGATGACGTGATGAGTCTCATTGACCTGCAAGGAAAATTGGACCGCGAGTACGTCGTTGGACTTTACTTCAGCGGCAAGGCATCCCGCGGCAAGCTCCGAGAGCGTTGGCCTTCCGACCCCGACGAGAATCTCGAACGCCTGGCCAATGCTGGCTTCCCCTTTGACCGCAAGATCCCAAAGTGTCTTAACTGCGGAGGTGAGAATCAAGACTGGACGAAGTAAACTACATCATTGCTAATATGGATTTCAGAGCTGGGACATATCAGGAAGAGTTGCAAGGAGGAGCGTGCGGAAATAGAGGATCGTGTGGAGATCAAGTGTTCCAACTGCGAGGAGGTTGGCCATCGTGTGCGTGACTGCAAGGTCAAGCGCAAGTACAAGCATGGATGCCGAAACTGCGGGTATGTTCCCAAGGACCCCAAGATTGAGGATCATAGCACTGAATCAGAGTAGATCTGGAGATCATCTCGCGGCCGACTGCACTGAGCCTCGATCTGCTGAAGGCGTCGAATGCCGCAAGTGCAACGAACGTATGTCAATACCGTGGCTGAAAGTTTCGCAAGGTCTTTGCTAATTTGGAGTTTTTGAAAGAGGGTCACTACGCCAAGGATTGCCCCAACGTCGCTGATCGTGGCCCTCGCACCTGCCACAACTGCGGGTAAGTCATTCTATGCCTGAGACCTTGGGGCCATTTGGTTTAACATATATGCAGATCGGAGGATCATATGGCGCGTGACTGTGATCAGCCCCGTGTCATGTTGTGCCGCAATTGCGATCAGCGTAAGTTATACCTTGCTCCTCTCTTTTGAAGCCGGATCTAATTATTGCTAGCTGGTCATGCCGCACGCGACTGCCCCGAGCCAAAGGACTGGTCGAAAGTCAAGTGCAACAACTGCGGAGAGAGTAAGTCAACCAGAACTCTATGGTCTCTAAAGACGTCTCCTTACACATTACTTACGCATAAATAGTGGGCCATACCATCAAACGTTGCCGCCAGCCCGTGGCAGAGAAAGAAGAGGAAGCCGACCAGCCTTCTTTCTCCCCAGCTGGTTCCCCTCCTCACGGAGCTGTCGATGATGCCGAGCACTTCCAGCGTCGTGACCAGGACGACCGTTGGTAAACAACGCGGCTGAATATGGGTGAGGCAGAGACTTGGATTGCAACCGTAGTTCGAACTCTTGCTATCCCGCTTTGAGATGGGCATGGTGGCCCTAGGCTGCAGGATATGCTCTACTTCAATATTTCTTCATAAGGTCTTATCATGTTAGTTAGGATTTCACTTGGCTGTGTGGCGATTTCGTGGCCAGCGGCTGGTACGGGAGCTAGGTCTGGTGATTTCCTAACACTTGTTGTGATTTAACTGCAAAGTTATCGCAATACAACATCGATTTAAGCGATTTCTTCCATACTTGTAGAGTTTTTACTTATGAAAATCTGGATACTTGGAAAAAAGACCGGTAAAAAGCCGGACGACTCTTGAAATTGTACCTAAGATAATCGTACACCAGCTAACTCGTGGCTATAGCAGATGTACGGCAGATAGTTGAAGCTTTTTCCAGTCTTTTTTTCCCAGTGTCCCAGTGTGTAGAGTCAGTCTGCGACGAAAACGAGTATGGGGAATTAGTGATCTTTTTCGAGGAGAACAGACGTGTACGATAGAATAATGTATTGTGAGACCAGGAGAGGAGAGAGGGAGGAGGGAGAGAGAGAGCTAGAACTACGCTGTCTAACTTGCGAAGAGCATCACAAGCCTGGCATCCACTGGCGCCAACAATATTGATAGGATACAAATGGATATTATTCAAATCCCAATTCTGTCTACATTGATTTGGTGACCTTGTCTTTCATTGTTGTTGCGCCCAGTCGGTGCGTTGCCGTTGGCCGGAAAGGTTTGCACCGGGTTGTGGGGCTGTTGGCGAGGCCCTCCGGCGGGGCCGGGGCGGCGATTAGCCATATTCGGCCATTGGCCTTAACACTGATACAGTTGTTACTTTAAGGTAGCTACCGTTGTTCCAGCGATAGGCTCCACGATGTCGCAAAGACAGGACTGGATATTGTTGCGCACTACCGCTTCCGTCTCCAGCGGCATTTGTGGTATTTTTGAGAAAGCCTCAGCCTGCTCCATATTGACTGCAACCCTTCGATTTTCATTTAGGATTTCGAGAAGTGTGACTGGGCGAGAAGAGTCTCAAGTGTATAGAGGACCCCGTGCGTTGGTGTAGATAATAAGCCTCACTGGTACAAACCTTGGAAGGAGATTGAAAGACTGCCAGGTGTGTGTAGGCTGTACGCACTGAGAGCTGAGGGGGGCTGGACACTACATAGCCCTGAAAGAGGCTCGTCAAGCCTTGGCATCTAATTTTGGCTCTTACTTCTGTTGCTTTTCATACAATACCTCAGGCGGTAGAATATGAAAATAGAGCAATGGATGATGGCAGAGATACCTAGTGTAATGGGGAAACCGCGCCGCATCTCCCACCTGTGCCTTAGGCACCCCTGGGCTATTTCTAGCCCCGTTTCCATAGCATAGCAATGGAGGATCTTACACCTCTCTGGCAAAATAGCACCTACTTCCTAATCCGGCCGTTCTAGGGCTTTGCATGCCTCCCTGTTCCCGCCGAGCACTGAGCACCCTCGTCGTCTTGTCTGCGATGTCAGACCGCCAGCGCGCTCTTCCCACTTCATTAGGTATATACTCCGTACATGTCTAGCTTCAACATCTAAATTATGCTGTTTTTTATGGTAATATAATGATTCATTAACTTCAGTAGCTTGAAGTCTTGATAAATCAATTCTCGTGTAAAGAGGAGAATATACGCTAAAAACCGAGCAAATACAAAGAATGGCGGCTGAAATGCAGAGGAATAGAAAATGACATTTGCTTTGTGTTTTTAGGTGGGCGGCTTGCTTGTGTGGGCGGCTCGCATGTGAGTTACGTTAATGGCTGGCGTGCGTCACGCCGCCGTTACCTTAGTTATATCATGGACCCTGAACAGAAGTCGAAGCAAGGGTTCGCGACTAACGCTATCCACATGTATATGATTCTGTTCCGCTGCGAATGATTGGCCATTTCTGCCATATGACAGATATGATGTCCACTAATGCAGCCAAGACGCGATCTTACCCCCGCTTTGTTGACCTTATGGGCTCAGATTGGGCTCAGGTTGGGGGTTGGATGCCGAAAGTGGGATCACGAACCCGGAACATTATACTCCGTATTTGAGGAAGATGATTCTTAAGGTTGCTACGTGCCTCAGAGCTGAATCGATCTATCCATACTCCGTACGAGCGTCCGTCGTTGCTGGTCATGCCCTGAAATGCCGTTCCCCCTGGTCATCAGCCTTCGGAGCAGGAGATGCGGCCCCCAAGCCTGTTTCTGCGCTAACAGCGCATCTGTCAGTGCACAGCAGTTTTGATCTCTTTACCTAGAATCTTGCATTAGACACGCCAATCAAAGACGCGCAAAATTCGCTTGCCTCGAGGAGCCTTACACTAGCTCCAACACCAGTTCGAGGTGCAACCCCCAGCCAAGCTCTCAGCCAAAGTCAGCTCTATTGAGCACAAGTCGTCTGATTATTAGGAAATTCCCACATTTTGGGCCTCCTAAGTTTTCTTGGACCCCTAAGGGTTCTGAATTGCAGATCTCACGTTTCGTCTATTGCCCCATTCCGAAGTTCTTTTTGTCGCGAAATCGAATGGTCTTTATCAAAACAGAATATAACTGTAATCATAATGTCGAACTCGAACTTGAACTCGAGCTCCAACCACTTCAGCTGCCCGAAAGGCGGCGCTTGGTATGTGTGCCCAGACGAGCCTCAGTTCGTCGGCTGCTGCTCTCAGGACCCATGCAGAAACGTCGACGCAAACAGCACCTCGCCATGTCCAGAGCCCTACCTCTATTACGCCTCCTATGACCCCTCTATTCATGAAGAAATCCCACCGAACGCGTGCATCGACGGCGGAAAATGGTTTACCTGCGCCGGGGCAAATCCACCCTTCATGGGCTGCTGCGCGAGCGATCCCTGCAAAAACCCAGACCAGACAGGGTGTCCCGACGATGATTTACTTCCTGCTGCGTGGAGCACGTCCCGTCCGGGTCAATTCGCCCTGTTCCAGGATGAGGGCGCAGCCGCTGACGATGAGTTATCCGGCGGCGCGATTGCGGGAATTGTGGTTGGGGCTGTTGCGGCGCTGGCTATTATCGGAGCGCTCGTCTGGTTTTTCGTCCGGGGAAGGAATAAGAAGGCCGCTGCTATGAGTGGACATCGAAATACGTCGTCTGTTGTCGAGGGCGAGCATGGGAGGATGTATCCAGGCCCGGCATCACCGTCCTTTGGTATGTATCAGTCTCCTCGTGGATTGGAGTGATCCAAGTTCATTGACTGATATTTCATTGCGTTGTTTTAGACTCGGAATTTTCCAGCCCCGCCGGCACGACAATAGGGGGAGAAAGGATCTGAAACACATGTCAAATTCCTCAGCAGGCATCAGCCCGCCCTCGCTCTCCCCCGGAATACCCTCAGAAAACGGACGACCTGTTTCAGAAATTCACTCGAATAGTATCCGGGACGAGGATATGTCGCATCAGGAATGGGTGTCGGGTCAGAGCTACGGGCTCGGTGTGCATGGAGCACACAGACCAGACCCGATACAGGAGTTAGATGCCAATGTGGCCCAGGTGTATGAAATGGACGGACTCGGAAGAAATCGGCGGTGATGAGGCCTCGGCCGTGAGGTTTGTGTGGATTGTTCATTGATAGGTATTATGAGTTAGCAATTTGTATATACGTGTAATACCTGACTCCAAATCGATTCTTTCCACCGCACCTGGGATCCTCGCATCTGGGCGTGATGTGCTGATAACATGGGATCGTCCGGGAGCCTCATCAAAAATTCGGATAGTTTGCTATGGCTCTCCGGGTAGATCGCTACTTCATCTAAACCATCAAGAATGAACAGAGTTCTGTTTCTTTGGGTGGAATGCAGTTCTTGTAGGGAAATGTCTTATCCAAGGCATTTAGATATCACCAGTATCACTCTCACAATCAATTATTTATTCTTGGCGATTCGAATCTCATCTATAACTCCAAACGCACTGGGCTTTCATGCAGGGGCATACTTGGCATATAGTCGAAAAATCTGCTGTTCCTTCAAAGCAGCCAACATTGAACCCATCAGAACTCGCCTGATATTCACTTTTACCTGACGAATCCAAGACCCAATAAACCACCACAAGAAATGTCTTCAGGACCAGGCAGTGAATTGGCCTAATTTAGCAGCAAACAGAAAAGTATGGGGATTATTTGTAGTTTGAGGTCGGACACATGCAGCGATATCTGGCCTGAGTTGTTCTTAGGATTGGGATCTTGCTTAGTTGGACTCTTGTCCAGAAATGCAGCATCTTCAGTGCAATTGTATCCCTTGGAATCAGACTTCCCAATGACCTTGGGACCCGGAAGAGGGAAGCTAACGTCTTGTTCCTCGAAAGTAACGCATTTCCCTTCACCATTGATGTTTGCGATAAAGATCTCTGGCAGAGACTCAAACTTCGGAGGGGTTGTGACGTTTTTGTTGTCATTCAAACTGCCGGGAGCATCACCAATAGTGACCATGGCGCAGTTCATATACATCTCGCGGTTTCCAATTCTGTTGAACCAAGTCCAAGCAAACAACGCTTCCCCAGGGGGGCCTCCCGTGGGATTTCAAATGGCCATGTTTTGTTGGAACCACATCCTCCTATCATGGATTGAATGACTCTGAAGCTCCGACCTTGGTCATAGCTCAGCGAAAGCTGGCAAGAGCCTCCTCCATGTGGTGCATGTCCTTGAATCTTGGTTTCGTATGACGACTCCGGGACATAGAATGCCCGAGAGAAAAAAGGATCCTTTTCGTACCCTTTACAAGGATAATTTTTCCCGGACGCATTCAATGGGTTGGTATAACCGTAGTCCACAGGCCCGGTGGGATATAAGTCCAGAGGACTTCGAATGGGAAGCGGCTTGCTCATCTGCATATGGGCGAACCCTCCAGCTCCCCAGAGTGCGAGAAAGAGGATGATCTTGGTAACTGTGTAGAATGACATCGTGTGGAAGGAGGAATTGTGGGTCCGGGGGTCTTGGGGGTCTGGGGTTTGGTTAGGCTCACAATCGAGAGGCACAGTAAGAATCAGTTCTGTCTTACATTTCTGGGAATCAGGTCAATGTCAGGCCCGTATGCCTTCCCTGAACTCGAATCGCTCACTATGTGGAGATAAATTAAGATAAATTTTTCAATTTTGTACCTGGGTGAGGAAAAGAGAAGACTATCAGCCCCGGGGCCAACTTGGTGGCCTTACGTAAAAAGATTGTTTTGCCCAGGTGCCTGTGAGATGCACCTGGGCAGGTGCTTTGATGCATGTTTGATGCATGCATTCTCTGGAACATCACAAACCAAGAGGATAAGCAGGCGCTGATATTCGTTTATTTGCTTGGAACTTCCATAATCCATATGTATTAAGATTGATTGGGTGCTTCTCCGGGTGGACCAACACTACGTAGTAGGTAGGTATCACTTTAGTGTTCAGCCTGTTCGGGTTGGTGACGAGGTTCTTTTTGAGAGGGTCAGGATTTTTGCTCAATTCATTTTACTTTCAAATGAGACTCCTATGCAGCTAGAGGCATAGTACTCGGTACGGAGTACCCTGTACTCGATACTCCGTCTTCTATGTACGGAGTATTGCCACAGGCAAACATGCCTATCCATACTCCACTCGCCCGATCGGGTATGCACTCGCGCGGCAATGTACTGCAGTCTACGACTGCTCAATTTCTGTTCTGACTCTCGCTTGCAGATATTTGCACACCCAGAATAGTTATACAGACACTTACATTAATCTGGAATTTGGGTAAGAATCAAGATAGGATAGGTCACATCACCAAATGTACTCTCCAGGGCTGTACATAGCCGCGGTTCCGAATCGGGCATCCCATAAGAGAAACCCCATGGCTCGGGACAAACCGAAGCTCCCGGGACCTTGGTTGTGCCATGTCATCATCTTCCAAGGTTCCAATGTTGATTTTAATTGATCTTGATTAGCTCCAACGTTGGGAAGTCAGGTCGCAACTGCGTTGAGACTAAGTGATGCGATGATGTCATCGACCGGCCTTGGCTTGACAGCCGAGTGTCCCCTCTCCCCTCCCGCAGCAGGTTTCTCCCGTCGAGGAACCCGAAAGCTTGACGCCATTTCTCGGTCTCTCGCGAAGCCGATGGTATACCTTATTGGTGGGACCGATCCGTGCGGTATTAAAGGACATTACGTCGAGCCGTACTCCGTACTCCGTACCCTTACCTCCTGAGCTCCACTCCCACTAGCCTCTACGGAGTAACGCAGACCCGGGAAAAAAAATGGGGGAGTCTGGGGGAAATGGAGAATCTCCAGATTTGGGGCATTCCGGTCCACAGAAAAAGTCTCCAACTCACATGGCAACACCACGCGAGATCTCATGTCATTGACTCCCTGTCTTGACCGGATACGGTCAAATAGTCTCCATTCGGGATGAGACTCGACCATCGATATTACCGTACGAGAAAACTAACGATACCGGTCGGAAACCGAGCGGCCTCACATGGCGTTGCCCAACGCCGATTTGCTCAAACTCCGGGTGGGCCCTGGACGGGGGTTGGTGGTCTCCCGGCTTTGCAGTGGCTCGAGAACCCGATCCGGCGATTGTATAGGCATCACCAATGCGACCCTGCCGCTACTTCTCATTGGTAGATGGAGTCTTGCTCGCTCTGACTTCTGATTTGCACCCTAAAACCTGTATTTGAAGGTGGGGGCATGCGTGGTTCATAAGGGTGTGTTGCCCTGGATGTACCGTTGGAGCGTGGTTTTTTCTTTCATAGGATTTCCTACACTCGCTTCCTAAGATATAGCTGGTCTATATCGTGTGCCTGAACGTACACTTCGATATACCGCTTGTCTTCTATACTCTTTTACGTTTCATCATGAAGCCCTATTTTGGACTTCGAGGCTCGAGCCTCAACATCATGATCAGTATTATTGCTGGCCTTGATTTCTTGTACGCTGGAACTCTTCTATTCAAGAAATATCAAAAGCTAACCAAGTGCTATATAGACTATTTGGTTATGACCAGTATGTCTTTGCCAATCGCACCGCTATTATATCGCAGTTTCACTTACACTCAACAGGGGCGTCATGGGAGGTCTATTGACCTTGAACTCATTCGTCACAGTCTTCCCTGAAATTGACACCACTCATTCAAGTTCCTCAACGAGTACCAATTCCACAACACAAGGTACGAAGTCCTCACCTTGCTCTATTCGCTATATATACTGACTCATCAGGAATTACCACTGCATCTTATAACCTGGGCTGTTTCTTTGGCGCCATCTTCTGCATTTGGATTGGAAACTATCTTGGTCGCCGCAAGACTATCTTCACCGGCTCAATCATCATGATCGTCGGTGCAACTCTACAGGCCTGCGCATATTCTCTGCCCCATCTTATTGTCGGCCGCATCGTGACCGGTATTGGAAATGGCATGAACACTTCCACTGTTCCCACATGGCAATCCGGTGAGTATCAACGCCCCGTTTATAAGGAACGTGTCATACTAAAATTGCGAAGAATGCTCCAAGTCCCACCACCGTGGCCAGCTAGTCATGTTGGAAGGCTCCTTGATCGCCGCTGGAATTACAATCAGTTACTGGATCGATCTTGGCTTCTCCTTCTTGGACCCCAGCTCAGTTGCCTGGCGATTCCCCATCGCTTTCCAGAACGCCTTCGCCCTGGTAATCTTGATTTTTGTCCTGCCATTGCCCGAATCACCTCGTTGGTTGATTCTCAAGGGTCGCGAGGAGGAAGCCGTGGAAGTTCTCGCCGCTATTCTGGATCTAGACGAAAGGGATCCTTACGTCCACTCTGAGTTCTCCGCTATCAAAGATGCTGTCCTCGAAGCTTCGGCTGTTAGCTTCCGTGACTTGTTCACAATGGATGAAGATCGCCATTTCCACCGCGTGGTTCTCGCCTACGTCAATCAGATGTTCCAGCAGATTTCTGGTATCAACCTCATCACGTACTATGCCGCGACCATCTACGAAAGTATTGGAATGGACGGGTTGACTTCGCGTATTCTGGCTGCCTGCAATGGAACAGAGTACTTCTTGGCGTCTTTGATCCCGATTTTCATTATTGAGAAAGTCGGTCGCCGCCTTTTAATGTTGATCGGTGCTGCTGGAATGTCAATTTCGATGGCTGTCTTGGCTATTACTACCAGCTTCGAGGGCAATAGCCAAGCCGGAATCGCCGCCGCCGTTTTCTTGTTCGTGTTCAACACCTTTTTCGCCCTGGGCTGGCTGGGCATGACTTGGTTGTACCCTGCAGAGATTGTAAGTCTCGCATGCTCCAATCTGGTTGCAAAGCTAATGATTGACCAGGTTCCCCTTCGTATCCGTGCACCCGCCAACGCACTCGCAACGTCTGGTAACTGGATCTTCAACTTCATGGTCGTGATGATCACCCCTGTTGCGTTCGACTCGATCAAGTACAAGACCTACATCATCTTCGCGGTCATGTAAGTTTCTCCGAGTCGAGTTGAGGACCAAGCTAACATCTTCAAGTAATGCTTTCATTTTCCCTGTCATCTACTTCTTCTATCCCGAAACCGCCTACCGATCCCTGGAGGAGATGGATACCATCTTCCACAAGACTAGTAGCGTCTTTAATGTTGTTTCGGTTGCCCGCCAAGAACCTCATCGCTATGGCAAGAACGGCGAACTGCTTATCAACTATGAAGACACCGAAGAGCATTTGCGTCGCGCTAGCTATGTTTCTGACAAACCGAAGAGCAAGATGGTCTCTCCAACGGGTGATTTGGAGACTGGAAAGGGGACCCACGTCGAGCACCGTAAAGGCAGTGCTAGCGCTTCCGATAGCAACTAAGCAAGATTCTTCACATTCTGGCTAAACAGCCGAGTGAATAATAAGAAGGACTCATGAAGCCTACTAGAAGATGTGCGCTCGTGAGAATTATGGATTATCAAATTGATAAGCAGATATAATTATTCCAACGTCAAGGGCTAATCAAGTCATATAATGGTCATCAAACCAAAATTCATGCAATAGCTCACAGCCCAAAGGCTAATCCACCAATAGCAGCAGCAAGAGCAGCAGCCAATAAGCCAGTGGCGCTAACACTAAAGCTCAAGCCAGCCGCAGAGGCCGGGAACATACCCGGAGATCCTGAGCCCGATACCTCATCGTCATTAGAAGAGGCATCATTAGAAGAGGACGTAGCACTAGGAGCAGCAGCACCCGTCGACACAGTTACCGGCTCAGACGAAGCTCTCAGGGAGGTAGCAGAGTACGGCGCCGAGAAAGTGTAATCCCTCGAAGAGGAGATCAGTTCCACGTCAGCCTCAAGACTGTTCGTCGCATACACGGACCAGACGGTTGTTGTGCTGGTGCGGGTTGAGGTGACAGTTTGCACAGTGTAAGGAGCATAAGATGTCCAGAAGTAATAGTAATAAGTCCTATTCAAGTTAGCCAATCATCCAAGATCCACTTGCAGAATTCATACCAGTAAATAGTCGTGTAATAATACTCGAAATCGGCAGTAGAAGTAGTTGAGGTCTCAGTCTCCGTTTCCGTCGCAGTAGCCGTACTCGTGAGTGTAGGCAGCGTGATACTATCCAGATCATCACCAACGGAATCATGCTCGCCAATACATCCCGACGGAGAACAGCAAGTCTTCCGTCCAAGATATGTACGACACTCCTTGCCAGCACGGCAATAGGTACCGTCAGAGCAGCACTCTCCACCAAAAGGAGCACATCCATCTGTTCCAGAGCAGCACTTGAAGCCGCTGCGGCATGTACCGCCAGTCGAGCAACAGGTCTCGCCGGGATCGGCACAGTATCCGTTTCCGCAGCAGGTGCTGCCGATAGGACAGCATTTCATGGAATTGTAGGCACATTCACTGTATCCAGCCGAGCAGACATATTGGCGAGAAACGAGATTGAAGTCTGGGTTATCGCTGAATGCGAAGCCTTGGGTATCTGTGTTGAGGGAGACATTGGAGTAGAGACGGGGTTCATCTGCGAGGGATTCGGGTGTTTCGCATGATGCGAAGCTCGCAAATAGAAGGAATGAAGACACTAGGCCTGCGAGACGGGGTAGTGAGGCTCTCATTTTTGAAGGTTAGGGTTATGGCGGCGGGTGGTTTTCCAGAGTAGACTCCATTCTGGGACGTCGGGTAGAGATGAGATTTAAGTTGTAGACCCTTGGACCCTGTAGAATCAATGCGTTTGAGTCCGAGGAGTATATTGAGCGAAGCGAGAAGTTTCAAGGCACCTTCTTCGTATTCACGAACTCTTTGGGGGATAGCTCTGCTTTTGGTTCCGTAAATACGAGATGGTGCTTCTTGGCACGCACTCAAGCCGCCTTTTTGGCTGCTTTACGGGGTGCATCTTGAGGTACCAAGAGCATGCAAGCTGATATTGGTTCGTTTGGATCAGTGCCCTGACTCGTGATCGGAAAATACTCCTCGGAGGACTTGGCACGACTGTCGTGGTCGAAGCCCTAATCTTGTTATAGAGTTCCGGATATTAATAGACCTCGATGATAAATCAGAGCTGGGGACTCCGTAGCTGATCCTTATTAGTTGATGCGGTACTGAACTAGACAAGAGGACTGATTGTGTTGGTAAATCGATCGCTAAGACCGCTTCAAGTGTCTTGGGGGACTGTACCGTGAGCGGGAAGAGTCAGAGGTGTTTTGCCTCATTTTACGGAGGGACGATCTTTACCAAGATTAGAAAAGCGCAGTGGTGCATCTCGCTCTTGAACGATGGGTAGCTCTTTGTCGCGTGAAGTTGTTTACAGCCAGAATATGGGGACCTGTGGGATTGACGCCGAAAATGACCGCAGAAACGGCTGCCTTTCCACCTGTAGCATTCCTTGGCTCGCAATTAGTATGTTCCCAACTATGCCTCTGAGTAAAGGACGACTAACCTATCAAGAACCCCTACTATCCATGCCCAATGTTAGTAATAGACCAGGGTCTGGAGCAGGTTGATAAAGATACACGGAAACAACATACATGAAGTTGAACGACCAAAGCGGAACCTCCACCAGACCGGAACGTTCGCAGTCAATGGTTTGTAATCGTTTGTTTGCCATATTTTCGGTCGGCGATCTTAAACAGCTTACCTCAATGGATTAGAATTTACCGAGGCCCTGGGGGTAAAGCACGATGACTTGTAGCTCTAAAGAGGACATTCCATACTCAAGAGTTCGTAGTAGATTCCTAAGTCATTCACGACTACTTGTTGGCTTGAGGATAGGGGAAACTAGGTAGCCCATGCAGTCAGCTTATCGCGTGTGTAATTCAATTGTGGTGGAGACAAAGCGACTTCTATATCATCAGCAGTCTGGATTGCCTTGAAAACTTTGACGACAAATTTCCTTTAGTATCTGAGGGAGCTGTATAATCTCTTATTTTGCCTCCGACCTAGTGACTCATAATGAAAAGGAGAGTGAGAGGTCATGTGAGTTGAAGTGGTCGTGTCAATGGAGTTATGCCGCATGATGGTTACTTGACAGATGCAAGTTACTGTTTATAGAACAGGAATTCAAAAGCCAACAATCTTTACTCGCTTCTCATCAAAGCGCAGCTACCGCAAGATGAGATCATAGCTCAATTGTTGATGTTGTATGATTATTCTTGTATATTTCTGTAACCCTATTGCCGACCACAGACGAGCCAGTCATACTGTGTATACGCGAGTTGGATTTTGAGCTTGAGCTACTATGTAGGCTGCATCGACTCATTTACTCATTCTTACATAGCTTATTACCCATTACCAAGGCCACTAAATGAGACTACCTAATCTCGAGGAGCTTTATAGAATAATTGATTAGTGAGACAATGTCATCACGAAAGCCCTACAACAATTTTGGTGCCGTGGGCTTCTCCTTTGCGAAGCCTCTCAAGACCGTCAAGCACCGCATCAAGCCCTCCTCTCAGCGCTGTAACAGGAGGTGGCTTTAAAGCACGATCACATAGTTGGCTCAGACTACCATAGAACGAGCGAAGCGAATCCCGATCATCGGGCACAACTGGGAACGCTGGACCTAGGGGCGACAACAAGGAGAAAGGTTTCCCAAAGACGGTGAAAACCATGAGACTTTTGAACTCGATCTCCGCCTTTTTCGGCTTCCCTTGATCAAGCAACGTGACAACTCGTCCCCCTTTCAGCACCTCGGCACAGAATTGAGAGGAGTCACCTTCGGAAAAGCAATCCAAAGCTTTGGTGATGTCAGGATACGCCTTGGAAATTTCACTCGCCGCCTTGGGGGACCGATAGTCAAATACCGAGTCTGCACCATAGCTTTTGACAAGATCGAATGATCGTGGGGATGCAGTTACAACCACATGAAGACCTGCCCTTTTGGCGAGTTGAATTGCGAAAAGCCCAACGTTTGAACCACCGGAGTAAATGAGAATTGATGAATCGCCAGAAGACTGCCTCGTAGCTCCTGACATAATATCGTCCCATGCGACATCAAGGTGCGCAAGTGCAAGAACTGCAGTGACAGCTGGAATGCCATATGTTGCAGCTTCAGACATGGTAGTCGTGCCAGGGATAGGCCAAGCAAGTTCTCCATCGACCTTCAGGTATTCAGCAAACGAGCCGATGTCAGGGTATTGGCCACCGTGGACAAAACCTGCAACCCTGTCCCCAACATTCCATCGGCCCACCATGTCACTTCCAACTTTGACCACCTCACCAGCATAGTCGCAGCCGATAATACTCTTGTTCGGAGAGAGGAAATCAATGTTTTTGTGGTCGACCGGGTTGAGTGCTACAGCATGCACTCGGACCAGTATCTCACTATCGGTAATTTGGGGAGTTGGAATATCGACGATTCTTGCACATTGACCGAATGAGGAGGAGCAAGCAAAGTTGAGAATTTGCTTCGCAAGATATCGGTTTGCCACAACAGCTCTCATGTTGACTGCAGCGCTGTGTAAGGCACGTCAGTTCAATAAGCAATAAGAAACCTAAAAAGGCTGGTTTGACAAGTTAGTATCCAAGAATTGTAGATTAGGTTGGCTTGAGAATATAATTGAAGAGTCGGGACAATTCAAAGGCCGGCGGTCAATTGTGGCATCGCCACTGGTATATAAATCGGGCATGATCAATAGTCACCCCGGTTCCGAGCCGAGGCTCGGAATGATGATTCATCACCAAAATGATAGTATAACTTCACAAATATCGGAAATTCAGCATCCATTGTTCTGAAGAACATGTCTTTTCTTTTCAGCAAGAGCCCCTCTTTCGATCCCAAAAAGGATATTTCAAGCCTTTCCGGGCGGGTTATTCTGGTGACTGGGGGCAACAATGGTCTTGGAAAAGAAACCATAAAGCAATTGGCGGCGCACGACCCCACAAAGATATACATGGGCGCTCGCAGCGCCAAGAAAGCAGAAGAAGCAATTCTTGACATCAAACGAGAAGTTCCCTCTGCGGAGATCGTGTTTCTGGACATAGATCTTGCGTCTTTCGCCTCAATCAAACGCGCGGCTGAAACATTCCTGTCCACAAACGACCGTCTCGATATTCTTATCAACAACGCCGGTATCTTTGCTCCTCCGCCTGGCTTGACTGAAGATGGTTACGAGGTCCAGTTTGGCACAAATTACATGGGTTCGGCACTGCTGACTCGACTACTTCTGCCGATCCTCACCAAGACTGCTGATACCGGGGCGGATGTTCGTATTGTGAACATTAGCTCTGAGATATACCAAAACGCTCCCAAAGCCGGTATACTTCTCAAGCAGGCAAAGACACCGCTCACCGAGATCAGCACTGTCGCTCGTTATGGTCACTCCAAACTCGCCAACATATACTTCGCGAGGTCTTGCGCCAAGAAGTTTCCCAGTATTTACTCGGTTTCTCTACACCCGGGGCTTGTCCGGACGAATATTGGAGATGGAATGACAGCCAACCTAGTCCTCTCTTTCATTTTTCGTCTATTCAACTCAGTAGCCTCCGTGGATATTCCTACTGGCACACTGAACCAGCTATGGGCAAGTACCGCTAATTCGGCTGAACTGAAGAACGGAGCCTACTACATCCCTTCCTTCAAGGAAACGAAAAGAACGGGCATCGAGAGTGACATGGACAAAGCGGAGGAATTGTGGCAATGGACAGAACGAGAGTTCAAGGAACATGGCTTTTAATAATCTTGTAATATAATTTGTACCGATAGTTGTCGCGCTAATCTTATTGATGTTTGACTTGACATGAAGTAATTTTGGGTTTTTCCCACAAGACAATTTGTCATTTTCCAAAGCTCACCTCTACACAGGGATACAGCTCTTAGGGGGCCGAAGGAAGTAAAAGATTTCTACACGTACAAATCAATAAACTTGGAGATTCTGTCTATTAATTAGTTCCGTTTCAATCATTGCGGTAGTTTTCAGTTTCCAAAATACTCTACCAGCGCGCAGAGTACATAGATCATAAAATCTATCATTCTACCTCCCCCAGTTGAAAGCAAATCTCAAAATCTGCAACCCCTTTGTACGAGTCTAGTGATTAAAATCCATCATCCCTCACTCCTCAATCAAAGAGATATTGGCAACGCTCAATACCGAGGGTTTCAGCAAGGAAATCGTTGATTAATTGGCAGTTGGGGTCCATCTTTTTCTGGAGATCAACCCACTCATCCATCTTCAGGTAGATAGTCGAGCTGTAGGTCTCATTTGAAGATCATCTTGTTCCAATGGGGACGAACGTTGTAGGTCTCGCCAAACTTGGGAATGTACTCGCTGGCAAGCTTTTGAGAGAAGTACTGGGTGGTGAAGTTGTTGTAGGTAGGAACCCAAGAGTGCTCCAAGGTGGCGAATATGCCGCTGTTATTGGAACGAGCCTGTAGTTCGCCCGAGTACAACGACCGATCTCGGCCCGTCTTATTTTGTCAGCTCAAATGATCTTCTTTCGCGCAAGATGCCTTAGCAGAGCGCTAAGTCAGTACTTAATGTGGGGCTTTGTTTCACTGCAAGTCAAGACCCACCCTCATGCACCAGGAATGAGCAATTGCAACATTCAGTGCGAAGCAACCTTAGCGGGATGTACTCATCCGAGCGCACTGAATGTCGACAGGAAACTATCGCAAACAGAATCGAACAAAGAATCTTAAATAGCCAAGAGATGTCTACCTCGACCATGGCTCATACTCCATTTGCAAATTCGAGCTAATACTCGGATTAGCCCCGACACGAAATTTGGCCAAAATGCTGTGGACCATTCTTCTTGTTGGTCTCTCTTTGCCCCTTTTTGCTGTGGGTGATGTGGCCAAGGACCGCGACGAGCGCCTGAAGACGGCTGTCATCCTCGACACCCCCACTACAGGCGCCAGCACCACGCCAGAGGGTCGAACTTTTCTCAAATTGGCTCGAGTCGACGACACAACAGGGTCACAGGTTGTGGAGGCTGTCGGTGATGACTACACCCTGGTCCCATATCCCAACGATGAATGGAATTCGTGGAATGCCAGCACCGATAGCGCCGCCGACTCGGAGAGAAAATACGTGGCTACCAACGCCCAGCGTGTTGGTCCTGATGGAAACCTCTAGGTAATAGACAGTGGAGATCTGCACCAGTTTCCCAACTCGTCGAAGCTCATCCCTTTCAACCTCACAGCCAACGAAGTGCAACGCATCTATTACCTTGGTGATGTCACCACCAGGGACGGTTCCATCAATGACGTACGCTTCAACGGCAAGTACGCCTACCTCACCGAATATACTATCGGGTCTATTATCGTGCTGGATCTGGAGACCGGCGATGCCCGCATGGTTCTTCGGAAACACAAATCAACCGTTGCCTTGATGCCCCTGTCCGCAGAAGGACATTTCCTCCGCGCTCAATCAACAGGCGAATGCCAATACATCCACGCTGATCAAGAAGAAGTATCGCCAGATGGCAAGTACTTTTACTACCAACCGGCTATTGGTTATATGTGGCGTATCGAAACCAAGTACCTCAACGATGCCCTGAAGAATGATACCACAGCAGAACTTCTTCCCAACTATGTTGAGCCGTTCTCCCTGACGCCTAGTACTGGTGGCAGTGCCAGTGATGCAGAGGGAAATATCTACTACAGCGACGGCGATCGTCAGGAAATACGCATTATCGCGCCAAACGGAACAACCACCTTGTTGGTGCGTGACGAGAGGTTGCTTTGGGTTGATGCAATCTGGCTCGACACCAAGCAGCGTCTGTGGCTATGTGCATCTCAGCTCAACCGCAGCAACCGTTTCGTGCAGCCTAACAACCAGACTATAACCATCGAGAAGCCAATTTACGTCTTCAACATTGACGTGGGTCACAGCCCATCACCATTGGATCATGCCTAGCGGTTGCATCACTGGAGGAGTAAATGATACTTTAACCTCCAGATCCTCGGTGCTTCCCTGGGAATCCTATTTATTATAAAGAGCATTTCTGAACGTGGGAAAGACTTGAAAGACTTTTTAAGATAAAGCAAGTTCCGTGTTAGATAGCAATTAATGAATGAAATCAAGTTCTCTCTGGTCCCCGGGATACTCTTCTTCCTGCCATGTTTCTGTCATTTGCCTGCCAGGTGTACCCCTCTTATGCTCTACGGGAGCCACTGTTGTAGGTTTGCTCCGAAAAAGCTCCCCAAGTGTAACTCAAGTCGTGAGCTTGACCTCTTGCCGGATTTCCTGTGATTTCGGGGCCCTTATTCAAGTGCATCTCAATACCCTGAATCTCTTGCTGCATCTCCTGCATACCGAACCGCTGGCTCTGGTCATTGGTTTCCAAAAGATGAGACAGATCTTTGTCGCCTCGCTTGGGTAGTTCATCGTAGGTCTTCTTTGGAACTCTCACGAGACCATAATGCTCGTAGTTTGTGAAAATATCGTGTACCCTCTGTTGATCAGGTCTCCATCGACGGCCGGGGGGTTGGTATCTGGCCTGGGCTTCAAGCATATCCAGGGCTCGTTCCACGGTGAATTCTCCTTCTGGGATCACAGATGGTCCGCGGCGGTAATTTATCTGCTCTTCTTTGGCCATGGCTGGGGCGAAAGTATTTGGCGCATTCCGAAGGTCTGTGGCGAAGGGGTTGACCGCAGTGGTGTACGGAACATCAATCTCGACGTCCATGTTTGCTTCAAGTGGCGAGCAGGACGTGTTTTGGATGAATGATTCGTGTGCTGCCATTCGTGCAGCGACGGACTTGTAGAGCACCATGTCTTCCTTTGGCTGGTATCCCGGTCGAACTGTGATCTCCTTGCGCTCTGTGCCGTCGGGTCTGGTGGATGATGGAACGTAGCTCTTGCCGGTGTAGTGATCGTGTATGATTCCCGAAGGGGTAACTTCTGGGTAGGTGGTGAAAGCCGAGTCAAAGGAGCCCTCTGAGGATGACATTTTTATCAAAGGTTGTCATTGAAAGATGTCTATCATTGGGTCAGTGGCAGGTCTGCGTAGTCATAATGCGTCTACAAAGCAGGTTCGATGAAAGCCAGCGTAGAAAATGATGAACCTCTTACCTTGATTTGATTCATCTCCTGTAAAGAGCCACTGTGTGGGTCAAGCAGCTTGGTCGATGTAGGAAGAAACTTGGACAGAAAAAAGAGGCGAAGACGAAGAGAGGTGAGAGGAGAGAAGTGAGAGGTGAGAGGTGAGAGCTTTTATGGGTGGGAGGTGAGAGCTTTTATGGGTGGGAGGTGAGAGGTGAGATGAGCGAGGTGATGGAAGAAAGCATGAGCTCTCGCTGGGGAATGTTGAGACAACGCGAACCAAGAAAGCTCACAGATGTCACTTCCCATCAAGATTACTATGCCACACCCACAGAGCTTGGGTAGATCTCTCGGTGCTTTGTAAGACTTTCCACATGGATGATTCAGAAAACAATTGATTTATATTGACATATACAAAACGAGTGTGTTCAGCTTCAAACCTACCAGAAGTTTCAAGCACTATATAATACTATTCCATCACATCAATCTGATCCAGTAATATCTCCTCTGCTCTCAATTCACTCAAAGTAGTTCTGTCTCAAGAGATCTCCAGAAGTCCGCCAGGATTTAAGCCTCAAAAGAAGTGGGCTTAGGAAGGGGAGGGACATCGGTAGTCTGGGGAGGAGGGGGAGGGGCCTCTCCGCGCTTCTCGTTGTCGTTGTCGGACTTGGGAGGAGGAGGAATGTCGGTGCCAGTAGGCTTAGGGGGAGGCACATCAGTACCAGAAGGCGCAGGAGGAGGAGCATCTCCGCGCTTCTCATTGCCTCCCTCGGACTTGGGAGGAGGAGGCACATCAGTGCCAGTAGGCTTGGGGGGAACGTCGGTTCCAGAAGGAGGGGGAGGGGGTGCGTCTCCACGCTTCTCATTGCCGCCCTCGGACTTGGGAGGAGGAATGTCGGTGCCGGTAGGCTTGGGGGAGGTGGGCCATCAGTGCCAGTGGGCACGGGAGGTGGGCCATCAGTGCCAGTGGGCACGGGAGGTGGGCCATCAGTGCCAGTGGGCACGGGAGGCGGGTTTTCCTCGCGCTTCTCGTTGTCGTTGCCACCCTCGGACTTGGGAGGAGGGGGGATCTCAGTGCCAGTGGGAAGAGGAGGAGGAGCAGAGATATCGGAGGGAGCTGTATCGCCAGTCAGTTGATCGAACTTCAGATGAAAAAAGATATTCTTTGGAGTCACGCACGAGGACCAGGAGGAGCCGCGGCGACCAGGCCAGCGGCCATGAAGCTGCACATGATAGCGGAAACCTTCATTTTGGCGGTAGTGTAGAGTTGATTGTTTGTGGAGGGCTGTGTTGTTTGGATTGATTGTTCTGGATGAACATGAAGACGACTTCAAGAGCTCCTTTATATCTCGAGAGTCTTCCACCGTCATACGCCTCGGAAAAGGTGAACTCCATCGTCACATCATCCAGGTCGGTAGTGATGAATAGACTCGTCTCAGAACGGTCGATCTCGTCGTCAGCCTGTTGACTTTTCAGGAAAGCTGAAGGACTATCGACAGACGTACAACGATGAGGTCATAAGAAACAGACATGTACAAGCAATCCCCTCATAGCGCGCCTTGAAGACGACGAGTCTAGCTGAAGAACGACTTACGAATCGAGTGGATCCCATCTACAAATCCTCTCCGCAAATAACTTAGCCGTTGGTCTACTCCGGAGCCCTAAGTGGAGAGCTTCCGAGCCACATAACCTCGAATTTTGCCTGAAACATCCTTGCAAAGCACTCGTGCTGCGGCAAAATGAGGCAATCAACATCAAATTCAAGCGATCAGCTCAAGAAGATCGACGTTCTAGTTGGCTCTTAAAAATAGAATAATTCAAGCTGTCCTAATTGCACGCGCGGCCATGCGGATCTTTTGTCCAGACCCACTCTCAGCGATGAGTAATCGGAGTTCTACTTCAGCTACTAACTAGAGTCTTGGGCGATTACGTTGCAAGCTAATGATTAAGCTTAAGGCACTATTGATCTGTCTAGGGCTGAGACATGGGGTTCGTATCTAGTGACTCTTTTGACTGTACCAATTGTGTGCAGCCAACTTTGAATTTCATTTTCAAGTGAAATCTGACACTCATGCACTTTTCATTATTCAATTTACAAGTTGTTTGTCAATGAAATTTATGGACAACATGCTAGTAACCTGCTGCAAAAGTTATTGGCTGGTAGTGGGCCTCGTACCCCTGTAGTATGGCGCTTTGCTACAGTGTCGATCCGTGTTGGAGGGCGGTTGGAAAACGAGATCTCTTTTGCAACTATGCAATTAATCAGGGGGAACTTGTCACACGCGGAATAGTCTGAGCCTAAGAGTTGAACTATCTACCGCCTAATCTTCTCAAGTTGGGACCATCACGGCGGCAAGATGCAAGTGCCACTTGCATTCGCGTCGCATCTCAGCAACCTGCCTTCTGTATGTATGGTTCAGCGCCGATCCCTCTCATGGGCTGCAGCCTGACCAATATTCTTAGTGCTTTGATGTGGTCTTACAATGTTTCAAAATGCCTCGTTGACCCGTGGCACATGCTTGATCTCGACTGGTCACGGTTCATCTCGAGATCCGCGGTCTGATTGCGCAATATTCCTGTCGCAAATCTCATTTGACCTTGTAGAAGAATAGAGCTATGTCCAAAATAGGGGTAAATATAGGAGAATACATTTCTAGCAGCTGATAATTAAACATGACATATGTGAACACAGGGAACGGGACCTCGGCTTGGGCCTCGGGAGGAACAATGATTGCACGCACAGGTTCAGATAGGTAGCAACATGTTGACCACCTAGGCAAGCTTGAGGGGAATTTTTGTAAGTTTTTGTTCAAAATGAAACAGTTCCCGAGGTCCAATTTCAAAGAGGACGAAGTCTTAAGAGCTCGCGATACAACTCAAGCTCAAAAGGTACCCAGCTCATGCTACGGAGTATAGAAGCACGTTGTTCGGTGCTAGAATGGCCATCATAGGTCTTTCGGGGGTAAATCGTGATTGTTGAGATACTGAATGTGAATCTAACTCATCAGCTGTGTGCTTCCATCTATTATTCTTGTTGGCTTTTATCTTGATCCTACTTTCATTGAGATCTCAAACGGTGTTGCTTCAGTGCCAGGTGCTTACCCTCGGGTTTTCTGCGATATTTTGGGAGCAAAGCCCTGTCAAATCCCATTGTACCCAAACTCAATTACTTCGCAGAGGTGAGAGGGTTATGCTTTCTCTTTGGACAACATTACCTCTCTTGGATACTGCGCACAAATGACTCGGATCGTTTGGGATTTGTCTTCCGATCTGTATTTTGCCAGATTTTAGCTGATTTGACTATAGGAATTCCTATGGCGTTCAAAAGGTCCATATGCGGACTAAATATCGACCGAGTACTCCGTATTGAAGGATGCATGAAGCACTTCCCGAGCTCTTCTATGAGATTACCCGATTCGGACACAGAGCCACGTGATATCCCCGAGACCGGCGGAAAAGCTATCCCCAAACACGTTCGGTGAAGATTAGATGCTGCACGGAGTACTCTGCAGGGAGTATACTTGAACAGAGTAGCGATCCTCTCTTTCTGTCTGTTTACGGAAGTCAATTCCGATGGGGTAATTCTTTCCACCGTTGCTCGTCTTCCATGTCATTAACATTCTGACAGTGAAGATCTCTGTAAGGGAGAATAGAAAACTCCCAGGGCCCAGACCAGAAAACAAACCAAAGCGAGTGGGGAGCCGAATTAAGGTTATCCTCGGTGAAGTCGCGTTGGGGAAAGGGACCGATGCTCGGAAGGGTTTTTTCACCGGAGCCAATCTCAACCTCAACGGAGCTTTCTCTTCGGATGTTGGAGATTGTGAGTCACGCGTTCCGTGCATAAGCGCTATAAGACTCCAGGGCTTCTGGAGATTGTCATTGGAGACGAATTGTTTTTTTCCGCCAAGACTTGCGAGTCGCCTTTATCAGATCCGAAAGCGGTCGAACTTCCCCGCTACTTTTTTTTTCTCCTCTCAGCGTGAGAAGGAGACTTTGGAAGAGGTTTATTAGAACCTAGCTATTGAGGTAGGTTTGGACTTGGACTTTTGATTTTTCTTTCTCTTTTCGTGACGGGACGCTTGACCTCGGTAAACCCGCTAGCGCTTCTAGCGTCTCCGAGGGGAACATACTTGCAGAAGAATTTCACTGACTCGATTCTTGCAGGCATCTCAGGCGTGGTATTGATACTCTACTCCACTGACGTTGGACTGATCGACACTCCGTACAGTCAGTGCTAGTCGATCGCTGACTACAACCCGCAAAGGGCCAAAGCTGCCCATATAGACTTGTAGAAACAAAAATGTCGGCTGAACTTCATCCCGTTGCTGTCGGCGGAGACAAGCAGCGTGTTGCAGAAGATGTCTCGGAGCAGCCAGAGTTACCAGCTTCAGAGAGTCAGACATCCATCGACGATGTCGAATCCGACGAGCACAGCGTGGCCAACATTGAGCGCATCTACAGAAAGCTGGACCGCCGCATCATCTCTGCATTCTGGATCCTGTACTTCCTCTGCTCGGCCATTCGGTCCAACGTAGGACTGGCACAGACTATGAACTCAGACTCCGGCCACGACCTCGCCGATGTCCTTCATCTCACCCCGCACCAGATTTCAACAGGTCTAGCCCTGTTCTACGTCTGCTACGTGATCTTCGATCTGCCCTCAAACCTGATCATGACCCGGCTAAGTCCCCATGTCTGGATGAGCCGCATCGTTATCAGTGTCGGTCTTATCGGAAGCTGTCTCGCTGCAATGAAAGCCGCCTGGAGTTTCTAGTAAGTCCCTGTGAACCCGCATCCAGAATGCCACTAACAAGCTTCAGCCTCCTGCGCCTGCTTCTGGGTATCGTCACAGCAGGCATGTGGCCCGGCATGACATACTACCTTACCCTATTCTACCCACCATCCCGAATCGGCAAACGAATCGGCCAGTACTTCACGGCCTCCCAAGTCTCCGCCGCAGTCGTGGGCCTCGTTTCAGCCGGCTTCCAAGAGATGGATGGCGCCAAGGGCCTTGTCGGCTTTCAGTGGATGTTCCTCGTCTACGGTGTGATCACCGTCGCCCTGGGCTTCGTGCTCCTCTGGTGGCTTCCCGATCGTCCGACTCCGCCGGGTGAGGAGCGCCCTAAGCGGAATGCGCTGATGCGCTGGGTCCCTGACAGTAAGCCCGCGCTGCAAGGTCAGGATGCAGTGGTTCATTACCATGATATGAAGCGGGTGTATCACTCGCGACCCTGGACGATGCGGGATCTCCTCGCTGTGTTCCTGGACTGGAGACTGTGGCCCCTGCTGATCATGTACTTTGGTGTTGTGGGTGTGGGTATCGGAGTGCAGTTGTACGCCAACTTGATTATCCAGGCCATCAACCCCAACCTCAGTGGTGTTGATTTGAGTCTGTTGACTGCTCCCATCTGGATCGTATGTTTCGATATCTATTGTTTAAAACACAAGCTAACATGTTTCAGATGGATCTTATCGCCATCCTACTCGTCACTCCAATGTCTGATCGCTTCCATCGCCACCGCGCGCTGTTCTTCTCCGTCCCGGTCCTCCTCCAGATTCTGGGCCTCTTGTTGACCAGCTACGCCGGCTCAGAGTCCAACCCTTGGCCCCGGTACGGTGGATTGCTGATCGTTGGCTTTGGGCTTGGACCCACTGTTCCAATCACCATGACCTGGACAGCGGAGGTTTTCCAGCCACGCCACGGCGAGGTTGGAGTCGCTGCTGCTTCGGCCGTTGTCTCTGGCTGGGGTAATCTTGGTAGTATTCTCACGACGTATGCGCTGTATTCCGGATGGAAGAGCGACTACGAGGCTCCCGGCCGTGAAAAGTACCACAAGAGCAACCTGGTCATGGTCGGGATTTTGATCGCGAGTATTCTCGCCGCGGTGTTTATGGAGGTAATGCTGCGCTTTGTCGATGGCCGGTACCGCGATGGGGATGGTGCTGTCGATGGTGCTGGCCGGCGTGAAGTCCGTCAGCGTGGGCTGAATGGACTTGGTGCTGGTGTGATGCGGTGGGCGAGACGTGGAAAGAAGATCGTCAAGTAATCGTCAAGTAGAAGTGCTTGGGCACGGAAAAGTTTTCTTATAATTCTCTAATGTTTAGTCATTTTAGACCCATAGACTAGTTAGATAGAGTTGTGGAAGAAAGATGTTGTAATACAGAGTCTTCATGGATGTCAACAATGCCCTCAAGTGATCTCTTCCTATCTATCCCCAAACGCATATATTTCCTTAGCATCTTTTACTTGCTCTCATCCGAGTACTGCCTCAGACACACATGGCTCCCCCACCTCACAGTGCACTTGTCCTCGCGTGGATGGTATTCCTTCCTATCATCTACACTCCCTCCAGGGCTCATAACAAACTCCCCATCTTCCACGCCATTGATGACCTTTAATACAACAAATCCTTTGACGGTCAACTAAGGGCAGAATGTGATATTGCCCTTCATATTCTGGTTTAAATAAGACCAAGAAGAAAACAATTTCGTCGTAACAATGGACAGATGCGAACTACGTATCCGCCCTTGGTACACGGAATAACATCACAGATCGCAAGGTAGATCATACAATTACCCCAGGCACTCCTGGTCAACCCAACCTTTTTATACCCTCATCCTCGTCTTCGTCCTCGTCCTCACACAAAATTTCAACAACGCCTCTGCCATCCTTCTCTACCTCAGACTATCTCTACCATGTCCCCTTTTCTCCTAAGACACAAGTCTCCTGATGTATTACGAGCTAAGGTCAGATCAGATTCCGAGTTAAAAGAGATATTCACACTCCCAATTAATCAGACCAAGAATAAGCTGGATCCGCGCCAAAAGGGGACAGACGTGAGCTATGCGTCTGTCGAAGGAGCGCGGTACCACATTATAGACTAGTTTAGATCAAGCACTCACGACTAATGTCCATTTTGTCATATCCTCACTCTCGTCTTCATTCTTCCAAGCACCCTTTTTGAGAGATCTGCTTGCTCCGGGGAAGTGGGGCTTCTGCTCTCTCTCTCTCTCTTTCTCTTGCACTTTCAACACTGAGGGACGTGTCTCACTCCATTGCATCTGTGCTCCTTCTGCTTTGTTGTCTCTTACGTGTAGCTCGTTTCCTCTCTTCCGCTCATACTATCACGCACTACGTACCACCATCTACTTCATTGATGGTATGGAGTTCAGATAGTGTCACATCTTGCAAGGTCTGAGTCAACTATGGTAACCATGGTATAGTTGCTCATAGTCTGCATGCAATAGACCGAGAACAAAACAATCCCGTCTTAAAGAAAGCCGAATAAAAGCTATGTGTCGGTTCTGTTCACGGCAGTGTACATCAAGAACAACGGAGTTAGATTAGAGTACACCTCGTCTAGTAGAAAGGATAGATACCATGTCACTGTGATTGGACACCAAAAGATCTTTAGAAAGCCATGCCAGATTAAGTTCAAGATCCAGTGTCACCAACCGATTCAAAGGGACCTGGATGATCTCAATACATTTGATTGGCAGGAATTACAGAGAGAAAGTCAGTGGGTCAGTAAAAGTTGAACTTGGAATTAATTGTCGATTCTCCAGAGGAACGATATCAATATGATATCTCTCGATAAACGAATGGTGTGATTCACCCATCCATGGAATTCTATGCTATTGTACGTGTCACATTACCCCAACGGGCAGTCAAGAGAAACAAAAAAAAAAATAGAGAGCGGCTACAACAAGGGGCAGAAGGAACGCAGAGGGCGGACACGGGTGCCGGGAGCAAAGAAGGATGGAACGAAAAGAAGCGAGAGCATAGAGGAAGGGCTATGAGAGACCCCTCATGCAGTCAGGCCGCTCTGGTCCGACTCCCAGGTTGATGCCGGAGGGTATCGGAGCGCTAAGACCAAATGATTCCTTTTATCCATTTAAAGGCCACCACACATGGTCTCGACGATGATACCGGTAATCTGGTAAGGATCGGCGTTAGACGCGGGGCGGCGGTCCTCGAAGTAACCCTTGCCATCCTTGGCGACTTGGCGGGGGATACGGATGGAGCCACCACGGTCGGCGACACCATATGAGAACTTGTCGATGTTACCGGTCTCGTGGCGACCGGTGAGACGCTCTTCGTTGCCCTCACCGTAAACGGCGATGTGCTCGATGTGGCGGGCCTCGAGCTTCTTCATGGCGGCCTCAATGACCTTCATACCACCCTCGGCACGAGTGCCGTTGGTGGAGACGTTGGAGTGCAGACCGGCACCGTTCCACTCACCCTTGATGGGCTTGGGCTCGAAGGAGATGCGGACACCGAACTCCTCAGCGACGCGGTGGAGGAGGAAACGGGACATCCAGAGGTGGTCACCCACTGAAAAAAATGGTTAGTATTTTGACAGTCGTGAAGGTGGAGACGCGATTGCAAAACTTACTGTCAATTCCGGGGCAGGGGCCGACCTGGTACTCCCACTGGGAAGGCATGACCTCAGCGTTGATACCGGAGATGTTGATACCGGCGTAGAGACAGGCACGGTAGTGAGCCTCGACGATGTCACGGCAGTAGACCTTGCCGGTACCGACACCGCAGTAGTAGGGACCCTGGGCACCGGGGAAACCGCCACGGGGCCAGCCGTAGGGCCATCCGTCAGTGCCGAGAAGAGTGTACTCCTGCTCCAGACCGAACCAGAAGCCCTCGTGGGCGTTGGTCTCCATCAGACGGTTGGCGTCGTGACGGTAGTTGAACTTGTTGGGGCTTCCATCGGCATCCCAGGTCTCGCAAAGAACGAGGATGTTGTCACCCTGACGGAAAGGATCGGGGTAGTAGGCAACGGGGCGAAGGTAGACATCGGAGTTGTCACCGGGGGCCTGGGAAGTGGAAGAACCATCGAAGTTCCATTCGGGAAGCTCATCGACACTTGTGACGGGCTTGGACAGGGTCTGCGGAGAATAGCGTTAGCGTCTTTGTTTCCCCACGTGACCGCGGGTGGCTGCGTCAAAGTCTTAGACTGAAATCCCCACGGCTTCGATAAGCCGGGCTTCTCCAGATAAGACAGTGCAGCCCCCACCTGTGATCTATGATCGAGGATTGAAATGAGTCATACCTTGGTCTTGGAGCGAGTACCGCCGTTGGAGTCAATCCAGACGTATTCAGCCTGAACGCGACCACGTTGGTCAAGGTTCATGTACTTGAGGAGCTGTTCAAGTCAGTATGAGTGTCTTTCCTCGCTGGCTCAAAGGCCATTGCGGAAATCCAAATCAAAGAATCAAACGCACATTCCCCGTGTTGGAGACGACAGTTGAAGATTCAGCAGCCTGGAGAGAGAGGGTTAGTTTTTGAGGTCTCGTGAGTCATCTCCAGAGAAACATACCATAGTGAATATGGGTGTGTGTGTATGTGTGAGAATGGTTTTTTGAGGTTTTAGGCTCTTGCAAAGACAGAAAAGTCTGTGGAAGGAAATCCCGAAGGAAAAAGAAAAACAGGCAACAACCACGAATGGTACAAAGCAAAGATGGAATGAATTCCAAGAAGATGAGCGAGATGGGAGATTTAAAGATGTGGAGGGGCAAAGAGGGATGATAAAGATTTAAATTTAGTCACGGCTGAGTTCTTTTTGGAAAAAAATGAGATTTTTTGGGAAATTTTGGGAAAATGCGAAGTGGATCAGCTCCCCTTTCCGGTCTAGCCCCGTATTGCCGCCGTATTTCGTGGGGCCCGGTATGGGTACTTCCACTGTACCTCCTCTCTGGCGGCAACCCAGCCGGCAACCCATGTACTGCCATCGTTCATTCTTTCCCGAAACCGGTGTCGTTGGGGAAACAATCCCCCTCAAAAAAACCCTCACTTGAGCTATTTAATTGCGATTAATGCCGTTTTAATCTGCATATTCAAAACATTTTGATATGTACGTTTAATGCCTCAATATTGAAAATCTGCAAATAGTTCGAGACATGGGTAATTCTTCGAAACCTACACTGCCGAGAGGGCGTTTCAACTTCAACTCTCCGCCACTCACTTGTCATAATCGCATCATTCTAATTCCCATAACCGGTCCTCGCCGAGTGATCTACCGTCTAACTTTTTTGAATTTTATATTTACCATACTATTACATTAACCGACAATATTCCTTACCTCGCTGTATGTTCATACACTGTGTACTCCGTATAATAATGTACGTGCTTCCTCTTCTCCGGATTTTCACCTCCAAGCTTTCCCCTGGATATCAAACACCTCACCTGATGCCAATCAGCGGTCAGGCGTCAACTCAATATGATCAATCCCTTTTCTCCCGTTGGTCCGATAAGACGGTTAATAGCTTTATCAGAGATACGGAGTAGAGCGCGATCACACGTTGATAGAACAGGTACGAACTATAGAGCCGACTATCGTAGCACTCCGTACGGAGTACTGTATAGTGCATCTATTCCTGTATCCTTTCGCCCCGGAACCCCGACTCTTGTCAAGAACTACACCCTATAGTACAATCTAGGTATACAACAGGAGCCTTGACCTCTTCATCAGGCTCAAATTTAAATACCCAAGTGATACATTGGCGACGCCAGGGCCCTTGGGCCGACCGCATATCAGCTGCAAAGCCCACAATAATGTATTCTAGACGTTTAGATCAACGCCGAAAAGGCAACATACAACATCTAGATTCTACACTCGAAACACCCCTTTTCGACTCTTTCCTTTTCGGTTAATAATAGATTCTTTTGAATATATCGTACTTTTGAAATAATATGTACAAGTACGTGTTTTATGATGCCACGAGTCTAGGAATCTAGAACTCTAGAACTGTGATAAATCACGCGCGTATCGCGAAAGTTCGGTGTGTACTCCGTACAACGCGAGCGGTTAAGTACTCCGTTCCTGAGATCGCGTCGGAGCTATCACCAAATGATAATGGCGCAGCTTATCATGTCAGATCAAGTCCGGAACGCCATTGCATGTTCACACCTTAGTGTCCGTACTGTATGTAGGTCGCCATAGTACTCCGTACAGATATCGTCCATAGCATCTCTACTTCCGTACAATGGTGAGTGTTCCTGCAGCAAGATAGACAGGTACCCACAGACCGGACCGGTTTACAGTACAGCAAATTTACATGTGCGATACGGCGCTCCGCAAAAACCCCATCGAATGGAGAAGCCCAGCCACGCAAGTGGGATCGATCAAGTCATAGGCGGCCGGTGGGGTCGACCGTGGCAAAACGTTCTCGAAACCCCCCGTTGATACACCAATCAAGCCGCTTAGACCCGCCGAGCTGGAACCACCCCGACACCGGCCATGGATAAGGGAATCATTGCAGTATTACAGGTCGGCAAGGGTTTCGGGTTATTCATAGGGTTCATTTCGATTAGGTACTGTAGAAATCACGACTTGGGGCGGGTTTAGGGGGAAGAAAAAACCTCTCGTTATGTCTATATTCACTTTAGGTGTATATTGTACAGATGCATCTCGGGAGATTTCATGTCAGGGATTCTCCAGAGAAAAAGTGGCGACTTGATCTTCTTCCCCCGTATTTTCCCCGTGAGCAAATGGAAGACAGGCAAATGTCGGGAGTTTCAGGAATCTAAGACGAGGGAGTGGCTGGTGTTCCCGATCCTCAGCCCTGTCAAGCTCCTTCTCCAGATTTTCGGACAGAAGCTCTTGTTAGTGCCGAACTCCTAGCTTCAAGACATATTTAGATCTGTTTACATCTTCTATTTTTGATCCCAGGACTGCATCCCTATTCCGTCCAGCGTGCGATCACGAGTATATTAATAGCATGAGACAATCCAGATCCGGGCTTAGTCACCGGCCAAGTCCGGGGGCTGTGTACGAGTCCTCGTACTGTGCACTATTTCTAGATCAAATAGACGAATATTTGAATATAGTCGATACAGATATACATGGATATCAAATGCATCAGATATTGCTACAAGTATCAGATTCAATGCAAGTTAACTATACATAAAAAGAATCCAATAAAATAGTAATATTGAAGAAAAGAATTTATTGCCATATGTAGATCGACATTCTTATCGCTTGTCTCCCATTGGTCCCCGGCGTCAGTGACAAACCGCGCTGACTAGAACTTCGCACATTGAACTGATACTCACGTAATTGCTTGCTTCTTATTTGCCGTGTGTAAATGAGTCAGGTCGAATGTTTCCATTTCTTACCTAGAATAGCCGACAAAGCCCTGATCTACGCATTTTTTGCAGCATTTTATAGAACTATGCTACTAAAATGCCTCATCGGAATGCGAGAAAACGGAATAGGATGACACATGGATACTTGCATTTACTTCATATTACAGGGTATACACATTTGTGTACTGATTGTACTGATTGTACTACGGAGTTCATTTCATATAAATCATGTGCCGGTTTGGTCGGTTCGTTCCTTCCGTTTCTGATACTCCATACAGATCACGAGAGAAAAGTGGTCCATGCGCCAAGACTTTATACTGACATCGGTCGTCAGTGACGACCTCTCGCCTTTGCTTTCCACAAATAATGATCTTTTGCGTGTACTTCCAAGGTTGTACTGGAGTATCAATACTTGGACAACCCTGAAAGAGGGGCAGAATAAATCTCTGCCTTGTTCCCCGAAACTAGTTGCCGATGATGACATAGGTAGCTCCATATCACTGAGGGGCAAGGACAATAGCCTCGCAGTAGAGTATTTCGGAGATTTCTCGCTGATGGTAACCGACTAATCCTCATAAAGCCTGACTGTACGGAGTACACATATGTATGGTCTGTAGCAAACCATATAATCTTCAATCTCGCATTGGAAGTCCTCAATATGAAAATACCGCATGACTCAATAAGTAGACATGAGAACCAAGTTCCGCGCACCTCCAGAGCTGATGAAACCGTTGGCCAAAAGCGCAACCATCTAATACCTCGCATCCCAAACCTACCATCGTGAATTTCGGTCTCTGCCCGAAAATGGACAAAGAAACACAAGGTGATCGACACCACTCCTTGCCGCTCAAATCTGTTATAAAATACCAATCCGTCTCGGCGCGTCTCCTCTACCCATTCAGCGATCAAATCCCTCCTGTATACAGTTTGCACCTGACGTATGGTGTCATGTTCCATGTAGCCTCGGGCGTATGTAGGAACTACAAGTGACGCACATGGCACGGTCCACTGCCCCCGCATTGTATACGGTCTAGACTTATCTGATCGACCCTGAAACAGTCTGCATCTCACATGTATGCATGCGCATCCGGAATAATGTGGGAGGTGGTGTTTCGGATGTATATTTTGGCGGCACAGGGGGTTGTTGGAAAATATAGAGATCCATGGAAGTATACTGTTCTTGCATTGGTCGGATATATATTATCGTTGCAAATTTTGTGAGACGGCTGCGAGCACGCTGTGTAGCCCTGAAGCGAACAGGTGCTTCTAATCTAAGACTGAAACACTGGTATAGGTCCAGGTTCGTATATGTTGGATTGTAGATTTACATTAAGCGGCCAGCGAAGTGTGCAGAGATGCAAGGAAGCGGTGGAATTATTGCGTGTCATTACCGAGAGCCACACGAATATGCCCCGACACCTAAAATCGACGGCAAGAGTGCCCAATTTCCACCCTAAGTGGGACCCTGCCGGGACTCGGGAAGTAAATGCGCTTGGGTGCAGGTGGTGCCCTGACTTCGGACGCAGAGTTTCGAAGACTCAAACGGGAAGTATCGACAATCTCTGAGGCGGCACCTCTGGTTTCCACGCCTGCCAGGGGTTTTCAGCGATTAAGCTCACAAGCCAAGTTCCGGGGTAAGCATACATAGTAGACATCTATAATGCTAGGGGTCCCGTGAAGGTAGAGCCCCATTGCATCATCCGATCTCGCAGGAACCAACAGGGCTCCCATGCAGATGGCTACCTGCACCCAGAGGAGTCCATGCAAAGTTTAACAAATGCCACATTCTACTCCGTACAATGCTGCCTTCTCTATTCATGCCCAGGTGGCCTACGGGGATCGGAACGAGCAAGCGTGCATACAATGGTGGCGCTTTCGATCTATCAAACGCATGTCGTGGCCATGCGCTGGGACAGCGATGCAAAACGTTAGTCATGATGGATTTTAGCTACATACATATGCAGGTAAGATAATACCCACGTACACTAGTACACATGCAAGGATGTTCCAAGAGATTGGGTTAGACGCCAAACCCCCTACCCGCCAGCACGCTGCTGGAGCCAGCGCAAAACCCACTCCACCAGAATGCCCAAGTCTTGTGAGACCTCAAGCACTCTGGCAATTTGCTTTTGGATCTCGCCGGTACTGGAGCCGGCGTCGTCTGTGCCCTGCATTTCCGCATCGCCGCCGCTTCCGCCATTAGCCAAGCCTGCAGTCTCTACAACCGAGACTTGACCGTTCAGCCCAACCTCAAAGCAGATTGCAATTTGACGAGGTCGGCCTTGAGCCGAAAGGTCATCTTCCCGGCCTTGGTGATCTGAAATCAGCAACATCAAAGCAGGCGCTTGCCCAAGTTGGGTGCGCAAGGTTACATCCACTTTGACATCGTCCCAGGGTGATTGAACGAGACTTTGTCCTCCACTGAGAGGAGTCGAGCTTCCATAGCTGGAATTTTCATTGCTCTGTTCTGGTGTTTTGATGCCAAGCAGAAGATTGAGTCTATCCTCATTGGGATTATCGTTGCTCAATATAGTGAGCCCATCAGGGTTAGTGAACTCATTTGAGGCCTGGTGCGAGAAGGAAGATTTATCAGTGGCTGTGACAGAAAGCCCATCGGTGCTTCCGTTTTCCTGCTCTGATGGTTGGAATGTCTTCCTAATCAAGTTGGCTAACAATGCATATTGCCGGAGAATCTATATTCGATTAGTTCAAATAAAGGCATGGTCAAGTGAAATAGAACGTACAGGAAGTATGTCTGCAAGTTGTCGTGGATGCGAGAAAGGTAGCTCGTGAAGAGTCTGACCAGGGATAGATTCAAACGCTTGGAATGTGTAGTTATGACGTTTCGTCTGTTGTTCACCCTTGGAGTCAACAGCCTGCACCTGCATCTGGCGCTTCCTGCGACCAATATGTGGAGATGAAACTGGCGACATAGAAGAGTCCGATACCAACAAGGCGTCATATGTGATCATCTTGTAGTCCTGCGGTAATTGCATGCCGAGATGTCGATATATGTCTGAGGCAGCGAGTATGGGAACGTCGAGAGCAGGTTCCAGCTTAGCAACGAACCGACGATTGGGCGGTGATGACTCCAGCATGCTAGAGTCCATGGCCATGGGATCATGATTCCCGTGTGTCAGACGCATAGTCTGCGGAGGGTCCAGCCAGTTCACAGAACCTGCAGCACCGTTTGAAGGAAGCGACTCATTACTTTCACCTGCGGTGAACGCTTCACTTCCAACCCATTCTTTTGAGATGCGAAGAGAAGGATATCCTACTTCACATTCAACCATAACGGCCCATGATCTGTCTTGATCTTCCAGCTCAATCTTCGAGTCTTGATCGCGTTGCTGATCGATATCCATGGCATCCGCCGATTTCTTGCTGTTTTTTGCATCCAGGACTTTCGCTTGTTCAACCCAATATTCCAAGCCGAGGCCAATTCGAGTACCTTTGTGCATTCTGGGGCGTCCAAGAACACCAGCGCAAAGGTGCTGGTAGTCACCACCGTGCTTCCCATTCTTGTTCTCCTCGCTCCAAATCCGCTTGAAATTCTCCTCGAGATTCTCCAATGCCTCAAAGCAATTGACCTCTTGGCTGAGTTTGTCAAGATTGGCAAGCCATTGTAAGTTCTCGTGGAATTGTTGTAGTGACCTCCATTTCCCAATTTCAGCCTCTTCCGGCGACTGTGCAAGAGTGCGCTTCAGGACTTCCGTGGCTTGGTCGCGTCGGACACCTTCCGTGTACTCAGGTGTGGCATATCGTAGACTAACATCTTTGACGACATCAAGGCCGGGGTAGAATTCAACTTCCAGATCGACAAAGTTGCCGGCAATGTTGAGGTTGTCGTCTTGCCAAATGGATTCGAATCCTTCAAGTCGACTTAAACGCTCCACACTCTCACGGCTGACGCCTCTTCCCGAAACGCGCGTGCGCAGCATTTGAACGACCTCGTCGATGCGATTCCTTTGCTCCTCGTCGTTGTCGCGCGCAACCCCGAGCTTGATTCCTTGCATACCAAGATTTTGGATGTCACTTTCATTCATACTCGCTCCAAGGCCATCATGCACCGCAGGCGAAGGGCTGATGCCAGTATAGCCTCCCAGAGCTAGGAGAGCTGAGGGGGAGCTGAAATTGACTGGATCATCGACCCCGCTTGTGACGGCGAGGGGTGTGGAGTATTGGTGTGATGAGACACTAGTCTGCTGGCCATGGGCCGGGCCCGAGCCTGTGGGAGTCCGCATGGATGGCGACTTATGGGCTAGAGATCTGGAGAGAGGCGCGGAGGAGGGGTGAGGAGAGGACAGGTGGGTAGGCGTCGCGCCAGGTTTGGCTGAGGGAGTTGCCATGATAGAGGATATTTCAAAAATGATTGAAGATTAATTGAGGTCCAAACACGGGTATCAAAAGACGAGATCGAAAGACAAAGCAAAGAATTCAGTATCGCGAATGCGACTCAATTCGCACCAACGCAAGCATTCGAGGAAATGACACTTCAAGATGTAGGTTTTTTTCAGTAAATTCGCAGATCAAGTATCAAATCCATCCGAAATCCCCCTTTGTCCATGAAGTCTTGCACGAACACCGATTCAGATCGTCGAAGTCCAAACAGCTCCGACAGAAGCCATGATCACGTGATACTCGTCATATCTATTTCTCACCGCGTTCCAGACCGCCTGCCGTTTCTGTTCCACTTGGATACAATTGTTGGCTAGCTCACTTGCATTTGATACCCTCAGTCTTCTCGACATTCATTATCACTGTGATAATAAAAGTATCAGCACAATGTTTGCCACAAGGGTATTTAGTCGACAAGCTCGGACTACTCTTCCTTGGTCTCAATTCCGTTGTGTCTCGACACTGGAAGGATCCCCCCATATAGTATGCATTTCGATTACACACCCATCAACATTAGTTCAATACTAACCATCTGGTAGTATGTTCATCCAACTAATGGACCGGCAAGTGGCAGTCACATCTTATCATTGCTGCCATCCGAGCCCGTGAACTCAGAACTGGCCATTGGAATCACAACCCAACTTCCACCGACAACAGACTCGTTCAAAGGAAACCCAAAATTCTTGAACATCGTCCAAGATGTGTGCTCTAAGTATGCGGTTGAAGACCCTGATGCCAAGTCACAAGCTCAGGTCATGGTATCAATTGCCGGGGCGAACTTGAGTTCGGGCGGTGTCCTTCTCGGTGGCCAGCGTGGGCGCAGACGTCGTGGTGAAAGCGGCGATTCCAGTGGTGGTGCTAGTGGTCAAGGCGGCGCGGGCTCCGGAGGTCGTGGAGGGTGGATCCATATCTCTGATACCAGACGTCCGCCTGACTATGGACGGATCGCTTGGTATGTATCTCTCTATTTCAACGGCTGATGATATCATGCATAAGAATGAAGCTAATAAGATAGGCCGGAGGACATGTTTGGAAGTCTTGAAGTTGACCCCAATGGTCAATTCGTTGGAAACAACGGCAACTATCAACCAAGCGGTATGCTTTTAATACCTGCCGAGTTTTATCGACCCCACTGACATATCTCAGGTACTTACCGAGTTGTGACTCGAGATGGAATGTGAGTATCCATCTTTTACGGCTGGCTGAAGGCCATATGAGGCCATCTTGAGTGCTAACAATCTCTGCAGCTTTGGTCTAAGCCCCTTCCTCAGGGAGAAGCTTGTACAGAAGCTTCAAGAACTTGAAAAATGATGCGTTTCAAATTCCGTACGCCATCATAACTCCTTTTGTGAATCCAGCGTGGGTTTGCTTCATTATTGTAATAACACATTTCCGGTATCTCTGCCTTCGCCTCTCTAACCTGACACATCAAATTTTGGATTGACTGAGAAATATCACGTATCATCCTCGTGCTAGGGTCCAAGTCCACCCGTGCTCACTTTGTGAAAAATTTCGTAATTGGTTGTGATCCAGCCGCTGCTTTGGTGCCACTCGACTTTTTCATAGGGCTATTATGAGTGGCACTTCGCAGCTTCTTCTTCTGCGGCGATGAATTTGCTGCTTCTCGTCCATCCTTCATTATTTTGGGACTTTCTGCGTTGGGAACTGCATCTGGGCTATGCTCTCTTTTGACACCTGGTGCCGGCTTCGGAGCATTGTCTTCGCTCCATTCAAGGTCCTTGGTAGGTCGCTCATCTTTGATCAGCTTCGATTTTGGAGATTCGGGCTCTTTCTTAGTAGCATTAGCAAAGAAGTTGGCGATATTGCTCTTATTATCTTTGCTGTCGACTGGAACAATGAAGTTTGGCGAATTATTTCCAACTTTTCCAACGTCTTTGTGAACAGGGTAGCACTCCAGCTCGCCTTCATATGGTTTGAGAAGCGATTGTAGCTCATTTGACCACTTGCTTCGACTGGGATCTAGCCATGTGGTCATGGCCTCGCTGCCAGGGTCCAGAATGACTGGCATGCGTTCATGCAAGAACTTGAGGTAGGAGTTGGAAGACGTTGTGATTACCGTGTAGGTATAAAGCTTTTCGTCGGAACCTTGGCAAATTAGCGGCAGTCCAATAAAATTAGAACTGCATAGAACTCACCCTCGTAGGACACGCAATCCCAAAGGCCAGCAAAGCACATCAATTCCCCATCCTTGCGCTTCACGAAATGAGGAACTTTTTCTTTGCCCCCGGGACCCTTCTTCAGCCACTCATAGAAGCCCTGGCAGACGACAATGCATCGTTTGTGCCGCTTCATGGTAGTCCACATGCCAGTATCTTCGATGAGAGAGTCATCGCGGCAATTGATTGTCCGCATCATGGAACCGTAATCCGGCTGTCGTTTTGTCCAGAAGGGAATTAGGCCCCATTTCATGCTTTGAAGCTTATACTTGACAGCCAGGCTATCTGAGATCTTCGGTTCTTTGCTTGTGGCATCCTTGCTTTTTTCTGGATTTTGATCTTCGTGTTCATCATGCGCTTGTCTGCCATGGTCACGCTCCTTGGCCGGTACTTCAGCACGGTAAACGGCACCAAAATTGCCTGGCGCAAAGTTGTACGTTTCTCTGACCGCATCATCATCAGGTGCCTCGTCTACTTGCATACCCTGCTCTTGCAAGCGATGCTGGACATATGCCAAGCGCTGATGATCGTTAGGTTAGAGTAGAATATATAGATGAAGGATCAACACTTACCACGCCCAAAGCGTACCGCCCACACATTCTGAAGGATGATCGAGCTAGATTGGAGAAATGACAAAATTGCAGTTGATTTGCGTGGTTTTTGAAAGTACCGATGGTTGTGTCCAAGCAGAACAGGCGGCAGAGTCGACTTCATACTCCAGGCGACGTCATGCAGCGGAGCGGAAGCTTGGACCACACGAAAATCGACTCCGGTTATCAACTCATCCCGACCTCTCCTCAACACCAAGACTGCTACACATCGCCTTGGGCTAATTCATACTCCAATTCCGCCTCGAGCGTATCACACCACCACAATGTTTCGCGCAGCATCACGGCGCACCGGCGCCAACGTCGCAAAATTTGTACAGTCACAGCCTCAGAACCAAGCCCGCTCAATCTACACCAAGAGCAACACACGGCCAAGCCTTCAAACCTATTTCCAAAATGCCAGACCTCTCGCCTCTCCCTATATCTCCGGTACTCGGCACCTTACAATCATGCAAAAGATCGGGCGCCGATACCGCGAAGCATCAAAAGGCATCTGGCGCAAGAACCCTGTGCTCATGCCACTGGCAATTTTCTCCATTGTCGGCGGAGCCATGGCCTTCGCTTACATTTCCTATGTTGAAGTGACGCGTGTTGGGCCACAGTATCATAACTTCCCGCCACCAGTGGCCGATGCCCTTCGCACCGCTATCTACTACACTGAGATCGACCTAAACCCACCCAAGGCGCTTAAGGGATACAAGGAGGCGCTGCGGATAGCAGCCGAGTTAGATGTTCACCCGTTCTCGGACGAGGTGCTTGGTATCAAGCTCCAGGCAGCGATGATGCTGGAGAAAGCCGGATTGATGAAGCCAGCCATTGATGTTTTGGAACGAACGAAAGCCGAGACTCTTGCTTGGGTGGACGCGGGACGGGCTGGTGATGCCATTGCTGCCGCTGCGAAGGTCAAAGAGGCCCAAGAACAGGCACAGAAGTCAACTGCCGAGGACAAGGTCGATGTCGAGGCTAAGCAGGAGACACCAGAGGATTTGGAAGCACTTGCTCAATATGAGAACCGCCAGCGGGACAAGGCGCTTAAGAAGGTCGTTGGAATCATGATGAAGCTTGGCGAGCTTTATTCCAGCGAGCACATCCAGGAGGACAAAAAGGCCGAGGCTGCGCAGGTCGCCGCCGTGGAACTCTGTTTGAAGGAAATGCACCGCCGCCAGAGGCTGGGACTTCCTGTTGGTAGCTCCAACAGTGATGATGGATCAGCAGGCGACGCGTGGTTGAACCTCACCGAGATTGCGACGGCTTTGGCCGAGCTTGCTACAACGTACACCGCCAAGGAGCGGTATGAGTTGGCCATGCCGCTGTATCTACGTGCACTGGATTTGATCCGTAACGCTGAAGGCAGCAACATTTCTTGCAAGCAGGTTGTGCTGCTCAACGGCGTTGCTTCTGCTTTGGTAGGCCAAGTTCAGCTGCCTCCTAAGTCTCAGCCTCAGGAACCCGTTGCCGCAGCGCAGACCGTCGAGTCTGCCCGCCAGTGGGCTGAGAAGGCCATTGAGGTTGCGGCGCACATTCAACCTCCGGTGCGAGATGAGGAATGCGACCTCACTTGTGTTGTTGCAACTTATAACCTGGGCGAATTGGCTGAGCTACAAAAGAAACCTGCTGTGGCTAAGCAGCGTTATACCGAGGCTAAGGAATTGGCCGACAAAATCAGATACCAAGAAGGAAGTCTCATGGCGAAGGAGGCATTGAAGAGATTGGGACAGAAATAACGGACATTCATGACGGGCAATGACATGGCCTTGTGTACTATATTAAGAAAGAAGCAGAAACAACTCCTGTACATTTACCAAAGTCCACCTCAAAGTAGTTAGACAAAGAGCCAAAGAACCAGTAATGAGGTACCCTAAGCTTACCAGCCACTAGCTAGAGTGGATACAGAAAACGGCTACGTTGGAAGATCACCAGCAGACTTAAGTATAGAAAAATAGGAAACATTTTGATGCCTTAACTGGTATTAGAACATCACATGTCATGCACCATAATCCAAACATTCCATTCAATGCGGATCAAGTATAGCTAGACATGTCAGAAAACCTCCAGGCCGGGGACGATTTGGTCCCGGCTCGAAGTGCTTCATTGCTCGTGGCTCATACATCCCAAACCAATGCTCTTCTTGCCGTATTTTTGAACTTTTTTCAATTCCCTTGTCAATAGAACAAAAAGAGGCTCCTCAAGCTCCGTTACAACAACTCAAATCTATGCGCGCGACATAACACCCCAGGCACGGATCTTGTTGTCGGTGTAACCGGCGAACAGAGTCTGGCCGTCAGCGGACCAGGCCAAGCTGATGCACTCGGGGTCACGGCTCTTCTTGCCCTTCTCAACGAACTCAGGCTTGAGCTCATCAACCTTGCTCTTCTTCTCGAGGTCGAAGATGGTGATGGAGCTGCTGGTGGCAGCGCAGAGCCAGTAGCGGTTGGGGGAGAAGACGAGAGCGTGGATCTCATCGCCGGCGGAGAGAGAGTAGAGGTGCTTGGACTCGTTAAGGTCCCAGAGCATGGTGGTACCGTCCTTGCCACCGGAGGCGCAGAGGGATCCGTCGGGGGAGATGGTGACGGTGTTGATGTAGCCGGTGTGACCGATGTGGTCGGTCTGGAGACGGCAAGAAGCGAGCTCCCAAACCTAAAGCGCAGAATTGTCAGCGTCAAGAAACCAAATGTGATGTGTGAGTGTCCAAGGAAAAAAAATTTTCCAGGTCCTCCAATCGTTCAAAAAATCAAAAATCAAAAAAGATTGTTGCTGTGCCCATCAGGCAAAATGGGTGAAAAGTTGTCTCATGGCCCCGGAGGGCTCTGAAGTAGCAAATACGTTTATTGCAAGCATCACGCGGGCATAGCAGTGCGGGGGAAAAGTTCTTGATAAGAGTTCGAGATCGATAGCGTACCTTGACGAGCTTGTCCCAGCCAGCGGAGACAATGACGGGGTTCTGGGGGTTGGGGCTGAAGCGGACGCAGGAAACCCACTCGGTGTGGCCCTTGTCGGTGATGGTGTACTTGCAGTCACCGAGGGTGTTCCACAGCTTGATGGAGCGGTCACGGGATCCGGAGACGATCTGGCGGTTGTCGGCGGAGAACGAGACGGACAGAACGTCGTTGGTGTGGCCGACGAAAGTGCGGGTGGTGTTGCCGGTGGAGAGCTCCCAGAGGCGGAGAGACTTATCCCAAGAGGCGGACAGAGCGTAGGCACCGTCGGAGGAGATCACCTATAACGCAGACAAGACCATCGGTCAGCGAAACCATTCCATCTGGGCAAATTTTGCTCCTTGCTCTTTCCATCCATTCTTGATTGTCGCATCCAAAAACTTCCGGTTCATTCGGGGGAATAACGTACACAGTCAGAGACGATGTGGGAGTGACCCTCGAGGCTGCGCTTGGGGTAACCGTAGGCCTGCTCATCACGGGTAAGGTTCCAGATGATCAGGGTCTTGTCGCGGGATGCGGACAGCAGCATGTTGGGGCTATTATCAAACATTCAAGTCAGAGATTGTCCCATCAAAAATTCAATCTGCGCAAATCGGAGGTTCGTTCTTACTTCTCCAGGGAGGTGGCGAGAGAAGTAACCCAGCCATTGTGGCCCTCAAGGGTGCCGCGAAGAACCAGCTGCTCAGCCATGATGGGAATGAGTGATGAAGGAGGGAGGAGGATGGGCGGAGATTGTCGTTGTCTCTGGGGGGTGAGTAAAATCGAAGACGGGAGACAGACTCGCCCGCTCAAGCCCTAAGCCGCTCTGCTATTGGGTTGTGTGGTTCCGCGGAGCCCTGATTAAGCGAAGCGGTCACATGATTTGATATCTTATCGTCATGGCCGATCTTCAAGTATACCCCGGGTAAGTTGAACCTGTTTATAACAAGCAATGGAATTTGATCTTCTTTGAATTGTTAATTTCCAAAGAAATCTGGTCGGAGATTGTCATCTGCCACCCATTCCAATCTTCTTCTATCCATGTCCTGATGACATCATCCCATCAAATATACAACATGTTGATACACGCCTCCTATGGACAAATTATAGTACAAATGTCAAGCTCGACAATGCCCCAGAGCTCAGGTGCATCGGCCTAGTTGTCAAACACCTGAACGTCAGGCATTCTGCCGAGACCACCACCGCCAGTCTTTTTATTCTTGGCCTTCTCAAAGCCAGTAGCACTCTTATCTTGAACATGCTCTCTCAGCAAAGTGAGCACCTCGGACTTCTGCCAGCGCGTCGGAACAGGTCGGTACGCGGCTCTGAAGGCACCGATAGTCTGCGCCCACTCACCACTCTTGGCACCAGTCTCCTTCCACGTCTCGGTGATGGTATCCTCCTTAGGAGTGGAAGCGGGGAGATCCTCAGGCGAGTCCTGAGTCGCCCAGTAGTAGATGTCCCAGTCATTCTCGTCAAGGAAAGTGTCATACTCGACGAGCTGATCGTAGTTCATCTTACCAAGGTTGACATCCGCAAAAGTGGAGAGAAGCAAGTCTGACTCGAGGATTCCGCGCTTGCGACTTTGGTCTGATTAAGACAGTTAGCTTATTATTCTGATTTGAGTTGATGCAGCAGTGACTGGTTGTCAGCAGGGTGCTTGCATATGGGAGAACGAACATAGTAGACGCGCGCGTTTGGTCGCAAGCTCCTCTCCGACTCGCTTCAAGGGCTCGACCTTGAAAGTGATGCCCTCCATTTCACCGACGCCAAGTTCGGGCTTTTGCGCACCGTTATCCTGGCGACCACCAGTAAAGTGCTCGATCTTTCCTGGGTAAGGGTCGGCAGGTCTGTAGTTGGGTTCGACGGAGTTCAGCATCTCCGGAGGTGACGGCTTCTCGCCCACATTGGGGAAATCCTTTGTCATGGTAGAGGTTGTGTTGGGCACAAATTGGTTTGGGGGCTTGTCGGCCTGGTTGGCGCGATGCTGCTGTGTCGCCTTGGCAGCTTCATCTTTGGCGTCCTGTAGACGTCGAGCAGAAGTGCCGAATTGGCGGCTTGATGTTGAAATTGAGCTAAAGCAAGATGGAACCGGTCGCGCGAGGCGACAGACAAAGCGTGAAGCAGACATGTTGCTTTACCGGTGGTCAAGGGAAGCTGTAAGTTGTGTGTTCCTCTAGGGAGGAGTTGGGGTTTAATGCTCTCGGCTTTGACATCATCCGCTGTAATGTCGGGGAACCGAAAAGCTCCTGTAATGCCCGGTGTTTGCACTGTTTGCGTCTTCAATGTAAACATCTCCATTGTCATAGGCTGCCTCTTCTTACTTCGTACTATAGATGTTTCAATTCGTTTCTGCTAATATTTGTCCAAGGGCTACTTTGAAATCTCTCTAGAAGTGCTGTGGCTTAGCTCCATTCGTCAGTGTATGGGCAATTGGTCACCACCGTTCAATATTGAGAATGGTATCTTTAGTCCTCTCAATGCATGCCACATACTTGCTGAAGCATCCAACCAAGAAAATGCCACTCCAAAGATTTCTTCCTTTCATATAGAGATTTTTCCACGCGTGCCAACGGCATGGTTAACTCCAACAGAAGAGCTCGGATTTACCGTGAAAACAAAATATTATTAGCGCCAGGCTGCAAAAAGCATGGTGTACATTTTATATCATTGAGATCATGACTGTTAGAACAAAAGTCCACACAACAAGCAAAAAGATTTGCAATGCAGTTACAAAACCAAAGAGAACCGTCAAAAGATGCAATCGAACCCGAAGCCGAGAATCTAGATGAGGTGCTTAGATCTGCAACCAAGTCAGTAATCAATCCCTGTTCTGCAGCCGCTGCCTCATCCCAAAGAACAAGCAAAAAAGCATGCACATACCTGAAGTAAGCCCTCAGGTAAACGACCTGCCAAGCACCAAGCCCGACAAGCATACCCATAGTACCGAAAGCGAACCACTTAACGCGCTCGTTGGTACTCTCGTTCGTATCACGTAGACGCTGCTCGCGGGCACGCAGGTACTCCATCTCCGTAACGATATCGGCGACCATTTCCTCGATGCGGCGGAGGTCTGTCTCGACGGGCTTGAGCTTCTCCTGGGACTGAATGCTGTTCCAGTCGCGGGCATCGGCGCCAATGTCGACGTCGAGTTCGATGGGTCGGGAGGGGTTGGCGATGCCGTCTGTGTTCATTAGTCTATATCCCACAGCTCGGATTTAGTCTGCTTACTGTGGCCAGTGAGCTGGTTATCGAAGCAGACGTCGAAAGCGGTGTCGGCGGGCGAGGTGAAGAGCTGGCGGGTTTCGCCGACAACATCCTTAGGCCGGCCGTAGTCGTTACCCATTGCGTCCTTGATCTATATTCAATGTCGAGGTCAGCGGGGATCCAGCTGTAGGGTTCTGAAGTCGGTGTCGGTATCGACCAGCTGCCAAATTGCGCCAGTTCATCCTTTCCCCCGTTCAGGCACCACGTACGTGAATGTTGACTTTCTGTCCATCACCCTTGGTTCCACCGACCGTAGCAGTAACAACGACCAGCTGGTCCTTGGAGACGAAGTTACGGATGCATCGCTCGTTCTTGCCGCCGCCTGAGGTGGCAGTGAGGTCGAATTTGAGGGCAGAAGCGAGCTGTACGAAGACGAAGAGGAAGCCAAGGATGCTCCTCAGCGTAATTGGTGAGGTGCCCATGGTTGTGGCGTGGAATTGGCTGTTGTAAACACGGATGCGTGGTTGTTGATGCCACCTGGTAAGGGGATCGATTGCGGAGGAACCTTGTTCCGGGCGCAGGTCTATACAAACGGGCTTGCGGGAACATCACAAGGGTGTTAAGCTTTCTTAGTATAATCGATTTTCGAGTATGTAGCCAATGTTAATCCAAACAATTTATTAATTCATTTAATAGTACACAGGTGAAGCAAACCTCGCTTTGTAGAGATGTAGATACAGGAAATCAGAGACATGATCAATAGATAGACAGACCTAAATAGAAAGAGAACTGGAAATATCTTGATAAATGAGCTAACAATGCAACTTGGGCAATGAAGAGAAAAATAGCTAAACAAAGCCTTGGAAGGTCGAAGTCTGGCGATAACACTTCCGAAGTACTTCGTACAGAGTACAAGCGGCGGAAATACTCCGTAGCTTCATGTGAATTATGGGGTATAGTTTTGTCAGACTACTCAATTTTCACGATGGTCGATATTCCAAGAAAAATTATATTGATTCCTGAGGGCCAATAGTTTAAGCAATGGCGAAGACGAAGATGGTATCTCAAAATCCACGAAAGCAAAACCGACGTCTCAACAAGATGAAAAAGCGAACGTCCATATGACTCGTAGAAAGTGCCACGTAGAATGTAAATGATAATAATAAAAAAAAGGCCGGCAAATGGCGCAATGGAAATGCAAAGCGATGAGATGAGAAACAAGCCACCTGGTCGTAGCCACAGAGCACAATGATAACAATGATAGGAAGACGTGACTCTATCGAGTAAAGAAACAAAAAACAAACACGATGAAATGGCCGTGCTGTCGCACAAACAGTATTGAAGCGATGGACATGATATGTAGATCATTAAATGAGAAAGAAATATGTAAGATGTAGGATGAAAGTCAGAACGCTCAGCAAAGCAAGACAAGACAAAGACAAGTCAATAGGAGTCGCGCCTAAGCCTCAGTCTTTTTTCGGCGAGTGAAGAAGCGGGTGAAACCACCCGTATCCTTCTGTTTAGGCGCTGGTTGCGGAGGACGCGGTGGTTCCGAGTTCCGTAAGAAATCAGCTAGATCGCTGGTATCGGTTTTGCGATTCGAGGCATTTGGCATAGAGCCGTGGTTGCGCTCTTGGCCCACTTTCGCGGAGTAGCTGGATGGGGCTCTGGTAGGAGTATTTTGGGGACGGAGGGAGTTCTGAGAGCTGCGGAGCAAACGGGCTTTCATGCCTGATGCGCCGGAGCCGTTTGAGGTGGACACGAATGGTTGAGGGGGTTGTTCGGTTGAAGGTGGGGGAGGGGCGTTACGGAGGAAGTCCATTAGGCTTTCTTCATCGCGCTTGGGTTTGGGGTTTTCTTCTAGCTCCAGGAGTTCTTCGAGTAGCTCGTCGTCGTCATCGTCGTCAATGGCGTATGGGTCTGGAACGCGGCGTTGCTTCCGGGCAGGAGGTTGTGGCTCGTCGAAAGACATTGCTGCACTTCCTGATGCCGTGGCTTTGTTCTGCTTTGACGAGTCTAGAAGGCCTGTTCGTGAGCCAAGCGAGGACAAGGACTTGTCCGGAGTGGTTCCGTTGCCGGTGCTGGCAGTGGAGCTGGTAGCGTCGATCTGAAGATCATCGGAATCGATGGTGTTGCGGAAAGGCGCGACTGTGCGAGGGATGCGATGAGCACCTGCTGGCATCGGGGGACCCTGGCGGATGAAGTCGATGAGATCAGAAGAGGACCCGTTAGTCTCGGCAGACCGAGCCTGAAGTTTGAGTTTGTTGCTGCGAGATGTACCCGTGCCGCGGGAAGCAGCGGACTGACTCGACGGAGGGCGAACAGGTTTCGGCCGCTCTGTTGAAACTGACTTCTTCGGCTCGGGAGACGTACTAGCAGGTGCATTAGCAGGTGCGCTGGGTGTTTCGCTTTCAGGCGCAGGTGGAGGGCCAGTCAACCTCATAAATTCTGCGAAATCACTTGTGGAATCTGCAGGGGCACGCTCGTCGCGAGCTTGAGCCGCCTTGCTAGACTTGGATGTCGAGATTGAGGAGGTTGGTGTGATGCGCGCTGAGTGCGGGATGTGTTTTGACTCGATGGATCGTGTGCGAGAAGCGGTGGTCATCCCTCCGCTGCTTGAAGTGTTTGCGGTACCGGCAGTTGCTCCGGTGGCCTTGGAAGAGACCGAAGCGCGGGCGCGGTGCTTTTCCTCGGTTGATTGGGTGGTCTTCAAGAGATCGCTTGCGCCATCGGTGCCTGCGGCAGTTGAGCGGGGGATCGGACGGTTGGGCGGCTCGGGGAAAGACATCTCCCTAACGCTCTTAGGGGTGAGAGTGAAATGGATGGTCTCATCGCTGTTGATCAACTTGTCCAAGTCGGCCATGTCATTGTCTGCTGAGTCTCCACTGGCGCCGGATGCGCGACTCGTCTCGGACGAGCTGCGCATGCGGAGCGAGTGGCCATCACCTTGTGGTCGACCCATGAGGCCTTTCAACTTGCTTGATACTTGCGATGTTGCAGAGCCAGCAGTGAGCGGGCGCTTGATCTCCCGGGCACTACCGAAGCTACCAGAGCGGCGGGAATGAGATTTCAAAGATGGGGAGCCTGATGTCGATGGCCGAGGGGCCATACGCTGAACAGCGGCACGTTCACTGAGCGAAGGGCTGAGGTTGCTACCTGCAACAACTAAAGGAGCGGGCCTTGGGCGAGTCTTCGAGCGCTGCGAATCACCTGAAACAGAGGCGGGGCGAGAGGGACCGAAAGGAGTGATGGAGTCTTGAGATTTTGGAGTTTGGAGGTCTTCTTTGCTTTCGCGCGGGGACCCACTAGGGGGCGTGGAAATCATCATTGTCTTGTTCTGATCTTGATCAATCGCATCTTGATCAGTGGAAGTGACAGCCTCGACGGGGGTCGTATATGTCGGCGTGGTCTCTATCCCTTGCATAGGGATCTGCCCCTCCGCAACGGCATGCATTTGAGAGTCACTAGTCTGTGGAGAAATCGACCTTGCCTGCAATGATAGGATATCCCTAGAGGATTGTCTTTTTGGTCGCTGCGTCGTCGAAGTCAATTTAGGCTTTTCATACGTCCCAGTGCCTTCAATAACTTCCGGATCTTCGCGATTCGGTCGATCACCGAGGGACGCGATGGAGATGCGGGCACCATTGGTTTGATCGGTCAAATCATCCTCGTCGGTCGCGATAGCACGCAAGGACGCAATTGTTTCGCTGACCGCTGGAGGCGCCGCTCCTTCTTCATGCAGGACAGACTTTCTCGCATTCTTGGATGCTTCTGCTGCAGCTTCGGGCAATTGCGAACTTTCTGACTCTGTAGTGATCGCAATGCCAGGGGTGATTTCCACCGCTTCCTCGGCTGCATCCACATACTCCGCAGACTCATCATCCTCGTACATAGTCTCTAGTTTCTTTTTCTCGGATGGGGTCGGCGAGGGTTGATCGTCAGGGACGATTGTCTCCTCCTCGTCTTTGATAGGTGGACCATTCGGGAGGGACATCGAGCGAAGGTGGCGGAAAGATTTGGGGGGCTCGATGGCGGATGCGCTCAGGGGGGAGTTGGTCGCTGAACTGGGAGATCTTGACAGCAGAGAAGGCGAGGAGAAGACCATAAGACTGCGCGGTCGTACTTTGTGAGCAACGACCGCCTCCATAGTCTGCACCTCCCCTTCCAAGTCGCCAACGTAACCAGGGACTTCGATTTCTTGCACATCGTAATCGCTCATCGGCAGAGGAATGGAGGCGGGGTCGAGGGGCGGAGGAACCTCTACGGCGGGAACAGGCTCCCTGGGTGTGATAGGCTCCTCGATAGTCGCAATACTGCTCTTCCGGCTGTTCGCCAGAGAGTAACCGCGGCGGCGGATTGATTCGCGAGACAAAGTCCGGGTGAGGGTGGTACCGCGTCTGCGCTTTCTCCACGTCCGCCACAAGCGACCCAAGGTCGCATTCAGGGCCAATTTTTCCATATCGAGATCCTCCACCACAAGTCGAGGAATTCTCCTCTGCTCTTCATCAGGCCCAATAAGATCATCGCCATCATTAAGCTGTGCCAGTAGACGAGACCGCGCGGTTTCGCCAGCAATGACCAGTGCGCGTTCGCCAATGTATTCAATAATCGAGGTGAGGAAGATTGATGCTGCGGGTGTGATGTTGTCGACATGGCTGGTGAATCGGCGGGGCGCCCCATCGGTCTCTCCCAGACCATCTTGTGCAATGAACTCATCCTCGTCATCTTCCTCCATATCACCTAACCGCGTGTAGACCATACATCTGAGACGGGTCAATTTCCATGACCGCACCAGATCAAAGTCACCACCGGGTTCTTGACCACCGCGAAATTCAGTCTGCTCATCCTCCTCTCCGCCCATATATTCGCTCAATTCTTCCTCGGCCGCCGCCACGACTTCCTTGGCGAGTCGGGGTTTCAGCACATCGGCCATTGCGGGGCGAATGCACGCTAGTTGCGTCGATTTGGAAGATGCAAGCACATTGTACAAAAGGTTATCGAGGAACCCGTTCAGGAGCGAAAGTGCAGCAGGCGTCACGAGCGCAGTCGCGCCGCTCCCGGTCTCCTCATCCTCGGCGACGAAATCCGCGGCGTTGAACTCCTGATCGGCGGAGATGATCTCTGAAGCTGCAGGGGCCGAGATGAAAGCGGGGGGCGGCCTCACGGTTGGCGGGGACATGAGGTTGACTCGGGAGAACTGCGAATCGGTGGAAACGACACTAGGGCTGCGCGAGCGGGTTGACACGGCCCCGGTTTCCAGGAAGTCGGGTACTTTGAAGGACTGCATGGTTGAGACCAAGCCCGAGTGCTTATCTAGAAGATCTTTCGTTCTTTCTCGCGGGCTGGAGGATTCTGGTCGCGCACCGATGACGGAGAAGAACGCTGAGTAGAAGTTGAAATTTTAAATCATCCTATCTGCGCGCGAGAGTCAGCCGTCCTGCCGTGCAAAGCTGACCAGGTGTAATTGGGGCCGGCGCAACGTCGCCCAGATCGCCGCGTGACGGTGAACGGTGGGTTTGCAACTTACCCGTTGAGAGTCGAGATGCGATCAGTGCTCATATGCTCATACCGCGGGGAATTCACAGGTAAGAAGGGTATCGTGAGGAGGAAAGGGAAAGAGAGCGAGTCAGGAGTAATTATTCAATTCCGCGTTAGTGGAGACCTTTTTGGAACATTCGGGGTCGACTACCGAATAATTTATGGGGCTTGATACGCTATACTCTGATCTTACATGGCAAAGTGTACAGACCCCTGTACCTTTAAGCTCTTCTGAAACGCCTCATTTAAATGGAACTTGCAGGTCTATAAGTTTTGACATTCATAATACCAAAGGGTGGAAATACGAGATGTCCAGGTGTTGGTTATTGATATCTTATTGACTGATATCAAAAGACCAACCAGAAAGGAGAACCAAACGAAATAAAATACCATTTGGACAAGCCCAGGGGAGGAAAAGAACAATGTTCGATCGACACGCTAAATTGCCCCGCTTCGTCTTAGGTTTCAGGCTCCATTGGCTGTCTGGAGCCAATCATCTTGTCTCATTCCATGGATGCGAGTGGGGTCTGAGTTAGTCTTTCGAACCTTTCCCTTTCGGGTCTTTGCATTGATTTGATTTATGATCTGAACAAAGAACCAGAACCCTGGGGCATTAGTCTGAGGTGTGCTTACACGAAATAATCAATTGAACGCCTAATCTAAATTTGAACTGCGTCCAAACACGGAGCACAAGTGTGCCGACAATTCAGCCGGGACCCGCAGGGCACCAGTAGTGCGGCTGCTAGCGCATAGCATCCTTTTTCCACACGTTCCTCAGCCGTTCCACGGGTCCCTGGAACACACGAGGATAAGCCTGTGGCGCAAAAATGTTATACCCGCCCATTTTCGAGTCTCATCCAAACTTTATGTCCTTGATTATATATTCACTAGATTGACTCTTATTTTGAGGTATGATTCAAGCATTGATGCTCCGTGGATTTGAATTCATATTCGAGATCAGATCGCTGCCCTCCTACGCGAGTCAGCCTTGTGACGTGGTACCTGATCTGAACCTTTCATCTCCCAACTCTGGACCCTCCAATCACCGGCCTTACCGGACTCCCCGTGGAATGCCGCAATACATTTTGTAGATTAAGAACGCCTGAACTGCAAATGAGGAGCTGAGCTCGCCGCTTGTTCTCACCGCTATCATCCATGGATAGAACAGACCATCCACTTTGCTCAGGTTACTGTATCGACCAGATTTATCAACGTTGGGTCAAGTGGACCATGGCGTGATGTGCAATAGACTAGCAGCAACTAACGATTACAATGGAGATTGTTGCGATAAGCTTACCCGGATGAGGCATATCCCACGATCGGCACGAATGACTCGAACTTTCCACGTGCAACATTGAACCCGAGTTCTGCTTGTACATGGTGAATACTTGTGAGACTTTCATGTTTTCTAATGTTTTCTATGCGAAGTACGAGTAGCATTCATGTAGCTGTATGAACACTTATGTTTATGCATACTGTGCACAACTCCAAAGATCAGTCACTTCCCCATCCAATGATAGATCAGACTTCCTGTCGCCGCATACGGAGTACTTATACATGTAAACTGCATGCCTACCTAGTCCAATGATCTGTATGACTTCTATCCCAATACATCATCATAACAGCCAACTCAACATCCATGCTAAACGCTAAATTTCCCTTAATCCGATGCAGGAGAAAGCCATGAAACACTCCAGCTACCTTCAAAATGAGCACACCAGCGCCATGCTCACTAAGAAATCCAAAAAACCCACCCCCACCCCCATTTCCAACCCGCAGCACGCGTGGCTATGACTATGATCGCCATAGAAAACCTGGTTCCCCTGAAGTCCGGCACTCCCCCTGACCCTGACTTCAGTAAGCCCGCGAAAATCTGCAGACCGGAATTTTACTCCATCTCGGCTCCATCGCTGGAGCCATGATAACCCCATGTGGGCAAGGTTGGTGTCCTTAGCTGTCAAAAATCGCATGGCAACCCCTTCCGGACTCCACAATTTAGCGTGTGGGTATTCCAATTCCGCAGCGATCGTCGACTGATTTATTCGCTAAGTCTTCGAAGCGGGTGGTTTCATCTGCATGTAATGCATTTGCGAGTTGGTTATCCACTGAGCTCTGTGGGTTATGTATGACGGAGCTCGATGATATCTTACTTTGTACAGGGACAACACATTATACAGAAAGAAGATATATCACACGCACTTCCCACTCAGTCCCCTCCACACTCGTACGTGAAAATGTGATCGTCTACCAAACCCCACATAGAAGTAATCGAAACCCGGTTTAGGTTTCTTCACCGCATCGCTTGGGGATGCTAGAGCCCCCTTTGCGGACTCTACGTGTAGCTTTACTCGTACATAAGCCTCGAGTTACTTTCCCTCCCCGGGTCGTCTGTGTGGTTGTGTTGAGTCTGTGCTCTGCGCCGTTGAGATCGACACTTAAAATAACCTTGGGGATAACGGCGGCGTGGTCTTTGGACCTACATTGTGCTTGTATGACTTTGGTGGCTGCATAGTGTGATCTATCACCGGGAGATACGAGTATAATCGCACGTCAAGTACACTAAGAAGTAGAACGTACTTTTGCATGTATGCACATACCTCTACGGATTGAGAGAACTGCGCGATGTATACGCCGAAGAGCACACTCTGAACCTTGGAAACCTACTGGCTTTACCTAACTGCTGGTGACTTGGCAATTGGAGTCAAAGCCAGGCCTGTGAACTAACTCTAGAATTTCTCACTAGGTACATCCTTGCAGCCTTGAGTCTAGCCTGGAATATACATATACGGAGAACCCTCTAGGATCTGACATTTGCTCTCATCGCCGTAGGAAATTATGGAATAGCTCAGGGAATTATCAATCACACCCTTGGACTTGATCACCCAGTAGGTATAAATTCTAGTCCAAATACTCCATACGGAGTACTCCGTACCTCACTGAAGAAATCCCATCCCAGCTAGTGGATAAAAACCCCCGCTCGCCGAGCGCAAAACGGACCCATCAGAAAATTCTCCTATAGGGCGGAACGTGTTCACTCCCTGGGCACTTTATACATCGTGCATCATTAGCCCCTCAAACCCAACCCAACCCAACTCATACGTCCAAGCAACGCCAACTCGCCCCCCTAGCCACCCAGCCCATCAGCAAAGCACATCAATACCTCATCCGGCAGGAAGGAAAGCAAGTTCGGAAAAGCCGGATGTCGCGGCGTCTAGACTCTGTTTTGGGCACTGGCATACGTGTCAGACGTGTTTGAGGCCTATGGGTAACTGGAAAGAGATTGGTGCATGGGGTGTCAGGGGTAGGGGGTTTTGAAACGCTGGGCTTGTGGATGTTGCATGTGTATTGTGCCTGGATCCATGGATTTAAAGATCAACGGAAAGACTTGTGGTTTTAGTATTGAGGGATTAATGGAATGGATTGGGTGATGAGGTTGGTCTAGACTTTTGAGATCGTATGGGCTGATCGCGGTGAGTGTACGGAGTAGGGTAGACTGGGATGCATTTGAGGTTTTCTGGCCCAATGGATGTTTCCAGGGTTTAGTACTTGGCCTCCAGGAACCGAGAGTTGGATAGATATCTATAGCTACCTTCCAGTCATCCAAGGACTCAAGCCCCAGGGGTTGTCTGATCCAGGCATGGACCGCCCATTGTGTTGGCATGGTGCAAGGCAAATTCCAAGGCCACGATGTGCTACGCCGGCACATTGATTGATACGAAATCGCGGAGAGTTTCAAGGTTTAAAGATTTGAAAATGTTTTTGAATTGTAAATGCTAACTCGGGAAATGAATTGAACATTGTCAAATACAGGCCGAGAGCAACGCGCGAAAGATTTGCTTTTCCTGGCTAATGAGCCTTCCCGAACATTCCCATTGAGCCCCTCGCTTTGTTCAAAGTGAACATACTAGGAAAGAGGGACTTGTCATAATCGTAAAGTCGTGGTGTGTGTGCCTAATACACCCGAGTCCTAGGACTGTGTAGGCTAAGTTTTGGTATCGAGCTCAGATACAATGCCACTAGCAAAGAGCGTCAACTCCTCGGGAGCAACGTCGACGAGGCCATCGGTCAATCGTTCAAGGAGGAATTGTTCGATCTTTTGCAAGAGAGCTAGATGGTGATCCAAGCCGGGTGAGCAAGCGCTGGGATCAGTCTCATCGACTTGCTCTTCTGCGCGAAGTGAAATCAACTCGTTCCATTCATCATCTTCGAGAAGATTGCGGAAAGTGCCAATGACATGACTGGAGATGAGATCGAAATAGAGCGCAGGTGGATCGTCAGGGCCCATGCCGTCGGTATCCTTACCCAGGCGAACATGGTCAACCTGGGATCGAAGGTATGATTCATATTGTTGCTCGAAGGTCTTGTTGGTAACGCCATGGATACCGTTGATGTAAGCGGCAAAGAGACTGCGATCGAGGTCGACGGCATCACGCGAGAACTCTTCCGGCTGAGTGACTGATTTGCGGACAAACTCTCGGTGGCATTCTTCGGCTTCGTCTTCTTCTTCTTGAATGTCCATCTTATCGAGTTGATCCAGGAGTGTTTGAGTACCGCTCGTGCTTCGGGCAAGCAGCATCATCTCGTGACATGTCATCTGATGATCGCCTTCGTCATCTTCGTCACCTGATACTTCTGGGCTTTCGATGTACTGCACATCGGGGGCAAAGCGCACAGAGTTTTCTTCAAAGGAGATGAAGGCATCATCGAAAGACTCTGTATGGTCTTCATGAGTTTCGGGTACATCTTGAGATGCTTCTCCATCCCAAACCGAGAAGTCAGACATATCATCATCTTCCTCCTCTTCGTCAGATAGTGCATCGTACTCCGAGTCGATGTCATCCGAGCTATAGCCCGATTCCGAGTCGGAATCCTCGTCGGACTCAAAGACGGTTGAAGGGTTTTTGAGGATCGATTTCAGGAAAGGACGAATAGCTTGTTTCGCAGCGGTGGCCGCACATTGCAGCTGGCCGGGAGCAGTACCATTTGAGGTGACAGATACTTCATCCGAGCCATAGCAACTGTCATGGGAGAAAGACATTTCGACGTTGGAGAAAGCTGACGATGTAGAGCCCCACGAGTCTCGGTGGGGGCTTGAGGTGCTCGGTGGCGCGGTGATTGCGCAGTCCATGGTTTCAGCAGGACGGGGGTTTCTTGTGAATGAGATGTCGGATCGCTCGAAATATGAAGTCCGTATGGGGTTCCGAGCCCGGTGAGGGAGACTCTTGAGCGAATCGGAGGAATTCTGGTGGTTGTTGTAAAGTCAAAGATTCACGATCTGTTGATCGAATGTAGGACGAGACAAGGGCAAGGGCATCGAAGGCCTGCAAAACACGGAGAGAGATCCATGGTCAGGCTAACTAGAGGCTCGCAAAAGCTTAAGGAAACTTGACGGGGTTGGCCCCAGCAAGAATACAGGAAGACATGGTTATTGAATGGCGCTTGTTTGCTTAGATGTTGAAGTGGGCTTTCTTGCCAGTCGAGTGGGTGGACCAACAACAAGGCTGGTAGGTGTGGAGGATGTGGTAGTTCGAAATGTGGGGTGTTCGGACACGAAGGTAGATGGTCTTGTCGAGATGCATGTAGAGTGCGAAGTGGTGGCAAGGGTGAAGTCGAGTCGGTGCGCGACGCGATGAAAACGGCCTTGGAATGTTGCGGAGGCAACAAATTTCGCAGCCGCGATGGAAGGTGTCACACAGGATATCTGCGTGGAGAAAATCGGATAGAGGCGCGAGAGGAGAGGAGAGAAGCGAGAAAGTCGGTTGAGTGGCCGACGTTCCGCGCGGGGGGTGTGTGTGACGAGGGGCAAAAACCGGGTTGAGTCACGTCAGGAGTTGAGAGTTGAGATGTGGAAGATGAGCGAGATGGGGTCAAGTGCGAGTGACGTGAGTACAATCTGCGAAAAGCAGACAATGAGATGAGTTTAAGGAGTCCAAGGTCACCATTCAAAGGGGCCTGGAGAAGGGAAAAGAAAGAAAAGAAGGCCGGGTTTCTCGCCGCCCGTCTCCGTCATCTGAGTCAGCCCGATTTTGTATCCCGACCCCATTTTAGGAATCACATTGTTTCGTGTTTCTTGGTCATTTGATCTTATTTCCAGCTCATTCGATCTTATGTTTTTTTCTTTTTTTCTTTTCTACAGAGCACATGCCTTGATCACAATTATTCTACCCTCTGCATAGGAGACTGGAATTATTTTGTGCTGGAGTGCCCTATCTCTCTCACACAATTTCGGCTTTTGACCGTAGCCGCCGGCTATACACGTCTCCGGCACCATGCTTTCTTTTTCTGCGATTCTTTCAGGACTCCTCCACAGAAAAAAACAAAACAATAATGGGTCATTATCTCTACTCCGTGCTTACGCCTCATTGCCTGAGTTGCATATTGTCTAAGACGCAAGGGATTTAGGGCTATCGACAGAGCACTAACGTATCAGGTTGGGCACTTGCCAGGCAATAATCCATCAATGTGCGGATTTTCATTCACTGTATTGGGAGTTGTGCATGTCGGGCCAGGGAACTGACTGCAATGATACCTTTGATCGCTGTTCAAATGCTACACCAGACGTGTTGCAGCCCGAGCAGAGGTCGCCTGAGCCTCGGCAATGCCAAATTACTTGCAAACTAACGAACAGATGCTACAAACACCCAAAAAAAGTGTGTGTTTTATGGTTTGCCCCGGATTGTGTTTGGTTCAAATCCCAATCCGATATCTACTCGTCCAAAGAAAGCAAAACGAAGATTCCAGGGCAACCGCACTAAACTTCACACGGAGTGCTGTGGGGGACACGACCAATAATAAACACCAGCAGTCGAGGTTCTGGGCTCTGATGCTTCCTTTTTAGAAAGGGACAAACCATCAACTTCACGAACAAGGGCTCGTTTGACCGCATTCGAACAAAGGCTTATCAGCACATGGGTCCTCCATGCACTCCAAATATAGAACATGGGGGATGAGCAACGGGACGATCTCCTGCAGGCCAAGGGATCCAAACCTTTCGATCAGGGGCACTAGCGCTTCCAGAGCTTCTAGGGCAGATCTGTCCTTCTCGAATCCCTCAAATTCTTCTGTGCATTGTTCAGGCGGGCGTTACATTCCGCCCAGCCTCTGCATTCCGGTCCACATTCCTGACCGCTTATCATGACCAGTGCATTGGCTGTTGCGATATCATACCCACTGCTAGTGAATTATACTGACAAATGGCGATGAGGCGGATGGCATGACTCGAGTACTCCGTACTGCCGATCCTACTGTCGCCCAGTCCTCTTTCAGCGGCTAATGATTGGATTAAATTCATCATGACGCTTACACTAGGACGAACCTGATGGCTTCACGCCCCCGGCGGGATCCGATTCTAAGGGATTTCTTGACAAGTCCTCGGAGACCTTTGGCCACTGCGTACCGGTTCATGTTCATTCTTAGTGAGATTCTGCTAATGTCCAAGCTTAACATGCTTAAGTCCTCCCCAGACCCGCTCCTCGGGCTGACCTGGCCGGTGCTCCGCTGCTTCTGGACTAGTGAATTAGGGTTGCATTCTTCTGGGTGGCTGCCGAACAAACTTCTTTAGGATTTGACAAAGATTGACAGCTCCATCGGCCCCTCAAAAGCTCTGGAGACCGTCATTGGCCATAGAAGGGATATGGAGTCTTGAATCATTCCTCTGGGGGGTTGGTGGAGCGAGCCAGGAGCCAACCGGACCGCTCATCGTACATTCCTCGTCCCATCTTTAGAGCTGGAATGTGTCCAAATTCCCCGAGGCTGGGTGTCCCTGGCAGCCATTCAAATAGGACATACATCTGTTTGTTTGCTTTGCTTTCTTTGCATCATCTGCAGTGTTTTCTTTGATTGACAAACCATCAAACATTTCACATTTGCACACTTTGCATCCTTTGCACTTCGGATCTCCGGGACGATCTCCGAACTCTTAACCTTCTTCATTCTTATTTTTGTGGTTGTCCAATCACAACGAGTCCTTGGACTTTAGTCGCTGACTACACTATTTCATAAACTTCGCTGCAAACGGAAATCCCGGCAACATGTTCGCTCAACAGTACGATCACTCGTTCAATGACTTGTTCAGCCAATACGTCAACATGGAGTCCTCAGCCGATGGTGGCAAGGATTCGGGCGACTTTGATCAGCTCTTCCCGCTTGACTCGCTGTCGAGTGACTGTGGCGATCTTTCCCCCACTGGCTCCACTTCTCAACCCCAGCAATCATCGCAACCCTGGAGCAATGACTGGTCCCTGCTAGATGACGGAGCCTCTGCCGATCATCTTACGTTCCATGACACCGTCCACCCTTCCGCCATTTCCAATGCTGGTTTGAACAACTTTGAAATCTCCCGCCCTACCACTTCACACGGCATCCCTCCAGCTACATCACCATCTACTCCTCCTGCCACCCCCAGACGCAAAATCACACAAAGCGCTCTTATCACTCCCAAGTCTATCCGCCATCGCAGCCCGAATGAGCGTCGCTCACTGCTGCGCAAGCAAAGTTCCTCCCCCAGTCTGATGCGCTCTTCCAACCTTGCCAAAGAAAGAATGGCATACCCCGAGGTTTGGGCCCAGCGAATCCAGAACTTCAATCTTCATGGCTCAGAAGATCGTCTGCCGCTGTCTCCCCCTCCTTCCGATGTCGTCATTAAGCATGAGAACATCCCCATGGAAACCATGAACCAGACCAGAGAGTCTGCTGAGATGCCTCCTACATACGACGCAAGACTGTTCCAAACCCCCTCAGTCTCAATGCCTTCCCCAAACACTGCAATGTCATCTCGCCAACACCAGCAATACATGGGCCGCACAAGCTCCTCCAACTTGGCCAACTCCAGCCCTCACTCTACAGACGACATCTTCTCATCGTCCCACTCTTCTGATCCCCACTCCTTGTCTTCTTCTTGGCAATCAGACCCACTCAATGCCTCATCTCTTCCCTTCACCCCCGATCTCCAAGGCCAAGATGCCCAATGGTGGTCTCCCATGCCTTCCCGGGTGGCCCAGCAGCAGGCCGCCTACCTCGCATCCCCAACTCCCAACCGCATGCAAAACGTTGGAAACCAAAGTGACATGGCACAAGGAGGTCTCATGATCCAATTCGATCCTTCCTTCGACATGTCCGCAGAATCCTCATTCTCATCATCTAATATGCTCCCCACTCAAAAATTCGTCACACCCTTCAACACATCTCAAACACATAACAACTCCCGATCACCATCTCTCTCTCCTAAAGCCGGCAACTTGACCCTGGACAGCCGCACCTCATCCATCTCCAAGCCTACCCACCGCCGCACTCACAGCCGCAAGCTCTCTGGTCAGAGCATGAACGGCCCCAAGCCCGCCAAGGCATCTGGCTCGTCTCCCCGAGGCGCAAACAAGTCTGTCAGCGTATCGTTTGTCAACTTTACCGCTCATGACAGCAAAAAGATCCTGACCGGAGTCGCTCCCTCCGGCAGTTCTAAGACCAAGGCTCGTCGCGAGCAAGAAGCCCGCGATAGACGTCGCAAGCTGAGCGAGGCCGCATTGCTAGCTGTGCGCAGCGCCGGCGGCGACGTCGAGGCTCTTGAAGCTGTTCTCTGTTAAAGTTTTTTCTGTTTGTTTGTTTTATTGATTTTCATTGTCTGCCTTTTCAGCCGGTGTTTTTGGGTTATATCATTGTTTTATTGGTGTTTGTTTGCCTTTTAGCCTGGGCCCGGGCTCTACCAAAATGTTAGACTGTTCCTAATATTTAGACTACTGTGTGGATATCTAATTTCATAATCTTCTGAGATCATCTCCTTCATACTCTAGACTCTCTTCTGTTTGACTCTTCCATATACCAACATCTGTTTCCTTCATCACTTTGGTTAGTCTATCTGGTTCTTCGAGTCTGCTTCCATCTCCACTGACTATGACCAGATTCTTGATCTCTCGGTTCATATCCTCGACTTGTCAGAACTACGTCTGCAAGGGTCATCCCCGAGCTTTGTTCTTGGGCTGCATTTTGAAGCTGCATCCTTCAAATGATTCCTCGTCTTACTCTTCTCACGATTGATATCTTTGATGAAACATTTGAGGCTATGTGATAGAGGTTGACTTCTCTACATCTCAACCACTCTCTGTCCAAGTCATTCATATTATGAGCCTTCATGCTATGACTCATGAGCCTTCTCTACATCTCAATCACTCTCTGTCCAAGTCCTTCATACTATGAGCCTTGATACCTTGGAAGGTCATACACAATCGATTATTTGCAGATTGATCTGGCTGGGCAGGACTATAAATAATCCATTTCGACTTCTTCCTCTCTCGCTCCTCGCCAACGCCGACTATCACTAACGACAACCTACTAAGTGAGTCTCAGCCTATACCCCCTACGCATGACCCTACCAGCGACAGTGATATGCCTATACGCCTGCCCTGCTCATGAAGCTCTTTCTCTTCATTTCATGCCCCTATCTATCTTCATTTGTCTGCCCTCAGCTTCGCTTGAACCGATTGATCACTTCCCTTGCCTGCGTGTCTCTGTAAGTGACTGCATTGGCGAAGCAAAGTGAGCGAATTTGCCGCTTACATCGTTGTCACTTTTCTTATTTTCGCTCTCACTACAAATCTCCGCTTTCCTCACATTTGATTGCTGTTTTCTACCCTTCGGCTCTCACTCCTGCTCCTTTCTGAACCCGCCACTTTCCAACTCAGTTTCTGCCCTGCGTGGTCCATCTTCTTCTGGATCACGCCTGGACTTTTTCTTCTTTCTTCCTGCGCCAATCTCTCTCTCTGATACTCGCCATATCAATCCTGAGCTCAGGTATCTTGCACCATTCCCACCCTCTACTTCGGTAGATTCTGTCTACTGCTCCCTAGTTCCTGTGCCCTATTTTCTTTGCCTTTCACAACAGCTGTCCCTTTTCCGCTTGGGCAGATCACCTTTCACGTCGCCACCAGTTCTGCCTTTTCAACTTTGTTGTCAGAACATTCTCCTTTGTTGTTGTCATCCCATCTCAGTTTCTATCGCCATTGGCAACGCACGTCTCCTCTTGTTTGTTGTTCTTTGGGCCATTATCCCCAACACGTTACGTGACTGGCCTCCAATGGTTCACTTTTTCTATGATCTTTTGCTACACAAAACTTCCCAAACCTTTGTCGCTCAACCTTTCTGATGCTAACTTACCATTGCAGATTATCATTTGTTCCAACATTCTGCTTTCAACCCTACTGACACGCGATCTTTCTCTTTGCTGATCAAGAAAGTCTTGATCTAACCTCCTCCTCCTCGACCTTCTCTCCGGAGTCTCATCTATTGAGATTTCCGCTGTCGCAATTCCTCCTTGTCTTCTATCCTTTCTCCTGGTTACTGTGCCTTGAGCACCTTTGAACCTTCATACACCTTCTTCGAACTCCCAAACTCCTCTAATTCTATCCAAATTCTCTGCAAAAATGTCTGGACGTGGACGCGGAGATCTCCCCATTCGGGGCTCTCGTGGTGGTGCTCCTCCTCGTGGTGGCAGCAGCCGTGGCCGCGGTGATGACCGTGGCCGTGGGTCTGACCGAGGTCGAGGGAGCGAACGTGGCGGATCCTCCGCATACGAGTCACCTTCTGGGTAAGTGAAATTATTACTGATCAAGTATATGCTCTAATCTAACTTGGAAATAGAATGTTTACGGACAGTGTTGCACCAGTTTCTTCGCAGATCACCGGCCATGAGGACAATTGCATCGCCAACTTCCTCAAAGAGAAGCAAGCAGCCGATAAAAGGGCATCGGAAGGCAAGCAAATCCCCTCTGATGTGCCCTCGGGTACTGTCCTTGCTCATCGACCCGGCTATGGAACCTTGGGGCGCTCGTTCATCCTGAGGTCAAACATGTTCTTATTCGACTTCAAGCCCGGCCTGGAGTTGTTCTCTTACCGATTGAAATTCAATCCACCTGATATAACCAGAGGACAGCAGAAATTTGTTATCCGCAACATGCTTCGGACATACAGGCCATTCGTTGACCATCAGTCCCAGTTGGCCACGGATACGGCCACTGAAATTGTCACGACGCAACCTCTACCAGACAATCGTCAGGTTCATCGAGTCACCATGGCCAACGGCGAAAACCGCAATCGCTCTGGGTGGACAGTCACAGTGGCACTCATAGAATCCTACCGTGTTGACGAAGTCATTAAAAACCTCCGTGATGTCCGACTCAGAAAGGTTGTTCCTAACAAGGATCGAACCGATGCTGAGGGCTCGGATGTGACGCGTGCTGAAACCAGTGTTGTTCGCATGCTTAACATTTTGATGAGCAACTATCCAAACAACACCGATGGCACAGCGGTTGTTGGGAAGGGACGGAACAAGGTCTTCAAAATCGACCAAGCAAAGCAATTTGTTAACATTGGATGTGGAATAGAAGCTGTTCGTGGTTACTACTCGAGTGTTCGTCTGGCGACAGGAAACATCATGCTCAACTTGAACATCAGTCACAGCGCCATGTACCGCCCTGGTAAGCTGATAAGCCTCATTGATGAATTTGCAAGGACGGTGGGCGAGAAACGCGGAGATATTGGGCCCTTCCTTGCGCGTTTGACTGTCAATGTCTCACACATCCCTGCAAGGGACGACGGAAGTGGAAACATGGTACCTGTCACCAGAACTATCTGGGGCGTGGCAACACCTCAAGACGGGACACCGAGACGAGGCCAGCCGCCGAATCCTCACCCTCCTCGTGTCGCTAGACTGGCGTCTTCTGCAGACAATGTATCATTCTGGAGGGAGGATAGAGATGGAAACGGGGATTACATCACTGTTACAGAGTATTTCCGCCAAGGTGAGCTCTATGCAGTAGTGAACATGGAAACATTGGGTGCTAACATTCAAAATAGCTTATGGCCTTCGACTCAGATATGCTTCGACTCATCCAGTCGTGAATGTCGGGAGCCTTGACAAGCCAGTCTATCTACCTGCCGAACTCTGCGAGGTTCCACCTGGGCAGATTTTTGGTGGAAAACAATCCAGGGAAATGTCTCAAGGCATGATCAAGTTCAGCTGTCGACGTCCGCCTCAGAACTATGCCTCCATCATGAAGGAGGGAATGGAAATCCTGGGACTCAATGACGAGATCACAAAGTTCGGGATCAGAGTTACAAAGGCAATGACGATCGTGCCTGCTCGGATCCTCAGTCCTCCCAGTTTGGTCTATGCGAAAAAGACCACGAAGACACAATTCGGCTCTTGGAACTTGCAACGCACAAGATTCTCCGAGGGTGCAACTGTCAAGAATTGGACGTGCTTAACGCTCCGCAGAGCTAAGCAGCCTCTCCCAAATGTCGATGGTGAAATGAACATGTTGTACAAGAAGCTGCGTGAGCATGGGCTCAATCTACCGCCTCCTTCAAGGCCATTCCTCACCCTCGATCTTGATTCTAGCAGCAAGGCCAACCGCGAAAAACTTCGAAAAGAGTTCAAAGGTTGGAAGGAAAACAACTACAGCCTTCTGGTTGTTATTTTGCCTGATAACGGTACCGAGCTATTCGATTGGATAAAGTACATCGGCGATCTCAAGATTGGTATCCTCACTCATTGCATGCTGGTCGACAAGTTCAAGAAAACAGGGGGTCAAGAGCAGTACATGAGCAACAATGCGATGAAGATCAATCTGAAGATGGGTGGCCGAAACCAGTTGCTGGATTCATCTGGCCTCAAATTTATCGGGCAGGGGAAGACCATGGTCATGGGATATGACGTTACTCATCCAGCCCCTGGATTGGCGCAGACAGAGAAGAGCATCGCCGGAATTGTGGCATCTATTGATGGTCAAATGGCACAGTGGCCTGGCGAAGTCCTTTCCCAGGAAGCCGGAAAAGAGGAAGTCGCAGAACTTGTTAAACTGGTGCAGGGACGCCTCGATCGCTGGATTCGGGAAAACAAAGAGCCTCCAGCCAATATCCTTGTCTACCGTGACGGTGTCAGCGAGGGTCAATATATGATGGTCCTCAACATGGAACTGCCCAGGATTCGCCGAGCAGCTGCAGACATTGCTAACTACCGGCCCGAATACAAGAAGTTTGCGAAGTATAAGCCCAAGATAACTGTCATCATTTCCGGAAAACGCCACCATGTGCGGTTCTATCCGACCAAGGCAGCTGACGGCGATCGAACCTCGAACCCTCCCAGTGGCTCTGTCGTTGACCGGGTTGTCACTCGTCCTCTGTTCTGGGATTTCTATCTTCAGGCCCAGTCACCTCTCCAGGGATCTGCCCGTCCGTGTCATTACATTGTCATCCACGATGAGATTTTCTCAGACCCGAAAATCAGCCCCGGCAAGCCAGCTGATGTGGTCCAAGAGCTAACCCATAACATATGTTATATGATGGGCCGAGCAACACGCTCAATCAGTTATGCCACCCCTGCCTTTTTGGCTGACCGATACTGTGAGCGCGCTCGCAAGTACGTTGCAGCCGTCAAAGCTATGAGAGAAGGCGGGGATAAGGTGTGGGATGATGCTGAACTTGGCTCTAACCGCAAGTCCTCGAACGCCTTTGCGATACATTCAGACTTCCCCCTCAGCATGGTCTACATCTAAGTTGGCCATGTGTCATTGTCAGCTGCCTGTGAGTATTATCCTGCGGATTTTCGAACATGATATGTGATTTGGTCCTTCCTCCAGTTTCTTTTGCTGCGTTGAAGTCCGCTTTTTTCTCGGGTTGAGGCACCGTCAAGTGCGGATTGAAGCCCAGCCATTTGCTTTTCCTCATGATCTTTATGAGCTGTCAAATTATTGTCCACGATCTTGCTACTCCAGAATCCGCCCTTTGCTTCAACATTTGAATGGAAAATCCGAAAAATCAAAAACAGGGGATGAGTTCTTTTGAACATTTGCTTTTTAGTTAGTGCATGGAAAATTCGAAATACCAAAAACAGGGGACGGGGAAAATACAGAAATTACAAAAACTGCTGTGCATTCATCGTAGAGTATAGACATCCATGGATCTTCGTAGATATTAAATTCGCTGTCCAAACGGCGAGCAATGAGAAGAGCAGTCATGGTAGAGATCCTTTCGACTTTACTCTCAAAATACTCCGCGTAGACAATTTTTTTATGCCTGCAGTAAGCAGGAAAAAAATTAGAAGAAGAAACCTTGGAAAGACTGACCAGTTTGAAGGTTGAATTGTTTTGATCAATATCCCGAGGTCAGTTCTGCTTTTGGAGACGACAATCGCTAGCAATTCAACCGAATCTATTATTGTTAAGAATAGTTTGGAGTTCCTATGTTATTTAGGTCTTTCACCCAATATTCATAATCGTATGTAACCTCTTTCTTGAGATGTCTATAGATTTTCTACCTGTGCTGGAGATTTACAGCCACCTAGGGCTTACTATGTGGTTCTTTGTTTGATTTTAGTGAGGGTTGCAATACTCCGAGACTTGACTGTATGACTGGAACCGCTAGATATGAAACAAGATAATGTACAAGTGCCAGAGTCATAAAAGTGGACGTTATAGCCCGGATGCAAATCGAATCACATCTTTTGAATGTCCATCTAGCTGGCAAAGAGAGAGGAGAGGACTTCGCCGATAAAGCGAGGCGTAACCCAAAAGTATTCGGCGCGAGATTGACCCTAGTCTCGCGCCGGAAAGGTTGACTGATTGAAACAAAGAGATATTAAGGACGGAGGTGATCGACAATTTGACACATATGCCGCCCATCGCGCATTACTTTGCCAATTTGAAGATTCGGCCAAATATAAATTGGTGTCGTGTTCACCGCTTGGAGCTCGGAGACCAAGCTTCAGGTTGCCACTCAGCGCCCGGATTGGCATTGCTGGCGTTTTTCCAGGGGTTCTCTTTCGGCGCCTTTTCAGTGGAGGCAGGCTTTGGATCAAGAGTTGCCTCTGGGGACACAGAGGTCTGTTCCTTTGGTGCGGCGGGAACATCGTTTACTTGAGGCGGAGCGGGTTGAGTGTTGGGTTTATCGAGGAAAGACGGTTTGCTGGCCCAGCGCTCATCGGCCAGCCGAGCGAGCTCTTTCATTTGTGCCTGTCGAACCAAATCCTGCTGCTGTTCCTGGATACTCGGAGGGTGTTCGCGGACATGTCGTAGCCATTGATGCCATTGCGCTATGCGGAGAGAACGGGTCAGCTATGGGCTGTCGCATTCCCGATGAGATGGAAGCCAGTCCTGCACAAGCTCTCGAGACTCACGTGTTACTTGAACGTCGCTGAAGTGTGTTTTGGGATCGAACCTGACGATCCGTCGCATGCGGGCTGCGTTCATGACATCTTTGAATTCCCAAAAGGTGTTGCCAACAAGGTCCTGGCCTGCGACAGAGTTAGTGGTGGGAGATAAAATGGGTGTTGATATACTCACCGACCAAGAAGGATTTTCGCCAGGGTAATCGGAGTTTCTTCCACTTGAACCACAGGCTGTTCACCATTGTTGCGCGAGGAGTGAAGAAGGGCCGAATCTTTTTCGATGCGGCCAGACCGATCAACGGGGCGGAACAGTGGCCATCACGGCTTTTGGGGCATACTCCACGACTGCCAACAACAATGGTAGCAAGCTGCCTCAAAGATTACAATTACGATGCTGATTTGATATATTAGCCTAGCACAAGGCTTAGGATCACGATTAAATCGATATTATTGAGATTGCATCTAGTACAAAGAAATGTCTCGAAGGAAAGCGGGACTGTTTGGCGGGATGGCCACCAAAGTCGTCTGTATCCAGGCAACGTCATCGGGATCAACAGCGGGCATTCCATTCCATACCTCATTTCGCTTCTCCCCTTTCTTCTCCTTTTCAGCTGAAGACTTATTTGGTCTCTTACCTTGCCCTCTTGATCCGGTCTTTACCTTTGCGTTGTGAGTCCCGATAGAGTCGCGGATTTCGCTCCGCAACCCAATAAGCGCCACTATTAGGGCCGATCAGGCACCGGCAAAGGGATACATAGCCCCCTTCAGTGGCAACAGCCTCGCGACACTTTCACCCACTTCTCTCTGACCGAGAACTGAACCCTCGACACCCGCCATGGCTTCAGTGACTTCGTTAGACAAGGACCTGCGCAATATGCGCCTGTCCCGCTATACCCCGCAGGCGGCCGCGGAGGTGCGCGACTGGATCGAGGAGATGCTGCAGGAGAAACTGCCGTCGCCTGATCTGTTGGAGGGCCTCAAGAGTGGTATTGCTCTTTGCAAGTGAGTTGGAATCGCGCATTGGTGGCATTGGATCGCATGGACCCCTGGCTAACTCCTTTATCCACAAGGTTGGTGAATCTCGCCGTGTCACCAGGCGTGAAGTATAAGTCACTGTCAGCGCCATTTGTACAAATGGAGAATATCTCACACTTCCTACGCACATGCCAAACGCCTCCCCTCAGTCTACCCCCACATGACGTCTTCTTGACAGTCGATCTTTACGAAGCCAAAGACCCGGCGCAGGTTCTACAGTGCCTGGCGGCTTTCAGTCGTCGGGCGAATGCAGTTGCGCCTAATAAGTTTCCTCGCACAGTCGGTCCGCAGAGTAAGCGCGGCCTGATCAGTCCGGACGCGACAGGGTCATCGAGTGGAGGTTATACCCCCCGATCCGCTCGTTCCTCTAGCAATGTCGGCGATTCCGGACCTCCTCTTCCAGCGCGAACAGGCAGCCCTGCTAAGCCATCCGGGTCATACAGTTCTTGGGCTAAAAAGGGTGACGAACAAGGGACTACACCTGCTTGGAACATTCATCAGTATGGTTACTTGGGTGGCGCTAGCCAAGGCAATCAGGGTGTTGCATTTGGTGCTCGTCGGCAAATTACAACCCCCGGGCCCGCTGTTCCCAGCCTAGCGGAGAAAGAGAAGCGTAGGCGTGAGGAAGACGAAAGGATTCGTCAAGAGAACGCCGAGAGGGAACAAGCAGAGCGGGCACGTCAACAGCAGGTACAGGAAGACGAGACACGGGCCAAAGCAGAGGAAGAACGCCGCTGGGAAGAGGAGACTGCTCGCATCAGAGAACAGGAGCGCCTCAAGGTGGAAGCTGAGAGGAAAAAGTGGGATGAAGAGAAACGCCAATGGGAGGCGGAGGAGCAACGACGCATAGCCGAAGAGAAGGAAGCCGAGGAACGACTTGAGAGCGAGCGTCAACAAAGACGAAGCCTCAATGATAACCGTCTCAACGGCCAGTTTCTGAGCCAGTACCAGGCCTCCAATTCACAGATCAGCGATGCTTCCAGTGGAGTGCGGTCTGTTGAAGAAACACCGGAAAGTCGCCGCATCAAAGAGCTTGAGCGCGAACTACAACTAGCCAAGGATCGAGAGCGCGAGTATGAGAATGAGCGCCTTCAACCTCGTAACACCGGCGAACGGGCTCAGTCCCGTAGTCGAAGTCGCCCTCGTCCCGTGCCCCCTAAGCCAAGTTACGATCTCTCCTCCCTCGAGCAAGAACGGCGCCTTCTGCGTACAGAGTGGCAAAACACTCAAGATATGCCAGCGACCTCTGAAGAGCCCGAGCCTCAGCCCATGCAGGAACAAGCTCCACCACCACCTTCTCGTCCACTCCCCGAGCCAAAGCCATCTGCTTTCTCTGCACAGCCTACTCTTCCACCCAGGGAACTGCCCCAGCCCCCTCGGCCATTGCCAGACCCTGCAGCCTACAACGCGAAGCGGAACAGCGCAAACCGCGTGGACAACTTCCTCTCTTCCAACCCAGCACCTGCGGCCCCAGCCCCAGCAGCCCACCGATTCCAAGACTACACCACCACATCTGAAGTCGATGCTGAGAATAGCCGCCGCGAAGCCTCACAGCAGAAGACCAAGGCCGGCGGCTGGGCATCCAAGTCTCTTCTTGAACGCGAGATGGACCGCGAGCGTGCCCGCCAAGAGGAATGGGAAGAGAACCAAAAGCAGACAGCCGCCGCGGCTGAACGTGGTGCCAAGGATCCCACTCACGGTTCAGGTCCTGGTCAATCCTGGGATGTTCACCAATATGGCTACATGGGCGGTGATAACCAAAACCGCGGTGGAATGGGTCTTGGTGTTGGTGGTGCCAGGCGCCAGATCATCGGGCCTCGACCACCCCCATAAACACTGGGTGTTGGGCTTTGTCAACGATGAGGCTGACATGCCGGTGTTATCTTGATCGTTACGCTGTTGCTTTCCTTCATCTTCCATCCACTCGTGTTTCACTCTGATTACCTACCATTTTTCATTTCTTCATTTTTCCTTCTCCCACTCTGCCGCTCCTGCAGAGTTGACTTGTGGAACTCCTGCGAGTGGCACATTACACTATCACCTTGTTCTATCATTTGCGTTTATGATTCCCGTCTAAGCCGTTTCTTTTGTGCTCAAGCGATGATTGTAGATGGCACCTCTTAACTATGCTAAAGGCTCAATTTATAATCACATTGAAACTCTCTCCTGTAAAAATGTAGCCTCATGTACGTGTCAAGTTGCTGTTGAATTCATCGACCCTAAAATCGTCATTCTCATGATCTAGATATTCAAGATGATCTATACATCAAATATTGTACCAGCGTAAAAGCTCGGTCTCCATTCATATAGGCTCACTGCAAAGACATCGCTGGATAATTTGGTATAAAAAAAGGATATCAACACGCTCAAGAACCCAGAAACTCAATCATATAATATCATCAAGGCAAAATGAAGTCTATCATAAGCCATATCCGAAAGTGGCTTTCCCGCAGGTAAGCCGCCTCCACAGAACCGCTATGACTGTGACAAGCCGATTCCCGACGCTCAACACCTACCCGAGCCGCCTCTTTCAATTCCGGTGTAGCGGACAGCATTTTCTCATTATGTAGCAGGGTCATCATGGCCTCAAGCAATATAGAAATCTTGGCATTGCTTGCCGTACTCGGACTCGCAGCCTTGTAGGGGAAGTAGTATTTCTCCAGGTCGGATTGAGTGAGTAAATCGTTGCCAGGGGGCGGCGCACGCGCAGAACTTTCAACCATGAACCTGAAGAGACTCTGACATAGACTGCAGTGTTCATCTGGTCCGAGACGGGGCAAGTTGGAGGGCGTAACCATGTGTTGGAATACGGGGAGAGGGAGATCCCGAATGTTTTCCGCGAGCATATGACTGATCTCGTTTGGTGGTGTGAAGTCTTTTGGGAGGGTTGCTGAGACTTTGAACAGGAGTCCGAGGAGTCGCTGGCGGAGGGCGAGGGAGTTGTAACCGCCCAAAGAGCCGATGCCGTTGTTGTGGTCTACGGCTGTATCTGTTAACTCTGCATCGGAGTCTGTGGCTCCTCCCTTGGTATTTCGTGCTCGGCGGCTGCGCTTAGTTTGTCGAAGCTGTCTGCCTGGTGCCATAGCTACGGGTCTGGAAGACTCTTTCCCTGAACTGGCGTAATCTTCATGGGAGTCGTTTTGATAATCTCCATATTCTCCTTTGCTGAGGTCGACTCCTACCCTCTTCTTTTTGTTTGATGAGCTCTTGTCTCTGGGGGTTTTGATCTCATCCTCAAACACAGCTCTGAATTCGGCCGATCTTGGCGTGCCATCCGCAAAGATCGAGCGCATAATCCTTCGGTCCCGACCGAAAGTATCATTCGAGGTGATGTATTGGAAGATCAAGCTTTGCCGATAGATTTCAAGCCCATCATCTTGCTTGACATCCCCTTTCCGTGGCCGGCCTGACTTTTTGTGGATTCCTTGTTCTGCGGGCTCAACGCCCGAGGGAGCTTGTTCGTGCGACCTTTGCAGAAGCTCCTCTTGAGCCTGGGTATACTTCGCTGCGCGGTCCTCCCAGTCATCTTCGAGTACCTGGCACATGAATTGTAGCCATAAATGCCAATGCCTCCACTGTGCCTGGTGTAACACCGAGCAATTCAATGCCCAGCCAACGGCATGCCAAAAGTCCTCTGCTTCATTCCAAACCGAGCGGCCTCCACTGTAGCTCGCCTCCCACCCTGTTCGCTTATCTTCGCACATGGTCCCATTGAGCGCCGGGCTGTCCGCGCGTAATTTGCCGTTCCGAGAAGTCTCGAAGTGCGTAAAAGCGAAAGCAGTGTGGAATTGGGCAGCCGTGGGACCGACGAGCGCGTTTGTTAATCGCAGTAAACGCAGAGCAATATTTGGTGCCTCTTTTTCAGCGTCTAGTCTGGCGCGTGTTGTTGTGAACGGATGCACCAGCATCGTTGCCGCGATGGCTAGGTGTTGTGGCTGTGGCATCACCACCGGGGTCGATGCGACAGTGCCCGATGCCGAGGAAACATTGCCGGATGATAGAGCATCGAGAAGAAGAGTGAAAGCCTGGGGGTCTGTTGGTATATGAGGTTAGTCGCGTCGGTTAGACTCAGCGCGTCGCGGGGAAACCTACAGAGGGTTTCTTCGATAAAGATCTCGGTTTGCCGCATCAGCTCAAAGGAGAGCGGTATTGGTGTCCGTTTGCGCACCTCTTTGCGCGACTCATCATTGATGGCCATGGCAGGAGGTTCTGCCGGTTCTGCCTTTGGGAAAAGGAGGTTGTAGAAACGATCCATCTTGGCTACACAGCGTCTGGCGCTTATCGATAACGAATATCGCGAATGGCGTATGGCGTGTGCCGTCGAATTGAATGTTTAAATATCAACACTCAAGATATTTCACGGGGTAGATGTTTCGTTTGTTTACAAAATAAATGACAGTTCAAATCAAAACATAAGAATTATATTACAAAAAGGCTCAATCCTTTGTCGGCAAACAAAGGGGTGAACAAGCGTATACAATAAAAAGCAATTAAGCTAGCCCGAATAGTCGACGGGTACACAAGTCACCTTTAAAAAACGTCTTGCACTGAAACTATAGTTCTTTATTGCTCAGATATGTGATACAGCCTCACACCTGGGTATCAAAGAGAAGAAGCAGTCTGAGGATATAGCTTCAAGACATTTGAGCCTCACATGTAAACCCCGCGCATGGACCCCGAGCCAAGAGATTAACTTGCATTGCGATCGAACTTTGGAAGATTTAGATCTCGCAAACTATTACGTATATGCATACGTGTGCAGCTCTACTCAAACAACATTCAAGAGTCTCGAGTCGCGCCGAAGGTAAACATATATAGGGGTTTCGGAAGATGTGGAACTTTGGACAACCTGCCCAGAAAACTGAAAGTATGCAGAAGAGGTGTGAATTTGAGCTTGGTCAATGGCCTCTGCGTCTTCATATTTGCCAGAGAAAAGAGGTAGAATCAAAATGCGCAACAGCCAACAACGGGTCCACCTCCCGTCAATCAATTCCGCAATGCAAAGGTCCTGTATGTAGGCGAAAGAAGGCGAAAGCTTGAGGTATCAAGGTCTGGTAGACACCGACGTGGATAGCAAGCAGTGGTAATGAAGAAAAATGAAAGAATTAAGCGGAAGTTATGATTCCTCGGGTATATCGGAAAAGAGACCTATTCGCAAACGATGCGACTGCAGACATCAGGTTAGCAAAGGAAAATGGAGAATAAAAGGTGTAGAGAGAGAAAAACTCAGTCCAACTGCAAAGAGATTCGAGAAACATACGAAAGGCAACTTGGGAATGACCACCGCCAATGTGGCCAGGAAGTTGATGGTAAAGTGGGTCAAGTCGAAATGGGTGTAATGAGTGCTGAGGAGGAAAAGCACGATAGGCACGCAAAGCAAGAACTTTTTGGCCGGTGTATACTGGTCGCCATTGTCGATTTGTTCCCACATATTGAGATTGTCATAGGCACCGGCGTTAAATTCGAACGGAATGCCCCGCACCCAGTGAAACATGAGGAAGGATCCAAACATGTAACTGATGTTGGTGAGAGTCCATGATGTCTCTTGCGAGACACCGGGAATTATGTCGTAGAAGATCTTGAGGGCAGCGATGCACACGAAATGAATAGTCCAGGCGCCTATCGGAACGACGTGTCAGGATTGGATTCTGGGAATTTTGGAGCGGAATTTCAAGTTGATTCTCTCACCTTTGGCATTCACCCAGTTCGCATTAAGATTGGGCAATGCAGACTGATCACTGCTCCGCTCGATAGACTCAGCGGGCTCTTGGTAGATCAAACTGCTTGAACGCCTCCGTCGGCCTTGTTTTGAGGTCATGCTTGGCGATAACCGCTGCGGCCCTGTGTCAACATCCGGAGGGAAGGAGATGCCACGAGGGGCCAACAGGGAAGACCCTTGGGAATTGCTGGACGCCAGCTTGACGGTTTGTGAAGATAGACTAAGATGGAGGAGAAGGAGACAAGGAAAAGGAGCGGCGTGGGGATATGAAGAGGTGGCACGGCCCAGACTGGTGAATCAGAGAGCTCTTTTGCACACCCCGTGACCGCACGCCGACCGGACAAACTCTTCCTCTTTTGCTTTTTTCCCCCAATCTCCCCTTCGTTTTTGTCTATTATTAGACTAGTTCTCTCTAGCTTCTCTCGGCTCTCGCGATAGTCTACTTAATCTGAGGCAAATCCCTTATTTTTTCCTTGTGCGGAGTCTGGCCCGAAACTGCGACAAAGGGGCACTCTATACGAAGTACCGACCTCGGGAATATCTCGCTATCATTCCGCATACTAAAATAGCCTAATATTGGCGGAACGGACCCTGCATAAACACACGAACACCCAGTCAAGATGCAAGGTTTCACTGTCATATCTGCATTGGGTTGCTGGTCAACCTCCGCAGAACGGAAAATTCCCCCTTGTTATGCCGAGCAGAGTATGGGCATTATCCGAAGTGATAGCATTGCCAAGAGTCTCATTGGCTGATGTCCTCGATGTGCCCAGAACATCATCTGCTCTACGGAGTAAGCTACGCTACCAAAGCTTCCAATGCAGTCTGCATTTCGGGCATCGAGCCAGCCCCAGCATAATAAGTGCCCCCTACGCCATGACCAGCCTGCGGAATTCTTCGACAGCTCATGCGTCACGCATGGCATATTGAAATTTACCCGCAAACGTGGAAGGTAAGCTGATATTGATGGCAGTCCTCGATGGACTGTGGCTGATCAGACGTCTGTCATCTTTTTGGCAGGGGGCAAACCTGGGGAAGTCTGCATCTTCAAACCAATGGGACCAATGTCAGGATTCCATTTAACCTTTTCCTCCAGTGAAGCAACAGTCCTACTAGGAACAAGAAGGCTCTTCACTATAGCATCTGACACACATTGCCTGTTCGATGACGGCCAAGCCGTGCATGCGTCGAGAGAGTTGCAGAACCAGTCACCGATGCTGCTAACCTTAGAACATTACCACCGGAGCTAGTTGCCTGACTCTATGGATACATTAGTCTAGCGGCAGTGCCACCGTCAGACCACCTTGCTCAGAAGTCCTCGCCTGCTATAGTGGCAACTCAGGCTCTCAGCGCTATAGCCACCGACCCCAAGTGTTTCGAATTGACCTTGATCATGCTGACTGGGAAATTGGGATATCCCATTAACTTACATGAGTCAAGATCAAATTGTCAATTTGGATACTACCGACAAGGAACAACACAATGTGAGCTCACAGAGGTGGTAAGGGGTGCCAGAGAGCGGCAAAATGTGTTGACAGTGGGACGCATGCCTGAGAACCCCACCGTCAGATCGAGCTCGTCAGGTCGTCAGGTCGCCTACTTCTCTCATGGCCACTTCCACAGCCACTAACTGCACATGAAGAACTGGCGAGCCAAATCCCTTGGTTTCATTTGATAGCCCTGCCCAACTATAACCGGGACCCTTCCTCGCGGACTTCACGGACTTCATGTACCCCCAGACACTTACTTACTCTTGAGCAGATGGCCTAGAGACTGTTGTTCTAACTCATTTGACTCGCATGCTTGAGGAAAAATGAACTATTCAGGCTACAAGTTGATAGCATCCGACTCCCAAGTACTCCGTTGTTCATTGGTGTAATGCATGATCACCCGTCCGTAAGAGGGGATTATGAAGAAACTCTTTGCTACTGTTACCTACCTTTTCAACCTAAACAGACCATTTTCAAGACAGGGTCTGCAATGCAGGCGGTTTGATACTTCAAAGAGTCGAATACTATCCAAATGCCAACGTTCAGAAGAAGCCCTCTGTTGAACATTTCTGGAATGGTACAACATCAAACATTTCGATTGCTTAGGATGAATGGCCATGCTGGACGGTTTCCCATTTTTCTGCTGCGATCAGCGTACTTTGATCCTGTGTATCGTACTTTCCCTCCTTGCCCAAATCGCACTTGCCGTTCAGCAAAATCCTCCGCTATGCTCTGTTGATTGACTGGCTCCAGTGAGTATCGCATAAGTCTAGGCTATCTAGAACTACCTATACATCCATCTCGATATTTTGACACGGTCAAACAAAGAGACATACAAGAGAGGAACGCAGCTGCGTTGGGTCGGGCTGCGGCCACTATAGTTCCTGAAACGGCGCGACTGGTCTTTGTCGTCTACCGTGAAATTTCATCAGAATCCACATGGATCTTCCGAGACCTAGGCTTTCAACGCATCTCAACCTCAATATCCTGAGATTGTCTGGTTCCCGAAATCCAGCATGGCCAATTCATCCGACGAAGAGACCGACTCACGGACAGCTTTGGTGGGCGCGTCGCGCACCAAAGCAAACCCACGTTCCACTTCGCGCTCCGCATCAACCGACAGCAATTCGCGCCCGGCCAAAAGACAACGAAAGAACCAGAACACAAAGGACTCAGGCCTTGGCGATATTGTTCCCCGCGGAGGCTCCTTCAGTGAGAACACGTTACCAGTCGATCCCGATAGCACATCTAGCTCTGGAACCAGCTCAGACTCAAGCGATTCAAGCTCCGATTCTGATTCTGGCTCCGATTCCGATGCGAATGAGCTCGCGAGCACAAACCCGCACGAGGGCAGCACTGCGCCTGCCATCAGTTGGAACCAGGGTCGCAAAGCCGCTGTGCGCACTACGCTAGGGAAGCGATCAGCGCCAAATGCGGATTCCATACAGTTCACAGCGATCAACGATAAATACTGGCGCGCTCGCAGTGACTCTGCCTCTTCGGTTGGTGAGGGAGCGGGTGAACCTGAAGAGAAGAAGTCCAAAACAGACAACGATTCTGCAGAGGAGGATGAGCTTGAGGAAGGAGAGATTGATTCGAAGAGCGAATCGGATGACACATCCCTGGACTCTGAGGCGGACGACTCAATCCTGCTCAATATCGGCGAGAAAATGAATGGACAGAACGGTGCCGAAGATTACGATCCCGCCACCCTGGCCCACCAGCACGGGTCTGTCAATGGAAACACAAGCACAAATGGCGGATCCTCGAATGGAAAAGAGGAGGCTTTCCGAACATTCTCCCTCAAATACCCAACTGCGCCAACCTCTTTGATTGATCTTGGTCAGCAGGACCTTGAAATCCAGGCTAAATTCATTCACTTCGGTACCAACATTCACGATCTGGACCTGAAGTTACCCGTCTCCTGCATTGAATGCCAGCGGGAGGGTCACATGGCTGAGATATGCCCGTTGAAAGAGGTATGTGTTCTGGTTTAGATCAAAATATCCATCTCATTAACATTCATCCTTAAGTGCACACACTGTGGCTCATGGGATCAACATCAAAGCAGCACCTGCCCTGGCTGGCGAAGATGTCAAAAATGTCGCGAACGAGGTCACGATGAGCCCCAATGCGAGTCAAAATTATTCGGAAGTGCGTTCGAGGTCCCTTGTGACCACTGCGGCCAGCAACACTTGGAGTCTCAGTGTGATTACCTCTGGAAATTCCCATCACTAGAGACCCATGCACAGCAGACAACAGTGTCAATCTGCTGCGCCAGTTGTTGCAGCATGAAGCATCTAGTGGGCGACTGCGAAATGAGAAACGCGCGGTTGAAATTCACCTCATCCTCATTCAGCCTGAAAGACATCGACCCCGATACCATTACAAACCTGAACACTGTGGGTGCCAGCCGAAATGCACCACCAGGCCGACCTGGGACTCGCGTAAGACGTGACTGGTCCCCGCCTTCTTCGTCAGATGAAGGTGATATGATGTCCCGGGTCTCCAGAGGCCGAGGCCGTCCAACACCTGCCCCGCGGGGCAACAACCGTGGAAATATTCAGTTCGCAAATGGATCTGGAAATGTCAGATCTCGTGGCCCTTCTCGTGGCCGCCCACCATTGTCTGGAAACGGTCCCCGTGCTAATGCACCACTCCCGCAGAGGCCGCCTCCCCCTAAGAGCGGTCGTGGTCGTGGTGGGTCTTCTCGAGGAGGTCCCCCGCGCGGGCCGCGAGGTGGCCGTGGCCGTGGCCGGGGTCACTAAATGAGGTTTCCTTTCATGACTCTCACTTTTATCAAAAGCCTATTCGTCCTGGTGAGCATCTGCAAGCGCGGCTATCCTTTATTTCTTCGCCTCGACTATCAGAGGATTTATGTATCATGAATAGAACGTGAACTAAAAAGGCCCTAGGTCTTTGGTTTCGAGGGAAAAGGTGATTATACGAATGTACATAGCAATCAATTCCAAAGTATAGATATACCCAAGATGCATGGCCAATACCAAACAGCAGCCTCATGCAACTTCATCATTTTCCCTGGTGCCGAGGAACCCTCCTTCAAGAATATCCACCAGGTCATCCAACTGCGAAATGCAAAGATCGGTATGCGGATGTTCTCCCAGGTGCCCATTCCGCTCATTCACAAGCAACACCGTCGCAGCCCCAGCCATATGACCAGAAGTCATATCATCAATACTATCACCAACCATGATGAGATTCTCCGCATTTTCCAACTCCCACTCATTTGCAATATGCAAAATACCCGCGGGATCAGGCTTGGGCACAACATTTGGCGTATCCCGCGTGATAATCGGCAAGAAAATATGGGCTGGCAGATGATTGTCAAGAAGGTTCTTGACCGGTATCCTGAATCCTGTAAGCGCGATGACGATGACATGGGTTGGCACTGTCTACACGTACTCGAAGTTACGGGTACAGAGGGCCCGGCGGAGACCGCGGGACTCGAGATAATCCATTAGTCGAAGTAGGCCTGGCTGTGGCTGCTGGTCTGCCATTGCTCGTCTCTCCACGTCTTGGATCTTGGATACAGCTGTGGGGCGCTCGGCTGCGGGGAGCTCCCGGATGTGGTCGAGGATGTCAATGGAGCGATCGATACCAAGTGCTTCTCTATGTTGTTTGTCAATATGTGGTGAATTTCTTCATACGATTCAAGGTCCTCAATTCACCTCATCTCTGTAAACATATGGTGCTGTGGCAAGCTTTTCGAGATTAGCGAGGTCAATCCCAGCGGCATGTGCAAGATATTGAATATTGGGCCAGACGATGCAGGAAGGGCATCGTTCCATGCTTTGTGTACCCAATTGATCATATATCGAACACATTTCAGAGATTATATGCATTGGAAAGTTCCAATTCAAACTCTCCGGCTCTGTTCTAACATCCGGAGTTCATGACTCACCACAGAGTGCCATCCACATCGAACACAATGCCCTTCAAGGGAGGCGCATTTGACGACCGCACCGGATCAAGAGGCGCAAACCTCCGAGGACGAAGATGCTTACAGGCGGCCATGGTTGAGCGTACGCGCGCAAAGGACATGAAGGGAGGTTGAAGGAAGTGGAGTCGCCAAGCGCGGGGGAGATCTATACGGAAGGAACGGGTTGGCCTGCCTGCCCTAAAAAGAATAACCACCGAATCTTCGCGTCGAATGCATCTTCCATCCTCACGATCTCGATGGATCAGACGCCTTTTGCCCAGGGGGTCTTTCCCATAAGCCTCTGGACGACATCCTGCCTCGTCGGTGCCCTCATCTACCTCCAGATACTCTATGCAATATCCTACTTCACACGACCGTTCTCGAGTTCGCATCGCGAGTTCCCACCTTTTAACAAGACTATCAATGGCACAGAAGCATGGATCAGCAAAACAATCACCGGCATCGTCCCGCTGACGGCCTACAGCTCTGCGACTGCGACTCAGCGCCAGTGGCGTCTATCATCCGGAAATGGGATCCTGAACAACACGAGCCCTTTAGTGGTTGCTCCTCCATGTCCTCAACCTACCAGCTTGACACGATCCGGCGCTATACGTCGAACCGGCTCATCCATCTATGATGCAATGCAGAACATCAAGTCCAGCACTCGTGAGAGCCTGTGTTCCATAACCAGCTCAGCCAAAGCCATCTTCCGTCAACCCAGTACTTCCAAGCCTCTTCTGATTGCCCCATTGAACGGCTCACCTCTTGATGAGGCGGCTCATGATGAGCTTCGGTCAAAGCCCTGGGAAGAGTTCGCGCAGCCTCTTCCGGTTCACCAACGGCCCGATAGGAATGCTCTGGCTGATATGCCAGCTCCCAACTCAGCTGCTGCGCGTCTAGCAGGCCATTTCAGTGATCCCGGTCCATCTTCCGAACTGGAGACAAAGAAGATCCCTAAGACTTTGGCAAAAGGATTGAAGGCTGGTGCGGTCGATCGTTCTGAGATGGTGAAGATGACTCGGGCTCAGAAATATCATTCGATTGAAAGCTATCCTGGCAAGTTTCCTGTCAGCGATTCTTTGGATTACAGCTCGCTTGCGAGTGCTTTTGCTGTTCGTGGAAGGGGGACTACTTCCGTGCGTCCATTCTCGGACTACTAGGACCTCGATTCCTTGTGACGATGGGTGATGGATATAAGCCTTCGTACCCTTGTTCGATGCTGTGCATTCGGAAAGGTATACTGGTGATCATTCTCGCTTTTGGGCAACATTTTGAGACTTGACTTCCTTCGTTCTTTTGTTTGGCTTTCAGCTGGCGTTGTGTTTTCTTTTTTATTACTTGGACAGGGCATCATCATATTCACTAGGGTCTCTTGAAGACCACTGTATTTATACTTAAGGTCAAGTCTGTCATTCAATGAAGCTTCTATGCTTCAAACTCGCTGTTCAAGGGTCAAACATTAAAGGACCCGCCTACTACACAGTCCAAGCTGGCTGATCATTCGCACCACTAGCATTAGGCTCAAGAAAGCCGCGGACGGAGATACGCTGAACTACAATTGAAACAAAAACGTCCGAGTATATCTCACACCCTGAAATGAATTATGGCTTCCAAGCTATCTACATGAGTCAAAGTTACACAAACAATCCTTCAAGCCAAACGCTTCTCATGCAGCATTTGCACGCCGAAACAACATCACAAAAAGTGGAAATAAAAAAAAAGAAGCATCAAGTGAAAAAGCCAAGCCGATAGAAGACATAGCTTCCAGGCTCCTGAGGAACAAGAGGTATTGTAGATATTGAAAACACAGACGTTGCTCGTAGGGCAAAATAGAATAATAAGAGTAAAAAAGAACCAATGATTCAGATCTCGGTCATGACTTTCGTAAGGTGGTGCAAGAAAAGAAGAAAACGCTAGAAAGAACAATGAAGGAAATCATTTCCGGGGGTATCACAGCAACTCAATAATCTTCATCATAGTCTTGCATGGGACTTCCTCGGTAACGGCTTCGCTTGATGTTGCCTGGACTGTAGGAGCCGCCGCCGGATGTGAGGGGGCGCGGGCCAGTGGGCTTGCGTGCAGGAGGCGAGCGAATAGCGGAGCTCTGGTAGGTTCGTTAGTTTGGATTCAATCTAGTGGGGGATTTGGATTGGTGCTTACTCTTGAGACTACACGGTCACCGTTGTAGTATTCGTCGTCCTCTGCGACCTTGGCGGGACGCTCGGGGATGAGAGGGCCGTCGTCCTTGACCTTGGGGGGACGGGGAGGACCGGGGGTTCGTTCTGCGCGGGAGCTGGTCTCCGAGTAGCCTGCGTCGGAGATTGGGGAGAGACGGGTGTTGCCGCTGACACCGCTGTGGCGGTTGGGGTTGGTGTTTGTGTTGGGATTAGTGGCGGATAGGCTGTGGTTTGATTCCCAGGGCTCTGAGCCAGCTGGGGAGATGGGGCCTCCGTAGGTCTGGGCTTCGCTTTCAAGGCGGGATTGGTAGCGGCCTGTAGGACCTTGGCGGGGCTGAGGGTGCTGTAATTCGAGACTGCCGCGGTTGCCACGGTACTTTGGCAATTCGGAGACCTGAGAAGGTACCAATGGAGATGGAGGTCGGTTCTCCTGACCCTCGTTCAGGGTGTATGTGGAGCGAAGTCTGTCATCGCCTTGAGGGTCATAGTAGTCACCCTTGTAGGCGTCCTGAGCAAGATCAGAGTTTGATCGAGACTGGTCGTAGGAAGGACGCTCTTTGCGAGAGGGCTGGATGCTGTTGCGGATACCGTCGCCCATAGAAGTTGCGGTAGATTTGGACCAGCGAGAGATCTTGGGGAAGATGGAAGAGCTGCTCGACTTGTGCTTGCGGGCCTTGTCGGCCTTGGGGGTAGTTTCGGTGCTGCGGGCTCCTGAAGCCACGGGCTTGCGTGGAGGTGTGTTCAGCGGCAGCGAACCGGAGCGCTCGTGGCGAGGCTGCTCACGGACAGGAAGATGAGATGTGAGGTAATCATCACCCTCGTCGAGTTCAAGGTCCTCCTCGTCGACTTCATGGACGGTGCTGACTCGCTGATCCGAGTCTCTGCGCTGTGCGTCGACTGGACGAGAAGGGCTGGCTCCGTAGGGTGAGCGACTGGCCTCGACAGGAGCACCGTTTGGACCAGGAGTCTCGTAGCCACCGGCATCAATGCTTCCCGGTCTGCCGTTGCCGCGAGGGCTGTAGCCATCTTGGCCATCGCGCAAAGCCTCAACTTCATCAAGTAGCTGCTCAAGCATGCCTTCGATCTTGGTCAAATCATTGCCAGACTTAATGCTCAATCCCTTGAGCGCACGCTTGAAGATGTTCTTGCGCTTGTCTTCTTCGTCGGCTGTGTTCAGCTGGCGGTTGCGGGAAGTGCTTGCAGGCAAGGGACGAGGGCCACCGAGGGCCTTGTGGGTGCGCTCATGCGCTCTATCACTGGTATCCATGATAAGGTCATCCTGGTCCGCGATGAATTTCTTCATCTGCTCGAAAGAAGTGCGCATCTCAGCGGCACTGCGAACAAGAGTGACGAGAATCTCGGTGTCTCTAGCGTTTCGCTGGGCATCGCGAACAGTGAGGTGATCCATGAGAGCGACGATATCCTGCGACTGGATTCTCTCAATGCCGCGGCCAGTGGCACTATCATAGAGCGGCGAGCTGACACCGTGAGAGTAGCCGCTGAAGTGGCGTTGATGGCCACCGGCAAAGGGGTCATCTGGTCCAGCGGGGCTGTCCATACCACCCATACCAGCGGCGTCCGGACCAGGCATGCCTCGGCTGGCTTGCTTCGGGGTACCAATGCTGGGCGACATGGGGTTTGCGGCCGACACATAGCCTTCATCCTTGGCACCTGGGGGAGTGCCAAATAGGGGCCGGGGTTGAGCGGCTTCTTGAGAGTGCATTGAGTAGTCATCGCCGCCAAAGATGTCATTGGCAGTCTGGTAGTACTCAGCATCAAGACCCTTGGACCCGCCAGAGGTGTTGCCATAGTATTGATCCGCCGGGGCAGGGTTTGAGTCATATCCCCAGTGGTCTCCTTGAGGGACACCTCCGATAGGTCCCTGAATGATGGATGGGTTAGTGTTGATCTCAGACTCAGATTGCTGGCTCTCCTCATCCGGAAGTGGGCTGTCCAAGCCGCGATGTCCGCTAGCACCCATTGGGTTGGTGTCGTCCAAATCCTCGTAAGATTGGGTGACACTCTGAGGAGGCGAGGAGGCGCCCATTCGTCGGGGGAACGAGGTCTCGTCGGCATCCTGGCGCTGCTTGAGCGGGCTTCCGCGGTATTCACTGGGTGGCTTTTCAGGGCTGCGACTGCCTGGGCGTTGGGCTAGGTCGGTCTGTGAGCGAGTGCTGGAGGAAAGTTGAGACTCGATCTGTGATTCGAGAACAGATGGATCCATCAACGAGGCGACCGCTGACTCGACTGCCATCGGATGCATGAACTGCGGGTTGGCTGCGACTCCGGTCGTCACCTGGTGGCCTTGTTGAATCTTGTCCATGAAGTCAACCTCGCTATCGTCGTTGTCACCAGTAAGTCGGCTCTCTTCGTCGTAGCCATAGAATCCATCATCGCGGGAACCCTGGCGCGAGTGTTCGTATCCAAGTCCTGGTGATTCTTGGCTCCCTTGCTTGGAGAACACACTTTGGCTCTGGAGGCTGGTTCCAAGACGGGTTGAACGTGCAAGGTTTGTGCTGGGAGCAGAGGAAAGAGAGTCAATGGAAAGTCGAGGCTCCATTTCACGCTTACCGTCAGCCTGGATGTCACCATGAGCTGGGTACTGATCGTGGTAGGTTTCGGTCTGCCCACTGGCAACGCTTTGAATAGGACTCAATCCGCGGTTCATTTCGTCGTCGTGGTGATCATCTTCCCTTTGCTGGTGTCCAGGGTGAGCAGCATCGAGAAGATTAGCTGCAGCTGCAGCTGCGATAGCCCAATCACCTCCGTCGGTTCCAGGAGACTGACTCTTGTGATGCAAGTCACGGTCAGAGGCACTGTGGAGTGAAATGTTCTGGTGGGACTGGTTGGCGTGGCGCATGCCAAGCCCGTTGCGAGAGTCGACGGAGTTTCGAGTAGGCGTACGAGAGGCAGGCGAGGCAGTTTGTCTGGATGGACCGCGAGCCAACTCCAATTGAGAGATTCTCTTCTGGGGAGCCGGGCTCTCAGTGCGCTCAGAGAGTAAGGATGTTCTGGTCAGCTGAGACTCGATCTCGCTGCGCATGGGCATTGGGGCGACATTATGCTTTTGGAAGACAAGTTCGGTTTCGTTGTACTTCATACTCTCCTGGCTCTTCCGAGAATGGGAGCTTCCCTTGCGGCTGCTGCGCTCATGCTTGTCGAGGCTCGAGGTGGAGTCGTGGTGTTTCAGCGAAGCCGCGGTGAGAGCCGAACCGACCCGGGCAGCGGCATGTGCATCGCGCAGCCCCTTGCTTCTTTGTCGTCGGACTTTATCTTGCTCGGTAAGTTCGGGTCGATTGGCCCATCGCATTGCCATATCAGAAGTTTCGCTGCTTTTGCTTGACTTGCGTTCCTTGCTTCGAGCGGACTCGCCGTGGCCAGATCCAGAGAGCACGATACCTTCATCCTTGCTGTCCTTGTTCAACACTACCTTGGGCTTCATGACGTCGGGCGCACTGGCGTGTTTGGACAGACTTCGGCCCAACGCATCCTTGGAGCTAGTGTTGGACGAATGAGATGTTGCCATATCCCGATCAAATTTGCTCTTGTTGGTCATGACCTTTTGGTCTTTTTTCAGTTCTTTGAGCTCTGGCAGAATCAATCTTCGGATAGCATCTTCAACCGTTTCGAGTAATTTGGGGTTGTTGATCGAGGACTTGGATGCACCGGAGCGAACGGAATACTGATCGGACTTGCGGTTCGAAGAGACGGCGGACGTGCTGAGGAGACTGGACTCCGGGCTAGCGAAATCCTCCTCTGCGTACTTGTGTCTCCGTCGACGGGATGCTGACTTGGGCTCAGCCTCAAGGTAATCCTTGCCGCTCCTGCTTTTGCTCCTGCGCTTGCTGTGGGAAGATTCCTGAGGCGGTTCGGCGAGTTTTTCGGCGACACGGTGTGCGATGCGCTCGGTACTAAGACTTCGACTCCGTTGTCGCTGGGGGGTTTTCAATAGACCCTTCTCTTCGCGAGGCGAACCACGCTCGAGGCTCTGGCTGCGTTTGCGCCGAGGGCCCGCTGACGACGCGTTGATCATGCTGTCCGGCGGCATGGACGAAACGTCTGATGAATAAGGCATATATCGTGTATCGTGCGAGAGCGTAGACATTTCACTATCCAGTCCGCGGCTGATGAATTCGAGGTCTACCGGTTGGCGTGGTGATTGATGACCCTCCTCCTCAGCTGAAATCGAACTGGTGCTTTGATCATCCGCTGTGCCGGAGTCCAATTGTTTTTGTTTTGATGACGATGGCAGGGAAATTCGGTGGGTATATGATGGTTTTCGGCTGCCACTTGCGCTGGTCTCGGTGACTTGAAAATGGTCTCTTTTGTCCTTGGACTTTCTTGACGAGGATGGTGTAACTCGCACTCGTACGCTGGGGCGAGAAACGATACCGCCTGAGCTTTTACCGCCTTCGAAGTACTCGATCAAGAGCGAGGTGTGGGAGTCGCGGGAATCGCGGTGTGAACGAGGCACCTTATCTTCGCGGTCCCGCTGTCGCCGGGTGGAGACAGTTATGGGGCTTCCGTCGTCTGGGATAGAGTACGACGTTTTGTCTGTGCGGCGAGAAATGTCAGTTGCCAGATCTGTGCCCGTTGTACTCTCCCCAGTATCGATGATGGATTCTGTGGGGGCGGGAAGAATCGGTCTGCGGATGTCGACCCCCATTATGGAGAGGTGTCCTTCACTTCAAATCGCATGCTCTGTCTCAACGGAGATGGGATCAGAAGGGGAGCTTTTTGGATTTGGGTCACTTTGTGCTTGGCGTGGGGAGAGGGAAATCGAGAAGAGGATTCACGATGAGGAGTGCAAAGCGTACCAGCGCAAACCACCTGAGAATGGTGGGGAGAATTAAGGGGAGAGGTCCAGGGGGGACGTGGGTTGGAATGCAACACTCAACGAGGGATGAGAGATGAAAAAGAAGGCAACGCAAGTACCCTCAGATATAATAGTAATACTCTTTCCGAACCCCCAGCCTCCATTTATTGTCTGAACTTTTTTACCTTGAACTGCCTTACCACTAGTATCTGGTGTGGTGATTTACCATGTCTATACCGATATTCACTATGTAGGTAATCTATTTAATGAGGAGCAATACCATCACATACGCAGCGCTAATGATCGACCTGCCGCTGGCCAACACCAGCCTCCCACTTTATTTCTTCTTCTTTGGGGAAAACAAACGGGATCGGCTTCATACTGCGGTTCCATGGTTCTCAGGGTCCCTTCCCGTGGATCCGACCTCAAATCCCGTTTCTTCACATTTCCCACTTACTCTGTACTCTTTTATATCTCAGCTATTCCTCCAAACACCCTTCCGTCACACCCGATCCACAACTGTGCTTCTCCGTCGCCCAGACGACAGACCAACACTGGAGATGGATTGATTGGCCCCGGTGCGGAGCGGGCGCCTGCCAACTCATCACACTTGTGTGCCCAGTGCTCGGGCTTTTGGGGGAAATTGTTGGTAACACCAGTAACACCACGATCTTCCTTGCACCTGGACCAACCTAGGAATATTGCAACCTTCAAGGCCGAGATCGACTACGCCGCTTATGACTGGACAGAATTTATACTTATACGCCAGTGCTTGCAAGGGGCCTGCAAACCATTCCCATCGGGCCTACTTATACTTAGTTGCTGAAGAATTGATGCATTTCCTACATGATTAGGGACAGTCTGCGGTGCTTGGAATTGCCAAACGGTCATCCTGCGACAATACTCTGTAACCTCCAACCCGTTTGACTCATCCGTTGGGATTCTAGAATATTGCAAATTTGGGCACTGTACGGAGTAAGTATGGCTGACACGTTGGAGTTGCACTGCCATCCATTTTGATGATCCACTCGTAGAAGGCTTCTCAGACCGCCTCTTCTTACCCCAGCATCTGTCCTTTCCCTTGCTTTATACCCATAGCAACACCAATTGTTGAAATCTAAAAATGTACATATTGTTCACGACTTGTATACTCACCCCCTGTGAATACGAACTACACCAGCTGCAAGAGCCATTGGCCCGTCTATCTCATTTCAAATTTGAAAGTCCACCAATAGCATCATACGGATGGCGTATATCTACAATACCAGACAGAGCTTGGAAATGCCAGAAGCCTGGGAACCCCAGGGATTCAGCTATCGAAAGTACATTATACAATTCGTGATAATAAATACCATCCTCTCTTCCAAGGTTCAAGGTTCCAGCTACAAGTTCAAGGGACGAAAATTGAAACCCAAATAGATATATCCACATTGCTGAACTCCAAAGTCCCTAAAATAAAAATGCAGAGACAATCGACCGCTTTTGATGTTCATACAAGATTGTTCTCAGTCATCGTGCTTCCGTTTGAACTTCAGTCCAGCACCGTTCTTGGGCTGACTGCCGTATGTGCGGCGTCCTTGCTGCTCCTGCTTCTTATCACGGCTCAGACTGGCACCCAGCTGGATGTCAATGCGAGGCGGGGCGTTGAAACCGAAGCCCTTGGCAACCTTGACAAGGTCGAGCTTGTTCACGTCAAAGACAGTGCGGAGGGAGTGCGAGGCGTAGGCCTGGAGGTAGGATCGGTAACCATCCTTGGCAGACTGTAAGATATTGGGTTAGCATTGAGTATTCGGGAATTAGAAGGGCAGACAGGGTGCTTACCTTGTTGAGATAGTAGTTCTGGCCAATGAGCTTCTCCAGTTGGGATTGCACGTTGACAATCTTGGATGCTGGGAACTCAAACTCGACTACAGGCACACGAGCCTCCTTGAGGTGCTTCAGGAAACCAACCTCGGAGGGCTGGAGGAACATCAGACTGCGACCCTTGCCTTCGGCACCACGGGCGGTACGTCCGACACGGTGAATGTAGTCACGGGGATCATCAGGGGGGTCGAACTGGATAATCCAGTCAACAGCGGGGATATCCAATCCACGGGCAGCAACATCGGTACAGATCAGAGTACCCTGCTTGGCGTTACAGAACTCGAAGAAGGTGTTGGTGCGCTTCTGCTGCTTCTGCTTTCCGTGGAGCTCGAGAACGGGGAGATCGATGTAGTTCAAGAGCTCAGCGTGGTACTTGACGCAGGCACAACTGGAGAAGAAAACAATAATCTTCTTCTTAAGGTTGCGCTTGAGGAAAGAGAACAAGAGGAGGAAACGCTTGTCAGCCTCACACAGAACGTAGCCTTGTTCCAGACCGGCAACTGTGCTGTGTTCCTTGCGGTGGTCAACGTTAATGTACAGGGGACCGGGGCGCAAGGATATACGGGCCAAGTCCTCGACCTTGGTGGTCTGTGTGGCGGAGAAAAGCATAGTTTGACGTTCTTCGGTGGGCAGGATTCTGACGATCTGGCGCATCTCATCTTCGAATCCGACCTCGAGAATTCGATCGGCTTCGTCGATAATCAGGGTCTTCAAGTTCTTGAAGATGAAACCCTGGGTGTTCTGCAGGTGATCCAGCAGACGACCAGGAGTAGCAATGAGCAGGTTGACACCCTTCATCAGCTTCTCAGCCTCGGCGCGACGGTTGGCACCTCCAATGACAATACCGTAGGTCTGCGAGTGGTGGGCCATAAGTTCACGGGCGACACCGAAGATCTGAAGGGCCAATTCACGGGTAGGGGACACGACAAGAACACCAGTACCTATGATAAGACGTCAGTAATGCTCTCTGATTGAAATGAAGTTGTGTATAGAGCGGTAGGGACTTACCGTTTCTTGGCTTGAAGCGCAGAGCCTGCAGCATCTCAATTGCGGGGATCAAGAAAGACAAAGTCTTTCCGGAACCAGTCTTAGCAGCACCGAGGACATCACGTCCAGCAAGCAGAGCGGGAATAGTGCGCTGTTGAATCTCGGTCATGGTAGTGAATCCCATGTCCTGGATACCCTTCATGGTCTTTTCGGAAAGATTTAATTGGGAAAATTCCTGGAGCTCGGTTCCCTCGGTCTGCGGAAGACGAACGTCGTCCATTGTGGGAAGGTCGGCGCCATTGGCGGCGGCATCATCCTCAGCATCACTTCCCTCCTCCGCGTTCACCTCCTCGACATCCTCGACATCCTCGGCCTCGTCGGCGCTCTCTTCCTCGGCGCTTGGTGAAGGGCTGACCTTGCGCTTCTTTGTGGACTTCTCGGCTGAAGACTTGGGCTTGGGCTTCGATGAAGAGCTCTTCTTGGGTGTCACAGCAGGGCTTGACTTGGATTCCACGGGCTTGGCGACATCGCTCTCAGACTTGGAGCCGTGCTTTCTCTTCCGCTTGTTGATGGACTTTGCGGTGTCCACGGGGCCAGGCATTTTGGTGGTTGATCCTGCGACAGTGGCAATTCGACACTAGGGCAAGGAGACAAGAGCACAGGTTATTTCAGCTCAACCTTGTGTTTTGTAGGTCTAGATTATGATTGATCTCTGCCGGCGGAAAGCATTTTTTTTTATCGGTGAGATACGGCAGAACTCCACTCGACTTCCTTTTCACCGCCCCAACCCGGCATAACAACAGTTCACCTCTTGGCACCTGTTTGTATCCCTCATGGAGTTTTCGTACAGAATGCACCTGATGTGCAACTCCAGCCTTCCCTGCACTTATTTCATGCGCCGTAATAGGCACACGGTGCATACCTTTACATTCCTCCCACTCGAGATAGAGTAGATCTCAAGTTTGCAGAATCGATCTTCTCGAATATGCAGAAATGTGGAAATAGGCACGAAATAAAAACAACCACAGAACGCTTCATGTCTGGATCATAATTAAATGAGGCGCTTGCAGATTGCCATAGCAATCTTGTGAATATTTTACTTCGTTCTGATGCACTTCGACCCTGTGCAAGCAAAGCAGAGTCGCACCAGTGGCGAGGGGAGTAAGCCATACTCGTACACGTCGAGAGCTTGGGTTTACTCTGTCTATGGATGCACTTGTGAGAGTGGAAAAGCATCAATTCAATCCACGTCCACAGATGCTTAAAAAAGGGACCAAGTCAAATATATTGGGATCACAGCTTGTATTCTCTCATTTCCTTTAATTGTATTGAGACTACAGGACTACAAGACTATGAAGTATAGGGGCCCATCTGCGAAGTGCCACGAAGGAAATTTAGACCGATGGCAATATAGTAACTTCAAGCATTTGTCGCAATGCTGCCAGGAAAAGTTCAATTGATCGCATGAAGCCACAGTCTATGAAATCTTCACTGAGCTTTGTGGTCAAATCCTTTGAATACTGGATAGAGTCTCTGGACGCCTTCGACCTTGAGAGGTGACGGGCGAGGTCATCTCCAAGATCATGGAGCTATGTCTTTCCATATGGATTTGCTCGTTCACTGCTGGAGAATGCTTGTACACATGGCTCACTTGTGTCTAAGGCTCGTTCATGAATCTGGGAGCATTTCGACTCATAAGGAAGCCCGCCCATGTTGTACCTAGGTATGCAGGGTGAATGCGAGTGGTGCGTGTGTTAATGCTGGCTTTCTAATTCGTGGTTCGCTCAACACGCTTGCCGCGATCAGACTAATTGGAATAATTTCTTCGAAGATTGAACACATTTGAACTCTATCTACGAGCAGTGATAGAAGAGCAGTCTGTGTACGGAGCAGAATCATGTGGTGTCGGGCATTATAAGTAAAGGACGGGCAGACTACAAGAGAAACTTCTGATACTCAAGGGTAATGCCGGATTTTTGTTTGAGAACAACACAAAAAGTGTGCCAAAGTATACAAGTAGGCTATTTGAGCTGGCCTTTAGGAAACACTTACTGTACAACTAGTGCTCCTGTCATTATGCTCACGGTACGGGTATAGGACCAATGCACGGCCCAAGAAGAAGGATTTGCTACTCCGTACATACAGGTATGCACGAATGCTCGGGCTCCAAGGCATCCGAAAATTAGTATGAATATGTGCATCAAGTGATACAGTGTATACCTCAAACAATCCAATCGCGACAAAGAACGGCGATGGCAGAGATTTCTAGCCAATGACATCCAAGGAGCATTCAAGGGGTCGACCAATGGCCAAAAATAGCAATGACAGTGAAAATCGAACACGAGTACGGGTCAATTTCCTTTGAAATTCGTACACCAAGCTTAATTTTGTGGTCCATGGGTCCTTTATTTCTGAAACGAATACAGAACGAAGACAGGCCAAACGAGGCTGTGCAATCGCGCGAACGCCAAGGTATGTTGATAGGCGGTGATCATCATTACATTATGCAGCCTCTTGAGGTTATTTTTCTCCGTATTGCCTTAGTATCTCTAGCGCGTCAGGGTGTCTTTGACTCCGGGATCTGGAAATACATTAGAGACACAAAGCAAAGTCACAAAGCAAAAGAAGCAGTATGGATGAGATGTCAAATTGAAGGCTCTTCTGTGATATAGGATCCCCCCGGGAGGTTTTGTGAATTACCTAATTTGGGATTCAGGAGTAACTAACTACTTTATGGAGATGCCTGATGAGTGTGATATAGTAAGACCCTCATTTGGATTGATTGATTCCTTAGCGGAACAGGAGGCCAGGCAGACGAGATTCAGTCCTTTTAGACCATTCTCGAACATACAACATGTTCATTGTACTCCGTACCTGTAGATATCTCTCACCTGTGTCGAGACGCTCCACTGCGGCACACTCCCACACTCCCACACTCCAGAGTCGGGGGCAACAGTTTCTCGAATCCCAAAAGCCAAGGACCCGCTCAATTCCGCCACGACCGCTTCCGGTGCCCAGACATTGGACGCGTATGAAAAAAAAAATGAAAGTGAAGGGCAAGGGAATTGTAAAACGAACTTATGGCTCTAGATGCAAGCTGATCGAGCATCAAATGGAGATTGAATGAAAGATCAAAGAATATCAGAGAGTGTGTCAAAGTGTGTACGGAGTAGAAGGCAATTGTACATTGGCCACGAGACAAACTCAAACGGGAAAGACGGCCGTTGATTGGCCCCCAGCCGCCAGAGTGATAATACGGTAATACACAGGTAATCGCATACTTGAACCCATTCCAATCGGCCGTTGCAGCATCCCCCTTCTGTGTCCCTGGACTCCCTATCCCCTCCCTTTTCACTCCAGTCTCTCATTGTCTCATTTTTCTCTTCTTTTTGTCGGGAATCGACTCTTCAATTCCCATTTTGAATGCCTTTTTTGGCTCCTTAACTCCTTTGTCGGCAATACTGCGTATCGCCCTATTCACTCGCTCCTTCGACAACTTCCTCGGCCTAGGCCTCTTCTATACCCTCCGACTTTCTTTCAGATCCCAACATATCGACTCTCCTTCAGATTCAACTGCTCAGACACGCAGATCCTCGCATACGGCCGAACTTCTCAACGCGCCGCTCACATCAAATGTTCCAGTGAGAGGCGTCAACCACGACTTCTCCACCACCCCCTACAACATCTTGCGACAAATAAACAACACCGTGACAGTCTCAGGAGACATCGGGAAACGATTTTGGCCCCACGGTGATCCAAGAAGATTCAGCTGGACAGAAACTTCCGCATCCGGCGACTGGCAACGTGGTACTCGGGAGTACCGCTGACACAATTGCCCTCAGATCCCCTCCTCTCATTTTGATCTACCACTGGAATTTTCTCCAGTGCCTCGCAACCTTTTCATATTAACCAAACGCCAAAATGCGGTTAATATCGCTTCTTACTTGTTTCGTCGCCTTTTTTGGCGCCGATGGCTTCAGCCCTGAAGCTGCTCGAATCAAATGCGCTCAGCGTGTGCATGGAAAGTAGTAACTTCACCGCGACCTATTTCAACGTTGTCTTTTACCCCGGCAACAACTCTCTCGTCATTGGCTTTGATGGTGTCTCTTACATCACTGGTAAGGTCGTTGCGGAGATGACTCTGACCGCGTATGGTTACGAGGCCTACTCCAAGACCCTCAATCCTTGTGAAATCGAAGGCATGGGCATGTGCCCTATGGCTGCTGGTCCCATGGACTTGGGTCCTCTTTCTCTGGACCTGCCAGGGGACACAGCCAGCAGCATTCCTGGTGAGTGAAGCGGACGCGCTTGGAAATTCGCGTGAAAGGTGTACTAATCAGTCATATCAGGCATCGCATACACTGTTCCTGATCTTGATGCGAACGTGCGAATCGTCATTAAAACAGCCGACACCAAAGAAAAGATCGCTTGCGTCGAAGCTTCACTTTCCAATGGTAAAACCGTCTATCAAGTCGGAGTAGCATGGACAACTGCCATCATATCTGGCGTGGGTCTAGCGGCATCTGCAATTACCTCTGGACTCGGTCATTCCAACACGGCAGCTCACGTCGCAGCCAACGCGCTCTCTCTTTTCGGTTTCATGCAGTCACAAGCCATCATTGGCATGACTTCTGTCCACATGCCCCCAATTGTGCAATCTTGGACCCAGAACTTCCAATGGAGTATGGGTATTATTCGAATTGGCTTCATCCAAACTATTGCTACTTGGTATCAGCGGGCGACCGGTGGAACCCCATCGACAGTTCTGTCACAGCTTGGAGATACTTCCGTCGAAGTCCTCAAGCGCCGTAAGCGTGATCTGACTGATTCTGCTATGGGCATGGTAAAGAGATCTGCTGGTACTTTGATCAAGCGTGCGACTGGAATGGCCAAGCGAGCAGACTCCAACCAGAGACTCCTCGTCGTCCGAGGAATCGATCGTGTTGGCTTCCGTGCTGATATCGAGGAGTCGAACATCTTTCTGACTGGATTGATTTTCTACGCCGCCTTCGTCGTCATCGTCGTCCTGATTGTTGCCGCATTCAAGGGAATCACCGAGTTGCTTGTCAAGAACGGCAAAATGAAGAGCGAGCGCTTCCAGGACTTCCGCAATGGGTGGAGAATCGTTCTTCGTGGTATTCTCTTCCGATTGACTCTCATCGGTTTCCCTCAAATGACCGTGCTCTGTCTGTGGGAGTTCACCCAGCGTGACTCGGCGGCAGAGGTAGTCCTGGCTGTGGTCATGATCCTCTCCATGCTGGTCTCGCTCGGATGGGCTTCTCAGAAGGTCATTCGACTAGCCAAGCGCTCCGTCACGATGCACAAGAACCCGGCTTACATTCTGTACTCCGACCCGTCTTGCCTCAACAAGTGGGGCTTCTTGTATGTGCAATATCGTGCGACGGCTTACTACTTCGTTGTTCCGTTCCTGTTCTACACTCTTATCAAGGGTATGTTCATTGGACTGAGCCAGCCCGCGCCTGTTGTTCAGACTGTCGCCCTCTTGGTGCTTGAACTCGCCATGCTTGTTGGAGTCTGCGTTCTCCGCCCATGGATGGACAAGAAGACCAACGTCTTCAACATCTCTATCGCCGTGGTCAACTTCCTCAACTCCGTCTTCCTCCTTGTCTTCTCTGATGTGTTCAATCCTCCCGGAATGATGATCGGTGTAATGGGTGTGATCTTCTTCGTCTACAATGCAGTCTTTGCTTTGGTTCTCTTGATTCTTGTCCTGATCGCCTCCGTCTACGCCGTTGTATCGAAGGACCCCGACACCCGGTACCAGCCCATGCGTGACGACCGTGGCTCTTTCATCAAGTCCCAGACTCAACTTACCACTGAGCTGGATGCCCTTGGTGCCACCGCGCGTGGTGATTCCAAGACTGGCCATTACAACAACAACCCATTCGATGATGATACCGCTTCCATCTCCAGTGGAAATGGTGCCACCGTCGGTCACCAAATGGAATCTACCCATCAACAACACTCCGTCACTCAGGCCCCTCGGTCGCCCGTTGACCCATCGGTGCCCTTATTCCCCACCAACGTCTCGGGCCACCACGCTCCCCCAGGATATGACCAGTACGGTCGCGCTCCTTCACCTGCCGCACGGAGCTTTGATAACACCTCTCCGGTCGGCCAATCCGCTTTATCGACCAATTTCCGAGCTCAAAATAATGCCAGTCCATGGCAGCGGGGCGCTGGCTATGACCACTAAAAGAGGCCAGTGGTCTCGTATTGTTTTGCTTCCGAGATGAAGATATGTGATTTCTTTTTAGCGCGGGATACCGATGGTCTATGATCTTTTTTCCAATCGCCATTCCTCTGGGTTCGGTCTTTTTTTTTTTCACTTTTTTTTTCCTACTCTGTCTTAAGTACGCTGCTCTCTCGCCGACTTAACCAGATACAATTACTTTCTTAATCCACCGCATTCTTATGGTGTGATCCTCTTACCTTTTTCTCAAGCCTGTATTCCCTTCTTTTCCATCTACTTCTTCTCGACCTGTTCCATTTTTCTCCCCACTGGTTCAGGTCACTTCGCGATCGACTATTTTCCCTTGTTTTTACTTCCGCTCGGCGTTCCTATTGATGCATTTTGGATATGGTGATCGGCCTTGGGTTTTCATTTCTATTTTGGGGGTTTTGCAAGCTATTAATGCTTCATTTTATCCTTCAATTCTTTTTCTTCCTCCAGTTTTCACTTTCTAGTTTATTGTCAGTGTACTGGTAATAAGTAGTGTCTAAAACAATGACAAAGATTTGCCTAACAATGACAGAAGTTGAAGGTATACCCGTGGACTTGACATAACTACAAAGAGCATCTGGACATTGCTGCATGCATGGTTAGGAGACCAAGACTAAGTACTATATCTCAAATATCTCAAACCTTGGAATCTTTCAGTTTTTCCAAGCTGGAATGGTTCCATGGCTTTCTACCTACAAGTGAATAAGCACCGCTATAGCAACCTTGGAGCAATGAGATCCCGGTCATTTTCACCCCATGCGTTACTCACGATGACCGACAAGAGCATTAAGAGATCTGATACGAGGCGCGATATGCAAAATGCATTGCACAAAAAAAAAAGATCGCTATTTTACATTAACAGAAAGAAAAAGAGACCCACGAATACATGTCCATGTCCTTATGCATTGGCGCATCACATCGCAGAAAGAGGTATCAGCAACACACGATCTCACCACCGTTGATCCATCCCAGGAGGAGGACCACCTCCAGGAGGGGGAGGATATCCCTCCAAGCCACGCGGACCAGTAGGAATAGGCGAAGGACCACCAGGCCCGGGGCCCATGCCCTGGGGCATAGGTGGGAATCCACCGGGAGGCGGGAATGGAAGATTGGGGAAGCCGCCGGGGCCTGGAGGTGGGATTGCGCCCTGGGGCATGTTAGGAAGGGGAGGAGGGAAGCCACCTGTTGGAGGGGTTCCCGCGTTGAATGGTGGTGGGAATGGGAGGCCGTGAGCTCCGGGGGCTGGAAAGGGTGGGATGTTAGAGGGGATTTGGCCGTAGGGGATATCTTGTGGTCTCCACATATGGGGAGGGATTGGGTAGGACATACGAGGAATCATGGCCGGGGCACCTGGGGCACCTGGTGGCGGGATGCCGAAGGGAGGAGGGGGCATGCCAGGGCGACCTGGAGCTGTTAGTAGTCTGCTTGTAAGTATATCTGGAGGTAGTCATACCAGGGAAAGCACCGAAAGGAGGAGGAGGGAAAGCGCCTGGGGGCATCATGTTGGGGACCTGTTGGCCTTCTGCGGCGTAGGATGAGGTGATGGAATCGATGACGGACTGAGCCTTTTCTTGGCCGATCTCTGAACGTAGCAATCAGTATTGACTCGGTAGGAAACAGGCGCGTAGCTTTGTGTTAAGGCTGTACATACGCTGGTAGTAATCCACCACGTTTCTGAGGTGGTTTCGACCGGAGTTATGCGCCTTGCGCACACTCATCGAGTCGTGTGTCAGGTAGACATCGCAGTAGTCGCCTGTTGTATGAGACGCGGTCAGCAATCTGTAGACCAGTACAGGATCGAGAAATTGATCTCCCCGCCGTGGACTATCTCATGTCGCATCCACGTCCGGAATAAGCCCGACGCGGCAGGGCTTGATCTTCTGAGACTCATTCATGGGGGAAACCTACAAAAGAGTGCATGGCGAGTTAGCTTTCAGTTCAGTATTCAAGGGCAAGAGTACTTATATTTAGGCATCTTGCTGGTTTCTACAGCAAGTAATCTGCTGTCCTTGCGCGAAAGAGGAAAATTCCCTTCCTAGATGGGTGGCGGTCAGGGGCGAAGCTTTCCCACTGACAAGTATTGACGTGATTGGAGATGTCGCTGGTACAGATGTGAGCACGAAAGTAAGCTCAGAGCGACGGTTATTGGCGAGAGACTCGATTAGTCGAGTTGGCAGGTCGTCCCGGACCTCAGGGCGCGCGGGTTGAGCGAGCGGTATCTGGGGGCAGAATATCTTATCGGGTGGCTCTTTGAGAATATCTCTTTGAGCTCACTTCACACGTTCAAATTGAGACAATAGATCCAGTGTTTCTCTCCATGAATTAGATATCAACAATGGAAGAATGAAAACACAAAAAGTGAAATATGTCAATGCATTTATTTGCTGGGCTCTTGGATCCGAGCAGGTTAATCAAAGTTCGAGAGCTGCGCTGGGGCGACGATATACTGAGGAGTCAAGTCAAGGCCGTGATAGCTTTGATGCGATTTTATTCCAAAGCTGGCTCATCAACATCATACATTACACTTTAATGATAACCTTCAGAGTTGTCGATTTGATGGATTTGTACTTTGGTTGAAGTATCCACGATTGTTTCTAGGAGTTATACTAGTCACTTTGTGTCTCCACCCTCAAGCCCAAGTGGGCTCATGCTCACCACCTGGGCAACTCTATAGGTAAGATCTAAAGGCTATAAATTATCAACAAAAAATGGAAATGGAAACACAAATTGTGGTATAATGCTAAAAACAAAAAAAACGAGAACGATATGTTCCACCCATATATCTTAAACAGGGTCATGCTGTTCAGCATAAGAGGACCAGGACCCATGTGGTTTGAGATGTGACTCTCGAGAAGAGCATCGTACGTCACTATTATCAGATCGTGGTTGACCAACGCCCGGAGTGGCGGCATGGTCCGAGCGGTTGTCACTCCATCGCATCTCCATGTGGAGTTCGTCTCTGTTCAACTGCTCGACATCTTCGATGCTCGATGGATTCGTGCGGACAACGACAAGTAAACTGTTCAATACAGTGAACTCTAATAGTGATTTGATGCTGTAGACGACCGGTTTGTATGTGGTCTGGATGTCAAAGTGGTTGGTATATTCCGTCGTCAACAGAGATGCATCAAGCAGGACCGCGATGGCGTTGACGGCGACAAGATTCACCAGAACTCTCCGTCCCCGGGAGCCCTTCATTTGGAGAATGGGTCGGAGGGTAGTCGTGGCTTCCCAGATATAAAGACCGCTCAGAATGGTCTCTTGGACGGCGAATCCTGCCAGCTGGATGCGTTCGTAGATATTGAAAGGCTCATCGAGACTATGCAAGCCGCGATTGATGCCGAGAAAAAGGACAGTGGTGGGGATATGCAGGGCGCAGAAGTTGAAGACGATCATGCATAATACCCATCGAGAGTAGCGGTCATATGAGGTGACCAGATGAAGTCGTGAATACAACACAACGGATTGGCCTGTGACCATAGCGTACCAGCCGATACAGATCAGGATACACATAGGGAAATTAGGAGCGAGTGCAAAATAACGAAGAAAAGCGGTGATTGTGTGTAGAAGGATTCCCATTGTGGAAATCAGCATGCTCCAGAAATAGAGGCCACGATAGTGTCTGAAGGTGGTGAATATCGAAACCGTCACTTGCAGCACGTTCCAACATGCCAGGGCGAAGAGTCCCGCAATCACCATCGCATGGGATCGCGAGACCTCCACAGGGCCGGTTTCGCCAGCCATGATAATCGCTGAGCGATGCAAATTGGAGGCAAAGCAGGTTCAAGGCATGCGAATTGACAGTTGGCTATATGCCATGACGGCAAAGGGGGATTAAGCTTGGAGAAAGCTTGGAGATGGCTTGGAGTGACAGGAGGTTCTTGTGGCGGGAATTGAACTTTCTTGGCATGCCCTAATCGGGCGTTTTGGCTTATTTAAAGTTCTGAGGTCGTCATTCATCTCGCCCATATCTTCTGCAATATCATCTCATACTTTGCTGGAATTAACTGTGAACCCGGGTTCCTTTTTCCATGGTGATCTAGAAGCTCTCTATCCAGTGGAACTTCTCGCCCAGGGGCAGCGCCTTGACGAACCTTGGCACTGACGCTGGATTATTTTTCAGATTACGGCCCAAGGGGCTGGGCTGCTAAGATGGCTCCAACACTAAATTCAATTTCTCGCATTGCCTGCAACGCCATTGCTTTTACATATGTGTGCCCAATCAAATTAACGCACTTATCAAAAGCTAGACAAAAGCTAGACAAAAGCTAGCCATTGGCCACACTTGGCGCTTTTGACGCTTGATCTGTGCGATGCAGTCATTCAAGGGCTTCTGCTGAAACTTACTCTCGACACCACATGTACTACCCACTATGTCAAACCCACCAAGAGAGGATCTCTATATCGAATCTCACTTTTAAAGACCCATAATCATGTAAGAGTTAACGATCATCCAATTGCACATGAAGGTCTTTTACCGACCAAAGGCATATTGATTTCCCCGTTGTAGTATTGGCGGCTCTATTGCTCTACATGGTCCATGCTTAATTCTTATGTGCAACCAATTTTGCTCGTCATCTCCAGGGCTGAGCCTTGTAAATCTTATACTGATAGGTACAGGCTAAGTCCACAATGTTTGCAAGCCTACACGATATTTGGTAGTTCAAGGAATCAGAAAGCCTGGCTACCACCAAATAAAGTACCTCGATAGGGAGGAGAAGCCAACGGATAGTCGCAAAATCACCAAGATACTCATTCATCAGAAACTCATTCATCAAAGCCCGTGGGTAGGCACAATCCGTGGACACAGACATCTGACATTCATCAACATCGCGTCTCGCTTTCACCGTCTCAGGCTTTGCGGTTGTAGATATCATTGTACTTCCCCAAAGCTTGAAGCGCAAGTACATCTGGCTCAGTACCCTGGAAGCGAGTAGGGCTAAGGGCCTCCATAAGGAGCTCATCACCAGGCGCCGAAGGAGTTCCAGCTTCACGAAGAATCTCCCTCGACACGAATCTTGCCGTGCCAGCAGCAGTCGTCACCCAAATTGCAGCGCAAAGCCATAGGTTTGCAACATCAGGTACCTTTCCTGCAAGTGGCAGATTGTCGGGTGTCACTGAGAAGATTCCATTGAATGGTTTCTTGGCTAGCCATGGATCAGTGCAATCCTCACAACCTTTCACTTGGAATTGGTCTCCATTTTTAAGATGTGAAGAAGCATCGGATAGGACTTGGTCGAACGTGGAGGGCCAGGCTCCGATGGCTGTATCAGCTGGATCTAGCTGCATTGGAGAGTGGTTGTAGCTGCCGAGGCCATCACGGTCCCCATGATCTCTTGCATAGACATGGTGGTCTGGCCAGCGGATGAATGGATACGGGGTTCCAGAGCGGGAGGGCCGAGGCGGGGTGAATGTATATGGGTGTGCGACGGGGACGATCGGAATCGGGACTCGCGTGATTGGAGCTTTGGTGCCGCGGTCAGGGTTTGTGAGGGACGAGGTCCAGATGCCCGACGCGAGAATCACGGTACTGCCTGAAAGGTTTATATCTCCTGCGGCAGTTTGGATTGCTATTATCTTGGTCACTCCAGCATCCTTGCTATCCGATTTTGTGAACCCAGCAACATTAGCTTCCAGAAAGTCCACGCCTCGGACCCGCGCCTGATCGAGGTAGTAGGATGTGATAGCCTGTGCGTTTGCTGTCCCGTCAGATGGGAAATGCAATCCAATCTTCACCGCTACTGGATCCACGAAATCTGGGGCGAGAGAGGCTGCAGCGTCGGGTGTGATGATTTCAGCGGGCAGTCAAGCAGCAAGCGCCATCTCGCGCCGGCGACGCAAAGCGTCTGCGCCAGAATGGCTTGTTGCAAGCTCCAATCCACCGACAGTATTGAAGCCATTTGGGATTGAGAGATACTCAGAGACCGTGTCTTTTGCGAGTTTGGTCAAAACGGATGACTCATTGAGCTGACCGACAAAGCCTGGTGCATGGCCGGTAGATCCGAGTGACTTCTTCAGGCATCGATCAAGCACCACGACTTGAGGCTTTTTTGTTTGAGTGGCATTGTTGGAAAGGTGAAAAGCGAGTGCTGCACCGACTATACCTCCCCCAACAATGAAAATCCGGTCAGAGGAAGGGTTGTCGTTGAGATCGGAAATTGCGAGCGTAGAAGTCATGATGTGAGAAACGAAGTATGATTTTCAGGTATATTGATGATCCCTATCAACGCTTGTGGTTGAGCAAGATGACTATAAGATCACTGGTGAGCGATATCGGCGACTGTCTCTCCTCTTGTATCCGCCTCCAGCCGATTCTGAGCGTACGACTCGCAAAATGAAGCTATTTTTGGACCCGGTGGAGAGTAGATCATACGTTAGAGATGGTGTGCCGGTGTGAGACTCTTGGGGCTTCGTGGAGCTCGATGTGATACGCGACGGTTTGAGAATATGTTGGAAGCGGACCGTGGAGAATCGGCGAGCATTCTGTTGGCGTACTCCGAGAGCCTTATCAAGGTAGAATCTTCCTTCGAAGGTCAAAAGTGACCGTGAATCAAGTTGGAGGGTAGGCAAGGAGACTAGTTGTGGGCCTGATGAGGATCATCCTTGGGGATGTACGAAAAGGGAGACTTGAGTTTCAAAGCAATTATTGGCTAGGGCCGTAAAATCAACGGCCAAGATAACAAAAGAATAAATACCTTGTACAACAGCAATTCTATCTTTGCAAATAATGTACTTTGAAACTTCCAAGGTTAGGGCTCGCTCGATGGGAGGACCCCTGGAGACCACATCCACTGCTAGCAACCAATTAGAGCCGTGAGATATAGAGCCTGGAGCCCCACTGGACATAGCTCTATACTGAAGCTTATGTTGGTGTACGCAGTTTGCATTTCACCTGGCCTCGAAGACTCTCCTCTCCCTGTCCATGCAGGGATTCTGTTGAGATGGTGTCAACACATGAGCGTATGAATGAGGCTGGAAAGCCATTAGTCTTGATGCTCTCTGAAAAATGGCCTGTATATTGAATAACTCAATGGAAACTGATTGACTGGGGAGGAGAGAATCAAAGTCAACAAGATCGATTGATCGATTGATCTGTCAACATATCGGTCCCATTGATGGGGGAAACATGCTCAGTCTACGATGTACTTCAACTTCTTCGCCTTCCTCTCTACCTCTCCCTCGCACTCCATCTCTTCTACAATATCTACCAGGGTCTACATCACCGAAAACATGGCAGAAGACGCCTCCATCATTGATACCAACCCATCTCCGATGAACTCGGCAACCAAAGAAGACAAAGCGTATCCAAAGTACAAAGTGCATGCCCCAGTTGGCCATGTGAGCGGAACCAGCAAAAGGGTTGTCTCCAGCATTGATACCGTCCCTCTCTCGGAAAGCTCGATGTCCGAAGGAGACAAGCCGCATTCCAAGTCCGAAATTCAGGCCCCGGTTGGCAGTGCCAAACGAAGCGTTCGATTCGACGAATCCACCTTTGTTTACCCTTCTCGACCTCCCAATAAGCGCAAAGTCACCGAGATCATCATCTGTCTGGTCAAGCATCGCCTCATGGCCGTCCCAATCTACCCACGCCGAAAGAGATGGAGAAAGCGCCAGAGGATGGAACTGAGTGAGATCAGCAACTTCCCCAACGTGGACACCTTCGTCTTCGAGAATACGGATGCATTCTCCAAACTCTTCAGCCTCTTCGACTACACAAGTCTCACAGACAGATTGCCCGAAGTCTTCACCAAAAACGGAGTAACCAAGGTCCGCTTCGTGCTGCTCAAGCACATCGAAGAAGAACAATATTATCTGACTCCTTTATTGGATGAGGACAAAGCGGAGCGAATCGACAAGGTCATCAATGCGCTTTATCTGGGTTGGAGACAGGCGTGTCGTGCTTTGCCTAAGGGTCACGGTATCAGGGAGGTCATTTTCGATGTCCACAAATCGGGCCACAGGAACGAGTACTATGTCTCGCCGCTCCTCGAGCATCCTATCATTCAACATATCAGTACGATGATGGCCGTCAAAGCTGGTGGTCCCTTCTGCAGTCGCCTTGTTGGTCTTGAGAAAGATGATAACAGAAGGGTCTATGTGGAGAGATCGCTGGTTAATACCAAGGCCTCGGAATCCGGCGAGTTGGCAATGGAGACACGGGAATGTGAACCTGAACCTCTCAATGAGTTCAAACACTTGCTCCTGTGACTTGGGTGTCCCCAGTATGAACAGAGAATCACGATTCTTGCAACTACAGCGGATATGTTCTTTCGGAACATCTCCGTCTTTCTGGCTGACATCGATGACAATCGCAATACCAATTGACATATGGGATTCACTCTTGAGGATGCGGCTGCCGACTAGCCATTGAATGTTAAATCAAACCCTCCACGCAGATGAATCAATCCGTCCATGAATGATCGGACCTTCGTTGCACAGAATCCCTCAACAATGCAAGAGATGTCACACAAACACCGAACAAGCATTCCAAACCCGACTGTCAACCAAATGCAGAAATATTTTTCCTCAGCTCTGTACCCGGCCGCATCTTGAACACAGAATTCAGAATTCGGCAAGTAGCAAAGTCTAGTCTTAACACATAGCTCGAATCAAAGCAATTCGCAATCCAAATGGCGACACCTGGGTAGCCCTGTGACCTTAGCCCAACCACGTAGCTCCCATCCAGCTAATAGTTCCCAGTGAACCAACACCACACCCCAGCACCTATATACCAAGCCCCGTCAAAACCCAAATCCAGAAGTAACCCAACCGATGCCCAGGTGGTCTCGAACGTCACACAGCTGACCCCGGCCGAAAGACACATAGCCATGCGATCACGTAAAATGCCTCAAATGCGCAAAGCAAAGCAAATCCGGACAGTAAACTGTCAGAATATGGTACAAATTACTTAATGGCAATATCGTCAGAACTCCAATTATGATGTTGCCCGCGAGCTGAAAATATGCACCAGTACTACAGGTACGGTGTAGTGCAAGTATAGTTCCGAGATGGCATATTATTCTTGGCGAATTTACTACGTATTGATCTAGGGGCCTGGATTCTGCACTCAGGCCTCTGCCCAAGACCAATTGAAGTACTATGTATCACAGCGATGAGTCCAGAATCAAAGAGAGACTTGGAACCTTGGAATCAATTTACGACGTGTCGAAACTAGTAACTGTTCCCCCGAGATCACTGAGCCATCGTGATCTGGAAAGGCGGGGGAGGGGGGCGCTCGGGTCCCCCTCCCGAAGCTAAAGTATTGCCTACAGAACACGCACTTTCCCCAAAGCGAAAAGACACGTACGGAGTACAAGAGTGCATGACGAAAGCCCGGCCATCCATCCGGTCAACTCTCGGACATGAAACTCCTTTGGTTAGTTAATACACAGGCCTGCCTAGGTGTCCTCGTACCCAGCTGGGTGTACCCGTGGACAAGTACCCCCGTACTCCGTACTTGCGCGCTATCGGAAAAAGAGCGAACGAGGCCGCGAAAATCTTAGTAAGAGTGCGCGCGAGACGCCCAACAAATTCACGCTCACGGGCGGATTCGCGCAAGGTACGAGGAATGATCCACAGGCATCCCAAGTAGCCGGCTACGAAGTGTAAGTCAGCAACCGGTTCCGGTGGTCTCGACCAGGCGAGACCGATAATCATGTGTCATGGTTCAGCGCTATTATCTAATACCGTAAGAATCTGGAGTCTAGTGGGGGATGTGTTGGGGGGAAAGGGGGGAGAGGATGGTCGTCAGGGCTGTGGGATATGCAGGAGTGATACAATGGATGATGAGATGGGTCTTGGTGATTATGTGACCTAGCGTTGCGGGAAAGGGATTGGATGTGAGGAAGTGCTTTGATTCTGGGATTAATCGCGCATGCGGTGATTATGCCATAGTTGGGTTTGATATGGAAGGGGTACTCTGTATAGCGTATGGTGTACGGAGTACTCCGTACAATGTGTTTTTTTTTGGGGGTGACTGCAGTGAGTGATTTTGACTGTAGAATGTAAAAGAAGACAGAGTCTCATGTCAGGTGTTCCAAGATGGTCCAATTGGGTGCTCGGGATGTCTGGGATTCGGAGGAGGAATTTCGCAACATTCCCTCCACGTGAGACAGGGCGGAATGGTTCCTCGGCAAGATGCGTTGACGTGTTACCAGTGGCAGGGGGGTTAACAGAGAGGACATCGTCATTGGGGAACATGCAGAAGCATGACTTTGGTCCAAGCGCCAGAATGATGTGAGTCTGGGGAAGATGAGAAAAATCTGGGGAATGGCGCTGAGGACAGCGATTGGTGTAGACCACCGGCACTAGGCAGGCTCAGCCAGTCACATGGCGAAATCTGGTCATTCCGTCGGACTGTTTTTTTTTTTTTCCTGAACTTTGCCCTATGCATTACCTCTTTTTTTCCTTTTTCTCTTTTTCCCCGGTATTTCTATAACTCCTGTCTGTACTCCCAAGGTTCCCCCTTTCAGCCTTCGTCATGGGAATACCTTGCACCTTACCTGTTCCGTTTCGGATTCTTCGGCAGGTGGCTCGGTCCCAAGGGGTTTCAGGAGTGGCGTGAGCAACGTGTACAGAACACACTATGCTACACTATACTCTCGGCGCTCTGGGCATGCGTGATTTATTCGGATCTCCAAAGCATCAGGTACGGTGGGCACTAGCGTCTGCCCTAGACCCGCCCGCAAATTTCGGTCATCGTACTTGGATCAGCATGACAAAGCGCACTAGTATTTTTGGGCCCTTACAATGGGGTTCACTGCTGTTCAAGAGGTGGCTATGCATAAGGGGCTCAGCTGTACATGTATGAGGAATATTGCATATAGGCCTAAATTTCATCAATGCCAGATCAATGTTGCAATGTACTGACGCTATAGGCAACAATTTGACGTGACTAACGACGTTCTATGGAACTGGATCGGCAAATGATGCAATTTCTGGAGTAGTAAAATACCACCGGAAAAATCTTCATGTATGGAAATTTCATTTTTTTTTAGATTTTTTTTTCTTTAGTTGAGTCATGAACCCTGGATCGTGACTTCCAAGGTCTTTGACATCCCAACGGTACTCACGCTGTTGTAGTACTAGTCACACACCTTTCTACATGTACAATGAAGTGTAAGAATTTAGCAAGGCGTGCTCATGATGTGATCAAAAGCCAGCGGTGTGAGCAATCGTACACAGGGATATACCGCTGAGGAGCTATAGTTGTAAAATATGCGATCTGGACACTTGGGAGATCAAGAAATGAGGGTTTTTTCTTCCAAGTTATGGGGTAAAAGGTCCACTTGACCCACGATGATGAGTCTCATTGGATCGCTGTTAAGTAACAGAAACTGAGTCAGATGACTTTGCCAGGTGAGCGGCAAAGGCCTTAAAGCGGCACGCAATGCGCCCATTCGCTTGGGCTACCGCCGTCTGGGGGTGGCTCTGGACCAATCAGACGTGATCGACCGGTCACAGGGGCGTTTCAAGGATACTCGCGGATCCTGACAGGTCGCTCAAAGAGGCACTCAAGGGGTGCCGCTACAAACCGATGACGAAGTCTGATGCCGTGCCTCGGTGGGGTTGTCGATTTTTTATTTTTTTATTTTTTAATTTGAATTTTCGAATAAATTCAAAATTAGAATGACTCCTTGGATCCTATAAAACTCACCAGGCCCCGTTGCCAGGGGAGGCTCCATACTTCGGTTTACACAATTTAACAGCTTTTCATGGACTTGCTATTATAGTAACAGCTTGCCTGTTTTGATATCTTTGGATACTCTCGATACTCTCCTCGATTCTTTCGATTCTTCACATACTTCAAACATGCCTTCATCAAATTACCGTGTCGTTGAGCCTCACCCCTCGGTTCCTCATGCCAGTCGCCCTGCCGTCTACACCGGCCGTGGAGGATCCGGCAACATCGTCAGCCTGAAGAACACCAAGACCACCGAGGCTCGCACCGCAACCGGCCCTGCTTCCCTGACCCGCCTCGACTCTCGAGCCCCAACAACCTTCACCTCGGGTCGTGGCGGCGCCGGCAACGTCCACAGCAGCAGCGAGCGTGCCATCTTCAGCTTCGACGAAGAGCTCGAGCGTGATATGCGCCGCGCCGCCCCCGTCTACCACGTCGGCCGCGGCGGTGCCGGTAACACCATGTACCGCGACGACTCCAGCAGTTCCAGCCTGAGTCGCAAGTACTCCGCCGCCAGCACTGCCACCAACTCCAGCACCGGCTCCGTCGCAGACCGCGCTCGCGACATGGCCCGCCGTGGTCTTGAGAAGGGCTGGGGCAAGCTCAAGGGTACCGCATAGATGCGCTTCGCACTATCCAACCCACACTTAGTACCCTGAGCATCAACGACATTACGACCAACCCCCAAAAAAGTTCTACTGCCTTTCTTCAACCACTTTCAACAAATCTTTTCCTTTTAATCACACGGGATTCAAACGGGACCCAGACCGAAACACCGAGCCAACCGAAGGTTGGTCTTTTCACAAGACCCTCTTGATACCCGCCTGTTTCTTTCTTGCGTCACCGATACCCCGAACCGCGAACACGCGCTTCACTTTCTTTTCTTTGTTCTGTTCTTTGTTCTCCAGTCTATCTCAGAAATCTTCACTCAAGCATGGGCCGGCGCTTTCGTGGTCGTTTTGTGCTTAAGCCAAGCCACACGCCAGGTTCCGGAAGCCGGGATTCTTTTCAACATCTTGACCCTGCATCGCACCATCGTACATTTACTGTCTGGTTGCATTTGTTTGGAGTCCACCATCTGCTTTTTTCCTTTCAACATATTCCCCAATAGCGCTATCCGAGCTACTACTTTCTAGCCGGTACCAATGCATTGCAAGCTTGGGTTTCCCTGGGCTGGATTCTATATCCAAAATTTATCTTTTTCTTTGTAACATCATTGTAGAACTGTAACTTTGCTGTAAAGGCGTGCTTGTCCATGGATGATGTGATTGTGTGGCGACATCGGGGAGCTCACTTGCTTCATCTCAGCACATCATTGTGATAAATTTCGAATATGATAAAGAACCTTGGAAATAGTGGAACTAGATCTTTATAACCACCTAGCCATTCCAGGGTTGGTCTTGTATACCTAACTATGTATTCCAACAGTTAAAAGGCTGTCAGCTTCCAAGGTTGAGCCTCATTGTTCAAGAAACTTAGATATCTAGTCTACATAGCCGAACAATGCGAAATTACGGCTGAGGCGTAGCGCTCGAATTATGGGACACGTTTTCCTCGACACGTTTTCCATTCGTGATCGTGTGTGAACGACATATCCTACCTAGGCGTCGACAAAACTTTTCAATTTCCTTGTTTTTATACTATGGCGAAAACCAACGTCGCATCGTTGGGTCGTGGTTGTAGCCGTACGTAGGCGCGGAGAGCCGAGACTTAGTCCATTGAGTCATTTTGACTCAACACAAAGAAAATCAATTCAAGTTAAAATTCATCGGTCCCGTGGCCACGCCTCTACTGCACTTGAATTTGGCCACTTGTACTCCACAGACTCAAAGGACCTGGCAGCTGTAAAGTTGATTTTTTATTTTGAGACATGAAAACTCAATTAGCTCGGGTCTCGAGCTCACATTACACTAGTATCGTGACATCCACACCGAAACACCGCCTAGATGATACAGATGAATCAAAGCAGAATTTTTTTCAGCCAAAGCGAGCCGCCGTTTGTATCACGCGTTTGCAATGATCTCTCCCCTTCGTGGGCACGTGGGTATGGTCGATGTTTGCTCGGTTGTTTGGTGGCCCGCAGATCTGCCATGGGGCCCGGTGAGGTGCACCATTGGCTAAGTTCTTGCGCTCTACAAGGATTTTTTTCTTATTGCGGTGAATCGGAGACGGTTCTCACCGAGACAAGTTTTTGATGTCGATCGTGAGAGCCTAGATTGTTGTGTAGGAAATAATTGTACTTACAAAGCTCTGCGCAATGGGTTCAGCTTCTACAGAGTACCCACAAAAGATCTCTTTTCGATGTGAAGATTTGTGCATGAGAATAAACCTGAATCTACAGACCATACAATGCAGGGACCTCGGGGCTAGACCGAGGATCCTGTCGCCTGGGCATTGGTGTCAGATTGTACTGGATAAAACCGTTGCAAAATCCGTCGTAGGAAACCAGTCAGACATGTCATTGCCGATGATCTACCGTGAGACCCTTGATGAACCCATGATACCTCACAGGAGACCCGTCTCCGTCACATACGCGGTCGAGTTTACTCACGCAAGAGCTTCAGAGTATCCTGGATTCTATATGCAGCCGAATATGTCCACATTGACGACCTGTTCGAAGCGGCCGGTTTCCAAGACGCAGAAGAAGATGTATTTGCACAGATAAAGTCACAGCCAATGCCAAGACACAAACTAGATAGGAAAATGGAAACTGGGGTATCAAGAGTCGCGGCGCAACTCGGATTCGTTGTGTTGGTCGATCGCTTTTCCGATGCACTGCCAATGCAGATTGATCGATTAGTGTTGACAAGATGTTGCTCTTGTTTGAGAGTTGTCTCTTCGGGGTCGCATGGGGGTAGTGATCATGGACCGGGGCTTTGGCTGAGCACCGAAAGACAGCTTGAGGCCATCAATGGTTGGAGGCCCTTTGTGGAAGACAAGACGATTATGCGAATCGCTTGTGAATAATCTCAGGGTCTTCATGCCATTCGTCTGCGCTTACCCACATCTGATATAGCTGGTTAGTCATGAACTGTCAACGCGGAATGGATTTGCACATACCTTTCTGAACGTGCTCAGACCAGCAAGAATGCTACCTCCAATCCACGTGGTGTACTTCCGCTCGGCAGGCGCGGAGATTCGAATCTTCATGTCCTCAACTGCCAGCCTCTTGATCTCACGCATCAACCGATCGGGGAAGTTCTTGCACAGCGTTGATCCACCAGAGAGCACAATGTTGAGATATAGCGATTTGCGGAGGTCAAGATCTGTGCGGGTGATGGCGTCTTGGACAATTTGGTGCACACCAGGATATTCGAGTCCGATGAGCTCGGGGTCGAAGAGGATTTCAGGCGCGCGGTAACGTTCTTGGCCAATCTGCAAACATGCTCATTAGTATCGTCGCATCACCCGGAGTGGACTGGTCTTGCGCTTGCCGCACTTACCTTGATTTTGTGACCATCCGGAAGAGCATAGTCCACCGCTTTGGCATCGGACTTGTGGTAGTTGTTCATCCATTCCTTCTCTTCCCGCTTCGGGTCCAGCGACACGTAGCAGACCTTCTCCTTGATCATGCGCACCACTTCTTTCTCAGCACTCGTGTGCAGTACGTGCCCAGCCTTCCGCAGCAACACTTGCATCTGCTCTGTAACATCACGACCAGCGACATCGATTCTGCGAATACTGTTTGGAATAGCGAAACCTTCGAAAACGGGCACCGCATGGGAGACACCATCTCCGGAGTCCAGAACCACACCGGTTGTACGACCAGACGCGTATAGTGACAGCACAGCCTGGATAGACATATACAAGGCAGGGACATTGAAAGCCTCGAACATCAGCTGAGCCGCAATATCACGATTTTGGCGCGGATTCAATGGCGGTTCTGTGAGAAGGACGGGGTGTTCTTCGGGGAGTGTTTTCAGTTCGTTCTCGTACACATAGTGCCAAATTGACTCCATATCTTCCCAATTGGTGACAATTCCATGCTCAAGCGGATATCGGATCTTCAACAGTCCCCGCAGCTCTTGTGCGCGGGATCCGATGAACGAGTCTCCTTCCAGACCACCTGCCATCACTCGGGGGGTGTTTGGGGCGGCCGACAAATGAGGGGAAATAACATGATGGAATCTCTTCTCCAGCAAAACCTGCTCGGATTGTCCCGCTGCCATTGTCGATGACAATTGGGACGTTGTGGAGGGTGGCCTCTGCCATTGCGGGGAGTGTGGTCGGAGTTGAGATTGGAGAGGGGGAAAGGCGCGGGTGGTTGAGACGGCCTCTCGGCCTAGGATGGCGAATCAGGGGATCAACCGGGTGGGTGTTGGGTTGAAGATGATCGGATGTCGGTGGTTGGTGTTCCTGTCACTGATTCAGGAGTGGACGCGAAGCCGCTCGGGAATTGTCAACAAGGAGCTTGGGCCACTTAGTCCGCTCATGGTACGGAGTACGGAGAACTACAATATTTTTGGATGAACTATTCCATAACTCAATGAATATTCGAGTTTCCAGAACCTGAACTGACTTGCGTAATTTTAGCGTTTGATATTCTGCTGCAAGTCATTCAGCCGGTTAACAACCTCGAAATACCACTTGTTTGAGAGCCGAAGTATACTGTTCCAAAGACTCAGTCGAAGTACTCCCTCGAAACCAATGTTTGTGGACGTACGGAGTACAGGCATATCTTGCACCAATGCGCATACGTATGTCAATGTCGCCAGTCAGCATGAATGTGGGGTCCTGAATTCGGCCTATACCGTTAATCCAAAAAGCCCATTTCGTCAGACATGTTCTGAGAGAGGGTGTTTTTTCCAGATCGCATGGAAGATACCTCAGACTTCTGAAGTTCCGCTTGGGCAATGGCCTTTGGCAAGTCCCTAGCCCGCTGTCAGTCGGTCTGGTCACAAACGCAGGGGGATGGCGAGATTGCTCACTGGACAGTGCTGCTGACCGCGTAATTATCTTGTTCCAAAATATCCGCAAGCTCCTGCTGATGATTGTCTGCCAATTCGGTGTTGGGTACCACAATCAAGGGAACACCGAGGCGAAGGCCTGCTAGGACGGTTCCACTTCCTGCTTGATGTTTAGAATTCTGGACGGCTCAAATCCCCAACGACGCGAACGAAGTGAAGGGCCATACCGGCATGACAGATGACCAATCCACGTTCTTGCTGTGGCTTTTCTCTTTCGGTCGTCATAACCATTTCTGGTTCTATACTGGGCTTGAAGTCGAATCCTCCGAGAGTGAGCCCATGATGGGACACCCCACTTTGTAGAAAATTGTTGTAAATCTTCTCGCCATCCTTGCCGTATTGAAGAAGAAGATGTGTGTAGTCACGATCTGCCAGGGTTTCCAGAAATTCCGAAGTAAGCACCTGTTCAAGTAATGCTTCGAAGGAAGCCGTGGCCCCCACTGTCACGAAACACAGCTTCATTGTGACAGCAACGTTGAATCAACTGTTTGACCCAAGATTTGCAATGCTCATGCTTGGCGATTTCTGCAAGAACCACCGGGTTGAAAAGAGGAAGTCGAATGTCCAAGAAAGCATCATTAGATGCAATGGATCACGTGAGTGGAACCGACTAGTCTAAATTAGGTATAGTCCGCGGCGGTGAACCTAGCAAAAGTGAGGTGGAAAACATCGTGGTAACGACCCGTCCTTGAACCAGTAATATTCGCAACAATGGCTTCAGCAGCTCGGCCACTGGCTCAGCAGGCACGGGTCCTCACCCGGAGGAACCCAATTGCCTCATCCATGCGCTGTTTCTCCGCCTCGCCGCTCAACCGCGCCCAGGAAGACCGCGTGGTGCCGCCTCCCCCAAAAGACCGCAACGCCAGTGATTACCCTGCCGCACCCGAGTACTCGCCTGAAAACTTGGACAAGGAAACGCGCTCCATGTATGACCTTTTGTCTCCCCAGGATCGCTCGGCTTTCGACCAAGAGAACCAGGATAAGGTCGCCCGATGGAACGACCCCGTGGAGCGCGCCGCAATGTTCCGTGAGATTGATCAGTCTGTGCAACAAATTGACAAGGAAACGGATTTGCGATTCGAAGAAGTCAAATCCCGCCAACTTGGTTTCTGGGCCGAGGATGAGCCCGATGAGTTCGGCCAGGTCGAGGATGGAGACGAGGAGATTAATGACGATGAAATGACTTCCATGGCACATGCGGAGGTAGAACTCCACCGCGAAATGAGAGAATACGCCCGTATCACTGCATGGGACATGCCTATGTTGAGCAGTCAGTTCATTTGTCTTCCGTTCACATTTGTATTTACTAACTTCAAACCACAGAGCTCGCTCAACCGTTCACCCTGCCTCCCCAAACCCACATTCTCCGCTTCCGTTACACTTCCTTTATGGGTGAGGAGCACCCAGGAGAGTGCAAGGTCGTCGTAGAGCTCGCTTCCCAGGATCTGGTCCCCAAGTATCTCACCGAAGCCCAGCGTCAAACGTTCCTCAAGCTGGCCGGCGTGCGCTACAACCCTCAGACCGACATCGTCCGCATGTCGTGTGCGAAGTTCCCAGAAAGTGCCCAAAACAAGCGCTACTTGGGTGACATCGTCAACAGCTTGATCAAGGAGGCCAAGGAAGGTGATTCCTTTGCCGATATTCCTCTCGACCTCCGCCACCACAAGCCTAAGCACCGAATTCAATTCCCCGAGGAATGGAAAATGACCGAAGCCCGCCGAAGCCAGCTGGCCGCTCGCCGCCAGGAACGTCTATCTGCCGAGTCCACACGGGCTGCTTTGGTGAATGGAAGCGCGATCCTGACAAATGCCATCAAGGTCCTTCCTTCACTCAACCCATCTCTTCAGGCTAAGGCCGAAGAGGAGCGTGAGCGCGTTGCTGTCAAGACCGGCGCTCGCAAGAAGATTGGCCGCCGGTGAGCGATGTTCGTCAACTGTATATTGGGGCTTGAGAAGCTGTTGTCAGACATTTGCGAGGCGCGGGCGCATATTCCAGGATTTTTGATATTCTTATTTCAAATGTACTATAGTCATTTCATTTCATTCATTGGCGACTCGCTAATAGACTCCGTTGCTATCACATCCTGCGTCTGCTTTGACATTTTTTTTATAGAACAATACCCGATGTAGCTCAAGTCCACACTGCGTCCACGAAAAGACTGACTACCAGGTACAAAAGAGAAGCACGCATAATTTGATAACGATCATCATTGAAATTGAAATCACCAGGGGGATATGTTAGAAACAACGAATCGAAATCCGTCCATGACAATCAGCGTCAACCTTCCAGCTTGAGTGGCATTGAACATCTCCCCGATTGAGACGAGATGAGTCCAAAGCTTCACCGGAAGGGCTGCTAAGTATGAACAGACCCTCAATCCACAAAATTAGATCCCACGACGAGACAATCGATCACCAAGATAGTTCACACCACCTTGGATCAAGGGAAAGCCCGCTGCGCAAAACAAAGAAAAACAGAAACCGGACGGACGATAGGGAATAGCAAGATGGGCAAGATGGGGAATATGGGGACACAAGATGGGCAATATGGGGAAAACAAAATAAGAAAATAAGGAAACGAAAAGCGCTCCCACTGCACTCTCAGAACAACTTGTCTTGGCTGACGCATGTTGGCTCTCCGTATGCAATATCCAAGGTATAGTGAAAACCCTTGATAAAAATATCCGGAAGATGCAGATGCCATGGTCCGAATTTGATACGAGCACATTGTAAAAGTCTGAAATTGGCACACAAACAGACCCAGAACATTCACGTCAGCTTGCTTGAGAGTGTTGCAGATTGAAGCTACATCTTGGCGGCGTGATGGCCGGTGATGTATGGTCCAAACATGGCAGCATGCGAACCGAGCAGAGCAGATTGCTCATCATCCACAGTGGTCTCCTTTGGTCCATCGTTGGGAACGGGTCCACCGACGGGTCCCCAAGCACCGCGAGTGTCACGAGCGCGGAGAGGGGGAGCGCTGTCATGGGAAATCAGATCAGCCAGGGAAGGAATGTTAGCCCCGCGAGTAAATCCACTGTTGCTGGGCGTGAAGCCACCACTGTTGCTGGGTGTGAAGCCACCACGGTTGCTGGGCGTGAAACCACCACTGTTGCTGTGGGCGTACTGAAGGTGGTTCCATGTTCGGCTGGACGTGATGCTCCGGTTGGAGGAGCCTGGAGTGAAGGTTTCACTGTCTTCCTCAGGCAGCTTAACGCCTCCATCGGTAGATGGGTTGGAAGCGTGACCATGGAATTCCGCGATGCCAGAGCGGTTGGCGTTCGGACCAACGTTCTCATGAATGCTGACAGCAGATTCTCGGCCAGCTTGAGTCGCCGGCAAGCTCGATAAGGCCAAGGGGTGGCTGCGATTCTCACCGCGGCCGAGCGAGGTGGGACGATCAAAGACGGGCACGCCACGGCCTACTGGAAAGGTCTCGGGGTGGTTGCCACCATTGAAATCAGGTGGGCTAGGTTCGGGGGACATAAGTCCTCCAAACTGGCCGAAGCCGAAAGTGGGCGTGTGAGACGGGACCTGTCCAGACAAGACCCCGGAGCCTCGACCACGAGGTGACGAGTTGGCGACGCGGTTCCGGTTACCAATGCCACGTCCTTTCCATCCGTTATTGCCTTGATAGTTTGGGGCGTTTCGATTTCCACTGCGGACGGTGTTTGGGGCCGAGTTGTTGCCACCGGTCTTCGCTGGGCCACGAGGAGGAGTTTTGACAAGCTCCTGTCGACCGTTAGAGGTAGAAGGGTGACTGTTGGCGGCAATTGCCTGCTGGGAATCCTGAGGGTTTCCATCAAGACCCCCATCCGTGCCTTGTGCATGCTGGGCGATTGCACGCTGGGAATTTGTCGCCTCAATTTGGAGCGGTGCGCCTCGGTGACCCTGAGCAAGGCTTGCAACGCCATGCTGATCACGGTACCAACGTGGGATATCACGAAGTCCAACGTACGTGATGCCCTCCAGAGTCAATGGCATTTCGTGTTTGTACATACAGCCTGTGCAAATGTGTCAGCCGAGTCTTCAGAACAAATTCCCACAAAGAGACTTACCCTGTTGGGAGTAGTCACACTCGCCATGACGGAGCCAGTAAGAACAGTACTCCTTCTTACCACGCTGCTGCTGCTGGTGGTTGTTATTGTTGGCACGGCCGTTCTGTTAAAGAGGGATGGAAAGTCAGAAATGGGAGTCAGGACATCGACTCAGTAGCTTAGACTTACACCTCGGGCATTTTGACCAGCGGCAGGCCTGTTGGTGTTGGCTTGCATGTACGACATATCAGTCATGCCAACTATCTCATTGGTGTTGCCAGGCATCGAATCAACAGTTCGATTAATGAGATTCTGGACAGAAGCCTGAACCCGCGCTGGGATGGCAGGATCACGTAAGAGAGAGACCAGGGTTTGGTGCATCTCCGCGACAAGATTGTTGTCGAGGTTGCGAGGGTAAACGTGTGCTACGCCATCGATGGTCCAGGGCTCTGGACGAGTTTCGGCTAGACCACAGCTGGTCATGCCCTGAGTCTCACCGGGGGTGAGGACGCGGGGAAGACCATCAATTGTGACACCGTGGGGTAGGTCATCAACAGCGATGAGGGCAGCCATAGACCCATGGGGACGAGTACAGAAGAACCTGGCTCCAGAAGATGGAGGCATGTTGACAGAGTTAACCAGCTCGGGCTCAGAATTGCTTGGCAATAAGAGATACGAAAATGTCATCGACCTGAATTGTGAAGCAAAAAACGAAGCAAAGAAGCGGAGGTGGTGAAGAGAGGAAGAAGGAAGAAGAGAAACGATGGGAGGAATCACTGAAATAGGAGGGAAAGAATCGAAAGGAGAGAAGCGAGCGCGTCACGGGGGGTCGGGCGTCATGTCAAGATGGAGCCAATCTCTCTCCCTTCCATACACGGGGGCAATAGTTCCAGGACAGCTTCAACTTCACTTCACTTCAAAGAGAAGCTCCCGCCCTACTTCCCACTGCACACGCTGAAGGACTACGGCGGAGTAGAATGAAGCACATAGTACGTCTAACACAAAGACATCTAGCAAGATGGAAGCTTTAGTAGATGCCTCCAGGGCCGTATAAGAACACTAGAAGTTGAAGGCACAACCTTGAAGTGAAACATCTATAGACTCCGTAGAGCGCAAAGTGCTCATGATAGACCTTCTAGTCCGATTTCAAACCCAACTCTTCATGAATACCTTTATGCTTATGTTAAGCTGCAAGCTTCATGCTTTGTTCTTTTCATGAGTATGCGGTTGAAAAGAATCTAAAAGACCACGGCTTCGTGCTGCTGTAGCAATGGATTATCATGCATTTTCACGTATACTTCGCTCTAAGCTGTGGCAGATCCGCACCACTCGGTATCCAGCAAGACTAGACACACATAGGCTCTCCTCGCTTCTAGCAGCCAATGACTACCCAAAAGAGCCTCAATGATCTTTGGGGAAGCAATCAATCCGGTCTAGTAGGACTGCGGCAGTCTTGGAAACCGAAAGCTCCCAAAGATGATTAAACAGAGGACGTTGAACTTGAGCAGTGTCCTGGATCCAAGTTCCACCAGTAGTCTTGTAGTTTCCCAGCTCCACCACTCGAATTCTGCCTCGCCGCGGGTTGGATCATGCTGGGATGGTTTGGCTTTTGTCTTGAGCGGTCAATTGACAGGGAGTCATAGGCGAGGAGCTCTGGGCAAATCTCACAAAAGAGGACGCTCGAGTCGTCGTGTTCGTCACGTTCGTAGGTATTCGTTGGTAGGTGCTTCTGTGCCTGCGGTTTAGGAGACGTAGTTCAGTATAGCGAGTAGCCATGTCAGCATATCAGTCGAAGATAGAGAATCCCCCGAGAGTCTGCCTTACACTGCCTCTGTTATTGTGCGTTGACCTAAGCTCAAGCCGCGTCAGAGGTCCAGGGTGGCTAGCATTCCATGCGATGCTTGTGTATCAATCTTGTTCAGAGGCTTGCTTGACCTCTGAGGCTTGGGGCCTGGTCTGTCACAGCTTGGGATATGTCCGGATGTATTCGTGATCTTGAAGGATTGGGTTCTCACGTGTTTTTTGGGAGGCATTGGTTGGATTCGACAGTGCCGGGTAAGGGGAGGTAACTCGTGCCAGAATGATGGCCGTAGGGGTTGAATCGAGATCTCGGGATACAGTCATGTCTGGAAGCTGTCAGGGTCATCAGTTCAGTGACAGTAAGCAGCCAATGGCACGGTATGGAGTAAATTCAATGAGACTGACCACTTGATTAATCGGAGTGAGTATCGCCATTGAGACCTAGACAATCTCTGAAACACGCAGATTGGGTATCGATTTTGTTTCTGATACCATTGAGAAGGTCTGTGACGGTAAGATTGGTAGAAAATGTGCTGTAGCCAGGAGCCTAAGCTGCGAGCCTTGCAATGGGCTTCGAATTCAATGTCCTGTATCGAGGATTCAAAGACGGTTCGCTTGAACCAGCCGGGTTGCCAGGCAGAAAAGACCAACCAAACTCGGCAATCACCATTATCATTGAAAACCAGCGTCTCAGAGTCAAATTGTGGGCGGTGGATAGAAAACAACCTTGGAATGGCTAATGTGTTGTCCAAACGACTTCCTAGACCGACTTAGCTGCCTCTGTCATGCTTTGCAACATAGAAACGTCCATGGCATGAAAACAACCTTGGAATGGCTCATTGTCCGTCAAAAACACTGAGGAATCACGATTGACCATCAAAAGCTGAGTCTCATACTCCAAAGAAAGTGGGTCGTGGATCGTGCCTTTACTTTCGGACACACAGGTTCCGTCTGCAAGGGCACCAGTCTGGGAATGTGCGCCATGCCCCTTCAGCATATTCATATCCGTGCTATCAGAATGACGGTGTGGTGGGGGAAGATCGCCTGGTTGTGATCGGGCCATGGTTGTGAACTATCCTCCTCTGGAACCAACTTGACAACCTTGAACACCCGAGGTGAGAGGAAGCCACATGTGATTGGTACATTGAACAGTGAGGCAGGGCCCGTGAATCGAAGGCATGATGCGTGAGGAAGAATTTGTCTGGGACGGACGCCGGGTTATAGGTGGCTGTTGGTTGTTCGTTGATTCCGAGGATCAGCGTGGTACAGCAAGAAAATATGTCGAGATACTCACCTGTTGATCGTACCAATAAGATCACACATCCCCAATATTTCGGAGCTTCATGTTCACCTTCCAAGGTTTATGCAGCAAGTACCCCAGGGCCCAGCACGAAAAAGGGTCACATCGTATTGAGGTACGGCTTATGGGGCTGAACATATGAGCTTATCAGAAAGCAGACTCAAAAAGGCAAACGTCCTATTGTGTCTTTCGCCGTTTGCTTAAATGTCAAACGAGTCAAAGCCTCTGCCGAGCCCTCTTGCTGGAAATTGACGATTGAAGGGTTGCCACATGAGTCGGTCGGTCGAAGGATCGCTTCCGGCTTCCGGCATAAGATTTAGGTCATCCTCAAACGACACTGAGGCGGAGAACTATCGTTTGTTAAAACCAAATTTGGCTGATGCATCTCTCTCGGTGACTCGGGGGAGACGATATTGGATAACCCGCTCGAGGGTCAAAATGACGGCTCGCAAAGCTCAATCCAGCGATTGAGGCAAGTAATCTGCCTAGGTGGCGATCTTGTTTAATGGTTAATGGTGAGAGTCTTTTGGTTATCTGCTTCACAAGCTGACAATGGTCATGACCGACAGTCTCAATCATACCACAGAAAACGACGAGAAACGTGCCGAGGGGATACAGAAACAACGTCCTACGGACAATTCATGCGATGAAATACAATGGTCATTTGGGCGGGTATCAACGTGCCATGCCAGAGATTCGGAACAGCATTCTCGAGTCTGAGCATTTCCACCCAGTGTCGTTGACAGAGTGACGATGGCCCGAGCGATTTGCAGGCACACACTGGGCGTTCTTGATGCACAGCGGGGTCAAAAAAGCTTTACAGACGAGCCCATTGAATCTCGATGAGCATCGTGTGGTAGCAAAAGTCTACGGCGACCGAGGTATATTGCACCATTTTTGGGTAGGACTGTCGGCTTTGGATCATACTTTTATGAGCTCATGGGTTGGATGCAGGGCAACAGCCGTGTGAGAAGGACCTGGATTGGAGGCTCGAGAAGTTGACGTTGTTCCAGGGCCCATTAACTAGGTCAATTTGTTCCTCCGCACGATATCGCATACAGCTCGTCCTGAACGTTGACAAAATAGAGCAATTAGGGATTAACAGCTCATCAAGTATGCCGACCAATGATAGCACACGATCACTTGACTGAAATGCTCTGGCTCTTTTTTCCATTGAAGTGACCGAGATAGTGACCGAGTCTACGAGTTGGACATTCTGCACGAGAGATAATATGAAAAGTAAAAGTCTATACATGTCCCAATGATTTTCCAAGGCAGCACATGAATCGGGCTGGTTCCCAATTTGTATGCTAATCGATGAATGTGGCCGGAAAAAGAGAAACATTTCGAGGGAGGGCCTAGCGTGAAACTCGCCAGGGCACATCATGGCCATCGTACTTCTCACATCCTGGGACACGAATGTTCTTGAAGCTACTGTTTTGCCGGCTGCCAGCAGTCGTGACTATGTCAAGTACTGCTTCCGCTCCCTGTGAAAGTGTGAGATCCGCATCTTGCCCGCCCATAGGTATCGCTTTTTAGCCACTTGGTAGATCCGTTAATATTTCAAATTGCAAATCAGATGGACATTTTGGACCTACTCCGGGTCTCGCTGCCATGAGGACAAATCCCTCATCTTCGTATGATAGGCGTTTTGTATTGTCAAAGCATTCAATGCAGCCTCGCTAATTTTGTACGCTGGACAGGGGGCATATCCTACCTACTTCCCGAGCCTGCGTCATGGAACCAAATATACTTGAATTGTATATTGATACCTTAGCACCTGGTGGCCAAGCGAATTCAACAATGGACAGGATGCTGAAGTGACCTACATGCTGATCAATTTCTTGGATGCACTTGTCTGAATCAGTGGAAGTTACTGTCGGGACATTGTGCACGCCCGTTACGTTGACTGACAATTGATAGTCGAGGTCAGACCTAGTATATCAGCGATGCAATACCGAGGTAACAGGGCACATCAATCAACAGAAGAAGGGCTAGTATATGAGAGCCAGCGTTCCGAACGCTTGACTATGTACACCAGCAGAATTGATCAAGATATCCAGGCTCTGCCCTGCCAGTACTGCCTTGATCTTCTCTGCCGACAACACAATCATTTGTTCATCAGCCAAGTCCAAAGGCATGAAAATAACAGAGCATTTTATTGATGCGATGACTTCTTCCAGCTCAGTGCTATATGTTCGCGCAGTAGCAAACACCGTGCCCTCTCTGTATTCAGAATGAGCAGCGAGCTACCTGACTAATTCGAGGCCAAGGCCGCGGGAGCTCCCAGTAACGAGGTCGTTCGACATGTGGGCGTTGAAGGGCGGAATTTTTGATTGTCCAATGAGACTGAAAGTGAGTTTTGATCACGATGATTATAAATTTAACGTGTTATATCTATAGTAAAACCCTACAATGGTGCCGCATTCGCGAAGGTTGTTGATCAATCGGTCTCTCGGACTTCCGAGCGGAAAGGGCAATCTGTCGGATCGAAGCACGACTACCAATTCTTCCGCCTAGACCTGGAGCCTCTCTACCGAACCCTGATGTAACGTGTCAAATTAATATATTTACATGGATCTGTCAATTCAAATATCAAAGCGGCCGACTTGTCTGTTTACTCAGGGCGCTACTGGGCGGTGGACGAGGCTTCGGTGGTAAGTCGAATTTCCCCCTGTCTTTGTGAGGTAAGACTGTATGTGTCTGATCAGCACAAGCTACTATATTGTCTTTTGTCAAGATCCAGCTGCGTGTATTCTACCATATACATAATGTTTGAGCAGGCTGGATACTGATGTCGTGGGAACAGTCGCAGTAACTTCAGATTCCAGCTTGCCTTCGGACGTTAGGGCAAGAGTGAAGGGATCAGCAGGCCCACATTCCCGATTTGCTCGGATCCCGTCTTCCTCGTCTTTTCAGTCTTTCCAGTCTCGCCAGTTATTCCAGCTCCAGCCTGGGTACGCCGGGGTTTTCACTGCGTTGATATCAAATTTGATAGATACCTAGGTAGGGGTTGCGTCCTAAGATAAGGTATGAACATTCGGTCAAAGCTAACTCAACGTGACCCTGGGTCAGCAAATGCTATATATCTCGACCTTTTTCAATGCACTCCGTATTTACCTATGAGTTTACACACTTCAGGAAATTTCCGCTCCCTTGCTTCTTCTCTTCTGCGGTTGCAGTTGCTACAGCATCTTCTGTGAAATGACTTAGGGTTCCGATATGGTTATCAGGGTATCGAAGCCCCCGAGCGTTGCCCGGTGGGTATTGGGTCTATCTTCCAAGGTTCCAATGATGTGTGCGGCACCATAGTTGAATCTTGTCTTATCCTTATTCCTTGGCGGTACTCTCTACTGCCTCAGATTCTCAGTTCATTCTTCTGGTAATACTCCCGCACGTAGCAAGTAGAGCTTCTGTATCTGGTTTTCTTCAACTTTCCTTTATTTGTATCTTTGCTTTTTCTTCTTCTTCTTCTTCTTCTTCTTCTTCTTCTTCTCTTGATGATTCGAGTGGCTGGGATCTGACAATATTATTTACTATGCTACTATCTTGGCTTTCTTTTTTTGTCGATACTCCCGTTGTCGTGCGGCGATCTTGGCCTTGTTCTTTTGTTGCCATTCTCGTTTTTGCGCGGCGATCTTGGCTTTGTTCTTTTGTCGCCATTCTCGTTTTTGTGCGGCGATCTTGGCTTTGTTCTTTTGTTGATTCTCTCGTCGTTGTGTGGCGATCTTGGCTTGGTTCTTTTGTCGCCATTCTCGTTCTTGTACGATTATCTTGGCTTTGTTCTTTTGTCGATATTCTCGTTGATATTCCCTTATCTTGGATTTGTTTATCTGTCGAAATTCATGACGTTGTACCCTTATCTTGGCTTTGTTCTTATGGTAGCTTTCTCGTCGTTGTGCGGCGATCTTGGCTTTGTTCTTATGGTAGTTTTCTCGTTCTTGTGCGATTATCTTGGCTTTGTTCTTTTGTCGATATTCTCGTTGATATTCCCTTATCTTGGCTTTGTTTATCTGTCGATATTCTTGTCCTTGTGCGGCGATCTTGGCTTTGTTTTCCAGGTAATACTTCTGCCTGTATGCTCGAATTTGTAACTTCATTTTCTCTTTGTTTCTCAGGTAATGCTCTCGGGCATATGCTGCTTGTTTCTCTTTAGTCTTCTGTTGACCTTTTTGACAGTCCGCGCCGTCCTGTTCGGCTCTTCTTTCTTTCTCTTTATTTGAATGGTTTGAGATCCCAAGTGAAGCACCATCAGGAAGACATCCAAAATTTGCCCTTGGGCGCTCCGAGGTATGGCAAGAATCTTCTAAGGAATCCTTCCTCGTCGAGTTTAAATGTTCAAGCTGGGTTGCATTCTCGTCTCCGTGGGTTCCTTGTGACAAGAGCAATTCAGACCCAAGAGAGAGCCCGCTATTCTTGAAGACTCGGGCGCCGGCAGCAGGATGAGGATAGTATTTCCTGATTTTGGCTGACCAATTCAGTACTTCATGATTGGTTTGTCAGTCAGTTTCTTTTTTGGGGTTCGTTGTATGTAATCCGTAAATCAACTCTCGCACCTTTGCGATGACCTGCGCTTCGTTGCAGGGTGGAAGGTCTTGTGCTAGAAGCATATGCGGCATTATCTGCAATGCTGAGTTTCGCAAACTCGTGGGTGGTCTGGGAAAACGTCTCAATGGCATGCATTGTCGCGCTAAAGCCTGCTTTCATTGTCTCCAAAGACCGCACAAGCTGTGCCATGCGAGAATGGTGGTTTTTGTTGCGTTTCATGATGGATAGGATAAGCGATTTGATGGATTTATGCTTGAGCGATGGATGAGGAAGATGGACGAAGGGCGAAGAGTGAAAGGAAGAAGGTTCCACATGATTGTCTCCCTTCTCATATGAGGTTGCTAGTGATGTCGTGTAGCCTACAGAAGTCTTGTTGCATGGTAGTTGCATGGTAGTTGCATAGTGGGTTGACAAGAGCACAGTGTTCCGCCCAAAATGGGTATTTGATCACTCACTCGGCACTCAGTGTTTTTGACAGAATCACTGGTACTTTTTAGGGCTACCAAGTTTCATGTTCGAAAGGGTCCAAGTGACTTCTTTTTTCTTTATTTTTATGATTAGATAAACGAACATTCCGTCAGTTCGCCATAATCACAAATCCTGTTTGAAGCCCCTCGGCTTATCCAAGTTGTCGCTGCAATTTACCTGATGTGCCGATCAATTGACTACCGTTGGATTCACGCCAGCGATTGGTTTTTTTCTTTTTGGAATTTGAAACTTTCATTCTCGCTGTCAAAACAAAATCAAAATGGGTATCTTTCGCTTTAAAAAGAAACGCCAGATCTCACTGATCTCTCCTTTGTTGGTGTTCTCTGTTTCCTTCATTCATCTGGAGCAAGAAGCTCCTTCTCCACATAGGCAATATTCATACATCTTGACACCGTGAGGTCAAATCAATTCAAGAAGCTGGCTTGGATCAGTGGCCCCACTATCCTCCGCTGGCTTGGATGAGGACGGAGCGGGCGAAGTCTGAGTGCCTGCTTCAGCCGCTGCCTCTCGTGCGACTCTGCGGCGCTCTACAGCGTTGTTCCCGACGATGTAGCCCTGGGCAAGCCGACGCGCCTTGGCTACCAGGACGGGGTCATCGTTGCTCAAAGCGAGCGCCTCTATCATCTTCCGACAATGGTGAGTCGACCTCATGGCGGGGCAATTGCGACGGCCTCCTGCGAAATGGGCGTTGCCGCAGAGGCCGCAGAGTTCGAACCCGGCAAGGTATAGGGGGCAGTTGAGACGCAAATGGGGTTTTCCGCAAGCTTCACAGGGCCGCAGGTAGTTATCAGTGCTGCCGTCGGTGGGCGGAGGGGAAGACACAGGGGGCGAGATAGGCCGCGGCGCACGATCGAACCAGGCTGGGTAGTATTGTGCTGTAGCTTTAAATGAATCAGTAAAGTGAACCCCAATACATTAAGAGTAAAGAAAAAGCACCGATCAAACAAACATTGATTTCTAAAATTGCGCATCGTGGATCAACTTACGTGGCTGCTGGGTAACTTCCGTAGAAGCATTGGGGTCTTCATCCAGCTCAGCGACGTTATCGTCAAGAGTGGCATCAGGATCTGACTCGGTTTCTTCTCCCTCATCCTCGGGTTGCCTGTACTCATGATCGGCAGTGGTCTTCTGCATCTTTGCAGGTGGTGACTTCAGAGGGCTGCTGGGACCTGCCTCATCGTTGTCGTCATCGTCGTCTGCCGGCATTTTGGTGTTGTAACTGATTGTAGCACGCTTGCGTTTGCCACGACCCAGACCTTCAGCTTTGCGATTGAGTTCCTCTTGTGCTTCACGTTCACGTTCCAAGAGAATATTTTCCCACGCTGACACATCAACTGGTGCCTCTTCGGTTTCAGCCACTTCCTCGAGGCTATCACGATCCATCTGCCACACCCGCGCGAAGTTGAATTGGCCCTCACTCTTGGTGTTTGCATCACCCTCTTGAGCACTCTCCTCTGCCTTCTCTGCCTGACTTCGATCTAGCAGCTTGCTAATGGACTGAGCATCATACTTGATGTCGGCCGAGTCGTCGTTATTAAACAGAGCCTGAGCACCATGCTGGAGGATCGACTCTAGATCTTCCTCGTCTTCATCTGCTTCAATCCGATCGATAAGAACATGGTCAAGCGCCATCTTGGTCTTGCCCTTCTGCATGATCTTTTCCTCTACCGACCCACGCACGACCAGATGGAAAACCAGAACGACATTCTTTTGACCAATGCGATGAGCACGTGACAAAGCTTGCATGTCTTGCTTGGGGTTAAAGTCCGGGTCCATGATAATGACAGTGTCTGCAGTGGCCAAATTGATTCCAACACCACCCGAACGCGTCGAGAGCAGGAACGCAAAGACAGGTGAATCCGGCGCATTGAAACGATCGATCTGCTTCTGTTTATCGCTCGAATTCATCCGGCCGTCCAATCGGCAATACTCAAGTTTGAGACCAACAAGGAAATCCTCAACAATATCGAGGTTTTCCAAAAATTGACTGAAGATGAGAACCCGATGGCCTCTTTGCTCAAGCTGAGGCAACATCAATTTCAACAATTGAAGCTTCCCAGAAGCTTCCACCAAACGCTGTTGGGCAAGCTCAGAATCGAGAGTTTGCTCCTCAATGTCCCGATTGTACACGAACGGATGACACAGACATTTGCGCAGCTGAATCAAGATGTTGTTCAAGTTCTGCCTGTCCTTGCTTTTCACTTGCCCGGTTTTCTTTTTCAAGATGGCTTTGATAAGCGTGGGATTCTTCTCAAGAATCGATTTGTACAGTTTCTTTTGCACAACCGACATCGTGACCGGAATGATGATTTGCACCATCGGAGGCAAGAACGGCAGAACCTCTCCCTTGGTACGGCGCAAAAAGCATGGCCGGATCATGTCGTGGAGTTCACGAATGTCGTCCTTGGTGAGATCTCCTCCATATCGCTCTTCCAATTTCTCGGCATCTTTCGTCGGATCGATGAACTGGATCAGGTTGAACAACTCTCGAATGTTGTTTTGAAGAGGAGTTCCTGTGAGCAGAGCCTTGAAACCAAACTTCATGCGTTTCAGACGGTTGTAGAGCAGACTTTGGTCGTTCTTGAGACGCTGTCCTTCATCAACCACTAGCCCAGCCCACGGGATTTTGCCAAGGACTCCGCTGGAACTCTGGTCGGCCATGCTTTCATAAGATGCAATCACGACATGGCAACACAATTCGCCATCTTGGAACATCTCATGGCTCTCGGCCATTCCGCGGGCCCAGGCACTGCCAAAGTATGTGACGACACGCACTTTTGGCGCAAACCTCTTGATTTCTCGGCGCCAGTTGGGCACAGTGGAGTTGGGAACGACGACCAGAAAGGGGAAGCACTCGAAGTTCTCGATGAGGGCCGCAAACAGGCCGATTATCTGGAGAGTTTTACCGAGACCCATATCGTCAGCAAGAATGGCGTTCGTCTTTTGCCAAAACATGTAATAGAGCCAATTGACTCCGTCCAGTTGGTAGTCCATGAGTTCTACGTCAACCAGCATCTTCGGCTGGGATTCGAGAACAACTTTTTTTCCGAAATTCTGTGCACGGGCTTCCTTGAGCCGCTTTTTGAGGGCTTTGATGTCTGGCAATTCAATGCTCTCTCCATACACCTTGTCAGCCAGTGCGGTTTTGAAAGCGTTCCATTGATCGACGTTGCTTTGCTCAGGTGGATCCTCCCACACTGTGTCCTCATAAGGCAAACCTTGAAACTTGACGAAGGCGCTCTTGACCAACTCGGGCTTGGCCCTTTCTTTAGCGGACTTCGGTTCACGGATGTATTCGACGTCAAACAGAATATCAATAAGCAGGTTTTCCTTAGGCACAGCCTCCTCTGTGGTCATGATTGGGTTGTTTGATTTGGCTGATTCGAGGAACGCTTTGAGCATCCTGGAAGGAGTCATGCACCACACCCAGTCTCCGGGCATCCAAGCGACACGGAAGTACGACTTCTTGGCCCATTTGATCAGGTACTCCTTCTCGGTCTCTGGAAGCATCTCAACCAGTTGGGGAATGACCTTGACATCAGCGTTCTTCGGTCTCCATGCGACTATCACCTCGATCGGACTGGTCTCGGATGGAGCCTCATGGCACTCAATACAACGCCAACTCTCAGCGCTGATATCGGAACGGTCTTGCGATTGATCCGACAGAAGATGCTCAACGTGGGAAGCGCGCTTGCAGCGGACACATCTTATGAGAACATTCTCGACGTTGTTCACGCGAGACATGTCCACGTCTGTGACCGGATCTATTCCCCCATTTTGCTCGCGCAATTGTTGTTCCTCTTGAGGGGTGTGTGACTTTCGCAACGGCATTGACATGGGTCCAGCTTCTGCACAGGTGGCACATTGACCCAAATGAGGTAGGATATCATGGCTCTGGTGCTTGAGCCCCAGACAATTGGCACATTGAAGGATGAAATTTCCGGGAGCGATCTTGGTCACCAGATGCTTCCTGTTTCGTCGACTGCCCAGACAATCGCGATGATAAGAGGAAGTACAACCTTGGCAGAAAATCAAAGGACCCTCTTCCGAGTCTTCTTCCTCCCACTTGCCACAATGAGAACAGTTCTCGGAATGAGATGCTCGGAAGGCATCATCTTCAGGCAGTTCGATGAAGTGTTCTTTGGCTCCAGAGTACTTCTGTTTTGGTTTCACGACTTCAACTTCCGAAAGGTCGTCATCTTCTAGTCGCTCTCTCAGATTGTGCCGGGTAGATTTTCTCGTGCGCGCTGAGGATCGAGTTGCTCGGTTTGAAGCAAAAGTATCATCGGATAGTTCGCGGAGGTTCGACCTTGTCTTTCGCACTCCTCTCTTCAGGTGCCGGCGGGTGTTTGGCCGAACTTCCTCCTCCGAGTCAGAGCCAAGCTCGATGCTTGATTCTGCAGTTGACTCCGGAGAATCTTCATCTTCCTCGCTGCTAGACTCTTCAACAGCATCTTCAAATATGGTGTTCGGGTCAAAGAAATGAGCGAATGAGGTGCTTGCGGCTCCGCGTCGCCGCTGGCGGTTCCGAGCAAGCCCAATTGTTGTTTCTAGCTCCCCGCCAGAGTCGTGAGTTGCGTCTCCTTGGGCGTCCGCGAGGTTGGATTTGGACTCAAAGTTCATTGCTAAAGGATCGGGGCTCTGTGAGCCATCAATGAACTCACGAATCACCTGCGGTCCGTTCGATAGCCGCATCAACTTTTCCGCGGTCATCTGTTGTGGAACTCAGTCAGTGATTATGCATGGGGATTGGAATGCCTGTTGGTTCATTGCTATCACTCACTGTTGTGCGCTCGCCGCTCTTGAGTCTGACAATAAACTTTGGTTCGTGCATGTCAACTGCTAGAATGCGGAGAGCCTCAAAATGACCTGGCAGATAGTCATATTGCTCAGGATGCGCTATCGTTGGGACAATGACCTGAAATGATGGCTCTGTTGACTCCAATGAGCCATGTTTGGAGACTGGCATGGTGACAACGAGAGCAGGAGAAGTTATGACACGCGACTTGTTCAGCAAATGCTGTAGTACCGTCGCATCCGGATTGACATCACTCGTGATGCTGGCTGGATCTTTCAATTGAGACATATTGACGGGCTGGGCATGAGCAGCAGAGAAAGAAACGCGTGGCACAATGCTTGCTTTCCCCGCCCATGCGGCCGATTGCTACGGGGCGAGCTCAGACGGGATGCAGATCAAGTCAAGTGAAGATTGAGAGGGTATCGGATTTGTGAACGACAAGTGACAGCAACTCTGTCTGTTTGTTGGAATATGGTTTCACGGATCAAGCTCTAAAAACAAAAAGAAAGTGTGGAGGATTCAAAGAGGATTGGGTATCAAAGAAAAGAAAGGTGAGGCTTGCGAGGACGAGAGGACGAGCTATACTCTCGATTGGAGGACGCGAAACCCGCGCTCTGCGATAACGCGCGATAACGGATCAACAATCACCCGCGCAATCAATTTCTCAAGCTGATCCGAGGAGCAAAGTCAGGACTGTGAGCTTCGAGATGATGCTCAATATTATCTCAAGGGCTAGTCCCCGTGCTTCAAGTACTTTGGGGATATCTCACTTGTCACTGAAAGTCAGAAATGCCTCCCTGAATTCAGCAATTGGCCGCGGAATTCGGAGATCGCAAGCAAATGACGGGGAAAATCGTCACGGCAACACTGCCCCTAGACGTGGACGACAATACGAGGGGCAATACGCTCCACGACAATACGGGAAATCAAACGATACCAGCGCTGCCAGGAACTCTCGTCCCAAATACGCAGGGAATTACGGAGGGCGACTAAGCGACAAATTAGAGGAGTCAAGCTTGGAGCAAACATTTGGCAATGGCCACAAATCACAGCAGCCACGAGGCGACAAGCGCGAACGCAAGTATGAAAATCAGCCAACCTGGCTAAATTCCAGATCGAATCGCCGTCAAGATGAACAACGACCAGGCAATGCTTCTCGGCCCTTTGGGCGTGAACGACATGAAAGACCACCCACCGATGCGTTCGATGAGGATGAATTCATTCGCTCTGGCAATTTCCGGGCCCTTCCACGCGAGCACCAATTACGATTTCCACCGAGATCACGCGACTCCAAGTTCTCACGACCCGAAAGAGAGAGTCCTCAAAGAGAGGAACCGCGGGAGAAACCATCCAAATCCAGAGCCCACCGAGTTACAGAGAAAACCCCGGAGCGGGTAAAAGAGAACGTCAAGGTCCCAGATACAATTCCTTATACCACACCTGCATCGGAGTTCATTTACGGTACCAGTGCCGTAGAGGCTGCGCTTCGCTGCAGCCGTCGTCAAATCTACAAGCTCTATGTCTACCAAGGAGCGGAGGAAGAACTGAATGCCGCGAAGGTCACAATTCGAAAGATAGCCTTGTCAAAGAACATTGCTGTCAAGATGGCTTTTGGTGGATGGGATCGACTGATGGACAAGATGAGTGCCGGGCGACCTCACAATGGGTGCATTTTGGAAGCTTCCCCATTGCCCAAGTTACCTGTGCGTGCATTCCATGCAGTGCCATCTATATCCGAGGAGTATTTCCGGGCTGAACTTGCGCCACAATCTCGGGAAGAAGCTGCGGTTAATGGCACTGATGATCGTATCCCAATCCACCACCCATCCCCGCCCCCGCGTGAAGATCAACCTCATCGATACCCGGTTGCCTTGCTGTTGGATGGCGTTGTTGACCCCGGAAATATGGGTGCCATCATTCGCTCGTCCTACTTTTTAGGAATCGATGCCATTGTGCTCGCTGGCCGCAACTCCGCGCCCCTGTCCCCCGTCACCATCAAGGCTTCTGCTGGCGCTGCTGAGAACATGCCAATCCTCCATGTCAAGAATGAAATTGATTTCATCCAGCGATCCAAGGAGAATGGGTGGCGGTTCTACGCTGCTGATGCGCCAGGCCCCGACTCCGTGTACTTAAATCACATTGCAGCCGAGGGTGATCTGGGAGGTGAAAAGCTTCCTGTTGCTACCGGGCCCAGTGTCGTGATGATGGGCAGTGAAGGCTCTGGGCTAAGCTCACACATCAAATCACACGCGAATGCAACGGTCAGCATCCCAGGCGCTCGCCATACCCCAGGTATGGGTGTTGCATCGGACCCAGCCCGTATCGACAGTCTGAATGTCAGCGTTGCTGCTGCGCTGTTGATGGAGAAGTTCCTACGAACTCCACTCGCCGTGGCGGAAACCGTCAAGAAGGAAAGGAAACCAAACAAGGAGAAGATGTGGTGATCGATTGACTGTAATTTACATGTAATATAGCATTTACAAGATACCTGTACACTATGCTGCATAGAATGGAGTTTCTGATTTTTCGGGACCTGTCGTGCCTCTCAAAGAATGGCTATCATCGATGCAAAAGCAAGGATGTACAGTATAGTGTAACTAGATCCAGCTGAGCCATCAGATCGAATTAACTACTCCGTAATTACCGATAAGTCGGACCTGTGGGGTAAGGCCCGTACGAAGGCCCGCAACAACAGACGGGTCTTTCGATAGTCCAGATGATCACAAAATTGAGATCGTCTATAAAACTGTCAGCTCCCTAATGACTCTAAGTTCCGCGGTTCATCTCTTTCCCACCCTTCTTCGTGTGTCCACCCATATTCATCTCTATCTACCTCCACGTATAACACCACATATTGTCCGACCCCCACCATGATTCCCGAAAAACAGATTCCGACAACAGCTTTTGTTGTGGAGAAGCCGGGGGCTCCTTTTGTTCTTCAAGATGTGGTTCTAGATGAGGTCCGGGCGAATGAGGTATTAGTCGAGATGAAGTATACCGGTTTGTGTCATACAGTACGTGGAAATCTTGTCCTGGCTTGAGCCACCGTTGCCATATCATCAAAATTAAACATGAGACTAAAAATTCACAGGATATTGTCGTTCAACAAGGTGGTATGCCCGTCGGCGATTTCCCAGCCGTGTTAGGCCATGAAGGTGCTGGAATTGTGCGCCGCGTTGGCAACGACGTTGAAGATAAGTCTCTCAAGGAGGGCGATCTAGTCTTTCTCAGCTTTAGCTCCTGCTGTGAAAAGACATGCACACCTTGTGGCGAAGACCGACATGGTTTCTGTGACAAGATGACCAACATCAACTTCGCTGGTGCTCGCGGTCTTCATGCTTCCGATTCACCAATCTCCTTCCCTGATGGAAAGGGCTCCATTCGAGGGCAATTCTTCGGCCAGTCTTCCATGAGTAAGCTGGCTGTGGTTGATCAGCGCTCAGTCGTGAAGTCTCCTGCTGCATCTGGAATAACCGTCGAAGACATGGCTGTCCTGGCTCCCTTGGGCTGTGGATATCTCACTGGTGCCGGCACTGTGTTCAATGTACTTAAGCCAAAGGCTGGAAGTACATTTGTCGTGTTCGGTATGGGGGCAGTTGGTCTGGCTGCACTCTTCGCCGCGCGATCTCAGGGCGTGGAAACGATTATTGCTGTTGATATTGTTGATGCTAAGCTCGAGCTTGCAAAGTCCTTCGGTGCATCTCACACATTAAACACCAAGTTTATCCCAGATGCTGCACAGGCCTTACTTGAAATATCTCCTAAAGGTGTTGATTGTGTTCTGGATACCACCGGCGTCGTGCCTTTACTTGAGGCCGGTGTCAAAGCACTGGGGCATGGAGGAATCCTCAGTCTCGTGGGCGTGCCTCGTCCTGGTGTCACCATGAACATCAACCCTTTGGATCTCATGACTGGCTGCAAGCGTATTGTTGGCGCGATCGAGGGGTGCTGCAACCCTAAAGTGGTGAGTAATGCTCACGGATTCTTGCTCGCTGGTCAACGCTAATTATCAAACATGTAGATTCTTCCACAACTGATTGACCTCTATAAGCAAGGGAAGTTCCCAGTTGATAAACTTGCCAAGATCTATACCCCCGACACATTTGAGCAGGCTATCTCAGATTTGCACACTGGCAACGTATGTGACCCCATTGGACTTGATGGACGAAGCACTAATCAAAATATTATCACAGGTCATTAAGCCTATCATCAAATGGTCGGATCTATAATCTAGAGCCTTGGATGAAGGACATACTGGAGGTCGGGAACACTTGACATCAATACGAAACCACAACACAACCTGGGAACCCCGATCCTATCTGTACTCTTGCAAGAAAGTTCGATAAACAAGATGTGGTAGTCTGCTCTTGTCTCACTAGCATTCAAATTTATCAGAAAAGTTTGTACATTTCTTCTATGTTGATTCCGAGGGAACAGAAAGATTCTGGTGCAGCTCCTTTCGCTGCACCGCGCCAAACCGAAGATTGCCGACATCGAAGACCTATGAGCTGACATTAGCAAACGTAGCTCGGGTGAATGATTATTGAAAAAATGAGGTGTGTTGCTTACTGCGTAAATAGCCTTCAGGAAGGTGTCACCTAGAATGTCCATGGTCATAGAGCCACGACTCTGAATGCCCCCATAAACATAGCCAGACTTTCCCTCGGCAAAACCCAAGTCTTCCTTCTGCACAACAAATTGTTTGTCACCAACCGCGAATGTTATCACAGGAAGTTTATCGGCAGTTGTATTGGAAGGGTATATCCAGCCCTGGCTCTCATCGTCGTAGACTGCACCTTCAATGGCACCATAAATTGCCTGGCAAGTCTCATCGTCAACCAATGCCAGGGTAGTTCCAGTGTCAGCAATAGCCTTATTTCCAGCACGAGAAATTGATTTCCCGTTCACAGTTGCTGACGCTGAATCGAACAACCAGAATCCTTGACTCTTATCAATAGGCGTGTAGTGAAGATCTGCTTCAGCGGCCTTGACTGTATCCTGATCAACATAGCCGAATGTATAGAATGACTCTCCCTTATCGGGCTCATCCGTGTCACGCCACGATCCTAGCTTCGCGGTGAAAAGTTGTGCTGACTTGGGAATATCAGATTGCGAGATCATGTTCTCGACGGGTGTGTTAACAGCATTCGGCTTGACTGTGTTTATGTTGCTGAAGGCAAGACCTAGAAGCCCGTCTCCAGCACCTTGCGTAAATTGTGCAGAGAGTTTATCGGCAATTTCAATAGCCTGGTCTTTGACAACCAGCCCACCGATGGTGACATTGTCATTGCCAACTGTGCCAGAGGCTGATGATCCATCGCCATAGGAGATCTTCCAGGTCGACCCTTCCTTTTCCTTGTAAGTAGTCGACTTTGTCGGGTCAAAGATAACGTGATTTTTGTTCTCTGACAAGGTCTCGGAAGGCAGCTTCGTGGACCAAACCTGATAAAGTCAGTCATGATCATCGCACTGCAAGGACCTCGGTATAAGTCTTACCCAAAGATCAGCAGAGCCAGTGTCAAAATCCAAATTGAGCTTCTGCGCAGGTGTGCCGATTTCGATCTCGGCAAGGTACATGGAGTCATTTTGCACGTCGTCGGCGCCAACTTGTCCAATCTCGTCGGTGTCGGCGCTTTTCTTCTGCAGCACCTCTTGCAAGCGAGCGCGGCCTCCAACCGGCTTATCAGTGAATGGTCTTCCGGACTGCACCATAGTCTTTCCGAGGGAGTATGGCCCGCCTTTGGTTGGAGTGAAGCGATACTTCCGCATAGCGTAGAGATACGACTTGGTGCCGGACTTCCGGTAATGAGGGTTCGCCGTGAGCTTGATTCTGGTCGCCATGATGGGTTGGTTGCACGATGGCTTTGATTGAAGCAATTCTAAATGGACAGTGGTCGTCAGACCTGGTATATATGCAAGCTAAAGTTGTATCAGGCAACGCCCACCTAGACCTTGGAAGAGGGGTTGAAACAAGATTTAGCTCTTGAAGAAATCCATGATGCGCGCCATTTGGTCATGCTGTACTATTGGAGGCGACTTATATTGGCATTTCGTCATAGCATATGACTTGGGATTAGTGTTGTTTCAAGATCTGCGCCATGATACGGACTCCGGCGATAGCTGGCCCCAGCTGGGCGGGGTTGCTGTCCCCTCTATGGAATCACAACAAGGATTGCACATAAAGCACATGCTCAGTGGAAGATAAGCCTTTCAAGATTGAGGCCAAGCAAAACAAGGAAATAACTCTATTTTGAATTACAAAAGTACATGATAAATCACCTGCTAACGCCAAATCCACGTACCCCCATACCCAAATCTCCGAGAACGTACACGTGATTATCTCTTGCGAGTCTTCGACTTGGTCGCAGCAGTACTGGTCGCCCGAGAACTTGCCGTCGAGGCAGCTTTGCTGCCCCCCTTGGTGGCTTTGACCTGTTTACTCTGCTATATCACAAGTTAGAATCAACAACGTAGAGAAAGGGGAGGGAATACTCACGGCACCATTCTTGGCCTTCTTCTTGGCCGGAGCTGCTTCTTCAATCTCTTCATCCTCATCGCGGTCACGGCCTCGGCCCTTGCTGTCACCGTTGGTCTCAAATTCCTTGGCCACAGTGTTCAACAGGGTGGTGCAGCGACGACCAATTTCCACGGGGGTGCGACTGAGGAAGAACCAGTCGAAACGGAACAAAGATGAGTCGTGGATCTCTTCGCGAATTCTCTCATAAAGGTCTTCACCCTCAACGCCATACTTGTCAAGCATGACCAAGAGGAATCGGTCCTCTTCTTCGACGTAGACCTTCTTATTGGTGGTGGATACGGTGTAGTTGATCTTGAGCTGCTGGAGAGGCGAGCGATACATTTCCAGCTTCTTGCGGAGCATCTTTCGCTGGTGATCGATCTTGCGCACCTTCTCCTCACCTTGGTCGATGACCTTGAGGTATTTGGTGTAATCTTGGATCTCAGAGTATCTTTGCCAGAAGACCTTGGCATACTCCTCAATCTCGTCCGGCTCTTTGCTATCCACCTCGGTGGCGATGCCGACATAGTCAGTGCGGCCAAACTTGGCCGATCCATTGACAAACTGTTGGAAGTCACGTCGATTCCAAGTTGCGAAACCTTCCTCTGACATGCGAGCCTTCTCGGCTTGCTCTTCTTCAGTCAAAGGCACAGCGTTGTCAATCTCTTGCTGTTCGAGGTCTCGCTCAGCCTCTCGTTCACTGGACTCCTCTTCGGGGCCTTCAAGCAGCTGCGCCTTGTAACCAATCTCCTTGTGGAAATAGGCTGTTTCCTTCTCTTGGAGCTCGTGGAGACCAGGCGGGAAGAACTGCCAGTCGTGCACAGTGATTTGCTTAGGAGCACGAGGGACCTTAGGCTTTGTGTCGGCTGTTCGGCCTCCCGTGGACAATGTCTGGCGATAGTATTGATCGATAGAATAGAACTGTTCCTTGCGCTCACGCTTGGCAGGGTTGATCCAGTTCATACCAATGTCCTTCTTGCGCTCGGTGAAATCCTTTCCGTTCCATTCGTACGCGCTCTCGGAGTGGAACTTTTGCAGATCATCTATGCCCAGGGCCTCGTATTTCTTGCTGAGCTCTGCAGTGCGTTCTTCACCCTTGCGCAAGATGTCCTCGATGTCGTCTTCGGTGGTTTCCGTTGCATCGGTAGGCTCCGCAGGATACAGCTTGTTGGCACCATGCTGAATCATACCAAGCAAGTCATCTTTAGAGTTGGTCTTGGCCTGCTGCCCGGCGCGACCTTGCTGGATAACAAGCTGATCCAGTCGCAGCTTCTGAGCTGCGCGCTCAAGGACCTTCTCTTCAATAGCGTCTTCTGTGACAAAACGGAACACTTTGACTTGCTTGGTTTGACCGATGCGATGAGCTCGGTCCATGGCCTGAAGATCAGCCTGGGGGTTCCAGTCGCTATCAAAGAGAACCACGATATCGGCGGTGGTCAAGTTGATACCCAAACCACCTGCTCTGGTTGTGAGGAGGAACACAAACTTGTCAGACCCAGGCTTGTTGTAGTCGTCAATGGCAGCGATACGGTCTTCGTGGGCTGTGGTACCATCAATACGGCAGTAGTTGTAGTCACGGAACACACAGTAGTCTTCCAAGATATCAAGAACACGACTCATCTGCGAGAAGATGAGTACTCGACTGCCATCAGCCTTCACGCGCTTCAGAAGCTTGTCCAAGATGGACATCTTGCCAGAATTGTACACAAGATGCTCATCGGTGGTGTACGGGGGACCTGGCTCAGCTCCCTCGAAAAGGTACGGGTGGTTGCAGCACTTCCGCAGTTGCATGACGATATTCAATAGACGAGTCTTGGACTCGCGCTTGCCGGCGGCGCCGTTCACGGCGTCGATATCTTTCTCCAGAATCTTTTGGTACCACTTCTTCTGCATTGCTGACATGCCGACATAAAGGTTAAGCTCCTTCTTCGGAAGCAAACTCTTCTCAACATCACTCTTCACACGTCGAAGCAAGAACGGACGCAGCACGCGATGGAGTTGCTGAACGACAGTATCTTGATCAGAATTCTGGTTCGAGAACCATTGGTCGAATGCCTCCGAGTCACCAAAGACATCGGGCAAGAGGAAGTTGAGCAGAGCCCAAAGTTCGTGAAGGTTGTTCTGCAAAGGCGTACCAGTGATCAGAAGTCGGTTGCGGGAGTTGAAAAGACGGATGATTTGAGACAACGACGATTCTTCATTCTTGATTCGGTGGGCTTCGTCAATGATGATGTACTCCCAAGCGAATTTCTTCAAGTGTGATTTCTCACGGAGAATCATTTCGTAGCTGGTAATGCAAACATCAAATTCATCCTGGAGTAGGCGGTCATTGATGATCTGCTGTCGCTCATCCTTGTTTCCCTGGAGGACCAGGACGTCGATGTCCGGGGTCCACCGCGCAAATTCACGTTTCCAGTTATCCAATGTTGACTTCGGAACAACCACCAAGTGAGGTCCGTTGATATCGCAGATGTATCGAAGGTATCCGAGGAAGGAAATCGTCTGCAAGGTCTTACCAAGACCCATCTCATCGGCCAGGATACCGGAGATACCGTTCTCGTGAAGAGAGACAAGCCAGTTCAAACCTGCGACTTGATAATCACGAAGTTCGCCATGAATGAAAGCCGGAGATTCGCGGAAGATCGTGGTAGTCTCGCCACCATGCTTCTCATCCTGGAGCAGTTCCGCATCCTCCTCTTGCTCGGTCCGACGGCGTCGCTCGCCACCAGCACCACCAGAGCGCTTTGAACCTTTGCGGTCTTTGGCATCCTTTTCCGCATTTTGTCGGTCAATTTCTGCAATGATCTCTTTGATTTCGGGGTTTGGGTTCGTCTCGATGAAGTGGCGGAATAGGTCAGTAAGGCCGAGGAGGTATCGGAAACGGCGAATGGAGTCGTCCTCCTAGATTTTGAAGTCAGAAATAAGAATCTAAAGTAGCTGATAGATGAACACGTACCTTTGTGCTGTCCAGATTGCCGTGCTTCTTATCCAGGATGCTCTTCCTCAGGTTGTTGGCCTCGGATCTCCGTCGGCGTGCATCCGGGGTGTCGCCTGCAACGCTGCTTGCAGTTGTATTGGGATTTGTGTCGGAATCCTATTGATTCGATAGTCAGTAACACGTCACTTTCAACAATCCCCGAGCGAGGTAGACCACGGGCACCTCTACCGTGTAATCTGGTGTATCATTGTGACTCTTTATTGCGGTGGAAGATTAGCATGAGCTCCAAGTCATACCAAAGATTCACGTCACACTCAGAAAGCAACCTGATCACACGGGAGGAGATGATGCAAAGGAATATTAGGACACACCGTCATTTGAGCGTCGACACTGTCGACAGGCACCGAAGGCACGGTGTCGTCATTGGCATCAGTCATGGGTGTATCAGCCTGCGACACAGGGTCGGAAGCGGGACCAGAAGCCATTTGGATTTATCTGAAGCGCACTGGGCGCAGGTATGGTGGGTAAAATATCAGGTCTTTTGAATTGCAACAAAGAGTCTTGCAGCTCGCGACTAATTGAATCGCGTGAAGTGGATAAAAGAAAATGGGTCGGATAGGCGCAAAGGAATGAGTTGTTTCAAAGTGAGAAAGTGGGGATGTTAAAGGAAGAGTCCATTCATCGGGTGAAGGCCATTAAGAGGAGATTGAGTTCTTCCGCAGGCGTGAAGGTATTCAAGCGCGCCGAAGAGATAATGCGTCTCATACACGGGTGAATCGCGTTAGCTTTTTTTACATAATTCCTGAGTCAGCGAGCCACCCCCGGTCTAGTGGCGCTAGGGCCAGCTGGGTTTAGTGGGCTGTGAGGTGCAATTAAGGTCCGTGTTAAAGACACAGCCAGAGCTTGTTATTCACACCGAGTTTCAATACATTCGAACCTTGGACTCTATGAACCAACCAAGAGCTACTCTGCATACAACAGTGCTCTGATCAACAATAAATGAGTAGAGTTATACATCCTATGTTGTTGAAGATGCAGAATCTACCCTTATACTGAGCATTTATCATAGGAATGTCTCCCATACTTTACCTTACAGATGTATTTCACACTCTATGGAATATCGATAGTGCGTGTACATAAGGTGTATCAAGTGTGTGCTTAGGAGCGGAATATTACGTTTTTCCTTTCTTAGGTCATCTCGTTACCGGAGCAAACGGCGGGGCCTGCAAAAGACGATCTGCGAGGAAAGCTCCTTCTGCTCCCACACCTCATCGTTACACTATCTCGGCGGCAAGTACTCCTCATATTTGTCAGGGCTCTTACCGACTCAGATATATCTATCTATATCTTCTTTTTTTCGTCTGTCGGGCCGTGTCCTGACACCTACGACACACGGACAAACTGTTGTCCCTCTTTCAAGACTGCTCAGGCCCCAACACCACATTCTACTACCATGGACTCCATGCGGTCACTGAACACCTCTTTGCCGAGCTCAACACCTCGCACACAGCCCCCCGAGCAACTTCTTCAACAATTCAAGGCGGCGGCGTTATCAGTCACCAACCTCTACAAGAATGCAGTGTGTGAGCAAGCCCAGGCGAAAGCCGCAGGATACCAAGAGGCGGTAGAAGACCTGCTGCATTTCCTCGACCGAGAGAACCTTGGGCTCGGAGACGGAGAAGGGTGGAAAGTCCGACAGTGGGCAACTGAAAGGTGTGACGGGACTACATCCCAGACCAGTGACGAGGAGGCCGAGGCCGAGAAGCGCGACCGAAGTGCCACACCAACCACAACGCGCAAAGACTCATCACCTGTTGACCATACTCGTCAACATCCCACAACCACTCACACGCCTGCGTCGAAACCCGAAACCGTCACTCCTCCCTCACAACCTCATGAGTCACCCTCGCTGGCTACGCCCGCCATCTTCACCTTCTCCGCCGGTCCTACATATCCCGAACACGACATGGATGTGCAATCCGATAACTCAACTGCAAATGCGCAGGATGGTGCTCCTGTGAGCGTATCCGTCATGCCACGCAATGCCCGCCCGCACCACCGTCACAACAACCTTGCACGATCAAACCAACGTCCATCTCCACGGGAATCCCCTGCAAGCCTTGGTTCAAAGCGAAAATTCACGTTCCCTGATTTCTTTGACTTATCTGGACTCAACAACGGTCGAGATATGGGTGGTGGAGGCAAACGAGGCCGCTTTACCTAGGACTTGGATCCTAGGTACAAGATACGATGTTGACGACGTGACGAGCATCCTTCGCAAAGTCACAGCAACTGTGGGGGATGTTAGGGTACGAAGCTGCTTTTTTGGGGGTGCATAACAAGGAAAGGAATTTGCATACGGTCTCATTTCAGTGTTTCTTTTGGTTTTTCTTCATGGGTTCTTTTTCTCCTTTTTCACCCTTTTCTTCTTCTTTCCGTTTCTACTTTATTTGTTCGGTTTTCTCCTTACCCTTGTCGTATAGCATATAGATGGATATGCCTCAGGTGATACCCGATACCCGAAGTGGCAATTGTCATTGGCTGCAAGTACATAGCATTTCAATATCTTACAAAGTCTCATTCCTTCCCTTCATTGTCCAACACTTGGTCCGCGCAAACCCGGCGTTGGCCGCATGTTATATATCCCAGGCTTGCCCGGTTGTACAACGTTCAGTTGAAAGCCCGCCACAGTCCCATTCCTACCAGAGTCGCTGATATCGAAGCGATTCCGAGTTGGCGTGAGCCCATTTTGTATTTCGTGGCACCCTGCATGATCGCTTTCTCTTGTTTGCGCAGGTTGGCCATTCCTGTGTAGTAGCTGTAGACACCGAGACCAACGAACGCAGCGGATCCTGCATGTGTAATTTAGTAACGAGCAACAATATCAAAAGTGCAGTCCTCGGGGATATACACATACCCATGACTCGGCAGGACATGCAGTCGTCGAACTTGTCCTCAGCCAAGGCCTGCTTGGCATCTTTCAGTTTGACGTCGGAGGACGACATTTTACACAAGGGCGGTTTTGAAATCCGATGATAATGGACAGAATGTAAATGTGCACCGAATCACTGGCCCGCGTACTATGAGGATGGTAGTTGTCTTCTCCAAAAAGTCAACAGAAAGCGGCAATCGGCGGCAAAACGGGCAGCTTCACAGCTATGCAATCTACGCCGAGCCATTCCATCATCAGACAACTGCCACAATGAGCGGCGAGATCGATGCCGTCTACATATTCGACGAGCAGAAGTATGATATTCCGCATCGTATCACAAGAATTTACTAACGCGCTCTTACCAGTGCCCCGCTCGTTGAGCATGTATATCGATCCCGCCCGCCTTCGGCCTCCGCCATCCTGCCCCTCTACCTTGCCCATGCTGCCCCACGCCCTTCTCTACTGTACATTCCCAGTGCTTCACCGCCGGTAACGGTGTTCTCAACGGTTGAGTCAAACTTGTTGTTTCTGGCGATAAGCGAAGTCGACACGGAACCACTGCTCGCATTAGAGTTCCTGCATCGAGTGATTGATGTACTTGAGGACTTTGTTGGGGCACCGCTGCTATCAACTAAGATCCAATCAAACTATGATGTTGTTGCGCAACTGCTCAGTGAAATGTGTGATGGCGGAACGATATGCAATACCGAACCGAATGCCTTGCAACAAGTTGTTGAGGTTCCCGGCTGGATGGGCAAGCTACTAGGTGGAATTGGTGTTCCTGGGTAAGTAGCAATTACTTTGGCTGCCGCTTCTGTCACTAACGGCGGAAATCTTGTAGTACATCTACACCAACTTTGGGTTCGAGCAACCCTCTGAAGCAATCACTCGCCGCTGCCAGTGCATCGCAAGGCCCTGCCATTCCCTGGAGGCGCCCCGGTGTTCGACACACATCCAATGAGCTCTATGTCGACATCATCGAATCATTGAATGTCACCATGGCTCCCTCTGGACGATTACTCTCCGCGCTAGTCTCCGGAACCATCGCATTTACTGCGAAGATCTCAGGGGTTCCAGATCTGCTACTTTCATTATCAACACCAGGTGGTCAGCATGCCCTTGGCCGCAAGATTGAGCTACCGGTATTTCATCCATGTGTTCGACTAGCTCGGTGGAAAGAACGGCCTGGAGAGCTCAGCTTTATACCCCCAGACGGACGATTCATCTTGGCTGGCTACGAGGTGGACCTCCTTCCTATAGACCCTGATCTGGATGAGGCACCAAGTCATATGGAAAAGCTTTTCCTGCCTGCGATTGTAGACATTCGCAAGTCACTAGGATCGTCCGGGTCTGAATTCGAAGTTCGGTTGACACTGAACACGAATTTCCCTGGTCAAAGTTCGTCCTCCCGACCTGGGGTCGGTCGAAATGGATCAGGTTCATCAACGCCATCATTCCTAGGCGGCGGAGGTGGTAACTCTGCCCCGGTGCTCGAAGAAGTTGTCGTTAATGTACCAATATCCAAATACGTCAGACATATCACGGATATGCAGGCCAGTCGTGGTGATGCCCAATTCACCCACTCAAGCGGCCTCCTTGAGTGGCGGATTCCCACCGGCAAGGATGCCGGATCATTATCTGGGACTGCCACATTACGCTGTACAGTCTCGGGCTACCCCTCGGCCGACGATGACCTCGACAGTCTCGAGGACGCCGATGAAGACGCCAACGCCAATCTCCTACAGGGCTACTACGAGGCCCCGACCTCATACAATGACGCATCAGCCAGCACATCCAAGAAAACCCGATCTTCCGACCCCTCTAAACGCAAAAAGAAGAAGAAGAAGTCGACAAAGAAGTCGCGCTCTGCTCTGCACCCAGAGGACGCCGAAGAGGACCCTACCCAGGCGACTTCCCCATCGCCCAGCCACTCTAAACCCCAGACACCTACGCCACCACCCCAAACTCAATCATCAAACTCTCATCTCCCTGCATTCTTTGCTCCATCTACATCCCGCCCCGCTCGCAGAACCAAGGCTCAAGTCAACGCAAGCTTGATGCCAAATTCTGCATCAGTCTCCTTCTCCGTGCGAGGCTGGCTACCTTCGGGTATCAAAGTTGACAGTCTCAACATTGATCAGCGCCGGAGTCGTGGCTTGGGCGAGAGTGTCAAGCCTTACAAGGGTGTCAAGTACCTTTGCGTAAGCAATCGCGGCGTGGAACGGCGCTGCTGAGGAGGCATTATTTTGTTTCAATAGCGTTCAATAACTACCTACTGCATTTGACAGCATGAGTGATGATATAATTGTTGATTTTACTTTTTGTAACCAACGTATTCCTGAGGTATAACCTTGGAAGCTCCCGAGGTCGTGAAATGAGAAGACTACCTCAAAAATATGTCTGCGCTGACAATTGAACTCATTTGCTTCCAAGTTTTCACTATATACAAATTGAACGAATGATAGTTCGACATCAAAGAGAGTGGTCGTAACGCTAGATAGTAAAATAAATTCAAACCGAAAGAGATTTTCCAGAATTACATAGCATGCAACGTGTTAAGTATTAGAGATAGGGAAGCAGATCCCGATGGCGTCCCGTCAACTTGCATCGGTGGACACCCCAAACCTGATACAGGGAGTGATCATCCTGAGAGCCAATCTCAGAGTCTCCACCTGAAGCAAATTTAGACTGAAGGATGTCGATCAGGCGATCTCAATTTTGTGCTCAGAGCTTCGAGCGACGCTCGAGGAGACGTAGGACAATGTAGGCAACTATTTACGAGTCAGAACATGGCCTGTTTATATCATTTGTGGATTGTGACAAAGGGCAAGAAACAACGGCAGGCTATACATTGATATTCACAGATTATGGGCGTCTTTTTCGTGTTTCATGTTTTTGTCCTTGGGACGGTATTTGGAAAAGGCGGATTTGCGATGAAAAGAAGGAAAACTGCAAAGAGAGGTAACCAGGACGGGATGTACATGAAGATGGGGTATATAAGAAGGGGTCATGTTCTCCGTCTCGATCATATAGCTAAGCAGCCAAAGATTCGTTGGACGAAAACATGCAGACCATGGACCCTAGTTCTCTAGATATGAACGAGGCGAGAGAAGCCCAGGTCCGCCATGACCGAAAAGTATAAATCATGAGGGAATTGTTTTTGTCCAAAGATGAAAAGAAAATTGTTTACTCACTGGCAGCAACGGTAGCGGCTCTACCGGCACCAGACGCCGCAGTGCCTCCACCGAGGGTGGAAACATAGCGCAACCAGCCGAGAGTCACCTTGTTGCCGTTGCGGTCGAAGTCAGGCTGCAATGCGCTGGCCGCGTTCCAGGTGCTGATCTTGCCCGCGTATGGTGGGTAGCGGATAGACAGGATAGACTCGAGCCAGCTGGGGGTGGAGGTGACGGGGCGACGGTGCACCCAGACGTCAAAGCTGGAACGGCCACGGTAAGCACCGTGACCACTCTCGCCGACACCGCCGAAGGGCAGAGTGGGGATGTGGAGAGCGGCATCGTTGACGGAGACACCTCCAGAGCGTGTGGATGAAATGACTGCAAGGGCGTTAGATGGGAATCGTGTATTTAGCATCTACTAGTGACTTACTCTTTTCGACATCGGCCTTGTTGCCGAAGGGGTAGAGACCCAGCGGTGTACTCTGAACACCGTTGGCGAGGCGGATGGCCTCGTCCAAGTCTTCAACAGCCAAAATTGGGATGAAAGGACCGAAGCTCTCCTGTGTGCACAGGGAGTCATCGACGGAGTCAACCAGGACAACAGTGGGGTCGATGAACAGATCCTTCTCGTCCACGCTTCCACCCATAACGATCTTACCCTTGGTGTTGTCAAGCATGGACTTGAGACGGGCGAAAGCAGCGGGGCTGATGATACGGGAGTAATCAGGCGAGTTTCTAGCACCATCGGGGTAGAACTCCTGATATGCGGCCTTGAACTCCTCAACAACCTGGGGGACAAGGGGCTTGTCGACGAGCAGGTAGTTCTGCGAAGTGCAGAGCTGACCGGCGTTCAAAGTCTTACCCCAAAGCATGCGGCGAGCGACAAGTCTGGGATCAGCATTCTTGGTCACAATGGCCGGGTTGATACCGCCAAGCTCAAGAACAATGGGGGTGAGATGCGGCGCAGCCGCCTTGGCGACGATCCGTCCAACGTTGGCACTACCAGTGAAGAAAATCTTGTCCCACCTTTCGGCAAGCAAGGCTTGCGTCTCGGGGATAGCACCCTGGATGATGTGGTAGCATGAGGGGTCGAGGCTCTCCTCGACGATCTTCTGCATAACGGCCGCGCTGCGGGAGGCACTCTCGCTAGGCTTGATGACCACGGTGTTACCGGCGGCAATGGCGCCAATGACCGGGCCCATGGTCAACTGGAAGGGGAAGTTGAATGCGCTGTGAAATAACCCATTAGATTGGTTCGGAAGATTCACATGCGCTCAAGAGACATACCCAATAACCAGCACACATCCGAGCGGATCTTTGCGGATCTTCGGGTTCATAAACTTGAAGGCAAGGTCGATATCGCTGGCTTTTTCATCCTGAACCCAGCTGTGCAGATTGCGCGTGGTGAAGACAATATCGTTAAGCAACCAACCGCTCTCGGCGAGATTTGTCTCGAACCGCGGCTTGTTCAGGTCCTTTTCGCAGGCCTCGAAAATGAGCTCCTCATTATCCTTGATGCTAGGGATATATTAGTCATGGCCTTGAAGTACATTATGCAGGTATGCAGATCCGCGAATACTCACGCCCAGTAGAGCTTGCGCAGCTGCACAAGACGGAACTCGACGTCACGAGTCTTGTTTTCCAAAAAGGCATTCCGGGCGGTGGAAACGCGCGCAGGGATCTCGTCCAGCGAGGTGTATTTCAATTCGGGAAGATTAGACATTGTGAATATGTGAGAATAGATAGCAAAAAAGAGCAAAACAAAAGAATAGATAAGAGCGTGGAGGCTACTTTAGTAGGGAGTCCAGAAGGTTGCGAATGCCAAGGTCAAAAAGGATAAGGTCTCCGCATCCACATGCTCCAAGCTCTCGGTCTCGTCCTGATTTCGGCTCCTCCTCCGCCAAACCCCTACATTCTGCACTCTTCACTCTGTCTACTGCCATTTTCTATTCGCTTAGATCTGCGTCAGACTCGCCTGCTAGTACATCGAACTTCTCATTCTGTGACTTGATTGTACGTTGTATGACCAGTCGATTCGAGCAACACGAACCGCGGCTTCACACGATCTACACTCCCCGCTTTTAATACGATCGGCATTTGCAAGATTTTTTTCTCTGGGTGGACGTCTGGCTAATGGATCAAGCCATGTCCGCCTGTATCCGCAAGTGGGTTTCATGTACTTATACTCATAGGGGTTAGACTTCGTATTAAGTTTAATATGCTTTCCAGTATGCTACCGCAAGTGGTAGCACTACCTACAATGGAAGTACTTGTACGAATGACATTGCCGTACATAATCGCCATTTCCAATTTGAAAAAGGAGAGACCTGCTATCAAGAAGATCATACGTGACATAGATACGAACACTCCCGGGGTCGAAAAAAATGTAAATGCAATCGGTCTCCCGAAGGACCGTGGATAAATTCAGAGTTGTATAGAACAAGGCAACGGAAACGCCGAACAACATACAAGATGACAGTATATAGACAGAACCAGGGTATCAACAAGAATCAAAAATCAGTTCTTGAACTGATCCTCAGTGACACCCTTGCCCATAGCAGCCGTACTACTCACACCACCAGAAACCATCTTCAACAAGTTATCAACGTAGTTAGCACCACTCCACTTTTGATGCGTAACAACATCAACGCCCTGCTCCATCTCCGGCTCCTGGACCAGTTCGCCATAGGCCCGCATTCCACTCTTCGCAAACGCCTTCGCGAACTGGTGCGAGATGAGCGCGGTGGTGTGCAGACCCGCCAGAGTAATGAACTGCCACGAGTAGCCCAGTTCGCCGAGACGCTTAATGTAAGTCTCTTGTTCATCGCGGGGCATGGCCTTCTTCCAGTTGAACGATGGGGAGAGGTTGTACGCCAGTCTGGGTGGGGGGAGGTTAGTTTAATAACTCAAAGACATATTGACACCGCGGATCGCGGGATGTGGGGACTTCGGGAAAAAATCGACGAAAAGGAGGTGGAAAAAAACTTACTTTTGTTCGGGCCAGACGGCATGCACGCCATCGGCGAATTCCTTGGCCTGCTTGTAGTCTGGCAGCTTGCTTTCCATCCAGATGAGGTCGGCGAAAGGCGCGTAAGCCACAGCTCGGTTCACGGCGCATTGCGTACCACCCTGGTAACGGTAGAAGCCCTCGCGGGTACGGGGAGAGTCCCAGTTCCAGAAAATGTCAACGCCGGTGATGCTCTTGGCGATGGCACGGGATTCGTTGTTGCTCTTGCCCTTAACGGCAGTCAGGTACTGGTCGACGAGGCTCTTCTTGTTGACGTGGACACCGGAGTTAATGGCGTCGATCACGGCTTCGTTGAAAAGCTTAAGGCCGGCCTGGCTGGTCCACTGATCTTCAATAGCTTGAAGCTCGGCGCCGTTCTTGCCGGATTGCTCGGCGGCGACCATCAGATCGTTGAGGGGCTGGAGGCTAGGGTTGGTTGAGCCCACGATGAAGGCGTGGTCACGGTGGTCGATGGTCGATGTGATGAGGGTGGCTGCTTCAGAGTCGGTACGGGCAATGGCCAGCAGATCAGAGCCCATGATATCGGCCTGGGCACGGATGGCAACCAGACGGTTGATGTGCTCGCTGATAGGCACGAGAACTTTACCGGCCATGTGGCCACACTTTTTGGTACCGGGAGCTTGATCTTCAATGTGAATACCAGCCGCACCGCGCTCGACGAAGAGCTTGGTCAGCTTCATCACCGCAGTCAGACCACCGTGACCGGTGTCGGCATCAGCAATGATGGGTCGCAGGTAGTCAACATTGGCAACGTTTCCACGCTGGCCAGCAGGAGTGGTAACGCGCTCTTCGCGCTGCTTTCGGTCATGGAAGAGCTGTGCCATGAACAATTGGTTGACCTTTCGGGGCACGGTGTCCTACAGGGTATTGTAAGTATGCGACTGGCTCATTCCTCATATATAGAACGTACCATGGGGTAATCGGCCAGATCGGGAGAGGGCTCGTCGGTAGATGAGGCAGTGGACGAACTCTGCCAGCCAGAGACGTAGATTGTGTCGAGGAACTTGCTCATTTGGGTGATCATGGTAGGCTCGAGGCAGCCATAGGTAAAGCTGGCTTGCTTGTTCTATTCGTGCATCGTATAGTTAGTAATGGGTATATCACACCTCACTGTCCAGACTCCAACATACCTGGAAGTTTGATTCGACAATTCCCCACAGCTTCTTAGCTTGTACGTTGGACGGGTAATCGATCTTCAAATTGCCACGCTTGGCCACGATCTGCTCAGCCGTGAAAGGGCGCTTGGTGTAGCGCCAGCGAGAGTCCTTCCACCAGTTCTGAACGGCCTGAACCTCTGCCGCATACTGGCGGTCTTCGTCTTCGTGTAAACCCATGACTTTTGGTAGTATACAAAAAAAGGGTGCAAATGCAAGCAAGTGTATATTCACGCGACTGTTCCAAGGCTAGTCAAGTATAGACCCAACAGATATGATGAGAAAGATGAGAAGGAAGAGAAGCAACCACAGACTATAATAATAAAAAATCTCGATCACAAGCCAGAAAACCCGGGGTACTTATTTAACCTTCGAATGCGTCACAGTCGGTAAACGCTCGGCTCACCGGGAGGACAGCCAACACTCGCAATGCCTAGGTATTCATCTTACTGTTCAGGCTCGACCAATGTTTCACGGGCATTGCGCTCCGAAAGGCGGAAGGCGGGTATAACTGGGTTCGGAAGAGAGGATCCAGACTTCGTTGATCCTCGGTCTAATGGGACATCGCTTTGCCACTGCTGACTGCCTGTTTCCCCTTGTGTGACCATGAAATTGAAGAGAAAACCTATCGGGATCTCATCTTCAATGTCTCTCTCTATATACCTTTCAATCATTCTTTAATTCTTCAATTCTTCTATCTCTGTTGTTGAAGTGGTAAAGCGAAATGACCGTCGGGAAGCGCATGACGTCGAAGACACATGCCAGTACCTCGATGATACATGTATGGTAACTTTCACGTGAATCTTCAACTTCTCTCTCCTTGGCCAGCGGGACTGTGTGCTCTCAGTATGTCAGATATAAGATCTTACAGCCCTGAAACTATCCGGTGGTACGATAAATTGGGTTAAATCCCCGTGAAACAATGATCTCTTTGCTGTATACTCGGACAGAGTTCGTTCGAATATACCCTGCTGTTTTGTCATGCCCCGGTATTCGGCGAGTATCCACCGAGCAATCCTCACGAAATCTATACTTCTCTACTATCACTCTGCACACTTCTGACGACATTCAAAATCTGATTGTAGGAATTGCAATCCGACGCATCTCACTGCCTTTGATATGCCCAGAATTATCTTCTCCCTAGTATTATGTAGTCAGTACATTTTATGGATTCTTCCATCTTCGGTCTTTCAACATTCCTCCATACTATACACAGACACTAGCACGTACACCATACGTCTACGAAATCGGAACGGGAGCGCTGACTTCCTCAAGTGACCTCTACAACTGCAGCTATCCAATAGCAGCTGATCTACTCGAATTGAAGAGAAAATGACTCAAAGCCACCTTGCGAGTTGGACCTCGGCACAACTCAGCTCCCCCGAACTAACCGCATGGGGAGCCTGAAAACCGATAAGACTGACTAGTAGATCAGAATCTATAGATCAGGCCCATAGTTTCAAACAAGGTATCTGTCTCCTGGGTATTGTATGTTCCTGTAAACTAGACGATACGTTATAGGCGCAGATCGCCTTAGATGGCGGTATTCGGTCCGTGTGCCTGCCGAGATATAACATGAACCTTAGGATTTCTCAAGGTTGGATGCTTAATGCCATAACCCAGAATAGCTGTACACAACCTCCTGAGCAGGCTGAAATAAAAAGGAACTAATTGATTATCCCGAATTCAAATGCATGCACGTAGCTCTCCCAGTTCCCCATACCACGAGAACGGCTTCGGGAAAATCAGGGACCCTCAGCTCCCCCACCCGTCAACACGATCTTCCCCAGCTGCGGAGAGCTTGATGACGCCTTGGTGACTCGGGATCTCCAATTTACTTTTTTCTTTTTCGGTCGGGAAGACTGTCAGTCTGCCGAGGTCTCCGCCGGCTTATTTTCGCTCTACTTCGGGCTGTGGTTCTCGTCGCCGACTCATACTTTATCACACCCCAGAACCTTGGAAGGGGTTTACATTTACCAGGAGATCGTGTAAGAAGAATACATCTGCCGGCATAACGAGAACACACCCATTCTTGTGTATTTTTTATTTTAAGCTAGGAACGCACGAGCAAGAAACTAGTTCAAGACTATAAACAAATGATATCAAGGAATCCCAAAATGAACTAAAAAGAGACGTCCTCTCTCCAGGGTTCGACTTTTTGACAGGCCGGGTTCATTTTCACTCATGTTGCTGAGCAGTCCACCTCTGAATAACCTTGGAATTGGATCAGAATGCATCTGAAGCAACGACCGCCTTGTGGTACGTCTCGTAGGGGGTGATTGTTCCCAAAGAGCGTCTCATGTGAGCGTTGAGAATTTCCAAACCGTAGACATAACTGGCATTCACCCAGCCGAATCTGCGAATCTGTTAGCACTGGACAATAAAACAAAATTGAAGGTAAATAACATACCCTTCACGCGGAGCGCCCTTGAAGTCCGTGCCTTGGTTGCCGTACTCGGCATCGACTCGGTGGGGATCAATCGGCCTAGTGACATCATACTTCTCGACAACAACGCCGTTGAAGTCAACGAACGCCTTGGTAATCATGTACACCCATTTGTAGGCCAGTCGCTCCGCCTCCTCTTGGTATCCGTAACGCAGGAAAGCGGTCCAAGCAAGCATCTGCTGTGGCGCCCAGCCGTACGGGTAATCCCACTGCCGGTTAGGGCGTTCCAAGCCCACGGCACCGCGAGACTCCTCCGTACCTGAAACCAAGCCGCCAAAGGCCTCGAAACGGGGCAAAGCCTTCTCAACCATGACGGCGGCCTGCTGGGGTGATGCGAGACCGGCCCACATGGCCCAGAAGGTGGTCGCAGTCTCGTATTCCTGGCGCTCCTTCTTCGCTGTGTCGTAGTCGAAGTACATGCCCTTCTCAGCGCTCCAAAGGAGCTTGTCCATGGTCTGCTTGCGCTTGCGGGCGCGGCGGTCCCAGGCGGCAGATGATTCGAATTCGATGTCCCTGGTGAGAGGAGTTCGGAATTCGCTGGGAATGACAAGCTTGTCGTTGAAATGAACACGAATGATACGAGCAATGTCTACCTCGTACTTGTACAGCAGGGAGTTGAGGTCAACAGTGGCAAGGTTTGCGCACACGCCCTCGAGACGATAACTGGTGTCGTGACCAGATTCACGAACACCTCGATCGTGCATGAAGTACTCATCGAGCTCAGGCTCAACGATGGCCCGGGTGTTGTATGCTCGGACAAATTGCTCGAAGGTCATTCCGTGCTTTTCGGCGAAGGGAGTGAGAATGTGCACAAAGTGAGAAGGCTCGGTCTCGGGTGGCACGCCCCAACCTTCGGGGCGATACCTGGACAATCCTGTTACGGGATCGAGACGAGGCGCGCAAGCCCACACACTGTGGTATTCCTTGATACCAGCAAGAACGGCGTTACGCAGGAACTCCTTAGAGTCCGGCTCCGTCTTTATTCTCTCATAAACTCGCAGAGCCATGTCAGTCAAGAATGGCGGCTGCGAGCGAGTGAGGTAGTAAGAGCGGTTTGCGTTGAGGATTTTACCGTAGTGCTTGATCTCGAAGCAGAAGTTCACAACCATGCCCTTGGCAAGATCGACGCGGTCACTAACAAGCAGTCCCAAGGACTCCATGTAGCTGTCCCAGCCGTAAAGTTCATTGAAGCGGCCACCCGGCACCACAAATGGCACACCGACCATATCGTCCTTGCCGGTGGTCTCATTAAACTTCTTCTGCATGGCAAGCGCCAGCAAACCAGGCTTGTCGTTCAGCTGCATCACATAATCGGGTGTAATCTCGGCGGGAAGCAATTGCACATCAAGGCGCAGCTCCGGGTGATCCTTAGCAATCTGAGAATAGTAGTCAAATTGCTCTGGAGCACCTGGCGGGATGTAAATTCGGGGCCGAGGGTCATCGGTCCAGTCTTTGGGATCCTTGCCCGCTACCTCGATATTATGGCCATCAATGCGCCTCGTCAGGGCTTTCCAAAATGAGTTCTTGATCAAACGAGAGAGACGTGCAACCGGGTTCTCGCTTAGACGAGCCTCGTCAAGGATAATGTGCTTGCGACCATAGTCTTTTGCAATTGTAAGCTCTTGCAAGAGGTTGGAAAGCATGTATGTGCCTCGCACGTCAACTCGATTGTATCCGGATGACGCCGCAGTGCCGACCGAGAGAACCTATAAGCGGGAAGTGGTTAACGGTGATTCAAAGCACTCGGTGGCATCAAACGCACCTTCGGACCAACATCCTCAATTGTGATCTGCATATTACTATCGGTATCTTCTTGCTTCAGGAGAGACTGAAGGGTCTCTTCAACCTCGATAAGGAACTTCCGAGGTTGTCCTGACGCCTCATCTGCGTGTCGCCATCAGCTGTTGTTGTGAGGAAAACGAGTTCAAATATTGGTAAACGCACCATGACTACCTCGCCGTGAGGGCAAAGTTCCCAGGAAATCACTGATATCGCCTCGGTTGGCGTCGTTCAAGCCCTATAGATCGTAAAGATAAGCCAGCTGTAGCTCCGCGGGGTACCGCACAGGCGGTGGCGGCTTACCACAGAGAATGCACGCCCTCTCGACCTAAAGTTCTTGAGGGTATCTTCAGCGCCATAATAGACATCGGCATTCGAGAAAGGGTCAATGGAGCCAGATCTGGAAGGCCCATTTGACGAGCTCATGGTCTATGGAGAGAGGAAAGAGTGGGTGCACAATCCGAAATTCAATTGTGCGTCACGCAAGGGTACCTTGTCCACACCGACTATTTTCCGAGAGTCAGACTGGACGATTCAAACCGCAAGGACAGACGCTGTGATAGGTCTGACAGGATAGGTCTGATATGTGAAAGCAATGTTCCGGTCCGCGTGATGTGGCCAGAAAATGTTGACGTATCGTAAGTAGTGAGTCAGAGTAGATAGAGCAGTTTCAGGTTCAATGAGTAAAAATGTTTCAAAAGAATAAGATGAGGATATAGAACTTGTTAAGGAAGAGGTGGGAGGAAGAACAATGACGCATTCCCACAATGATGTCGCCGCTCCACTTAAATATTGCCCCCGATAAGCTTGCGATAACAGAAGGCGAGAGTTTTTTGGAGGCAAGAAAGCAATTATAAATAGTTATCCCCGTAGTTCCTTTCATCAATTAAGTAGAGCGCGCCACCAAGTTCCAGGGCTGTTCGCAGAAGGATCTTTGAGTTCAAGGAGGTTCAGCCATCTCCTGGAATGTTAGGGAATCTCTGCCCCGAGTTGACCCCACCCAAAACAAGATATACTTGGGCTAGACGGAGGCCCCATAAAAAAAGTCGCAATGGAATGTGGTACTGCATTGTACGGAGTTGGAATATGGCTATTTACAGAATATCTTAACATCGCGCCATGTGCTCACAGCTTCGCAGCGACGGCGCTTCCACCATCGAGTGTGATAGTTGCGCCATTCACAAATGCACCGGCACGACTGCTTAGGAACAAGCAAGCACCAGCGACATCCTGCGGGGTTCCAATGCGACCCAGAGGCACACCGGCCTTGATGGTCTCACCGAAGGACTTCAGTGTCGCTGCCATCATCTTACTCTCAAAAGGCCCGCAGGCCAAGGTGTTCGAACTGCAAACAACATTAGTCTTTCATTAACCACGATTTAAAGCAAGACAGAAGAACCTACGTAACGTTTCGCTTGCCCAGGTGATTGGCAAGCACTCGGCTCAGGTGATGCAAGCCGGCCTTGCTGGAACTGTACGCGAATGTCTCGAGGGAGGGAACACGGAGGCCATCAATGCTGCCGATATTGATAATGCGAGAGGGGTCATCTGGTGTGGACGCCTTTTCCAAAAGCGGCGTAACAAGCTGGGTCAAGTCGAAAACACGGTGCAGGTTGAGGGTAAGGACTCGAGTGAAGGCCTCGGATGGGTACTCGTCGTAGGGAGCACCCCAGTTGGAGCCGGAGTTGTTCACGAGGACATGCAATTCTGCAGGGGAACCATTGCGTTAGCTGCAGTGTAACTTTGGGGGATATCAGGCGGAGCTCTTACTGCCTTCGCGCTTGCCCAGCTCCTCGGCCAGCTTCTTCACATCATCCAAGCTATAGAAGTTGGCTGGGATAGCGTGGGCTTTGCCCTTGCCCAATGCATTGAGCTCCTTGGCTGCTTGCTCGCAGGCCTTTGCATCGCGAGAAGAAATGTAGACAGTCGCGCCATTGGTAACGTATCCCTCTGAGATCATGCGGCCGATGCCTTTGGCTCCGCCGGTGACCAGCACCACTTTGCCCTACAGACTGCGTTAGTGTCGAACTGATATACGCGTGAGCTCGTCTTACCTGAACGTTGAAAAGACTTGTTGAATCCATTATGACTTTGTGATATATAGAATTGAATAAAGGATGGTTAAAGATTAAAGATATACTTGCATTCTTGTCGCAGCTCTCCCCACGCATACCCGAAGGCCGAGATTACGACAGAGCCGAGGCTCGCCGGTCTGCAATATCTTTGTTCCGAGATAAATGCACTAGTCTACTTTGGGACACTACTTAGGGCAGCAAAATGAGGGTTTCGCGGGGCTCGGAGGGCGCAGTGTTTATGCTGCTTGCGTCCTCATCCATTGCATATACATCCAATTAAGTTGCTCCTTAGCGTCGGACTACACTGAATTCACTGGTCCCAAAATGGAGGAGCTTCTGTCAAAGCACCGCAAGGAACAAAAAGATCTCCAAGCGCGTATCACGCAACGGAAAAAGTCCGCCACGAAGAAAACTCGCAAGGGTGTCAACGATGAATGCGATCGGATGCAGCACGAGTTGTCCGATAAACAACAGGCTGAAATTGCGCAATTAAATGGAGATCCGGCCGAAGCACTAGAGGACCTCACCTTGGAAGATGGCGAACCAAACGACGAAGAGAAACCCTCCGAGACCCCCAAAGAACCAGAGCCAGAGCCGGAAGTTGACTCTAATCCAAACCCCTCCTCCAACACCAAGAAGCCCAACCGCCAGAAAGCTCGACTCGCCCGCCGAGCAGCCGAACAAGCTGCCCAATCAGCCGCCGCCGCAGAAGAAGCCTCAACCCAAACGAACTACCGAGGCAACGAGCAGGAAGTCATGGACGCAGTCTTCAAGAAACTCGGCTTGAAAGAAGTAGAAGTGACGCCGGATGGTCATTGTCTCTACTCAGCCGTTGCAAAGCAACTCGACGAGTCCGGGCTCGGCTTACGACCGGACCCAAGCCGAATCGTCCTCCAGTCGTCTACGCAGTCACGCATCGACACAGTCGCATCTCCACAGCATGACGGCTATCGAGCTGTTCGCGCCGTCACGGCGGATTTCATTGCCGAACATAAAGAGGACTTCGAGGCGTTCATGGAGGAGCCTTTGGAGTCGTACACGCGGAAGATTAAATTGACCGCCGAGTGGGGAGGACAACTGGAACTGCAGGCCATTGCGCGGGCGTACGGCGTGGAAATCAACGTTGTACAGAGCGACGGACGCATGGAAAAGATCGAAAGTGGTGAAACCTTCGACGAGGAGGAAAAGCGCAAACGTGTGATCTGGCTCGCGTACTACCGTCACACCTACGGACTCGGCGAGCATTACAACGCCCTTGTGAAAAAGTCATAATCTGTTCAAACTTATACATAATACCATGTTCGCATTTTCGTCTCAGCTTGGCGGAAGCCAGAGTGTGCTATGCTTATATCATTCGTTTTGTTTTGTTCATTTTGGCAGTGCTTTATGCGGCACTACTTAATTGCGGCGACGCCAGATGGAAACTCGGTCGTGGATCACTCCGTTCTCTCCTTGGCCTACCTCGTGAGTGCGCTCTGGCTTCCAGTATGCCACTCTCTCCAGGCCGTTCTTACTGGGTTCCCGAAGAGGCTCGTATTTCACGACACCCTTGTCATCGTAAGCAATTTGTTCGCCTGGGTGACTCAAGTGCTCCACATATGCTTCTGAGGAGGCACCATATGGGGGCCCCGCAGCTAGGGGATCCTTATGACGCGGGAACTCGAGGCAGATCAAGTTCCCCGCGGGGGAGGGAGCCAGAAGCTGGGTGTGACGGAGCGCCCACTTGGGACGCAGCGATGGCTCAAGAGCACAGAAGAACTGGAAAATGGTCAGAGTATGAACTGATATGGCAGTTATACATCAACGTGAGAGAATATCCACTTCTCAAGCTTGGCTCGAGCTGCCCCGCAGTATGACATGTTCTTCAATCCAGCAAAAGGCCACGAAGACAAAAAAGGCAACATACCGTATAATCATAGATAACATCGAAAGAGTTCAATGGCAAGCCAATGCTCTGTAACCAAGCATCATCGAAGAAGTCACCTTGGATCCAAGTGACATTGCCGGTGCCTACCGACTGATCCCGCACCCGATACCAATTGGCATTCTCTTTCTCCTCCTTCTTGCAAGCCTCGATAGCAGCCGAGCTGTACTCTAGACCATAGGCATCATACCCGAAGCTCGCGAGCAAGAGGACGTCAACGCCCCTCCCGCAGCCGGGGACCAGCGCCTTGCGCCTGCCGGCATCGGTAACGGGCGCACCAATGGTTGGGCGCTGCTTGACGAGGGTGTCCTCCAGAGCTGGGTTGGGGAAGCCCCGGTCCCAGGGCAGCTTGTCGCCCTTATCCCAGAGGGAGGCCCAGCCTTCGACATACTTGTCGCCCTTGTATTGGGATAGGTGGGCCTGGATCTCCTTGGGATCGATGTTGGTTTGCATTGGGACAGTCATTATTGATGGAGAAGATGGGATTGGTTGGAATTGGCGCTTCTGCGATTATTTTGTAGAGATCGAGAAGATGGTTGAGTTCACCGTCTTTTGACTATCGATGAGGTCTCGTGAGGCGCTTATTAATCGCCTCCTTGCGGCGCTGAAGCGATCAGTTCGCGGGGTGGGTTTGAAGGACTGGTTTACTTATTGACCCAGTGGAGTCCTGTCAGCTAATGCCAGACATCCATTTTAGATGAATAAATCTGTTGAGCAAGCAATTGCTGCTGCGGCTTCGTACAACAGTGCGCGTTTGCGCTGTCGTGAATCGATAGCGATAGCTTCTCGTTTGCGCGCCCGTCCTGGGGGTATTTAATGCCCCAGGGACCCTTCTCCAATGAGCCATCGTTTCTGGACTTCTGCTTCCTCGCAGAGAGATTTCTTATTTCCTCAAAATCTCCGCTATATCAGCGAGTCCGGGGTATGGAAAGTGCCAAGCTATCAGTTCCAGACTTCGTCATTTGAGTGGACAGTCAGCGCGCACAAGCACTTTATTGTGACTACATTCTGGCTGCCATTTTCGTGCCGATGTCAGTCCAGAGAAAATGCCTGGGTATTGATACTTGTATTATATGCATGGTGCCTCACAGCTTATCAATGACTGCAAACGTACTTGTAAAAGTTCCGACGTTGCAGTCTCCAACACAGAAGCCTCGGGAATGGCCCACTTTCATGTTTGCCGACGGAAGACCGGCACCGTCTCGACTCTGACTGGCCCCCAAAGCCGTCGCATGCAACGTATGGGTCTAGAAAGATTGGGCTCGGATATTAATCCAGAGATAACGCACTACTGAATGGCTCGGACGTCGTCGGTGCTTGTCGGTGCTTTGCAGAAAAATGAAAAGCTTTAGCAGTGAACTTGATCTTCCAAGGTTGTCGATCTCCAAATAACTCTTCATCTCGCTTAGAACTTTTGAGACGCTTGGCTTTTCAGTCTCACTGCAGAGTTGCACGTCATTTGCGCTCTTTTAGGAAGTGACTGCCCAAGCTGTTCGTGGCAGGCACCTCTGGACTACTTTCACGTTCCTCGGGCATACTCCACAGCCCTATGCACACTATTCTTTGCGACAGGCTGCCTTTCGGCTTCACAGTTTTATCTATTGTTGATCAAAGTTTCACCTGATTGATCGTCAGGGATTGTGTTTCCGAAGGCTCGTTTTCGTTACAGATTACATTCAACTATTCCATTACCCCAACTCAGATTCGCGCAATCGTCCACCTCGATGGCGAGAGAAATACCCGATATGCGAGAAATATCTGAAAAAGATCATATCACCCAGTCGGAGTTGCCAACTTCATCGGGTAGCGGCGAGCAGTCGACCATCGCAGCCGATGTCAAGTCCGAATTGGCAAATGACAACCACTCACAGTCAGCCACCTCCAGTATACAGGATGACGAATGCGAAAACGATGACCCAGAATCGAACGCAACGCGCCTGGAGCGTCAGTCCACAGAGATCGGCCCCGCCATCAAGGTTGCGCGACTGAAGCGCCGGGGACTATTCGGGCAGCTGGCGTTGGTAGCGGAGGTTGAGAACCCCAAGACCTACCCCCGCCGAATGAAATGGTTCATCACATTCATCGTTGCGCTTGCTGGAGCCACGGCTCCAATGGGTAGCTCGATCTTCTTCCGTTAGTTCTCATTCGATTCTTGGCAAGCGGATCATATCTAATCAATCTCTTAGCATCGTTATCTCAGGTCTCGAGAGAGTTGAACACAACCACTACCATCACTAATTTGTCAATCGCATTGTACATGCTGGCCATGTCCATCTTTCCACTGTGGTGGTCATCATTCAGTGAGCGATTGGGGCGTCGGACCATCTATCTAGCGTCTTTCGCTCTCTTTGTGGTCTTCAATTGCCTCTGTGCCGTGTCGAACTCTATCGGGATGCTCATTGTGATGCGAATGCTAAGCGGCGGTGCTTCTGCTTCGGTCCAGGCAGTCGGTGCTGGCACTATTGCTGATCTTTGGGATACTAGGGAGCGAGGACGTGCTATGGGTATCTTCTACCTGGGCCCGCTGTGCGGCCCTTTGTTTGCGCCGATCATCGGTGGTCTTTTGGCTCAGCGCTGGGGATGGCGAAGCACAATGTGGTTCCTGGCGGCCTTTGGTGCCCTCACGCTCATATTTATCCTCGTCGCACTCCCGGAGACTTTGACATTGCAGAAACCCATGATTTACGAAGTCGACGAAGAAGAAGACACAGATATCAGCCGCTCATTGAGCCGGGTATCCTCACGCCAAGTTGTTCGGTCAACCACAAAGTGGCTGAAGACTTTGAAAATGGTGTTCATCGATCCACTCAAGATCATCCTCTATCTGCGATTCCTTCCTGTTCTTCTCAGTGTATACTACGCCAGTATCGCATTTGGTTCGCTATATGTTCTCAACGTCAGTGTCGAGGAAACATTCGGAAAAGCGCCATACAATTTCTCGACCATCATTGTTGGCCTGCTCTATATACCAAATTCGATGGGATATATGGTGGCAAGTATCTTTGGTGGCAAATGGATGGACAGCATCATGCAAAGAGAAGCGAGGAAAGCAAATCGGTACGACGAGAAAGGCAGATTGATCTATTGTCCCGAGGATCGAATGCGTGAGAACGCTTGGCTCGGCGCTTTTTTGTATCCGGCGGGACTGATCTGGTACGGATGGGCTGCGGAAAGGGGAGTATTTTGGCTTGTTCCGGTATGTCATCGTGCTTTGAGAAACCACACATTTCACTAACTTCGGCCCGATAGATGATCGCAAACTTCTTCTTTGGCATGGGCTCCATGCTCATCTTCAGTATGGTCACCACGATGCTGACAGAATTCATGCCGAAAAAGTCATCAGAAGGTGTTGCTCTGAACAACTTCGTGCGAAATATCTTCTCTTGCATCGGATGTGTGGTTACTGCTCCTATCATCGGTGGTATTGGTAATGGATGGCTGTTCACTATCCTCGGTCTGGTTAGTTTCGCTAGTAGCGGCGTCATCCTTCTCATGAGGCTCTATGGTCCGAAATGGCGGATGTCTATGGATGCAAAATTGCAAAATTGAGCCATATTCCTGTTGCATGACTTGCATTTGTATCTGGCGTCAAACCACGTTCCTTTTTCGCTTTTGAGGGCAGGTCTCACTGACATGACTCTTTACTACTATTAGCCTTCGTCCTGATGTGACTCACGAAAATGACTTATTCATATCCTCTAATTATCATTGTTCTCGCTTCCTTGGTTCACTCTTTTAGTGTTTCAGAGCCGTGGACTGAGGATTGGCTTCCTTTGCGCCTGGGACACTTGCTATTGTTAGACGGTCTGAACTGGCTGGGATTGTCGCTTTCGAATTTCCCACCGTCTGATAATTGAACGGACTCTTTTGAAACGAGCGATAGTAGATGAGCAAGAGACTCGATAGGAAAAGCGGACCAACAAAGTACTCGCTGCGGTCCACCTGGAGATGGCTGGTGTCAGAAAGAGCAATTTAGATTGCACAGTCTATGCGTACGAGTAACACAGACCTCGGGGCCCGACAATGTCCGTACCACGAGATAGTACGGCCGCAATTCGCCATGGGGAAATGCGTCCCATTTGATCCTCACGTCTGGTACAGTTAGCAGATGCTCTGTAATAACCGTGATACTCCGATCAGGCCATATACAGTAAAAAGCTAATATGATCAGCCATCATATTGCCACTTGTAAGCACTAACGCAAAGTCATGAATAACCGCTGGCATGTACCTTGAGGTACCTAGTTGCGCGAGCCGATGTTACTTCCAAGGCTATTAATGTTTGAGGTTTCATATTATAACAGGGTAGACGGCCAACCGTTTCCCTTGGCCTTTCTAAGCGGGCTACCTAATCTAGATTAATTTGTTCTGCACAAACAGTTGACCAAACTATTAATGTGCCACTCCAGATTGAATGAAAGCGCTTCACAGAGATGGTATGGTTTGGTCAAACCGTAGTTTTTGATATCCTCGATGTTGGCCGGTGTGGTTCATCTGACTCTCGATATTCTCCCAACCTCCCGACTCGGTCAATCACGCTCAATGGCCTCCGAACATCCATCGAGATATTGCGACAAAGAAGAAGATGCAAAATGCCATTGGATTTAATCGTTAAACAGTAGAACCTGGGTTCGAGGAAATTACACATAGCCTTATTGTTAACGAAACCACTCTCGCATCTACACATGCCAATTTGTCGATCCCACAATTTTCCGTGATAACAATCAACACCGCCGAGCAATGATACCCCTGAGGCGTTGATAAGCCAGCTCGTATTAATGAGTAGATTGATCGCGATGATGTTGATTCCATACCGACCGAATAAGCTGTCACTTCTCTGTGGGAGCTGGCGGTGCAGCTTGCTCATACGCGAATGTCTATTCAGGCCGAACTCAGAACATCGAAGTCCAATGAATTGTATTATATTTATGTGTAGTTTACAATTTGCAATGTCATCCTGATCTTGGGTTACTCCATGATGCGTGTTCAGGGACACAATAGACATAATGGATGAAGTTGGAAGCATGGGAATCTGCCATATGGGTAGTAGCTGACGTAGATACGAAGGACTCCTACGGAGTACTCAGTAGCATTCTCATTAAGCGAGGGTCTGATAACCAAAACGTTTACTAACAGTACGAAGTAAGGATATCAACAGGATTACAGTAAATCAAAGTTGGGATGCACGCAATCCTGAATCTGCAGAGAAAAGCAGGGCAGCCAATCATGGCACAGCAATGCCATGATTTTCACTAGCTTAGGCTTCTAGCGAACATTCGATACATGTTTGAGGGGAAGTACTTATCGAGATTGAGGGGTTGATGCGCTAGTGAGGCATTATTCCGCTTCTTTGTTGCTTTTTTCGCCAGGGAAGCATCATGTAGAGATCCGATGCCGGCACCGCGGACGACCTATCCGTTTTCTAGCTCTAGTCTCAAATATGGGACTAGTACAGAGTACTCCGTACTCTGTATACGAGTCTTTCATCATCTATCTCATGATCGGCGTACTTGTAGAATGTCAATCGCCGGCGATCAAACAGCTGGCAAAAGACAACACTGTTTCTGCCCATCTATGTTGTCACAGGGAGTATGGAGTAGGAAGTACAAAGTGCGAATATCGCCTGGAGCAACATCCAAGATTACAAATCGTTGCCCAATTCCGAGAATAGCATCCTATGCGCTGAGAACTCAGGATGGAACGGGTTCATCTGGAGGGTGGCCATTTGCCAGTCACAGCCGATACAGCATGGATGCTCGGTCCGCTGCAGGAGGTTGGGTATGGAGGGAAATGATTTGGCAATTAGACTGAGCGTACGGGGTATTGGGGATTTCTATTGAGTATTCCGTAGGGAGTACAAGCGATCTGAAAAGAGCCAAGATCGAAAGATAGCACCAATCTAGTCCGTCCGACAACACAATTACTCGTACGCAGTAGTCTGGGCATGCATGTAGCTGGTTTCGAAATTGAGTGTTGGTTTGACACGGTACTTTTTCTGCATGGTGGTATACGGAGTACTGTAGTACTCATAGATATTTTTATTTTAGGCACATTAGGTCGATTGAGCGCATAAGCGGTATCAAACAACTGGGGGGGAGAAAAGGGGTCTGACGAAATTGTACAGTCCAGCATTGGAAGCGACCATCTCCAACGAATAGCCGTGGGGGCGTGCAGGAATCGTGTTAATTTGGGAGTGGCTGGGTTGAATGCGAAGATCGCACAGTGATCGCCCGTAGATTCAATTGAAACTTCTCGAAAATAGCAGCAAATCGTAAAATCGTAAGAAATCGGAAAACGAGAAATGCATAACCCAGCGAAGATTGTCACCTGACCACGACATTGGCCTCGCATCCAAAGTGTACCTAATCCGCTCTCAATTGCTGCACCATCTACATCACCATCTCAACTGCTCCCTTACGTGTTACTTGGGAGTGGCACAGGTCAATTGAGGCCTCTGAAGTGTCGGTGTCGGTGTCGGTGTCCAAAGTGGAGATTCTGTTGTACCCACGACCCCCATTGACTCCATCCAGTTTCGCCTTTCCAATTTGACTCATAACAACGGCACAACGGTGTGAGGCCGAAAATTGATGCAATAAAAAAAAGAGAAAAAGACCAAGGCATCGTTATTGCCACAGTTGACTCCGTACTCCGTACTCCGTACAGTTGAGCTAATCCCCCACGGTGAAGGCCTGCATCTGCCGCTGCTGCCGGACGTTGGGCAGAAATTCGTACCGCACTGCGACTAGTCACGACCCCTACGATTCTCTTCCCTCCTCCCCCCATTAACCCATTCGTCTTTTACTGAGACATGGGCTTCGTGGCTTCGTGTGCCATTGTTGTCTACATGCCCAATTACCAATTCCCTCTTGTCCTCAGTACTCGTACATCCTTCTGCGTTAAATACACAAAATTCAATTCTTTCGGTGGCACCCCCCACTTCAACAGACCCAGTTACTCCATCGTCCTGCAGCACTGCTTTTCCTATCCTGACCGATGTGCTCCCCGATCTCCAATCCCCTCTCGCCATTGAGGCTTGGTCCTGCAGCTATTCCTGCGGGTGTGGATCGTACTGTTCTCACCCGGCCCTAAACTCAGCACCGGGCCTCACTAACCTTCATGTCGGCGAGTATGGAGACCCGAGGTTCAACGTGGCCCAATGGCAATGGGCCTCATCGGGCAGTTCATTGATGACGTTCAGGGCCCAAGACCGCACTGCAGTTTGTTGTCGTCCCATCCGACCGGGTAGGGGACGAACTATTATACGCTGCCTCACCATGACTGTCCAATGCGGCGTCTGTGTGTCACCAGAGAAACAAGCATATCCTTCTTTTCCCTTTTGGTCCTCTAATACAGGAGTACCCTGCCCAGTCTCACTCTCTCCTCATTTCTCCATCTTTTTGTATCTTTTGTATCTTTTGTTCCTTTTTCCTAGCCGCCCCAACATCCCGTGCAGCGCGAGCCCGACAACCGGCTTGTCACTTTCCTATTGTTCCGGCCTTTCCATCACGCGCCAGTCAGCACCTGGCCTCGATATATGATACGTCATTGAAATATTATGGCTAAGAAAGGAGGGAAAAAGAATAAGAAGAACACCGTCAACCGTCCACCCGTCGGTTCTGCACCCCCTGATACTGAAAACAAAGACCTCGTCGACAATCCTGCCCCAGACTCGGCGGCAGGTGCAGTTGAGGATGGCGTACAAGTATGCACAACTCTCTGACTTTGCCTACCAACCCGTCTCTCGTCAATACCAGACGTTTAATTATGAGACCTCTTCTTTTTCATTTTACCCCGTTACCTATTCATCGACCGATCTGACCGAGGGCCAAAACCAGGACAACAATGAGCCCGCTGCCGATGCGGACAAGGCCCCAGGCTCTGAAGAAGCTCCTGTAGCGGAGCCAAGTGCTTCGCCAGATGATGCCCCGCCCGCTGAGCCTACAGGTAAGTACATGCATCTACAGAGGACCATGTTCATGATTGAGATCTCCTATGATGTTGCGGGTCAGCATTTAACAAATCTCTCCAGATCCAGAGGCTGCGCCACCAGCCGAGGCTGCACCTGAAGACGGTGCGCCTAAAGAGGATGCTCCCGCAGAGCCCATCCCAGAGGCCAGTGAGGAGCCTAAGGATGAAGCTGCAGAATCTGCAGAAACCCCTGAGGCTCCAGCAGAAGCTGCCCCAGAAGGCGAGAAGCCTGCAGACGAACCGGCACCTGAAGAGGAAGCCAAGTCTGAAGAGGAGCCCAAACCTGAAGACGACTCAAAACCTGAAGGCGACGCGAAGCCAGACGACGAAGCAAAGCCCGATGAAGGGCAAGCCCCGAAGGCGACGCGAAACCTGAAGATGAAGCAAAGCCCGAAGACGAGGCAAAGCCTGACGAGGAAGCAAAGCCTGAAGGCGGCGAAAATGCACCCCCTGCTGGTGAGGACACCAAGAAAGGCGGCGGCAACGATGGTAAGCATGGAATTTTCTAACAGGATGTCACATCCCTAACAGTGTTGATAGATGACGAATTTCCAGAATGTACTCCAGAAGAAGATGCCGAAAAGGTAGCGGCCGAGAAAGAGGCAGCTGCCAGAGAGGCGGCCGAGGAAGCCCAACATGATGGCGGTGATGGCGCTGCCGCAGAAGCACCTTCAGAACCAGCGCCCGAGCCTCAACCAGAGCCAGAGCCTGCAGCAGAGGAACCAGCGCCAGATCCAGCCCCAGCCCCAGCCTCAGGAAAGAAGAAGAAGAAGAAGGGCAAGAAGGGCAAGGCGGCAGCCGAGCCCGAGCCCGAGCCCGAGCCTGAATCTCAACCTGAGGCAGCCCCGCCAGCAGAGCCAACAGAACCAGAACCGGCACCGGAAACAGCGCCGGAACCTGCAGCAGAGCCGGAACCTGAACCCGAGGCAGCACCACCAACAGAGCCAGAGCCCACGCCGGAACCCGCAGCGGATCCCGAGCCAGAGGCGGCTCCAACGCCTGAGGCCGAGGCCGAACCTCCCGCCGATGATACGCCTGCCGCTCCCTCGGAGGAGCCTGCAGAACCAGCAGCGACTGAACCGGAACCGGAACCTGCAGCAGAGCCTGAACCTGAAGTAGCACCAGCGACTGAACCAGAGCCTGCAGCAGACCCTGAGCCTGAAGTAGCACCACCGGCAGAACCAGAGCCTGCAGCAGAACCAGAACCAGAGCCAACACCTGCGCCTGAAGCTGAACCCGAAGCTGAGCCTGAGAAGCCGGAGGAAACTCCAGCACCTCCGCCAGCCGAGGATCCGGCCCCAGCCCCAGCCTCAGGAAAGAAGAAGAAGAAGAAGGGCAAGAAGGGCAAGCAAGCAGACCCCGAGCCAGTTCCTGAGCCAGTTCCAGAACCAGTAGCGGAGCCTGAACCCCCAGCACCAGAAGTTCCCGAAGAGGCCCCAGCCGCCGAGCCAGAACCTGCTCCAACACCAGAGGCCGAAGCAGAACCAGCGCCAGAGGAGGAAAAGGCTCCGGAGGAGCCTGCGAAGGAACCCGAGCCCGAAGCTGCACCAGTTGAGGAAGCTGCTGCTCCTGTGCCCGAGCCAATTGAGGCTCCTGCGGATCCACCAGCCGAGGAGAGCGCACCAGCAGCACCCGAACCTGAACCCGAGGTAGTCGAAGAGGCCCCTCTCGAAGTGATTGCTGAAGAGCCTGAAGCCGAGAAGGCCCCCGAGGAAACACCAGCAGAAGCCCCCGCGGAGACACCCGAGGAGCCTGCGCCAGCACCAGTTGACGAACCTGCTCCCGATGCCCCTGCTCCCACAGAGGAACCAGCCGAAGAAAAGGCAGTTGAGGAAGCGCCTGTAGCGGATCCAGCCCCCGCGGCTGAGGAAGCCCCAGCTGCTGAACCTGCTGCTGAACCTGCGGCCGAAGAACCTGTTGCCGTTGAGGCTGCACCGGAGCCAGAGGTAGTTGAAGAGCCAGCTGCTCTCGAGTCCCCAGTTGAAGAGGCACCTGTTGCTGAGGCCGCTCCCCCGGACCCTCCCGCGGAAGAGCCTGCTGCTGCTGAGCCTGAGCCTGCTGCGGAGCCTACCCCAGAACCAGTGGCCGAGCCTGCTGCCGAACCTGCCGCCGAACCTGCCGCCGAACCTGCCGCCGAACCTGCTGCGGAAGTCGTCGAAGAGCCTGTGGTGGAGGAACCTGCGAAGGAGGAACCGGTGTCAGCACCTGAGCCTGAGCCTACGCCTACGCCTGATCCTCCTGCCGAGGAACCTGCTGCTCCTGAGCCTGCCGAGCCCGAGCCTGAGCCTGTTGCGGAACCTGCCCCCGAACCAGCCGCCGAGCCTGTTGTTGAGGAGCCCGAGCCCGCTGCCGAACCAGTGGCGGCTCCCGCTGAACCTGAACCTGAGCCCGTGGAAGAAGCCCCTGCCCCAGCTCCTGTGGAAGAGGCACCGGTCGCTGATGCACCCGCAGAAGCTGCACCGGAGCCGGAGGCCGCACCAGAGCCCGAGGCACCGAAGGAGATTCCCGAGGAAGCACCTGCTCCCGAGCCAACACCAGAGGAACCTACCCCGGAAGCTGCTCCAGCGGAGGAGGCCCCAGCGCCTGACGAATCACCGGCCGAGCCAGCAGTTCCGGACGCTCCGGCTGAGGCAGCTGAACCCGCCGAAGCTGCTGCTCCGGTCGAGACGCCAGTTGAAGAACCTGTGTCTGAGCCAGCGCCAGAAGAGCCCGTTCCAGAGCCAGAAGCTGCAAGAGAACTTCCTGCCGAAGACCCGCCTGTGGAGCGCGAAGCTGCTCCCGAGCCGGCCCCCGAGCCAGTTCCTGCCATTGACGAAGTAGCGCCCGACGAGGCTGTGCCACCCGAAACCCAGCCTGACATTGATATGGTCGGTGCTGTGCCCATTGTTGAAGGGTCTCCTGAAGGCGATGATGCCGCGCGGCGCGCGCGCCGCCGCAAGAGACGCAGTCCAGTGGAGCGTGAACCAGTGGAACGCGAACCAGCGGAGCGCGAGCGCCGACGCTCCAAGACATCGACCGACGGGCGCCGCGACCAACTCGAACGCCAGAAGAGTGACCGAAACGTCCTAACCAACCGATGGGCCAAGGCCCTGGAGCTAGCACGACGCGAACACGATGCCAAAGCTCAATCCAACCGGATGGAGCGTGCTCTTGTCGAAGAGCGCGAGAAAAATGGAATTCCCCCTCCGACAAGCCGAGACGAAGGAGCTCGACTAAGGACAAGGAGAGACCGAGAGAAATGGAGACCGAGCCTATTCTCATGGAACCTCGGTCCCGACGTCGTGACTCCGAGACTCCGAGTCAGCCGATTGAGCGTGCGCGCTCGACCCGAACCTCTTCGAGCAAGCAGGTCTCGTCATCGGCGCCAACCGGCAAGCCTCGCGCTTTCCTGCGCTACATGACAGAAGGCAAATCCGACACCAATGGTCCTCCATTGCGAGTCAATGCCACCAAGGCCTCTCCACCTGTTGAACGGCCGCGCCGCGCCTCAACCAGTCACAGCACTGGTAGTGGCAGTCGCCATGAGCGTGCTGAGCATATCGAGCATGAGGACGGACACTCCATTGGTCGGTCAAGCGGATCTACTTCTCGTCGTGAAGCCCGTCGCGAAGCGCGTCGGGAAGAGCGTCGTACGGAAGAGCCCCGTCTTGAGCGCACTGATACTAGGAAGTCGCGTCGCTCGTCGACTGCTGAGCATGGCCGATCTCGTGAGAAGGAGAAGGAGCGCGAACGTGAACGCTCGCGATCGCGTTCTCGTGCCCGTGAGCGTGAATTGCATGAGCGGGAGCTGGAACATCAGGAGGGTGAGAGAGAGCGTGAGCGAAGGCACGAGGGATCTTCTCGGCGATCGAAGGACTCGAGGGAGGTTCGCTCTCATCGTCGTCATAGACGTGAGGAGTCGCCGCCGAGAGAGTCGAAGATCAAGAGTATCTGGAGGGCCATTGCTGCTCACTAAGGCTCCTTTGGTGAATTTTTCTTTTGTTACTTGATTTCTGAACTCTCACTTTCAACCTTGTCTTTTATTTCTAAAGGGTGGTTTGTGGTCTCGACAGAATGATCTATATGATATGTATGTTTGATGAATTGCATGTGGAGCGAATCATTGCGGGAGTACTTTGATTTCGTCATTTTATCTAGATTTGATCATGCATCTAAGACAAGCTTTTCTAGCTTTTGAAATAGTATCTATTCTTCTAAAGAACATTAACAGCAAACTAGATATCTTTCCTGGAATTCATCAAGCTGCGCCTCCAAGCTGTTCCAAGGTTCTTCGGGGGTTCATACTAGGGTTCTCCACATTGATCCAAAACGCTTTGCTATCTTCGGCAAGTCCACAGGTCTCGGTCCAAGGGTACCTAGTTTAGAACCTTGGAAGTATGAGAGTTACCAAACTTCCCAACTAATGACTAGGGTACTTACATTGCCACAAACCCTTCGACCGTTGATGCGATGTATCAACTTGCCGCGGAGGATGCGTGACTCCGAGGCAGATATGGGGGTGATAAGGGACATATCCATAGTGTCTCTTACTCTTGCTTCTTGTCATGATCAAACCATGTTATTATATATCCCGAGTATAAAGGGATTTTCCCTATGACAAGGAACTACAGAAGCCTGAGGCGGATCGGTGACGACTCTCCACCGAGAGGACCTTGCTCCGTGATGTGATATGATCAGAAAAGCGGCAAGTTCAATCATCAAAGAACATCAGCAGTACGCTCAAATGCAAGCCAAATCAAAGACTCTCGCTCTTCGCCGGTATGACCCTCGAGCACCACCCACACCAAGCGCGATGCAAACCCTCCTCCTCACGAACAAGATAGTTGCCCGTCTCCCTCTCATCCTCATACTCAACAACACAGGCCCCAACATTGACCCTCTTCTTTGACTTGTGCTTAACAACACCGCCAAGCCCAATGACTTCCTGTCGGAAATATCCAGGCTGGTCTTCATCGTGTCCGTCAATAGGACTACCATTTTCATGGTAGTACGGCGCATGCCCCGCAGGACTTCCAGACCTGCTACTGTCACTGCTAGACTCATCGGCCTCGCAGTCGACCTCGAGCTCGATCTCCTGCGACGCGAGACAGCCCTCGCCTCGCCCGCATTTCACGCCCTGGCATCCTTCGCCAATGCCCGTGCCCACGCCACCAAGGTACGTGCTGTACCGCGTGCGCCAAGCCCAGACTCGGCGATACGTAGTGTCGTTGCTGCGCAAGGTTTGTCCACATTGCGTGCATAGCCAGACTGCCTCCTCGCAGTTACAAGGTGTGCGCGCGAAAGCCGTAGCCGCAACACTGCCTTCATGCGGATCCGAGTGTGTGTCGGAGTGGCGGGAGAAGTGTGAGGAGAGTGGTGCGGTGCCGCACGATCGACACAGGCGACGAATGCGGCTTTGAAGGGCGTGCTTATTGGGAGGTTTGATAGTGCAGTTCTGCGGTGCGGTTAGTGAGTGAATTCAGCGATTGATTCGAGAACTTGGATTACTCACTCTGCAGACAACCTTGGTGCAGCGACGGCATTCGGCCACCATGTCGCGTGCACACTTGCCCACTTTGCCGCGGGTCATACGACCCGGGTCGCCGGTCCCTCGTCTCAGGAGTTGGATGACAGATTTGACGCTGTCCGGGATGACAGCACCCTCGTCTAGCATCTCTGCTAGTGTTTCGACGTACTCATTTTCGCACCGAAGAGTTTCTCGCACTAGTTGATGGCGATACGGTGCCAGATTCGCGTGGAATTGACGACATGTACTTGATAGGGCGTGGAGGGTAGTCAGGTCGATCGCTCGAGCGATCTCTTTGATGATGCTATTGGATGCATCTGGTCAGTTTCATTTCCCCCGCATTCCGTGTTCCACAGGCTATAAACACGTACGGATAACAGCTCAACGCCGCCGAGAAACCACTCCGATTCAGAGTCTGGCTGTGAGTCTCCGATAAAGCTGGAGATGGAGGTAAAGCGGCGGATTCCGAATTGGGGTCAACCTTTAGCTGGAAGGGCTCCAATCCGGGAAATTCATCGTCGAGGTCGACAAAGACCACCATGCTGCTCCATCAGAGGCTTTCTGAGATCAGCATCGGATCAGATAAGGGGGCTTTTATAGTGGCACCTTTCCCCCTTTTTGGAAGGTTGAATGTTTGGTTCGCGGAGTGGGATGATGGCGGAACGACTGCTTCCCTCCGTCTTCGGGGGCGGTGAGTTACGTGATCTGGTCTTGACTCCAGGGCTCTTGACTCTTGACTCTTTTGATTCTCTGTTTATTTTGTCTTTACAATGACCTTTCTGGAAAACATGCATTTTTCAATCAATTCAATCATCTCTATATTATGCGGCATATTACCCCTCTACAAGACACACCTAGCCTCGGCCAAAGCACCGATAAGATAGTCTCCAACTTTCTCCAATATTAAACGGCGGGGTCTGCCGACCCGAATCCCACGCGCTATGTGTGGGGGGACTTTATAAGGTCCTGGTAGCCCGCTAAGGCATTTGCTCTCTAACAAATTCAAAATGCCTCTCAACGCCAAAGCGGTTTACACTCGAGAAAATGCGGACTATGTCCCATTCCCCAGTCGACGGAGTACCGTCCACAGTACGAATGGCATTGTTTCATGCACCCAGCCGCTAGCCGCAGCTGCGGGCCACCGGATTCTGAGTCAAGGTGGAAACGCAGCGGTATGCACCTTGAGCTTTGACAGTTACATCCATAGCTAATCATCTTTTTCAGGATGCCGCTGTTGCCGTGGGTAAGCCTTGAGTCTCAAGAGATGCGGTTCGGGCTATGGACTGATTGCGTGATTCAGCTGCCGGACTTAACATGACCGAGCCATGCTCCACTGGTATCGGAGGTGACATGTTCTGTCTCTTCTATAATGCCAAGACGAAGAAGGTACATGCGCTCAATGGCTCCGGTCGTTATCCTGGCAGTGCCAGCTTGGAGAAAATCCGATCGGATCTCGGCTTGGCTCCTGGCGAGCCGGGCAAAATGCCCATGATGAGCGCTCTCTCAGCCACGACCCCCGGAGCCGCCGCCGGGTGGGTGGACACGGTTGAGAAGTTTGGTAGTGGTAAGTTGTCACTGGAGCAGATTTTACAACCTGCTATTGAGCTCGGCGAGGAAGGATTCCCTGTCTCCGAGCTTTCATCTCATGGGGTAAGGATTTGACGTGAACAACTCATGCGATGCGCGCTGACAGTGATATAGTGGCACAACGCTGAAGATGATATCCGCGGCATGTCTCCCAACTTCCGTGAGATGTTGAAGGTTGATTCCGCTGCCAAGGACGGCGTGCGACCTCCGCGCCCAGGTGAGATCATGAAGAACCCCACCCTGGCCAAGACTTTCCGCACACTGGCTGCAGAGGGCAAGAAGGGATTCTATAAGGGCCGGATCGCCGAGGCGATCGTCAAAGTGGTCCAGGATCAGGGTGGCTACCTGTCTCTCGAAGATCTGGCGCATCATGCCGAGGTCGGAACGCAAGAGGTCGATGCGATCTCGCTCAGGTTCACTGGTCAAGACATTGTGTCCAAGGCCACGCCCGGAACAGACGGTGACGCCAACCAGGGCGTCGAGATCTGGGAGCACCCGCCCAACGGTCAGGGCATCGTAGCACTCATGGCCCTCGGCATCATGGAAGAGCTCGAGAAGTCAAACAGGATCCCCAAGTTCACTGAGGCTCAGCATAACTCCGCAGAGTATCTGCACGCCGTTATTGAAAGTCTGCGCATTGCCTTCGCCGACGCCGCATGGTGGGTCACCGACCCAGATGTCGAGAACGTGCCATCACAAGGTCTTCTAGACCCCAAGTACCTCGCGGAGCGAGCGAAGCTGTTCACTCCGGATCGCGCGGCCGAGATCCTGGACCACGGCAGTCCCGCGCACAACCACTGCGACACAGTATACTTCGCCGTAACCGATCGCGAAGGCAACGGCATTTCCTTCATCAACAGCAACTATGACGGGTTCGGAACCGCCATCATCCCCGCCGGCTGCGGCTTCACCCTGCAGAACCGTGGAGCCAACTTCTCTCTGCAAGAAGGTCACCCCAATGCCCTGGCCCCGCACAAGCGACCATACCACACCATCATCCCAGCTCTGATCACTAATATCGCGGATGGCTCGTTGCACTCCGTGTACGGTGTTATGGGTGGCTTCATGCAGCCCCAGGGTCATGTGCAGGTCATGCTCAACATGCTTGCTTTCGGGTACCACCCACAAGCAGCGCTAGACTCGCCACGTTTCTGCCTCGCTGCGCCGACGGATGAGAGCACGAACCGGACGGTCTGCGTTGAAGAGGGTGTCAGCGATGCTGCTGTTGAGGGACTTCGTCGTTTGGGTCACAAGGTCGAGGTTCTGAGTGGATGGAAGCGTTCAATGTTTGGTCGCGGCCAGATCATTCGTTCCTATTATGATGATGGTAAGCTAGTCTACGCTGCCGGAAGTGATATGCGAGGCGATGGAATGGCTTTCCCATTGCTATAAACGCGTTGGAATAGACTTTAATTGAATTGATACCACACTTATCAGAGTTTTGGAGATCTACAAGAAATGTTGGATGATGGCTATGTTGCAAATTAGCCCTATTTATAGAGAGAGTGCTACATGGATGCCAATTCAGATCTCGAATGATCCTTCCATGCTCCCAAACAGCCTATGCTGCGGTCGGCTTTCCCGAGGAAAAATACGAATCAACACGAATAAGCAAAGATCACCCAGAGCCAAAATGTAGACAGCTCCATCCGAAGAAAAAATAGACACGAAGATTCGTATTCCGTATGACGATCCAGCAAGCATCCATCCCCTACTTCAGAAAAGCCACCACAAAAACCAAAAACCAAACAGAAGCAATAGCCCCGGACCAAAGTGTCAGATGTCAGACCATCGCCGACATCCGACCCATAGCAAAGCTTCAAAAAAAGGAGCAAGCCACCACTCTTCAGGGGTCCGCGTAATCGTCGGAGGGTTCACGTCAAAGTACGAACATCCGGAGTAAGCACAGCAAACTCCATACGGAGTACACCAACCGGGAACGGGTTTCCAGGAAACAAGCAAGTCCAAAGCCCTTCAGGCTTCAGGCAACGAGTCTCAAATCGCAAAAGAAAAAAAAAAAGCGCACATCATCGCCGAAGCAGGCAGGTCTGAACGAGGGCCTGAGGCCCAACAGAGCCGCGTGACCATGTCAACCCCTGATCGACAAAATGCCAAGTTGATCCACCGCAGAGTTTGCGATGATGGATAACGTTTCGAAAGGAAATTTAGTCCCTAATGGACTCTTTCCGCACGGAGTACTCTGTAAGGGTTCTGTAGATCCAGATTTGGTTTCGCGTTCGCGGTATCCTTCCGAACTCTACTCCGTACGGAGTGCCCGTGGACCTTCTGTGCACCTGGGCACCTGTCAGTGTCCTGGGACTCATTGGTTGAGCGCTAGCTACGGAATATACTCGACCCATAATATCGCGAATCATTCTAAGCTCCTTCAAACCGGACCAATTTCAACTCGACTTACACGGAGTTCAGGGAAGTGGGGATCGGACACGTCCGTATACCGCTTGTAGTATAGTGTTTGGAGCTGGCCTGTGGTTTCTTTCTATTTTTCTTTTTTTTTCTCGTTGCTAGGCTAGGGCCTGGGGAGCGTTGGTTCATCCGATCTACCTGAAGTCTAGATCGACATGGCAGCGTAAAATTGGGACTTTCGAAAGACGAAGGACGAAGAACCAGAGGACGGAGAGCAGCGAACAAAGAAAGATGGTTAAACGGGCCCAAATGGGCGTAAATGTCAAATCTTATGTGCGAGTGAGCCATGGTTGACATTTTGGTTCCCCGGAAGATTGTCGCTCAGCCGAGCCGTGGTTGAATGCGCCCTACGAGGCATTTTTCTTTTGAGAATGTATATGCTTCAATTGGGGTATAGAGACAATCATAAATGTCGTTATAAAAGAGTCAAGGAAATCAACAAAGGGAAACGATGGATCGCTCCCATCTAGAATACAGTACAGACCTCCCGCAAGATCGGGAGAACGCTCGTCCCCCTTTTTCGCGAGTTATTTGGAAGATGCTCGACCCGAGACTGGTGGATCCCAGGTGATCGCGTCTCGGGGCGCAGTGGGACCAAAGTGTCGTTCTGCCAATGACGACCGGGTCTTTTCAACCATTTGGAAGGGGGGTCGAGACTATGCTCTTAGACACCGGTGTCGGGAGACATTTGGGGTAATTATCCGCTCTTTCCGTGCTCCGGACCCACATTGAGATGAGTCCATAGTCAACGGATTTGGGTCGCTCGTTGGGTTTTCGGCGCCGCTAATATTGAGTGGTCGTGAAGTCATGAGATTGCGCGGTCGATGCCGCGCATAGACCGGTCTATGGACCTTTCACATGCCCCAGGCGATAGGCTGGAAGTGGGGCATGGATTGGGTCTGGTCTTCGTATGGGAGGCAGTCTGAGCTGGACCATGAGGGAGAAGGGTAGTGGCACTGAACGGGCTGGTGAGGTGTTAGAAAGTCGTCGCTGGCTGGATAGTTGGAGAGAAACTTACGGGTTGGATCATGTTCTCTGCGAGAGACATGGGAACCAGATGCGCAGGCATGTCGGCATCGCCGCCCCACCGCATGAGAGGAGTGTTCATTTGAAGCGGGGATGCGTGGACATCGCCATTGATGATGTTTTTGGGGTAGTGGTCGATAATGGAAACGGATGCAGAAGAGATGGAGGAGCTCGAGTGGGGAGGAAGGGAAAATGTGGTGTCGGAGAGAGGCGAGGGGCAGGTCTCTGCGGGAGAGGAGTAGAATGGGCTGTCATCCGCAGCTTCGGAGAGGTGGTTGTGGAATGTTGCTCGAGGTTGCAAAGGCAAGTCGACGCCGCTCCACATCATACAGTCGTTGGCCAAATCTGGGTGAATGCCCGGTGCGACGACGGAACCAATAGACATAGTGCTTGATTGAGGGGTTGCGGTTAATGACAGTCCGTTGTCCATTGACATGCAGCGCGAGATGGAGGACTCCGAGACAATAGGGTCTTGGGGCTTGGGTGTCCAAGTGGGTTGGTCTGATTGGGACTCGAGCTCGCTGATAAGAATGTTAGCATGCGCTGGATGATATCGGTGGTATCGTGGTGCTCACTGTCTCTCCATGTGGCGCGCAAGCAGATCAGTCCGGTGGAAAGCCTTCTTGCATCCGTGCTGTGTGCATCGATATGAAGCCTCGGGGTTGTGGTTCAATTCATGGCGTCTCTTGTGCTCGGCTCTGGTGAAGACCTGCGAATAAAGTCAATTTGGGTGGTCCCGATAATAGCTGATTGGTATGCGCCGACCTTTCCGCAGCCATCGTGTTGGCAGGCATGTACGCGCTTTCCCTTCTTCGCTTTACTAATGCGATGGGTGGTTGGAGTATAGGTGACGGGCACGGTGTCGGCGTTGGGACTGGGGCGCATGTTCTTTCGGCCCACCATATTGAAGTCTGAAGAAAGCTGTTGAGGTTCTGGTAAAGGCGAGAGGGAAGACACAGAAGGCGAGTTCAAGACGGAGACGATGTGGTTTGAATTGCGGTCTAGAGATGCGCGGGGCATGCTGTATAAGAAGAGGGAAGAGGGATTTAAGGCTGAGATAATTAAGAAACTGAAGAAACTGTGAAGAGACGGATAATCGGAAGAAGTGAAGAGCGGAAGGTGGACTGATATAGAGGGAACGATATGTAGGCTGTTCCTACAGATCTACGGATTAATAGACTTTTGAGTAATTTTGATTTAATTTAGAAAAAAAGAATTATAATTAAATAATATTTAAATCAAAAAATAAAAACACAGGGCTAGAAAAAAAAAGAAAAAAATGAATTGAAATGAAATAGGAAAATGGAAAATAAAAAAAGATTAGATCAAACCAAGAGCACGGGCGTGGAGGATGATCGCTCGGGATGATCAGAGGATAAGCTGTACTAAATTTACACAGGGGCTTTGCAGTAGACCAGTGCGGCTGAGGCGCACATTACTGAACGGTCATTGTAGGATAATTTGGTGTGCTAATTGTTCTCTACCGGCATTCAAGTACTTTTCCATTCTACACTATTATTTTATAAGCATTGTATGTACGGAGTATGGAACCCCAGGTGAACCTTGAAAGTGAAAAGCTACAACAACCAGGCCTGGTACAAAGTACCTTGGGAGAAAGTCGAAATCAAGCATGGGAGATATTATTCTCCAATTATCGCAATGGAGCGAGAAGCCGAACCCTACTTCTGATACTCGTGGAGTACAGCTTTCAAGTCCAAGCTCCCACGGAACGCAACGGGGTTGCCCCACCGCGTAAATGGCCGGTGGGACGCTTTCGTGAAATTCGAAGGATCAGGCGCTATTCCTAATTGGGCGCCTAAGAGCCTCGCGACTCCTAATACTTGCATGCGATTGGATACCAACAGCCCTGGAGGACAACGCTATGTCGGAAATAACCGTCCAGTCCAACGAGATGTGATGAAGTATCTCTCTGTAGGTTTACGGAGTAATTCGGCATTGTAAACCCCATTCCACGTTCAATATTTAGATCACAAAGAATGTTAGATCTCCGAGAATGAATCTCTCGAGATGGAGTCAACCATGGAAAGGCCCAAACTTTGCTCCATAAAATCGGGCTAAGCATGGTGGCGCTAAACCGGAAATGGAATTGAACCAAGTCAGCCTAGTGGGGCAGGGCCCTTGACCGGCCATCTTGGCGCTCTTGGCATTTGCTCTTTTACGCTCGAGGCATGTCCCTTAGGTAGCTTGTTTCGATCCGCCGATCATGGACGAAAAGGGTGAATGGACAATTCCCCATCCCGGCTCCGAACGATTCAAGACGTCACTGGAGTTCGTCTGGGGAATGGTCATACGGTTCCTACCATATTTTATATTTCACATATTCATTTTGAGGTATGTTAATTTTACCTGTACAAGGTTCATCCACGTGCATTTGGTCCATATGGTCAACATGGCCAACATGGTTACAACATGGTTCATTCCCTTTGTGTAATTTACTAAAGCACCGGAAAGTACATCCGCCCTCGTGGCATCCAAAGCAAGCCACCTGGATCCTGGTTCAATATTACCTTGCAGATATTAGAGAATGTCAATGTTTAATTTTATTCTGTTCCTGAAACGCGCCATAAGCAGCACCCCTGATTCTCGTCGTTTTCTGGAAAGAATCCTTCCATCTGTAGGTCAAGCCGTCAAATGAGGGGAAAGAGGGTCAGCGAAGAAAAAAGAAAATAAACCAAATAAACCATGAAAAATAAAACAATTGTTCAAAAAAAAACAAGAGATAAAAAGCACAACCTGCAAGGGAGGGGCTTGTTCAAGGCTGAATCCTGCCGTGCTGATGCCCGTCACACCGTTTGCGCAGAGACAAATCACGGGAACTTGGATGGGGTGTCTGGTGGGGGCAACCAGCCTCGCACGATCCACAAGTCTATGTTGTCTGCTGCAGATTATGGTAATCCACGATGAGAATCAGAATCAGGACTGCAAGGCATTGCTGTCGCCACATTCTTGAAACGTTTGATATAGAAACGTTGAAACATCGAAGCATCAGCAACGTGTGGAAACTGCCATAGCCCTCTCTCTCCCCATGTTCCAAGTTTAGATCCAGGTGGTTACTCCTGCACCCTGTCGTTACTAGAGGCGTTTAGGCCCGATCGGCCGCTGCAGCCAGGTTCAGCGAGCATACTCCGTACTTGGCCTAAGGCATGTATCTCTATCTAATTCTGTCGATTGAGAAAGATCGACATTCCTACCCCATCGCCCTCCCGTCGGATTGATCGCGATCCATGCCTTTTCTGGGGGATCGCGATGCCATATGGGTAAAAAGAAAAAAGAAAAAATGAATTTAATTCAGCATTCTTGACCAATAACATCCATGCAAAGGGTCAAGTAAAATGGCTCGCTCTACAAAGATTGTATGCATCAAACTTTCCTAGACATTGCGTGGGTCGTGAGTTATTCTCTTTCTTGTTGCGTGTTAGTGCGACGGAAAATATAGAGATGGGTTGGTGCGTTCTTTACAAGCATTGGCAGAGACGGGTGGGGAGGGTGATGGCGATACAATCTACTCTTGGTAACTTGGATCCAGGGCTGGTAAATTTGGGGCGTTGAAGATCGTCAAGAGACTGCCCAGAACGAGGCTGCCAAAGGACGGGTTTTGCGGGTTTTGGGTTTTGGACTGCCCGGGCGAGCTATCGACTCTCCTCCGTATGAAATAGGGCACATCGGTCATCGCCCAGCTGCCCAGATGCGGGTACTCGTGAACCCCTGTCCTTACCAAATTGGTAATTCTCTGCGACTAGCTTTGCCTAAAGTCAAGGTCTAACCCACTTCATGCAACGTCCAACTATGGATGAGTACGGAGTAGGACAGGGTGGTCTTTTTTTAGGGCAATGTGAAGATTATGCTGAATATTCTTATCATCTTAGAAAGAGTGAGAATAGCACAGCCAATTCTCTAATTCCGGAATGTGAAGAATTGCTGATCAGCGTATACGAAGGAGCGAGTCAGAAGGCTCGCTTTAATGTTGGTTCTTTTTTTAGGACGGGTTAAACGCCGGTGGTAGAGGGCCCCTAGTCTGCCTTGGGAAATCCAAAAAAGTGAACTTTGGTTTTCTTTCATGAATCATGCAATCAAATTTCGATATCAGAAATGGAGAGGTGCGAGCATTAGTGTGCCTGATCGACTCAGGCTGCGAGGCCATGGAGGCTCGAAAGCCGGGTTTTGCGGGTTTTGCGGCTTGGAAGTGACGAAAGGAGGATGGTCGGAGTTTGTCGGGCTTTGCGGTAAATTTGGATTTTAAATATTAAAATTAACCATATCGATCACCCTGCCGGCATCTCCCCGACCCTTACCGAACCTAGTGTCCTCCGTAGATTTATTGACATTTCGCTCAAAAATGGAGAGCCCTGTGGAAACCCGTCTCGGGTTCGGTTAAGTGACTGAAACTGTCCTGACGGAATTTCCGATCTCAAATTATCATCTATCGAGGGGCAAAACAAGGGAGGGGTTGACCTCGTCGGGTCTCGCCTGTTCGGTGAGTACACTGCTCCGTGTCCGTCACCCCAAGGTGATCGGTGAGCCTCCCCCTGGAGCTTGCCCCGGTGGGTCATTTCCACTTTTTCCCATCTCTCTCAAAGGGAAGCTGGAAGCAACAGCTTTGGCAAGATAAATCCAATCAGGCTAATTAGAAATGGCCTGATCACTGAGTACGTACAATATACAGAATAGCACGGAGTAGTCGTAGCACTCCGTACTCCGTATGGAGTACAATTGGCACCTACGGAGTCCTAGGGCTACGCAATCTTACCTCAGATCTGATCTGTATCTTCATCGTGATTGGTGGAAGAGGTGGCTCCAGCTCACAAAGGGTGCCCCTTATGCTAAAGCAGTGACTCGTGGCCCACCCTCGGGCTCGCTGTACATACCGAATGCAGTGAAGTGCCTCCGCTTTGGAGCAACTTTGAGCTCAACAACGCTCCCCGTTAGAAGACGGGGTGGCGCCGAATGCTGAATTGCGGTCGTACCCGAGCTCGTGGGATAGAGACTATTGATGAACTCCTTCATTCCGGATCAATGGAGTCGGAAGAGACTCGCAAATTCTTTGACTTCATCAACGTCCCCTTTTTCTTTTCCGGGCTCATATCTAATAGACTACATGATATTGAAATAGAAGCTTCGTAATCCCTCCATAGTAATCCATAGAACAAAAAAGCTCCATGTAAACATCTCCATACTTCGCATCGAAGATCCCGGGGCCGACACAGAGCATATCGAGCAAGGGCCAGACCGTTAGAACGTCTAAATCACCTCCCCAATCAAGCTTAGACCCCAGTTGTCTAAATCCCAAAGGCTAAGCGCTATCGCAGTGTTCATTATACAATTTGGGTTAGACTCACGCTAGTGGCTTTAGCTAATCTGCTCCACTTGAGCGGTTATTTGGTTATCCCTGCACTCTCATACACTTGTACGGAGTATACTCCTTCCAATGTTGGGTTCCATGCGGAGTACCACTATACTAATTCATCTTGGGAAATTTGAAGCTCATATCCGAATGTGAGCTCCACTATTGGTGTGATTCTTGCCATGTCTCGGGTACAGAGTGCGCTGCCCACTGGTATCCGTCGTTGTGCATATGAACAACAAACCATGGCTTTCGCCAAGCTGGCGAGAAGGGTGATCGATCTGCAACCACGGTCCAATCCTGTCGGTTGGATCGTCATTATCCGTCAGTGTTTCTTTTTTAGTATCCTACGGTTGATCGCGTGTCTGGGGAAGTTTAATTGTGCCCGTGAATATCTACAGGTTCGGCTGTAGAATATAGATCGGCTGTGTCGTGCAATAGCATATACACCCATCATCGTAGAGAGGAATGAACATTTCCCGTCAAATTCACCTCGAACCAGGGTATCCAAATTGGCGATCGGAGAAATCTCGCATCTAGACTCGCTTGAGGTTTCTAGCCATCCCTGCAAGTCTATCACGATTCCGGCTAGCATCTCGCTAAAACCCCTGCAAGTTCCGGATAGCATCAAACGCTTTCAGGGGTTGAGTGTGACCTC